CATGCATGGTCGTGTACGCCGCAGTTGTTGCGCTAGACCCATCTTGTCTTGGGCTTCTTCAAGTGGCCAGCGCGTCGAAGTATATACGAAAATGTTTGCTTATCCAATAATATACAAGTCGCCTGCATGTATTGATATCACTACATCTGGATAAACTTCACACAGAGCTCTTCTGATATCAGGCAAAATAGCTTCAGGTACTCATCAATATAACCTATCGGTAATTGGGGATGATTTCTGTTAGCTTAGTCTTACGTCCAGCTCCTTTTCTGCTACTTACCGGCAGTCGTCGTTCCTCATCGTCACTGTATTTTTTGATATAGAGTTGTACTGTCCTAATGTTGATCCCAGTCAAAGAGCAACCTCTTTTGCAGTGTCTTTCCCTGCTCGATCACGTAGTCAAATAGTTGTTCGATTTGATGTGCAGTGTTTCGTCCGTATGGCCTTTTCGTCTTTCGTGCACGTACCCGTCGCGCGCGGAAGGGCTAATTACTACTGCGGACGCTGCTGATCCTGCTGTGGTGGTACCACAACAGGATCAGCATCCATCAAAGTTCTCGGTGGGACCATCACGGCGTCATCAAACGTTTTTTCTTCCATGTTCATAGGCTGATATTCGTCTTCCATCAAAGACTCCACCGTGGCATGTTAAACTCTGTGGAAGCGACATTATGACACAATCATGTTTTCACTTCCAACGTTAGAATTATCATTGTTTTCCTTGCTGTTTGCTTATTATATAAGTGTTCGTCTGCAGAAATTTCAATTTGCGAGACGCAAAATTCCTTCAAAATCAATTTTTACTGCACCGCAAAATATTTAGAGAAGGACTGTAGCTAGCGTCGGACTTGCCTTGACACACTGTATCTCTCCACCCTATCGATTCCTCCATGTCTGATCGAAAAAAACTATTTGGAAACAACAAGGGCAAAGGTGTCAGCCGCGATCGGGAGGAGGAAAATGCACTGATGCTCGAACAGCAAAATGATATGCGAATGCAGGAACTAGATGCCAAAGTCTCTGCTTTGAAAAACGTAAGGTTCCATTCTGTCAAACGGGTTGGTTACTCACTCCCATCTAACCCACATTCAATACCTTAGGTTACTATTGATATCCACCGTGATGTGACTGAGCAGCACGACTTGATTGATGAATCCGTAAGTGGCCAGCATACGCACGCCCTGGTCTTTTTGCGTGGAATTAATAGACACTTTGCTTTAGACCAACGTATTTGCAGGCTTTGGCTCAGCTTTCAACAACTCGTTTGGGCGGCTCAATAGAATGGTTTCAACTCGGCACAAGCGACAATTGTGCCTTTACGTCGCAGTCATTGTAGTTGTCTTCTTCATTTTCTACTATGGCTTTGGTGCCTTCTGGTCATCATCTTCCTCCGAAACCGCACCCATTCTGGACGACCATTCTGCACTACACAATGACGCTGATATATTATAGATGCTCTGCATACCTCGATTTTAGTTATGCTTCGCTCCAGCCTTCAACAGCTAGGTCTCTCGTGTATTATGACATTATCCATCCACTGCTATACACCATTTGGGCAACATAGCGCGTTAAAATCTACATAACTCTTTCTTATTACCATTCAAATGAAATCCATCGTGTATTTTTACAATCGTGGCAAGGGAAAATTAATGAGGACGTTGGTCGATAAAGAAGACAAATGACGAAAGGAAAAGGGTTGATGTAATGGGTGAGACATTGCCCTACGTCAATACGAATAGTAAGCATTGTGTGGCGAATAAGGTGAAGTTTCATTTCTCTTCTGTTACTTCAGCAGTGTGCCATTGCAAGCGATGTTCAAAAATTAAGCACAAGTACGACAAGATAAGGAGAACAGGTACTTCAATGAGAGGACCAATAGTAGCGGCGAGGGCCTGGTCCGAGTTGATACCGTAAACACTGACAGCGACAGCAATGGCCAATTCGAAATTGTTGCTTCCAGCTGTGAAGGCTTGAGTGACGGCCTCAGCGTATTGATATTTGAGCGCCCGCGCCAAAAATAACGTTCCAAAGAACATGATTATAAAGTAGCACACCATCGGCACCATGACCCGGAACACGGATCCAATATTGGCGACAATATGGTGACCCTGATTAGCAAACTAAGTACAGTAAAGCAGATACGATTCAGTTAATTATCAGCGAGCCCACTTAAGAGATTCGGTATAATTGGATAAAACTCACCATAACGATAATAGTGTACAGTAGCCCGATCAAGGCAAAAGGTCCAATGCGCGGTAAAAACTTTGATTCGTACCAATGCTTGCTTGTCAGGCGAACCAATACAACACGAGTGAGGAATCCAGCTCCAAGGGGAATACCAAGATAGATAAGTACAGACTGGATGACTGGCCACATCTCCAACTGAATTTCAGCATCCACATGACCGCCAAACCAAGTGGGGACGATGTTAATAAAGAGGTAGCAAACAGGGGAATACAGAGCGATCTGTAGGACAGAATTGACCACCATCAAGATGGCACAATATTCAGCATTTCCTCTAGCAATCTGGTTCCAAATCAACACCATTGCGATACATCGTGCGACGCCGACCATGATCACACCAGTGCGGTAGCCTTCCAGATCCGGCAATGTAGCCCACGCCAAGCAAGTCATTAAAGTTGGACCAACCAGCCAGTTGAGAATAAGAGACAGTCCAAGTTGATACCATATGGCTCTTTGAGAAAAGATATAAGGGAGCTCTTCGTAATGAAGCTTGCATAGCACAGGGTACATCATGACGAGGAGGCCGACGGCAATTGGGACGGACACCGAGCTAAATTCGACGGTGGCGAAAGCCGGCTGCACTCCAGGAACATAGTATCCTATCAACACTCCGATGACCATAGCCAGAATAATCCACAGTGCCAAAAATCTATCCACAAAAGAGAGCTCTCGCAGTAACTTGGATACGGATTTATCTGCGTTCTGGGCTTCGTCGCCGTCTTCAGGTTTGACAATGCAGTAGTCGTAGTTGCATTGCTCAGTCTTCCAGCATGGGCTGGAAGTTGAAGATGTTCTTGAACATGTGCTTCCATTGTTGGCAGTCGGAGAGTCTGCAGCTCTGCGGCAACTGCCTCCTGTTGTGGACTCCATTTGTGAAGTGGTGGAATGCTGTTGTTACTTAGAGGGAGCAGAAAAAAAAATCCCTTTAAGTTCAAGCTCCGAAGCAAACGTTGAACCCGACCAAAGTGGAGTCAAACTGATTTTGCTCTCCCGGTATCATTACATAGTGTAAAGGCCCTACATTCCATTGATGTCCACCTCAGTGAATCTGAGCGCTTCCAGTGCTAGGCATCTTAAAAAATTGCTTCAGAGGCAGCTGCAACCATGTATACCTCACCATCTCCAAGAAATGCCCTGCAAAAGAAGCTCCATCATAGGGGGAGAGGATAAAGAGAAAGCTGGAAAGAAAACAGCATGCTGGTGAGCCTGTCCCTGTTGAATTTGATGATCATTTGTTTGTACCAGCAATAAATTGTATCTTGAAAATCACTTTGTTAATTTTCATTAACTCTAGCGTTTATTCATCGGTCTTTACCATCCAGATATGTCACCGCGATTGTTATGTTCGTGGGCTGAAAATAGCAGAACTACTGGCAACATATCTCACCAAAGTATCTTAATGTCAGTAAATTGTAGAAAATGTGATAAAGAGATACCATTGCAAGCAAAATCTATATTGGATCGTGCAATTGGTGTGGACAGGTGAATTGCCCAGCAGCTGTTTTTAGAGAAAGCCAAGGTCGACTCTAACCACTTCTAGATCATTGTTGCTACCAATGCAGTTTATCTCTTATGAGAAATTCAAATCTTTTTAAATTAATCTTCAGCTCGCTTCTCACAATTTAACAGCAGAGAACCTCCTTCATCCCGAGTTCACAAGATATTGCGACTCTCTATTTTGAGCTCAAGAAAAAGAATAGTGAATTTTACTGTACGTCTTTTAGCAAATGACCGACTAACCTTTCTGTAATCTGACTTGCTGAACGCAAGAACCATACAAATAGGCCGAAATACCTCTTTATCCGTTTTTGTGCATCTTGGAGAAAATGCAGGATGTTATAGTATCGTACTGCACACGTAAACCGGCCCCTCCTCGTTTTTTGCAGGCATGATGGTGTTTATTCGCATGCATCAATTTCAGAAAGGAAAACTAGTTGAAAATTGACGCTTGAGTATACCGGATGCAAGAGTCATCGGTTAAATTGTGTACCATTTGGAGGATTCTAGAAAACTATTCGGTGATCCGATATATCTCAATAACGGGTTTTCAATGCTATATTACAGAAATAGCGCTTGCACTGAAGATAATGCCCGGCTTTGCATTTGGAATGCGTCATGAATTGATCCTGAAACAGGATCCAATTGCCTTGCTCGTTACATGACTTCCCCGACGATCAATAGGAGCCACGAACTATACAATATCTGAAATGAAAAATACAAACAAATACATTGTGTTCTCAGCTCATGCGGAGTAACCAACGGACAATTCCAGGCGGAAAAAAATGCCTTGATCAGGAAAATATCTCTACCCAAGCTATCCACGTGCGACTCGTTGCGAGTGTCAGTGCTGGGAACTCTCAGTGGTGGCGTGCAAAAGTAAGCTCGTACCCAGAAACTCGTTTTGTCCACTTGCGAATTCTTTTTTCCGCTGTCAGCAAGAGTAACGCATCTGTCAACTCGGCGAAGCAAAGGAACCATCATCGAGCGAGATAGATCAATGTAAATAGTATTTTTCTCAAAACCTATGAAGAGATTTTATATCGTCCTCAATGGAATTCCGAGCATATTTGCTATCTCATCCGAGCATAGTACTAGTGAAAAATTTGGCTGAACGATGTCTTCTCGCCCCAATATGACGGTAGTGCAAGGAATGGGTGATCTCGGGTATTTCAACAGCTTGGGCACGTGTATCGACGTTGAATGTCCACTTGCACATATGGAAAATTTGATCTCTGATATATCGGCTAAACGGACAAGACATTCGAGATCTTTATATCAATCAAAAATCGAGATAAATAATTGATGCATGTCTGACGTAGTGTGCATACCAATGTTCTGTCATAGTAGCGAGAGATGCGGTGTGACGATCACTTTTATGTCTAACTGATGCAACTCCTAGGAACATAAGGAAGAAGCCGAGATTGCTGGGGAAAGTGGTTTTCTTCAGCACGCAATTTATGAGCGAACCGAAAGAGGAAAAATAGCACGGTTGAATCATGGTAACGCAAGTGTAACTCTTGGGTGAGCGAGCCAGTCAGTGGTGAATTATAAGTCAACGTGCCGAGCTCCACACAACAATGGCTGGACATTTACAGTCGCCGTGAGTTAGCTTTGCATTCCCAAAATGGTGAGCAGAAAGTATATTAAAGCACTGCATAATTAACCACTCAATCCGTTCCTCATTCCCCTCTTTTAATTGAATCATGAAAGCCTCCATCATAGCCGCTGCCCTTGCCATTGTTATCGCCACCGTGGATGCCCGTCCCTCCGGCCACACCCACCAATCTCGCGGCCATCGCAAGTACAAGGAAGGAACCATTGCTATTTTCGGCGACTACGGCTGGAAGTATGTTTTTTTTTTTTTTTTCGCTTCAATGTCATACGTTCCATCATCAGTATACACGCACAGACGCTCATCTTCATATATGTTCACTTTTTAGGGGATGGAGTGTTCCCACTGCTGCTGAATGTGCCGGTTTGCCCGCTTCCGGTAACTGCGACCCTGGTGATATCGCCTCCTACCCTCAGGCTGTTATTGCTCAGGAAAGAACCGCCAAGTTCTTTGGTGAGGTCTGCCAGGAGCAAAACTGCCAGGAAGTCATGACCACCGGAGGTACATACATCTATATATGCTAAATATCTTCTAATTTACGTACTAATGAATATGCTCTGATTGTTTAGACAACTTCTACAACATTGGTCTCGGTATGTGAAATTTCTTTCAAAGTGTCGAAGACGTATGGGAACATCCTATTTACTTAGCATCAATAGAGAACTACCAGCACTTCAAGGAAGGCTTCATCGACATGTACACTGCCAAGTCTCTCAAGATCCGCTGGAACCCTTCCCTCGGCAACCACGATATCGTTGCCAACACCTCTGTTTCCGTAAGTTTGGAAAAGGTTGAGGGCAAAGTTTGGTTGAGGCTGAAATTAAAAGATTTTCCCTGGCTAGTTGGAGTTGAATGCCCACAAGTACGACAGCAGATGGTTCATGCCCTCTCGTTGGTATCAACATGACATTACTGTCAATGATGTCAAGTACCACTTCACTGTCCTTGACAGCTCTCCCTTCATTTCATCTTACCGCACCGTAAGTGAACAGTGTATACCCAGATGTAAACAGGGTGTATTTGTTTGTCTTACACATGAACTTGCAGAGCACCACCTCCCCTTATCACTCTCAAGAGCTTCTCAACACCATGACCCCCGCCATGTTGCAAGCTCAGATTGACTACTTGGACAAGTCCTCAGCCGAGTCTGATGCTGACTGGAAGTTCGTCGTTATGCACCACCCCATTCTTTCTACCTCCAAGAACTACACCAAGCCTGCCGATATGGGTGGTTTGTTCCAGATTGTTCAGAAGCACAAGCTTGTTGTTCTTAACGGTCACGATCACGTTCTCAGCCATCAACAAGGTAAGAGAGTGTGTGGGGATAAAACTGAGTTGAGTGACTGTATGGCTGACTTTGGGTTTTGTTTTTTCCCTCCATCATAAGGCAACAACACTGACTTCTTCACCGTTGGTGCTGGAAGTTTGACTGCTGCTAGTGATGGCAACAATGGTGTTTACTTGCCCTACATCAAGTATGTTGCTGCCAACGCCACCTATGGTAAGTCCAACAGAGCACAATTATGACAAGGTTTTGACAAAGTTGTATACTAATGCCGTTTTCTCATAGCTGATAACGGTATGGCTTTGCTCAGCGGTACCAAGGAAGAACTCAAGGTTGAATACTTTGAATTGCTCAAGGGTGCCAAGAAACCCTCTTACACTGCTATTGTCAAGCACAATGCCCATTATAATATCACCATCTAAGGTGGAATAATACAAGCGGTGGTTGCATAATTTAGCCATGTCGTCCCACTGCCTTGCGCCAGTTGTATTACTATTATTATCAAAATACACGTAATGTGACGAATTAAACATAAATTCAAAACATCACTGATTTTGGCTCGGTCCTATCAGTTCGTATTCAGCAAAAACAATGTAAATGTACAGTATGCTCGCCATGCCTCTTCATATCAGAGTTCGTCTGCCAGGGGAGATAGGGGCTGTGAATCAAATGAGGGTTACCCTCCAATTTGGTGTTTAGGGGTTGTTATATCACATGCAGTCTTGTGAGGACTGTCCGATATGAACATGGTAGAGAGCCATTATCTGAACATTCTGCCAATATTGCAGCGAGCAGAAAAGTCGATTCTATTTTTGAAGCGTGGGGACCATGAAAAAAAAAAAAAGAGGCAATTTGAAATGAAGTGTGACTGCCGGTGGAGACGAGCCCTTTTGATGAGAGAGTCTGGATGCGAGCGCTTTTCAAATTCTTGCCTTTGTTTTTCTCTTTCAACTATGCAGTGGTTACCGGCTGCTATCAGTATGCTGCTCATCCTGTTGGGAGAAACCTATGGAGCCGTCACTCCTTCTTCATCCTCTATCAATGTATCCCAGACCTCATCTATCGTCCCAGCCATCACGTTCCTGGCAGCTAGCACCGCGCCGTCCTTTGTCCCAGTACCTCAACCCACCTCCACCATAGATACCAATGGATTCTCGGACGATTCCAGAGATAATCAGAACCAACAGAGTTGGCTGCAGCAACATAGCCGATGGGTGTTTGTACTGGTGATTGGTTTATTGGTAGGTGCCATTATCCTCTACTATATCGTGCGTGGTATCACCCGAGCACGACGAGAGCTCAGGGCGGAAAACGAAAAGCTTGCCTTAGGCCCCATGCACATGGGTCCAATCTCATCACCGCCGAAATACGAAGAAGCTACGAGTGGACGATAGAATAGAATGCTGGCCATCTACCTTATTGTCAATTTTTTTTTTTTTTTTTTAATTTTTATATTTTTCGTTATTGGGTAATATTAGGTTTGTGTTGAAAATCCTAACTTCCATCATATTCTATCTTCTTTGACCTTGTTTAAAAATACATCCACTACACTATCTGCTGCCTGTCCACTCGTCATTTTGCCATCAAACACTTTACTCTCTAGTTCAGCGACATGTTGTTTGACTTTGTCGTCCGAGTTCAGACGATCTACCAGTTCGCTTGTAATTTGCCGCCACATCCACACCTTGCGCTGCGCCCCCCGCTTCTCTGTCAATTTATTGGCAGACTGAAAACATGGGATACTTAGTAAAGAGGTCTGTCTTGCCATCTGTAATAAAAAAATGTCACTTACCGTCATAGTGTCAAAATAGGATTTCATTGCTTCCCAAGCCTTGTCAATGCCAGTGTTTTCGCGAGATGACACTCGTAACACCTAAATAGATTACGAGGGGGGATTTTCTGTGTTACACTACTGTATGGTCGTTCTGTTTTGTTCACCACACCATTATATTACCTTTGTTTTCCAAAGTGGTGATGGAGGCTGCAAAAACTTGATCGCACTGGTATAATCCATGGAAACTGCCCTGGCAGCATCGGCAAGCTTTCCATCGGCCTTGTTGACAATGACCAAGTCTGACAGCTCCACAATTCCCTTTTTCAGTCCCTAACAATGAAAACCCTGGTCAGCCGCCTGCAAAGACCTTCCTGTACAGGTAGATGATGTTACCTGAAGTTCGTCGCCTCCACCTGGTCCAACCAAGAGCACAAACCTGATAGAAATATTCAATTAGCATTGAGCCTGCCAATGGAAGGTCATATATCAAATCATGTCCTCACATGTCCACCATCTCAGCAACCATGGTCTCAGACTGGCCCACACCTACTGTTTCCACCAGAGTAACGTCGTAACCGGCAGCTTTGAGGAGGAAAATGATGAATGAGAGAAATATAATGGGCATAGGTTTTCAAGTAAATTTACCTTCGCATAACAAGATAGCTTCGTTGGTATTACGAGCAACCTTTTAAAGTTGGTCAATAGTTGGTTCATGTAGAGGCCAAAAACTTATATATTACTCACTCCGCCTAAAAATGTTTAGAGATCACATAAGCACATTAACACGTGTGTATCCTTTCAGTCACAGGCTCTGACCACCTACCTAGTGTGCCTCTACTTGGGGAAGGACGAACATAAGCATCGTCAGCTCTAGAAAGCTCGGTCATTCTTGTTTTGTCGCCGAGAATTGATCCACCTGTCCGCGATGATGAAGGATCGACCGCCTGAATGGCAGTAGTTGCTCAAAGTTAACCCCACCGAAGCTCACATAGCAGTTCTCCAAACTAGATCTTACCAGCACTGCCACTTTATGTCCTTGCTCCAGAAGGTACATTCCAAACGCCTTGCAACGATAAAAGTCAATCATCAGTAAACGGCTACGTCAGAACATCCACTGAACGCATACCTCTATAAATGTTGACTTTCCAACACCTGGCGAACCCGAAAGGCCAATTCGAAAAGTTGGCTTTGTCAATGGTTGATCTCTTTGTTTCTTAAGGATGTAGGATAGAAGCTGCTGAGCTTCTGCACGGTGATCACTCCGCGACGATTCCACTGTTAGAGTCGGCATATGGATGGGTGGGGTGAGGTTAGATCCAGTGTCTATAGAAAGACGGTTTACAAACATTGAAATTACCCAGAGTGATGGATTTAGCCAATGCATAGCGGCTTCCTTGCGCGAGCTGTTCTGATAGCGTTAGCGTCTTGCTTGAAGCAACCGTTGAATAAGCGGCTATCAACGGAGCTTGTATTATTGTGTTTTGTGCATACGCTGGTGCCAATGGCGAGAAGCGGTCGGTAGTGCTTATGTTGTTTGAAGCTATTACACGCTTGGTACCTTGGTAAATGAGTGGCCGAGATGCATTGACTGGCATGGAATGCCACAAGCGGCGTGAAAGCATAGTAGACAAACACCAAGCCTGACCGTGGGCATTTCCTGTGGTAATGAGGAAATCGAAATTCAAAATTCAGTGACTGCTGGCATGGCGGGTTGCCCATTCACTTCCACCATGTCCTCCTTACAGAAAGACATCTTTAAGCCCAAATTACCACCTCTAGAGGCTCTTCAAGAAGATCCCGATGCAACCAGTAAAGAGGTCAGCAACAAGAAAAGGTGGGCGCTCTGTCGAGTCACGTACTTGTCTACGTTTCTCTCGCAGGAATCTCACCTTCTTCACTCAGCTCGCAGCCAGCCTTTGCCTTGCCATTGACAAGACGACAGCAGCCCGACTATTCACCGTTATCATGGGAACACTATTTTGAAACCATGCACGATGTGAAGGTCGACGATAAAATATCCTTTTACTCTCACTAGCCGACGTTGCTGGATTTCATTTTTTTATATCTGCGCCAGCATGATTTTTCTTGACTGCCCGCTGGTTTTCATTACGTCTTTCGTTGTTATCAGATAGCTGGAAAATCAAAAGATGGAAAGGTACCTCCTTTGTTTGTTCTACATCATGGAGCTGGCCATTCAGCCTTGTCATATGGCCTTACTGCAAAACGGATACAAGCTATTGCGAACCAAGAATGTTCCATACTGGCATTTGATTGTCGGGGGCACGGTAGGTTTCGTTTCTGTAGATGGCATTGTTTAAAGCATAGGATCGAATACCCATTTTTTTTCATTGGTCGCCAGGGTATACTCAAACGCCAAACGATAGCGACCTCTCTGTATCAACTTTGAGTAATGACATGAGCGAGGTCATTTTAGCGTTATACGGAGACACGAAGCCTGATGTTATTGTTGTTGGTCACAGGTAGGCAGACTCATCGTATACAAAACGTGGAGTATAGAGTAACTCCCACTTACTTGCAATTCATTTGCGTAAATCGCTTCATTTTCTGCTCATTTTCATAGTATGGGTGGATCGGTTGTTGTGGACGTCGCTAATAGACGCAGTGTTCCAAATCTACTCGGAGTCGTGGTATTGGATGTGGTGGAAGGATCGGCCATGGAAGCATTGTCCTCTATGACATCGTTTTTGAATGATCGGCCCAAAGAATTTCCATCGGTCGAGCATGCTATTCGATGGGCGTAAGTGTCAAAAAATACATCATTGAGTAACAGCAGGTATACTGACCAATTCAATGTATGGTTCTCGTCAGTGTTAGTTCAGGCACGGTACACAACCTGGAATCAGCAAGACTCTCCTTTCCCCCGCTTGTTCGAAAGAAAGATGAGAATGACGCAAACAGTCCTTATATCTGGCATACCAATCTTGCCGCTACGCAACAGTTTTGGCAAGGTAAGTCATCGTTTCAGCTCGATTTCAGAGGTGAAGTGATCATACTCACATACATTTTATTGGAAAAGGCTGGTTCCAAGACTTGTCGGATAAGTTTCTCAAGGCTAGGGCTGCCAAATTTCTCGTTCTCGCTGGCACAGACCGTTTGGATAAGACGCTGATGATAGGATCAATGCAAGGTTAGTACGCTCGAAAATGGTGATCTAGAGGCTCTGAAGGAGGTGTAGGGTGAGATCGATGTTAGAACAATCTAATGGTTTTTAATACCTCGCCAACCGTTTGTAGGAAAATTTCAAATGGAAATATTCGTGGAATCTGGCCATGCTATTCATGAAGATCAGCCAAACCGGTTAGCGCAATGCCTTGTTGAATTCTGGAAACGCAACAAGCGGCTCATTCTCCCGCCCAAAGTCCCTCTTAAACCCAACCAACATTGATATTATACCAAAGAGAGTTTCGATAGCTTTAGAGGAATACAAGATTAAATAAAAAAAAAAACGGGAAAAGAAAGTGTAATCTGGTGTCAATAATTGAGTAATGAGTGACGGTAGGGAACAAACATCCAGTGTATGACGAAGGTAATAGTAAACTAGACATTAGTGGGTGTCTACATAATGGAGCAATCGCTGTCCTGCTTTGCAGGAGCGCCATTGGCACCGCGAGTATGCTTCTGACGTTGCTGAGGACGAGCGTTTCCAAACTTTTTGAGTTCGGTGAGACGCTGCATAGCACGCTTGTTACCTTGCGCAGCAGCTCGCATGTACCACCGACGAGCTTCATCCAACTCTGGTTTGATGCCAATGCCAGTCTCGGTATAATAACCAACGGCGTACTCTGCCTTGGCATACCCTTTGTCAGCTGCTTTTCGTGCCCAAAGGTACGCTTCGGTATCACTTTGCTTCAAGACGCCTTCTGAGCCAGTCAGGTACCATCCTGAAAGAGCAAGTTCCGCTTCAACATCACCTTGCTCAGCTGCTCTGGAATACCATGCTATTGAGCGTCTAGGGTCTACAGGACATGTCAGCTGGCCGTATTCGTAACAGCATCCAAGCTTGAATTGTGATGGGGCATATCCGAATTGAGCTGCTTGGGTGAACAGTTCGCGTGCGTACTTCTCGTCTGCAATGACGGACGGGATACCTTCCTTTTCATAGGCGAGACCCAGTTCATGAAGTGCGTGAGGGTTTTCTTCGTCGGCGTTGGCGGCTGCTCGTTTCAACCAAGAGATACCTTCTCGTGGATTCTTCTGTTGGCTGATGTATCCCTTCAATAAAATCATACCGAGCTTATACATAGCTGGCGTATCACCCAAATTAGCTGCCTTACGGTAAAAGAGAATAGATCGAGCATGATCTCTTTTCGTGCCTGCTCCAACTTCGTAGCACACAGCTGTACGGTATGTGGCAGCCGGATGACTCTGCTTAGAGGCTTGGACATAATTGTTGAATGCCTTATCGTGATCAACTGCTAAGCCCATGAGTCCACTGCCATAACAATTGGCAAGGAAGAACTGAGCTTCAGCGTGAACGGCTTTTCCAATATTGGATTGCGAAGCCAGTTTTTTGACAACACGTTGTGCTTCATTGGCCATACCTTCACGAATTTTCTTAGCTCGCTTTTGATCAGGATCGTCTAAGCAGACTTGCGGAATTGCTTCCACTAAAAACTTTGCGAAGTTCAGCTGCACCATAGGATCATTGGTAGCGCGGGCTTGCGAGCGGAACTGACTGAGATTTTCGAGTGTTGGTGGTGGAAATATGCTCTTTTTTCCAGATCTCTTTCCGATGGGAGGAAGAACTTCACTGGGAGCAGCATTCATGCTTTGCTGCTGTTGAGCATATGGATCAGATGGATAATTCATCATCTGCTGTTGCTGAGGTCTGTAATACTCCTGACCACCATAATGCTGAGCCGGATAGGGTTGAGCAGGAACATATTGTTGGCTGTATTCATCCCAGTACCATTGAGGTTGCTGCTGCTGCTGGGGTGGAAGGTGTTGTTGACCCATGTGGGGAGTTCCATACTGATAGGCGGCAGGATCCTCACCACTGTACATTGGTCGTGGGGCAGGCGCCATGTTAGGAGAAGGGCGATAAGTATTAGATCGTTGAATATCAGCATGCATTTGGTAAGGAGAATGGCTTCTATATTGTTGTTGAGGGTCATAATATTGTTGAGGATGAGGAGGGGGAGCCAATACCGAATTGGGATCGTGGGTACCATTGGCTTTAGATTTGACATCCCCATCCACTTGAGAGCCATTGTCAACTACATCAGGCTTTTGTATGTATGGTGAATCTGTATACACTGGCCGTTGCTGTGGTCCATCAGATGCGTATGCACGAGCCTCTCGAGACGATGGACGTCCAAGTGGCTTTGAACGATCGTCTAGCGCCAGTTGGTCAAACTGCAAATCATTGACATTACCATCTCGTCCAGGTTGAGAGGTACCAGATGACGGACGATGAGAAATCGCTCCTTCCTGGTTTTGCACCTGTCTATTTTGTTCCGGAGCTACTATTTCTGTCATGTGCAGTGCAGACAGGCGTATGCAGAGTTCAACCAAACTCCTTTGCAACAAGCCAGGTAACTGATTTTTATGATGAAAATAATACCTCTCCGCACATCACCCAATAGGTAAAAATGGCCATAATGGGTGGTGAGCAAAGACGTCAAGGTGGTGGACGTAGTTAAGAAGAATGAGTTAATAACAGATCAAAAAGCGTCAGTCTTGATTACATTGACTGAAGGTCACCAAAGCTTTCAATTCAGTAACAAACAAAGCGAACTGAAATTCCTCTTCCACTCAGTTTTAGTAGTGCCAGATAGGAGCAGTAACAGCACGAGGAGCTCAGTCATATCAACTTCAGCCAATAACAGGCTAATTGAATGCCATAAAATGACTGCAACTCTTCCAGTGTAGCCAGAGTGGTTAATGATCAAATGTGTTGCGTTTAAATCAAAGATCCGGGGAAATAATTCCTACGTTTGTCGGAAATCTAAAAATTGCCTGTCGATCATAAAAAAAAATGCATACTAAGTAGGTGTTATATCTTTGCTCTCTACGTCCAGCCATTGGTTCGATATGTTAGCGACTAATATGAATTAAACCTGCAAATACCACAAAAGAAGTCAATGCCCAACCGATGTTTGAAATTTGCAAAAAAAAAAAGTCAATGCTAACAGCAACGGCTTTATTTTGATATGCAGGCACTCGGATAGCATTTCGTTAAAGCAATGAAAACTAGGTATATGGGATAGGCGGTGGCATTTTTTCATATAACATTTTGATATCGGGAGCATCATCGTCATCGTCTTTGTTCCGGGAAATGATGAGGTATGAAGACCTCGGGCTTGGCAATATTCCATTGACTGCTTGTCTGAATTGGAGCAAACACTCAAGTAACTTGAAATCATATGTATATATGATTTCAAGATCATCACAGAATAATGAGAAATCTGTTGAAGATGTAGGTCCTCTACGGTCGGGAAGGAGGCACTCATGACCAAGTCTTTCAGAACGGACAACTATACCAGAATTAGCTTCACCACTGATATTTTCGTTCGTCGCATCAGTTATTGTAAAAGTCTCTTCTTCGTAATCATCATTATTGAAGACGTACAGTGTTACTTTATCGCTTTGAAACTCAAAGTTGTATTCATATTTATCCTTTGGCCACTTGAGCACCACTCCCATTGCTGCCACATACACCGCTGCTTCGTCGAAGGAGAGTCGCTTATTATCAGAAATATAGTCTGTTTTCGTTCTAGGTTGATCTGCCGTGACGTACGCTATTAGCCCTGGCTGGTCATCCCAGTGCACACTTTGTGTCCATATCAGTAGTCTAAGCATCATCATCAGAAGCTCCACGCAGAACCATATGATACCTGAATTGCCATCGCTTGCATTTTGGACCGCTGTAAAGGATCCGATGTAGCCGACTAAAACCATAGCCGAGCCTATGAAGATCAAAATGAGCCAGAAAATTGATAAGAGGCGCTGTGTCATGGTAGGATCGGGCAATCTCCAGCCAGTGCTTTCAAAGTCGTAAACGTTTCGTGGCTTTGCCAGCCACGCGAGATAATATGGAATCGTGATAGCTTGCAAACTTAGCAAGAGTGTTCCAGTGCATCTCAATACTGGACCCCACAAGTATGTCTGGTCATTTCTTATGATATGGACGAAAGGCAGCATGCCCATGGCGGAAAACATAAGACACGACACAACAGCGTAGAAGAAATACCATGTTCCTTCGTCATCGAGTTTCAGTTCAACCTTGACTGTCCGGAATCCTTGATAATGCCTCATGTATGACAATCCAAAGATTGCGTCGATGTATGCATTTCCATATTGTCTATCGCCTTTCGAGAATAGATAATGAGCAACGCTGTATTTCCAGAGGAAATTGGTATCATCTGCCAACATAGCCGTCTTCATCCATTTATTGGGTAGAAGACTCATGAGTCCCCATTTTGCCGTTCCTAGACTACCAAACATTGACATCCCGCAAGCAGACGCATAAAGGAATCCGGAACTGTCGCTACGACCCATCTGTTTTTCTACCAGGTCTGTGGCGAAGACGGCGGCAAAGGCGCTGACGTCCTGAATACCATTTGTTAATGTTGAAACAAAACTAACGGTAGCGTTAGCCATTTGGATTCGGCGTTCGTAAGGGTTGCTCCCGCGGGAGGATAAATAGAACGATATGTTTAGCTTGATGGACAACGGTTATATACTTTTTGAAGCTTGATAACAACACACCCGATTTGTAATAGATGTAACAGTACCTATTTTTTCACAAGGCTGCATTGTGCCACTCATTTTCGTATTGCACCAAGTCTCTGGGCCATATTAAACATGTTGTACCTCAGTCAACAGAAGCTCTATTTAAGATCTTATCTATCTGCCTTGATTTAGCCCATCTATCCTGCTATTATTCAACATGAACTGACTGAGAATTCTTTAGACAATTGTTTATTGTAAGACCAAAGTTTTGTCAATATGGGAGACTGCTCAGCATTCTCCTTTGCAAACTAGATCATGCTATTTTTCCTAATATAACAGAATTTCTTTCTCGTATAGAGCAAGAAATTCGTGTGGTGAAGTGAAGAAATCCGAGACAGCAAAGTCTTCAGAACCAAGGGAACTGAGATATCCTTTTTTGTATGGCAGCAAAATTGGGGAAAGTGACTGCTAAAAAATTTGCGAATTTCAAGTTTCTTTTCTTCAGTGCCTTTTGGCTAAAGTTAACTGCGAACTGGAATCATGGTAAGTATTTTTCGAGAGCATGGGCTCGGTTCGAGGTTATGAAACAGAGTTGACCAATTGGAATATGTAGGGAAAAGCAAAGAAAACAAGAAAGTTTGCTGAAGTCAAGCGAATGCTCAATCCAAAAGATAGTCGATTGTAAGTTTCCTTGCTCTTTGGCACCTTTGTCGTCTTGATTCTGAACATTTTGAAAATCTAGGAAGGAGAACCAGGAGAAGCTGAAGAAGAAGGAAGAAGATAAGCAAAAGGAGGTTGTTCGCCATCTGTAAGTTCCTCGCTGACTTGTTGAATGAGTACCATTGCTTTGTCTAACACTTCATACTTGTCTTGTGCAGTCCTCAAGTCGCTTCGTCACTCTTCTTCAAATATAATTCTGCTTTAGGACCACCTTATCATGTCCTAGTTGATACCAATTTCATCAACTTTTCCATTCAGAACAAGCTTGAACTTGTCAGGTCCATGATGGATTGCTTGTTGGCTAAATGTAAGAATATACTTTTTTACAAAATTTGCTTCAGCTCAGACCTTTTTTTTCTTTTCTTGTACTCACAATTTTCCCAACTTCACCAGCTATTCCTTGTATTACGGATTGTGTTTTAGCGGAATTGGAGAAACTTGGACCAAAATATCGAATTGCTCTAAAGTAAGTGCATTAACATGATCATTCTACGTGTGGCCGAGAATACCCATTCCTACGGCCTACCCAACATTAGTGTGCACATCGCTAATCCTTTGCTTATAGGATCGCCCGTGATCCTCGATTCGAAAGACTTCCCTGCTCTCACAAGGGTACATACGCCGATGACTGCTTAGTTCAACGTATTATGCAACACAAGTGCTATATCGTGGCAACTTGCGATCGAGATCTCAAACGCCGTATTCGTAAGGTACCTGGTATCCCTATCATGTACATTTCCGCAAGAAAGTACGTGATTGAGAGACTCCCAGAGTTGGGCACCAACACCTTCTAGACGTATCAAGTATTTGTATTTTACATATCCCTTCTGCATAATTTGGTTTTTCTATACACTTCAATTGGCACACGGCGCACAAACACACTATCTTTTTCTCTTTCTCCAAGGTTCTTTTGACTACAACCTTTCCCTGTATATACGCCGTGTTATGATCGAGAAACAAACAACTAAAAGCATCACTGTAAAACCAAATTCACCGGATCCATTGTTTTTTTTTTTTTATTAAGATTTGGTGTTGGTGAGGGTCAGAGGAATAGATAGAGTTTGATATCTAGAAAATTCGCATAGTGGAGGACAATGCACTTCGGACACGAGATATTATGGCGAATGCGATGGGAGATTTGCGTTTGTACATTAGCAGGAAGAAAAGCAGAGCAACGACGATATTGACAAAAGCATGACGGAAAGCGGCCTGTTGCAGTGAATGAAAACAGTTAATATAGGAAAAAAAGGCATGCATGCCCTGATTCAGTCAACCGAATTTTACCTTAAGCACCCATCGCCAGGTATCCCAATTATCATCGTCCGAACCGGTCTCGCTGGTAGAGTTATTAGATTTTGCCAGACGCTGGCGGGTAGCATTACGTTCTACCAATTCTCCTTTCAGGTCGTCTATACGTGAATTGAGAGCAACGATCTCGTGTTGTAAATTTTCAAGAGCGCGCTTGGTTGCCGGCCCTAGCGCAACTACAGATGGAGCAGCTTGGTCATGTTTCATGGGGTTTGTCATAGCCCGTGCTATGTCAGGTAGATTGGAGCCAATTTCGGAAGTACTGGTTGACAACCGACGCTGAATCATAGCTTGACGTTGAGATATAGGTGCCTGCATAGGTGATGCGAGTTTTTGACTAGAGGTGGGAATAGGGGTATAGTCTGATGGTGGAAGTCGCATATGCGATATAGGCGTTTCAGCTCCGGCTCGAGAAGAGAGTGTATCTTCCTCGGACATTTGCTGACGATATTGTTGGACTCGTTGATATTTGACCGGTTCTTGTTGAGCCCATGGGTTGTCGGACTTCAGCAATGATTCTCGAGAAGCTTGGTGTGAAAGGGAATGGAACGACTCTGGTGCGGCAAAATATTGTCTGCCACTGCGACTGGGTCCTTGCTGAGTAACACTCGTAGTACTAGACAAAACAGGCGAATGAAACACTTGGCTTGCAGGTCTCGGTCGGTATTCGGACGAAGGGGATATGGCCCTGTGGTGTTGTTTGGAGCTTTTAAGTTGCTGTGGTGTCACAGTAGGCGACTTGGCCGATGAAATACTTTGAGGAGAGCGATATGGACGAGGACTTTGATCTTTCGCTGTTCTAGAGGCGGGTCGAGACGACGAGGTTGGCTGTTGAATTTGTCGCAGCAACTCAGAATCCCTTTCTATGGCACTCAAGTAAGCTCTCTCTTCCTCGTCGTTTTCGCTATAGTCTTCTGATACAGCACTATATTCTATTCCCCCAACAAGGTTTAATGGTGGCGTTACTCGCTCATCGCAACAACTGTTCGCATGTTCCCTTACCTCCTTCTTCATCATAGCTATCCGTCTCATCTCCTGAAGGTCGCATTGAAGAGAAAGCTTGTATAATGCTTTGGGCTTGTGTAACGTCATTTGATCTCTTCAAAGTCTTGGGAAGTGAAAGGAGAAATGGCATTAGCAATCATCACGGGGGAGAGTATCAGGTCAAGATTCTATGTACCTCAGTCGCAACATTTAACAATGTCTCGACGTACATCCTTTTGGCTTCCAAGGAACTCATGCCTTCCAAACGTTTCCATGCATCCCTAATATGAAAGAAAGACTCCAATGTTTTAGAGGACCGGCCGTGCAATGGAAATTTTTGACACAGTTATTACCATTTTGCTCGACCTACGACATCCCATACTCCCGGTCGTGACCCAACAATATCGCCTTCTGACGCTTGTTTGAATAGACCATACAACTACCGAGTGGATAGAAAGATTTGTAATTGGTTTTAGAACGAAACAGTAAGCTTGTTTAGCAGTCCGGCTACCCACTTACTCGAAGCTTTTCTTCTTTTGTAGGCTGAAAGCTGGATGAAGCAGGCAAATGTTCGACAATGGATAAGGCTTTGGTGAATCGCTGGTTAATGTAGTGTTCAGAAGTAATATGAGCCATTAGGAAGGAGCACGCGATGAACAAGGTCAAATGGGATGCTTAAACCAATTTCTCGACCAAAACCCCACACTTAGGTCCACCTTCACGTGCCACTTTCCCAAACCTTCATGTTGGTCAAATACACATTACTCATTTTTATCATTAATGCTATCTCATGTTGGACATTAGCGAGTGCCGGCCCAGTCATCATGGAGGAATCTCCAGCGTTTGCTGCTAGGCAAGCTCGTCAAATCGTTCAAGAAGAGGGTGAGCTTCAATGAAAGGTCGAACGCTGGTTCACCGACACAGTCGCTGGACTACTGCATAATTTATCCCTCCTCTTTCTCACACATGAATGATTTGGTTCTTTCAGGCATTGGAACTTTGATCACTTTAATGGATCGTTCCGTTCAACCAGAGTTTGAATCCATGCCTTTTGGCATCATGGAATATTATGCAGATACGGGAGCTGGTGATCTGTTACTTCTCATGTCTGATCTCCAGGTACATAGTGCAGATGCGGTGGTCGTATTTTGGTGTTCCTACAGTAAAGAATGCTTCGCCTGGTGAATTCTTACATCATACTCATCTTTAACACTGGAACAGGTCAATGTGAGAAATGCCGTAAAGTTTCCTTTTGTCTCGTTCTCCATCAAAGTATCCGATAAAAGCAAACACCGCAATGGCCAATATGCGGTCGAAAACCCACGCATGACTTTGATGGGTAAACTACATAGGTTGCCTGGTTCAGAGGTATAAAGTATACAGCTCAACATAGTAATGAGCGAGCGTCATGGTTAATGCTCATTGCCTCTTAGTATCCAAGCGCATATGATCGATTTACAGCTGTACACCCTGATTCGCGATGGTGGTATGTCATTCTATTTTCTCTTTATTTGCATTCCCACCGGCTGTAGAAGGAATCTAGCTGACACTTGTGTCTCAGGGCACCTAAAAACGAGTCTTCTGGAGGCGGATTTCATGATTTTCGGTACTATACTCTCAAAGTCTCTGGGCTTTATGTGATCAATGGGTTTGGAGGAGCTCATTATGTTGGATGGATGAATGAGACGCTATATCATTCACCTCATTTGATTCAAGGGCCTCTCCTGACTGAGCAGGTAGTGTAGTGGAGCAATCCGAGGAAGACCAGTCACACTTCGTTGGGGCAGTCCGTTGCCGATATTTTTCGATAGCACAAATTTTAAAGCATCCCGAGGTGACTGGAAAGGGTTAACTTGATGCTATAAGGTGTCTCGTCAAAGTTATTCAATAAATGTGCATCCATTGCTTGTTCAATATGTTGTGAGATAATATTTAAGTGGATGCGTGTGTGAGCCTTGTCAGAGCCGGAAGAGCCGGGCAGCACCGTGCGAATCAGGCCCAATCAACGGTGACGTCTCCTGTTGCGGGAAACATAATTTTCTTCATGTTTTCGCCCCAGTGTTTCCCGCTGTATCTTTCACTTATATATCAACATGCTTAGACTGGTTGCATCAAAGTCTCCTCTGGCTACCGTATGTCATTTGCCCCAGGTTATGCCATTAGCGGTATTCTCGCACTAATCCTATTTCTTCAAAGATTGCCGCCCGCAACAGCGTTCAAGCTGTCAAAGCCCCCGTCGCCAACGGCTTCTACCGTTTCTACAGCACTTCTTCTGGTAAATGCACTCTCAATTTGACAACAACCGTATCATAATCTCCATACTTATTGAACATCACTTGTTTTTACTCAGATGAATACGACGTTGTCGTCATTGGTGGAGGTCCTGGTGGTTATCCTGCTGCCATTAAGGCTGCTCAGTCCGGCCTGAAGGTGGGGATTGCAATGGCTACACTTTGAACGAAGAACGTTCCGTAAATTGACTAATCCGTATGTTCCAGGTTGCCTGTATTGAAAAGCGCGGTTCTCTTGGTGGTACCTGCTTGAACGTCGGTTGTATCCCCTCCAAGGCTATGTTGAACAACTCCCACATCTACCACCAAACTGCTCACGAGCTTAAGTCTCGCGGTATTGATGGTAAGTTTCGAAGAGATCTTTTGTACAAGAGAACTGCAGTAGTACCCTACTGTTCTGCAAAATTAGTCGGTTGTTAACACATAGCATTCCTTTTGTGTAGTTGGTGATGTCAAGCTCAACCTCGACAACATGCTTAAGGCTAAGCTTAAGGCTGTCAACGGTCTTACTAAGGGTGTTGAATTCCTTTTCAAGAAGTATAAGGTGCGTTACTAATTCTTCCTTTTTGGTTCTATTCTCCAAGACACACCGCTGACTAACATTCTGTGATGATGTTAGGTTGACTATGTCAAGGGTTGGGGCAAGTTCAAGACCGCCAACGAAATTGAAGTTGATGGTTTGGATGGCAAGCAATCCGTCCTTAAGACTAAGAATGTCATCATTGCCACTGGCTCTGAAGCCACTCCCATCCCCGGTATCGAAATTGATGAGAAGCAAATTGTCACCTCCACTGGTGCCCTTGAGCTTCAAAAGGTTCCCAAGAAGATGATTGTCATCGGTGGTGGTGTCATTGGTCTCGAGCTTGGATCTGTTTGGTCTCGTCTTGGTGCCGAAGTCACCGTTGTCGAATACCTTGGTGCCATTGGCGGTGGTATGGACACTGAACTTGCGTAAGTTATCAATGGACCACCTGGTTTCAGAATGGTTTGGTACCGTATAATTTACCTATGTTCGTTTTTTTTTTTACAGCAAGAACTTCCACAAGGTTTTGCAAAAGCAAGGCTTCAAGTTCAAGCTCAACACCAAGGTCAACGGTGCCAAGGTTGTTGACGGTGTCGTCAAGGTTGATGTTGAAGCCGCCAAGGGCGGTAACGAAGAGACCGTGAGTTTACCCTCTCGATTATTTGTTCAAAATGTCCATTTCACCCCCTTACTGAAAATCTGTTGCTCTAGTTGGATGCTGATGTCGTTCTTCTCTCCATTGGTCGTCGTCCCTTCACTGAAGGTCTTGGCCTTGAAAACGTCGGTGTTGAGGTTGATAACCGTGGCCGCATTGTCATCGACTCCGAGTTCAAGACCAACGTTTCTAACATTAGATGTATTGGTGATGTTACTTTCGGACCTATGTTGGCCCACAAGGCTGAAGATGAAGGTTTCGCTGTCTCTGAGATGATCGCTACTGGCCACGGTCACGTCAACTATGACGTTATTCCCTCTGTCATCTACACTCACCCCGAAATCGCATGGGTTGGTAAGAACGAAGAAGAATTGAAGAAGGCTGGTATCAAGTACAAGACTGGTAACTACCCCTTCGTTGCCAACTCCCGTGCCCGTACCAACGATGATACCGATGGTTTCGTCAAGGTTATCACTGATGCTGAAACTGACAGAATTCTCGGTGTTCACATCATGGGTCCCAACGCTGGTGAAATGATTGCTGAAGCTGGTCTTGCCATGGAATATGGTGCTAGTGCTGAAGATGTTGGCAGAACCTGCCACGCACATCCTGTAAGTGAATGAAAATAGACCTTTTTTGCATACTATCCATTTGACTGACCCTTTCCCCAATCAGACCCTTTCTGAGGCCTTCCGCGAGGCTTGCTTGATCGCATCCTTCGGCAATGCTATCAACTTCTAAAGTAGACTTGAGATTGTAGATAAGCAAAAACGACGAAAACAAAAATTCTAAATCAAAAACCCAAACTCTCTCTTCATAATTTCTATTCATTCACAACCACTTTTTATAAAATGAAGGACCCCCCTTTCATGGGTTTTTTTTAAGCGTACCATTTAAATTTTCGTGTGAAAGGGCATAACTCTGTGAACGGTTTTTTTTTTTTTTTCTTTACTTCCCTCCTAATCACTACCGCAGCTCGAGATGGTCATTCAACAGCCAAGCAATCAGATCAAGTGAGAACACCTTGTACTCTTCCTTTATAAACAAGCCTTGTACTAATGCTTTGATAGACTCACCAACGTTTCCATAGTGCGACTTCGTAAAGGTGGCAAGCGCTTCGAAATCGCATGTTATAAGAATAAAGTTATGGAATGGCGATCTAATGTGTAAGCATTGCACTATATCATGCTGACAGCGTCTATCAACTATGTGGCCTATCTTACTGACTGCTGTCAAACTTGCAGAGAGACTGACTTGGATGAAGTACTCCAGATCCATAATATATTCCTCAACGTCTCAAAGGGACAAGTGGCTAGTAAAGACGATCTCAACAAGTGCTTCAAAACCGACGATCAAGACAAGATAATACAAGAGGTAAGCTGTCAGTTCACTAGGCTGCTTCTGAAAGACGTTGCTTGTGTAGTACGGTGACTAACCATGCTGTATCAGATTTTGAAAAAGGGTGAAATGCAAGTCTCAGAAAAGGAGCGATCCAACCAACTCGATACCATGTGGAGAGATATCGCCACGATTGTTGCCGATAACTGTATCAACCCGCAAACCAAGCGTCCGTACACAGTTACTATGATCGAGAAAGCTATGCATGATTTGCATCTCAGTGTAAATCCTAACCGAAGCAGCAAATCACAAGCTTTGGATGTTATCAAGCAATTGCAGGAGAAGAAGGAAATGCCTATTCAAAGAGCACAGATGCGAGTCAGAATTACCATGGCACAGACAAAGGAGACCAAGAAACTCAGAGAAAAGATGGCGCCTCTGTTGGCTAACGTCGAAGACGAAGATTTCGCTGGGGACGAATACGAATTGGTAAGAGGAAGAGAAAGCAAGTGACAATAATCAACGGGTTACTAAGTTTGGTGGGTGGGTATATCTCTTTATTATCATCTAGGTCGCTTTGATTGATCCTGGAAAGTACAAGGTGATCAATGAATTGCTGCAGGCGGATACAAAGGGCAGAGCTACAATTGAAATCATGAGCTTGCGTGAGACAGAGGAAGGTGATGAGAAATTTTAGACGTTAATAAATTGTATCATATTGTTTTTAAAAAACTGGCGAGTTCAAAATGAATAGCATGTCTTCATGCTTTTTGATCCATCGCAGCAAATGATTGGAGCTGGTGATGACCGTGGATTTTGGCACGGTAGCATTGAACACAACATAGAGCTCGAACGAAGAAGTGATCTAAGAGTTGTTGAATGGAAATCAATACAGGTCCATCTTGACGCAGTTGTATACATTTAAATTTCACTCACCCATCCTAGAATAGATTCATGCTCTCCCGCCAAATAATATAGCTTCAACGGTCGTGTCTTGGAATGCAGGCGATCATGACTACGCTGATAAAGACGGTGTAGGCTTAATAATCATGAAACCAAGTGTTGGAGAGAATTAGTATCTGTGAAAAGTTTCCCATTTAACGCTTTCTACGAGTACACCTACCGACGCCGGTTGACTGGGTTCGTATACGGAGCCTCTAACTCGGGACAGGTGAACTGTATATGCATCTTAGACTTATAAATAAAGTGTCGCAGAGCCGGTATTCCAATGTCACTGGCAGAATATGATTCATCAGCGGCCTGCTGCAACTTCAGCAGTGCACCAGAGCTCGTCAAAGTCTATGATGAACATAGCAGGGTCAGATTCATCATCATGCACCATCCTTTTTCCTCGAACCCTTCCATCCACTTACCTCTACAATCTGCTTCTTCCAATCGCTCAACTCGAAAAAGCTATCCTTATTTGTGCTTATCATGACAACAGCTGTGTCTCTTTCTATATAGCAAATGTAGGCATGAAGAAATCCCTTGGAGTTGAGTTTTGGAAGGCAAAGCGGGGTCCACGATTCTGCGGTCCGAAAGGTTGTTGATCCAGTCAACATATTAAACAGTAAATGTAAATCTACCATGAGAAAGATGGTCGGTCATTGATGATCGAATGGTTAGGCGGTGGATTTTTGTAGCAATTTTACCTGAAGGGTGAAGACTGTGCTTCCTAGGCCGTAACAGAGTGACCAGCTTGCCGTTGGACACAATGATAGCATATAATAGATCCTAATCAAACAACGTTGTTGTGAGTGATCGTCTTCATCGTCATTGTCAATGAACTAGTTGCTATACCTTGGGACGTCCATCGGCGAGCGCGTTCCCAATTTGATCTCTCAACGTTTTTGAGACTCTCAAGCACTGTAAGGCTCCCAGCATGAACCCGTGATCATTATTAAAGAGAGTCGAAAGACTGTCCAAAAACACTTCTGTACCTGTGGAACCACATGTCAGCTGGCTCAGATAGGGTCATCATGTCTTTAAAGTTTGCAAGCATATGGGTGGTGCTTACCACTGAGTAAGCGCCTGAGGTCGAAGTTGATGCGCTGTTCAAAGATTTTGGTAAGCTGCAGACTGGTTAGAACGCTCAAGATTTGACTATGCAAGTATAATAATTGATCTCGCAAATGTGCTTCGGATTCTCCTGTCTTAGCCACGGCCACAAGATACAGTGGATCTTTTAGTTGAAAGACAAATTTGTGATGTCCAGCGTTCATGCATCTGCAGAACGATGTAAGCTCTTCTAGTACTATCTTGAGATAACTTCCTAATGATACTCTGCCTATCACTTACTTTACACTATCGTCGTCAGCTTGGAAAAATGAAATGATTGCTTGGATGACACCCATTAGAGATGAAATGCCTGCTTCATCACCATATCTTTAGAGAAAAAGGCTCAGTTGAACTTCAATTGACGGACAATCTCTCATTTCCCCTACATACCTTGTCCATATGGGCTTTCCTGCGCTACTCAGTATGAAAAAGTGCTTCTTATGTCGAGACCATGTCTTCGTGTCGGGGTCTGGAAATCAACTTGAGGTTTGAGGCACGTCTTTCTCGACAGGTAACCAACATTAAGCACGAGTTATGGTACCTTCATTCATGACTTGCTTCTGACTGTCTTTGGATATCGACTGCGATCGGCCAGGACGAGTTGCCAGTACAGAACTTCGTGATCCTTGCCTCTTCAGCTTATTGTACATTTTATTGTTTTCGCTCAAGCTTGATCCTATAGAGGACGAAGAATCGAGAGATGTAGATAGCTCTTGCTCCTGTTGATCGGTCATGGTGGGGGAATTTTGGCAAGATTGCAGGACGGTGTGAAGCTAGTGGGTTAAAAACGTATGACGTCGGGCGTTGTTTCGATGCTTGTTTCTCCAAAAAGCCAAGCCAAACTCCTAATAAATTTTCGAACGTAGTATTTTTTCCAAACGCTTTTGTTCTTCGAAACACCCTTTTCAAATCAAATTAGTCTCATTCTTGTATAAGAAAGCAAGCTGGAATCCACCTGCTCGCTTGTTACAAGCTTGCTCTGATTAATATACACTACTCCTTTTGACATAATTGCTTACAAGGTAGGATTCCACTTTGAGATCCGGCGCTTTGCTGGTAGTAGTAGCGCTGATCATATACCCTAGGTTTACCGCTTCCAGAGATCAGTAGACCAGTCTAGCAATCATGAAGATTAAAAAGACGCCTTCTAAAAAGCTGACCCCACCCGTAAGTCCCGCGCTGCCGTTGTTCAACGTGTAAGCATGGTCAAAGGAACCGCAGTCATACTCATGCCCCATTGTTGTTCATAGCCCAAACGCCTACGCGATTTGATCAAGCAGCTAACTGACTGCGACGAGAGCGACATACCTACATATACCGCATCGCTTCCCGAATGGTCGTTTCCACGTGGCGATCTGTTTCTTTGGATACCCGTCCTGAATCGCTTTGACAGCATTTTAGAACGCATTTGCACCGAATATAATCTCGATAAAATACAAGAAAGGGAATTTGATAACCCAACCAAAGTTATCATCATTTCGATCGTTCACTTCACTCGTCTCTTGATCGAAAGCTGTACAAATAGGAACATATACAACTCATACGAGGTAAGACACACGCCGCCGCCCTTTGCTGTTGTTCTCGTCAGCCCATTCTCATGTATCCCTGACCTTTCTTGCAGCATTTGAACAAACTACTCAACACCATCGACCTTGATGTTTTGGAAGCAGTTCTGCGTTTGATTTTAAGACCAGCTCAGCGCATGAGCAGCCAACGGAACATTCGATCTGGGTTCTCTTTGTCGCACGATAAAATAACAGAGTTGGCTCGTGGATGGCATTTTTCAAAGCCTCTTGGAAACCTCGATCTGTTGTCACTGTGTGATGATGACTTACAAGTAACACCTGAGATGGCAACGGTCCGATTGCAGTTCTTTCGAACCGCAGATGCGAAACAGAAGGATAGCAAACCTCTGGAAGAAAGCACAGCGCCAACTACAGACGAACCCTCTAATGAGGAAGGTGTTATTGTCATTACTGCTCAGATGTCGAAAGATTCTACCACCTCGGAAACCGACGAATTTAAGCGACTGGTTGAAGAGCATGCCATACCAGCAGAATATCATTTTGAGCTAGCCCATCGTATTCGCATTGCCAAGCGCCTTTACCAACCCGAATTACGGAAGCGGTTATTGGCTATTCGGCTGTTGTCCATTGCCATCATGTGTAAGTTTACCTACAGGTCGTGATTCTCATGTACTACTGCGGCTAATAGCACATTTTGATCGCAGCACATACCGTATCTGAAGCCATGGCTCAAAACCGTGTCTTTATGTATGAACCCAGTCTGATCAACAACTTGGCAGACCTCATTCATCCAGAAAAGAATGCTCCATTGGTAAGTCTTCATATCTGCTGAGCATTTCTTTGTGATGACATGGACGGAATCCCTCATATCTATTTTTGTGCATAGACTGTTCAAGCCGCTGCATTGTACGCATTAGATGCCATAGCAAGACACAGAAGCAAGCTGAGTGAAGTGCTAACCGCTGCCAATGCTTCTGCAAACCATGGAACTCTACTTTACATCTTGAGGAAGGTGACCGTTGCCATGGATAGCGATGATGGTAAGCTGTCATACACGAAAGAATTGGGAGAAAATGTGAACATGCGTTTTAAACCGTCTTTTCTCTTTGCTGAACTCTCAGCCTATTACCCACAAGACTTTTTGGACGCCTTGTTTGCTTTTGTGACATATCTGATTCAAACACAAAGCGGTGGCCAGATGCTTATGTCCGCTGGCATCATTCCCACTCTATTGACCATTCTTGGAAACAAGAAGATCAATCAGTTAAAGGTATATTATCATACGTATGGGCATACTGTTCTGCTTTGAGCTTCATGCTGAGCTTTCCATCTCTTACAGAATGTGACAAAGTCAGTTGGTTTACTGGATAGCATTGTTTATGGATTTGCTGCCTCGTTCTCTGCATTCTGCAACGCTGGCGGTTTAGATAGTCTTGTCAGTCGTATCAAGGTATGCATCAAACATCAACATGGGATCCTATCGACCCAGATGCACATTCACTTACGCTTTCTTTTCATCAATAGATTGAAGTAGACTATTGTACAGAATTAGCAGCATCGCGTAAGAAGGACTCCATGGAAGATGTGCAAGATCAAAACGACGAAGAAACTTGCACCCCAGAAGAAGCTGCCGTCGATGAAATTAATAATGCTGCGGCTCCTCATGAAAGGACGGCTTTGCTCAAGGCCATGTTCAAATTCGTTCTACACATGATGGAATCCTCCGGTACCGCTGACGGTCTTCGAAACTTGATTGACTCATCACTTCCCCTGTCTTTGAAGTCTGTGGTTGAGCAGCCACAGGTCTTTGGTAACAGCGTATTTGCTCTTGGTAAGCGATCCTTTTTGAAGGATGTACCGTCGGATGCCCATTTCATGTGTGACTAACGGGTTGTGTTATTTTATTTTAGCCATCAACGTGATGTCAACCTTCATTCATAACGAACCTACCTCTCTGCCTATCTTGCAAGAGGCTAAGCTCCCACAAAGCTTCTTAAGTACCATTACAGAATACACCACCGTATCAACAGATGTAAGCTTCATTTCATTGGCGTGTTGTCTCAAATGGGTTGTGAACTCATTCATCCGATTTATAGGTTCTTCTTGCTGCTTCCAATGCATTTGGTGCCATCTGTTTAAATGCACCTGGCCTTGAAATGTTCAACAGTGCAAAGCCCATCCATCATTTCTTCAATCTCTTCACATCACCTCAGTTTTTGCGAGCGAATGGTGAGCTCGATGTAGCAACATTGCTCGGTACAGCCATGGACGAGCTTATGCGTCATCATCCTGTATTGAAGCCCGATGTCATCCAGGCTGTCATTGATATGGCGAAGCGTGTCATTGAGATGGGTCATCAGGAAATTGGCAAACCTGCTGATGATAGCCATTTGCTACGAGCCGCCAAACCTGGAGAACCCGAAAAACCAGCAAGCGCCGTCATGGAATCCACTGAGTCAGAGGACGCTACCAAGAGTTCTGCAGACCCTAAACCTACGGATGCTGTACCTGACGATAAAGACAAGAAGGATTGTGTCTTGGTGTCTTTTATCGATGTTGTGGCCAGAGTAAGTGGCTATTCCATCCATCATGACAATCGATTGACGTACTGTTGACTAATTTACCACTGTTCGTGCTTCTAGTTCCTTGAAGGCTTGTTTCAGAATAATGCCCACTGCAGAGACTTCACATCAGAAGGCGGCTTGGAGATTCTTTTGGACATTTATTCTTTGCCTATGTTGCCCGGTGATTTTGCTGTATCCATAGCATCTGATTCGTTATCCTACCTCTTCCGATTGATCAGTGAAGTCAACTCTGCCACAACGATTAAGATCATCCTTAAGCGCCTGCGAGTGGCTTTGGAGAATGCCTCCGACTTCCTGGATAATGATTCACCAAAAAGCATGATTGTTGACTTTATTGACCTCAAAGGTAATGTTCACTTTTTGGAAATCTGATCTATTCTATAGGAATTCTCTAATCTTTCAATTCGTACAGAAACGGAGCCAGCAGAAATTGATCGCGCCAACAAGATGTTCCGAAAGCTTGTTGAATTGCATGGGTTCAGCACTTTGCTCTCCAACATTTGTACATCTCCCGTCTTTTCACATGGAAAGAATGGCGTTGCTATTGTGCAAGAATTTGTGTCGCAAACAGAAGAGCCCAATATTTTGTTGCTGCTTGGCAAGCTTCACCGGTAAGCGTTGAATGCATGCATATGGCGATAGTTAATCATTTGGCTAATTTATGAACACCTTATCAGATCTGCTGCTTTTGAGAACTTCCTTCTTCGTAGTGCAGTGCCAAAGGCTTGGTATAGCTTGAAGAATTTACAAAAGAAAGCCTCTGCTACTGCAAACGACCACCCACTCGGCATTAGCGGCTTTGGTCTGAGTAACACCGACCTCACCAGTGAAGCGTCATCCACTCCAACTGTTGACAAGCAACCCACCGCTGAACCTGGTAATCGACGTATGGAGCCTACAGAAACTCGATTGCATAATACCAATCAGTTCCGAAATGTTCTTACCGATATGTGCGCATGTTTGATGCCCATTTTCCAAGGTTAGTAAATCCAGAAAGAAATCTTATACAGAGGTGGTGGTGAACTCAACTGTTTATTATTTGCTATAGGTCTCACCAAGATGTCTGTTACACGTCGACTTATGGACAATGATCAAAAGAAGGAAGCTTTCAAATTGGCTGAATTGATGTCTACCGTTATCAAGGAAAATATCACATTTGAGAGGATATGTAAGTGTTTTGTAAGGAACTGGACGTTACATTTGCCCCACATACCCATTAACACAATCAAATCAACAGACAAGGCATCTGAATCATGCCGCTATAGCTACATTGCATCCATGACTACAATGACATCCTTACTGCTCATGGACGGTAAGCAATTGTGAATTTTATTATCTTTGCACGTAAAGTGACTATTTTCTCATCTTCTTTTCCACGTATAGATCGCTCCCAGCCTGTCTTGCAGACTGTTTTGGTAGTCACTTTCGATCGACAAAACGGACCTCGGTGCTTTTTCGATACACTTAAGGTGCTTTGGACAGAAGCAACAAAGCTGGTTGAGATCCCAGAAAGTGAACGCAGCGAAGATCAAAAAGACAAGCAGAAAGAATTAGAGCGCGGTATCGAAACCATTCTCAATATCATGTCACAGCTTGGCTCTTCGAAATACTTGCATGATTCTCCTTACACTGGCTCAATCGCCTCCAAGGAAAAAGATCGCACGAGTCCCAATTATTTCAATCCACATGAATGGTTGATTTCTATGCGCCTGCAATTACTTCCCATACTTCGAGAACTTTGGAATACACCCAATATGAAAAAGTTTCCCAAGGGTGTTGTGCGAGACATCATCAAGAATATGGTACAGCTCATCAAAGGTGACGGCGAGTCTGATATACAGTCTACTTCACTTTCCATTGGCCCTGCGAGCTCCAACGTCCGCCTCACCTCCTCTATATTCGCACCTCCACGATCAACGCCTGTTGCCGATGAGACTCACATTCAGACTCTCATCGATATGGGTTTTGAACGAGCATCAGCAGAACAAGCCCTGATTCGTTGCAACAATCAGATTTCTCGAGCCATTGATTATTTGTTCAGTCACCCTCAGCCATTCTTGAACACTGGTGCGAACGCCATCACCTCCGAACGTAGTCGTCGTATAGGCAGCCAAGCTACCGATAGTCAGGCTGCTCCATCCGACGGTGAAGGAGAGAATCAAGACAATGATGAGCATGAAGATGACGATGATGAGCACGACGACGTCGATGATTCAGATGAAGAAGACGACGACGACGACGATGATGATGAAGAAGTGGATGGGGCTGAAATTCTTCAAAGAGCACTCCGTATGTCTATGGAAACACCAGAAAGAAACAGCGACCTTGACACTGACGAAGACGATGATGCCCCGTTCCGATCTGAGGATGAACAAGACGATGAAACCACACAAGCTGCAGCACAAAAGTTGAAGGAAGAACAAGAAGCTCGCATCGAAGAACTGGCTGTGCAGAGAAAACAGTTACGTGATGAGATTGCTGCCAAGATCATATCACTTCTTGATAGTCGTGAAGACATCATCTTCGAAATCAAGGACCTTTGTCTTGTGGTTCATAAATTCAGCGGCTCAGACGGCATTGTTGAAGAACTTGCAAAGTACGTTGAGCAGAATCAAGATCTCGATTATGAACAATCTGACGCCAGCGAGAGAATGCGTACCACTTTGCGTCTGCTCGCTTTGCTCTTCCGTGAAAACACCATGCATGCCGCTTTGGACAGTTTCGCCCCTAAACTCATTCCCGTCCTCCTAAAGATGTTTGAGAGTGTTTCCAACTTGGAAGCCGACAAGCCTTTGCCATCCTGGCTTGCTGCCCTCTGTCTTGTTCTGGAAGTGCTCATCGCAGCACAAGAAGAACCTCGCAGTGTCCCACTGGAGACAGACCGTCAAGCTGCCTTGAAGAAGGAGATTGAAGCTGGCAAGAGCTTAAAGGAGGCTGAAGCTGCTGTACCGAAAGATACAGAAGTGGAGATGGATACTGACGAAACAGCTACTCTGGATGCTCAACGTGTCACGATGCTGACAGCGTGTGTGAAGTTATTACATCAACCTAATCCTGCCAAGGATGATTTACATGCTATCCTTCGAATCCTGGTCAGAGTTACGCGGAACCATGAAACCGCTTCCAGCTTTGTTCAGCAAGGTGGTCTACAACTTCTTTTGGAACTTCCAAGACATGGCCTGGATGGATTCAGAGGTCAACAAGCTTTTATCATCATTATCCTTCGCAATATCATTGAAGACTTGGATGTCATTGAAGAGACTATGAAAGACCTAATTACCACCTGGTTCACCATACCTAGACCACGCCTAGTAGACATTGCTACCTTTGTTCGTACCAATGGACATGTTGCCCTTCGACAGCCCAATGTCTTCATCAAGGTCGTAGAGCGCATTTGTCGTTTGACCAAGTATGACCCTACCGGGCGCTCTCAACAAATTGGACTGGCCCCAAAGACAGATGACAAAGAAGCAACTGAAACAGCCAAAGACGCCTCTGGCGATGTCGAGATGACCACCAGCGAGCCAACAGAAGCTGACGTTGCTCAAGCTGCAGCTGCTGCTCAAGAAAGAAAAGCGAAATGCGCAGAGCTTGTCATCAACCACCTTGTTACAGAGTTGATGAATGTTCGTGTTCAAATGTTCGAACCTGTGAAAATGGACGAAGAGGAAACCGAAGAAAACAAAGAAGAACTCGAGAAGAAGCGAACTTCCATTGTGAATGGAAGATACGTGTACGCTGGTTTCCTTCTGCAATGTCTAGTGGAATTGGTGTCATCCTATCCCAGCTGCAAGTACTATGTCATCAAGCACCACCTCCGCCGAAACAGCAAAGATGGCTCTACATCATCCTCTGCTAAATGGAGAGACAATGGGTTTATCAACATGTTGTTGAATGATTTCTTACCTTATGGGCAACTGAACCCAACGGAAGATAGCAGCCGCCTGAAATACAGTTTGTCTACCTGGACTGCTTCTGTGCTGGTTGCCATGTGCTACGACAACGCAAGCCAAAATGAAGGACAAGAACCTCAGAAATCAGATCTTTCCGTTGTTCGTAAATCTGTCCTGGATGGCATTCTACGAAGTTTCAAGGAAGCTATTTCTTCCACTGATGCTATTTCTGTACAGTATGGAAAATATCTTGCCTTTGCCGATTTGTGTCATCGCATTTTGAACGCTTCACCCAACTCTGGCGGCCCGCTTCAAAAGCCCAAAGAAGACACTCCTATCAACATTGCCAAAATCATGTTGGACAAGGGGTTTGTCGCCGTTCTCACCAATGCTGTCAGTGATGTTGATGTTAACTATCCACATGCGAAAACAGTTTTGAATGCACTTTTGCGTCCGCTGGAACAACTCACCAAGATCGCTATCAAGATTGAGCGAACAGATGAGCCATCTAAAGACGATAAGAAGGCTGCTGAGGAAGATCATCACGCTGAATTTGTTGCGGTACCAGATTCTGTTGCTGATGAAGAAGACGAAGCACCCGATCTCTATAGAAACTCTGCATTGGGCATGTACGATGGCTCTGTGATGGAAGAAGAAGACGATGATGAAATGGAATCTGACGATGATGAAGACGGGTAAGTATCACACACACACACACATCTATATATTGGGACAAATTCTAATAACTTCTATGCATCAGATTCGACGAAGATGAGTTTGATCAAGACAATGACAGCGACCTCAGCGAAATGAGTGACCTTAGCGATGATGAAGACGATGATGATGATGATATCGAAGACGAAGACATGATGCATCGACATCATTATCACTCTGGCATGGAAGATGACGAGGTTAGTACTGGTTTCTCTGACCTATACATTCATTTCATAACCTTGATTTATATCAAGCATATCTTCATGGCCATTGAACTAAACATGATGTATACTCAAATGTTATTAGGATGAAATGGACGAAGATGACGATGCCGAAATGATTTCTGACGACGAAGCCGAGGAGATCATTGATGATGATGAAGACGTTGACGACTCGGATGACGATGAAGAAGGTGGCAATCGTGAAATGACCTGGCACCTGGAAGACATTACCGATCAAAACGAGCCTATTATTCGTTTGCATACTGAACTCGATGATGATGACCACGAACATCATCACCATCACAGACGACATGCCGATCCATTTGATGAGGTAAGTGTAGTCTGCCGTCGGCTCACCTTTGGAAAAGAAAAAAAAAAAAAAACTTAATATATTAACATGCATCATTATAGGATCAGGAAGATGATTTAAACACGCTTGACACATCTGACTTTGATGAGGATGACGAGTCTGAAAATGTGGACGACGATGATATCGAAGCAGAAATTACTGAAGGTGTTTTCGATGACGATATTTTGGAAAATCCTTTCCTTGTTCCCCATGAATTGGACGACGGTATTGCTGGAGCTGAGACAGATGGCTGGGCACGTGCCAGTCGTTCTCTAGGCACTCATCGTCGACATGCTCGTGGTCTTCATTCTATCGCCAGACGAGGCGGTTGGGAAACCTCTATGCCGCCCATCCAATTAGAAGCTGTCACTGGGCGAGGTGTAGATCGCGCACCATTATTCGACATGGGCTCCGTTCAAGTGGTTGGCCGTTCATTCCGTGACCACCCTGGCGGCGGCTCGGGTGGCAACAATGATGAAATTGTCACGCATCCTTTGCTTGCCAATCGACCAGGAGGCTCCTCCGGCTTTGGGGACTCTGATACCCAACGAGGTCGTCGCAGCCATGGATTCAGTAACCTTCAGGCATTTGAAGACATTTTGGGTGGCAGCGCTGTTCAAGTCCTAGAGAATTTGCTCAACAACCGTGCCGGTGGAGGAGGTTCAGGCGGTGCTTACCGAGTCGATGTCTATAATAATGGTACCGGCCAAGTCACCAGCAGCTTTGAACTTGACCGCATGCCTGGATCCTCTGGTCCTGCATCAGGTAATCAGCGTGGACAGCATTCTGCCCAGGAAACCGAAGCGTGGTCTGCTCTCCAAGATTTCCAACCCTTGAATTCCTCAGAACGCTGGTTGCAAGAAGGAAGAATGTTGTATGGCTCAGCGCTTACTGACAAGGCTGGAAAGTTGTTCAATGCTATTTCCAACGCTCTCATTCCTCATGCTATTGAAGATGACAAGCGAAAGCGTGTTGCTGAAGAAGAAGCCAGAGCAGAACAACGGCGCAAGGAAGAGGAAGAGCGCCGTAAGGCTGAAGAAGAACAAAAGCGCAAGGAGGAGGAAGAGCGCAAGTTGAAGGCAGAGGAAGCCAAGGCTGCTGCTGAAGCGTCGGCTTCAGGCACTGAACCCGCTTCTGAAGAATCACCTGCCGCTCAAGCACCTGCACCTCAAGAAAAATCAGAACCCAGTCAACCGCCAACTACCATCATGATCAATGGTGAAGAAGTGGATATTTCTGGTACCGGTATTGATATTGAGTTCTTGGAAGCTTTGCCTGACGATCTTCGTCGCGAAGTTGTCAATCAGCATATACAAGAGCGCCAGCCTCCTGCCCCAACAACAGAGACAGAATCCATCAGCCCTGAATTCTTGAATGCCTTACCACCGGAAATTCGTGAGGAAGTACTTCAGCAAGAGGCGATTGAACGTGAGCGCCGAGAAAGACAACGTCAACAGGGCATCACCAGCACTCAGGCTAGCACGGCTGGTACAAGCACTACCAATCTTTTGACACCTTTGGATGCATTTGCCAACGAATTTGAAGCTCTACTCAACTCTAGCGGCTCTAATGCGGATACCAGTGCTTTCCAAACGCGTCTCATTCGCAGATCCCCCGGTCGCTTGCCTCATAGTCCAATAGCTGCCGCAGCCACTCAGACCAAGACCAGTCACCGAAAAGATGTGATTCAATTAGTTGACCGGGCACAGCTTGCTACGCTTGTTCGACTTTTGTTTGTTCCTCAGGCTATTTCCAAAGGATTGCTCAACAAGTTACTCTTGAATCTTTGTGAAAATAGTAAGAGTAGAGGCGACTTGCTGTCCCTTCTCATTTGTATTCTTCAAGATGGCAGTGCTGATTTGGCTGCAGTCGATCGAAGCTTTGCTCAACTTTCTTTGCAATCCAAGAGCTCGGTCAAGGTTCAAAAAGCAAAGGCCAACTCAGCTTCGGCCACCACCGTTGCTGGAGAAAGCGTTCCCAACCTGGTTACGCAGCGCTGCTTAGAAGCTCTCATCTATATTGTGTCTTGTAACAGCCATACTCTGACGTATTTCTTGACTGAAAATGACCATCTTTCGACCATGAAGAAGGTGAATGTCAAGAAAACGAAAGGAAAAGAGAAGGATAAGCATGCCCTCAGCAAGTATCCTATCGTAGTTCTCATGAGCCTGCTTGACCGTCCTGTGTTCACTTCGAACTCTGGTCTAATGGAACAACTCATGCATTTCTTGGCGACTATTTGCCGACCACTTCCAGCTTTGGTCAAGAAGACCGAGGAAAAAGAAGAAAGCAAAAACAAACCAGTACCAGCTGCTGCTGAGGAGCAGTCGAAGGACAAGACTACTGCTGGTGATGCTCAACCCCCCACCAAACCTGAGGAATCCGCAAAGACTGAAGGCCACGGCACCTCTCACAAATATCTGCCAAAACCACCCGTCATTCCCGAGGCGTCTATCAAGATGATTGTTCATGTGCTTACTACTGGCGAATGCTCAAGTCGTACTTTCCAATATACTTTGAACGTCATATCGCATCTTTCAGCTTTGGATGGCGCTCAACAGGTGATCACGAAAGAGCTGGTTGCGGACGCAAGTCAATCTGGAGTGCAAATTCGCGAGGACTTGAAGGAACTTCATGCCGTCATGGAAAACACAATGTCTGGTGTAGATATCCAGGGAACTACTCTAACCAAGTTTTCACCAGCCTCTTCCCAGCAAGCCAAATTGTTACGTGTGCTAAAAACCATCGATTACATGTATTCACGAAAACAGAACTTGGAGGCAAAGTCAAAGGATGCTACTGATTTGGTCCAAAAGAACGAAGAGCGCATCTTGAAGATTTACGACGAACTCGAATTTGGTCCGATGTGGCGACTTTTGGGCTCTTGCTTATCTGTTGTACACGAGAAAGAAGAAATGATCAATGTTGCCACGGTGCTTTTACCTCTTATCGAAGCTTTCATGGTTGTCTCCAAATATGTTGCTGAGAAGGGATCTCAAAAGGCTCTCGCCACAGCGTCCACTACCCCATCTGTAGAAATACCTATTCCGGATGCTTTTGAAGAGGAGTTCTTCTTCAGATTTACTGAAGATCACAAGAAAATCCTTAATATTATGGTTCGCAACAATCCATCCTTGATGAGTGGCTCCTTCTCTCTGCTCGTCAAGAACCCCAAGATGCTGGAGTTTGATAACAAGCGCAACTACTTTAATCAACAACTACACAAGCGTACCAACCGTGATCATTACCCCTCTTTGCAACTCAACGTGCGTAGACAATACGTATTTGAGGATTCTTATCATCAATTACAAGGTCGTAGCGGTGATGAAATCAAGTTTGGAAAGTTGACTGTTCGCTTCTACGATGAAGAAGGTGTAGATGCCGGTGGTGTGTCTCGAGAATGGTTTTCTGTTCTGGCTCGACAAATGTTTGATCCAAATTACGCCTTGTTCAAAACATCCGCTGCCGACAAACTTACCTACCAACCCAATCGTGCATCGTGGGCCAATCCCGATCATCTTTCCTTCTTCAAATTTGTTGGGCGTGTTATCGGTAAAGCTATTTATGATGGTCGCCTATTGGATGCTTATTTCACTCGATCTTTCTATAAGCATATTCTTGGACGTGCAGTCGATTACCGAGATGTAGAAGCAATCGACCCAGAGTATTACAAGAGTTTGGTCTGGATGTTGGAGAACGACATTACCGATATCATTGATTTGACGTTCAGCGTGGAAACGGATGATTTTGGTAATAAGAAGGAGATCGATTTGTTGCCAAATGGACGTGATATACCCGTCACGGAAGAAAATAAGCAAGAATATGTCAAGCTCATTACCGAACAAAAGCTCACTGTGGCCATTAAAGACCAAATCAACGCTTTCCTCGATGGATTCCACGATATCATTTCTGAACAACTCATCAGCATTTTTAATGAACAAGAACTGGAATTACTCATTTCTGGCATGCCAGATATCGATATAGACGACTGGAAAAACAATACTGAATATCAAGGCTACTCACAGGCTTCACCTCAAATCAACTGGTTCTGGAGAGCGGTTCGCAGCTTTGATCAAGAAGAGCGTGCCAAATTGTTACAATTTGCTACAGGTACTTCCAAGGTTCCACTTGAAGGATTTGCTCACCTCCAAGGGTCCGGTGGTACTCAAAAGTTCCAGATCCATTGTCAATACTCCACCAACCGACTTCCCAGTGCTCACACCTGCTTTAATCAAGTCGACCTTCCTCAGTACGAATCGTATGAAGGACTTCGGGCTAATCTCTTAACGGCCATAAGAGAATGCTCTACAGGATTTGGATTTGGATAGATAAAGTAGTTAACAACTCGCTTTTTATTTTACATCATTTTTCTTCCCTGTGTTTTGCTTTGTTTTCTTCTTCGTCAATAACTGTACCATGCTTCCTTTACCCGTTCTTTCTACATGTCACCAACACCTCACTTTTTTATTTTATTTTTCTCAAAATTGCAATTCAAACTGTTCCTATACTGCGCTGTATGCTTTTGGAGGGAGTGCGCGTCTGTTATTTTCCAAGCCAATTTAATCTCAAGCCATCATTTCAAAGTCCGCGTGGACTTTTTCAAACTTGTTACCTCGCTAAAGCCAACCGTTCCTCGCTACTTTGTACCCTTTTTTCAACACTTCGATAGCAAACCTCGGTTCTAGTCAACATGTCGATGAGAGGGCTGACCGTTTTCATCGCCGACATTAGAAATTGTAAGTAGTAACCGTTGCATGCCACATCTGCCACCTCACAAGGCTTGAACCGCACCCCACCATCCTTCATCTCGAGGATTTCTCAATCATGATGAATGTTCCAAGCCCACCGCCTTACTACTCATACTATGTTTGCTAATGCTTCCTGTTTTAAGGTCGAGTGAGAGAACTTGAAGAAAAGCGAATAAACAAAGAGATGGCCAACATTCGCTCGAAATTCAAAGGTGAATGCCTCCGTCTTTAGCTTGCCATAGTCGACGCTCTCCCATTAACCGTCATTGTTCACAAACAGAGGGAAATCTCAACGGCTATCAAAAGAAGAAATACGTTTGCAAGCTGTTGTACATGTATATCCTTGGTTGGGATATCGACTTCGGCCATATGGAGGCTGTCAACTTGATTGCCAGCACGAAGTACAGCGAGAAACAAATTGTACGTTCGGAGCACCATCGTCGTAATAGTGTTGGAAAGGATGTTAACATCGTTCATTTACAGGGTTATCTTGCAGTAACACTGCTGTTCCACGAAAACAGTGACCTTGTCAGATTGGTCGTCAACTCCATCAAGAAAGATTTGGACGATATGAATGAGATTTATAATTGCTTGGCGCTTCATGCTATTGCCAACATTGGAGGAAGAGAAATGGCGGAAACCCTTGCCTTGGACGTACATAGGCTTCTGATTTCTCCGTAAGTGTTGAATACGTTGTCGGTGTCATGAATACCTGGGGTCTAAACCCACATTGTTTTTCAGTACTTCTCGAAGCTTTGTCCAGAAGAAAGCGGCATTGACCATGCTCCGTCTCTTCCGTAAACACCCTGACGTTATTCCTGCTACGGACTGGGCTGATCGTGTCATTGCTCTGATGGATGAGTATGACTTGGTATGTAGAAAATTGGTCGACCCTGTTACATCAAGATGTACTAACAGCGCGTTGCACTTTTTTAATGTAGGGCGTTGCTCTTTCCGTTACAACTTTGGTGATGGCATTCGCTCAAACTTTTCCCGAGGAATATAAAGGATGCTATGTAAAAGCCCTTCAACGTCTGAAGCGAGTATGTTAAGCCATCACACACTTTTTTTGCTATTGTCGGTTGGCACGTTATTAATTTTATGCAAAACCTACAGATTCTGATAGACCGTGATTTCAGCTTGGATTATATCTATTACAAAGTACCTACGCCATGGCTTCAAGTTAAATGCTTGCGCTTATTACAATACTATCCTCCTCCAGGTAAGATGCATGCCGCTGTAGGAACCTGACGCGCCGTCGTAGTCTGCATACTGACCAGTCTGACTTGATTCTCATAGAGGATGCTGCTGTGCGAAATGAAATTAATGAACTACTTCAGGTTATTGTCAATAACTCTCAAGATACCCCCAAGAACGTACAGCATAACAATGCTCAAAATGCCGTTTTATTCGAAGCCATCAACTTGGCAATCCACCTTGATAGCAATTCCCAGATCTGTATGCAAGCAGCTGTGCTACTTGGCCGATTCATATCCTCCAAAGAAACCAATGTGCGCTATCTTGGTCTGGAAACCATGGCGCATCTTGCAGCTTGTGCAGATTCGCTAGAACCTATCAAAAAACATCAAGAGACCATCATTATGTCCTTGAGAGACAAGGATATTAGTGTTCGACGTCGCGGATTGGATCTTCTATACTCCATGTGCGACACCTCCAACTCAAAGGTCATCATTTCCGAATTGCTTCGCTATCTCCAGATTGCCGACTACACGCTTCGCGAAGAGATGGTTCTCAAGATTGCTATTTTGACCGAGAAATTTGCCACTGCTTACTCGTGGTATGTTGATATTATTCTGCAACTTATTTCTACTGCTGGAGACCATGTTGGCGAAGAAGTTTGGTTCCGCGTCGTTCAAATTGTCACCAACAATGAGGACCTTCAAGAATATGCCGCCAAGACGGTGCTCAATTACCTTCGATCACCTCAGTACAATGAAACCATGATCAAAGTTGGTGGCTATATCCTCGGTGAATTCGGTCATCTTATTGCCAACTCTTCTGGATGCAGTCCCATTGAACAATTCACAGCAGTTCACTCCAAGTTCAGCCTGTGCTCACTGCAGACCAGAGCACTTCTTCTCACCACTTATGTCAAGTTTGTTAATCTCTTCCCCGAGATTAAGAGTCAAGTGCTAACTGTGTTCAACCAATATCGACATGTTTTGGATTCAGAACTGCAACAAAGAGCTTGTGAATATATGGCCATATCAACCTTGCCTACGGACGATATGCTTCAAACTGTCTGCGAGGAAATGCCACCTTTCCCAGAAAGAGAATCCACCCTAGTTATCAAGTTGAATCAGAAGCAGGGCGATACAGAAGATAAACGAGTATGGGTTATTGGAGGAAAGGAAGCTAATTTGGAAAGGCGAGAGTCTATGAAGGCTAGAATGAGTTCGATCGATAGCATCTCCACACCCACGTCCTTCACTGCACCTGAGCCTAGACCTGCCACCACCACCAATGGGAATTCGCACATGATGTCTGCCGAACCTGATTTACTTGGTCTCGATGACCTCTCTATATCAACTCCTAACAACGTACAATTATCTTCCAATGATGTCCCTACGCCTGGTTTTGAACCTGGCTATCACAAATTGCAGCGCGCTGCTGAAGGCGTTCTCTTTGAAGATATGCATTTGCAAATTGGTTTGAAGTCAGAATACCACGGACACTTGGGTCGATTGGCATTGTACTTTGGAAACAAAACAGGGGCCACTCTGCAGAACTTCACTACCCAGATTGATAGCACTGAAGCACTCACTGTGATATCACCTACACCAGTGGCCAATGTCGTGGAAGCTAGATCTCAAGTACAACAGCTTCTCAACATTGAATGCAATGAATTTTTCCGAGAATCACCTGGTCTCCGAATATCTTATACATCACAAGCTACTGGACCTCAGCGACTCTTCATTAAACTACCGGTTGTTCTTACAAAATTCATGGAACCTATTCAATCCATGGATGGAAACAGCTTCTTCCAACGGTGGAAGCAAATTGGTGGAGCTCCACGAGAAAGCCAAGTTGTTTTCAAGTCTGGATCACAAAGTGGTATCAGCATTGAATCGGTTAGAAATATACTGGATGGTTATCGGTTTGGTCTGTTGGATGATGTTGATCCAAATCCCTCAAACTTTGTCGGTGCTGGTGTCGTTCATGGCGGTAAGGCAGGCAAAGTTGGAGCGCTCTTGCGCTTGGAGCCAAACATGGAGCAGCATGTAAGTATAGGCATATTTCTTTTTAGATCATGGGTGATCTACTAACTGCGTTTTTTTTTTTCAACTATGAATCACAGATGTACAGACTGACAGTGAGAACCACCAGTGAAATTGTTTCTGAGGAACTTAGAATCATATTGGAGCGATCATTGACTTACGATGCTTGAACAAAAATTGAAAGATAATAAATAATGACTTTGCTATGAACGTTTGCCTTCCTTGCTGAAAAGAACTTGCGTTGCATCGAAACTGAGCGAACTTTTTAAATAAATCCCGCCATTTTGTCGTAGAAATCAATTATGAAAAATCACATGACACGGACCCCCAGAAAAATGGCTCGTCCCTTGATATTTACTGTCAGACTTCTTGTCGACTCGTTCATTCAACCAAATCATGTTGCGTGCATTGACTAACAACGCCAGCATCAAGGCTGCTGCCTCTGCTCGTCATACTACTCGCTTGTTCAGCGTTAGTGCTTCCGCCTTGGTACGTATCCCCTCTATTGTCCTATGCGCGAGAAAAGCCTTGAACCTTAAAACTAAATGCTCTTTGTCAACAGCAAAAGTTCCGTACTGAGCGTGATACTTTTGGCGATCTCCAAGTTCCCTCTGAGAGCTTGTGGGGAGCTCAAACTCAAAGGTTAGATTTCAATTCACTTTTGAATCTGTCCGCTATTAATTATATTCACATGTATGTTTTTACTCAGATCATTGCAAAACTTCGATATTGGCGGTCCCCGTGAGCGTATGCCCGAGCCTTTGATCCGTGCTTTCGGTGTCTTGAAGAAGGCCGCTGCCAAGGTCAACGTCACCTATGGTTTGGACCCCAAGATCGGTGATGCCATTTCCCGCGCTGCTGACGAGGTAAAATTCGGTGTGTTTGGAAGCAGTGGTTGGTTGGACTTGTCAGAGAAGAGTGGATTTGGTAGAATATCTATATTGACATGCTATTGAGATACATAGGTCATTGACGGTACCTTAATTGAAGAGTTCCCTCTTGTCGTTTGGCAAACTGGTTCTGGAACCCAGACCAAGTAAGCTCGCGTTTCACTTTCGTCTAATGTTAGGCATACTGACCCATATGATCAAATTTTTTACTCTAGCATGAACGTCAACGAAGTCATTTCCAACCGTGCTATTCAGCTCATGGGCGGAGAATTGGGTTCCAAGAAGCCTGTTCACCCTAACGATCACGTCAACATGAGCCAGTCTTCCAACGATACCTTCCCTACCGCCATGCACGTTGCTGGTGTCATTGAAATTCAACACCGTCTTTTGCCTGCTATGACCAGCTTGCGCAACGCTTTCCAAGCCAAGTCGGATGAGTTCAACCACATCATCAAGATTGGACGCACTCACTTGCAGGATGCTACCCCCGTCACCCTTGGCCAAGAATTGTCTGGATACGTTACTCAGTTGAGCTTGGGTATTGAGCGTGTTAACGGATCTTTGAACAACCTTTACAAGCTCGCTCAAGGTGGTACTGCTGTTGGTACTGGTCTTAACACCCGTAAGGGATTCGATGAGAAGGTCGCCTCTGCCATTGCTGAGATCACCGGCTTGCCCTTCAAGACTGCTCCCAACAAGTTCGAAGCCCTTGCCGCTCACGATGCCGTCGTTGAAGCTCACGGTGCTCTTAACACTGTTGCTGTCTCTTTGATGAAGATTGCTAACGACATTCGTTTCCTCGGTTCCGGTCCTCGTTGCGGTCTTGGCGAGCTTTCCTTGCCCGAGAACGAACCCGGTTCCTCCATTATGCCTGGTAAGGTTAACCCTACCCAGTGTGAGGCTATGACTATGGTGTGCGCTCAGGTCATGGGTAATAACACCACTGTTTCCATTGCTGGTTCCAACGGTCACTTTGAGGTATGTTTTATCATTGAGCACGTTTGGATGGAAATCCTATATATATTAATCCTCTCATTTATATGGTTCTCTTTCTACTTTAGCTCAACGTTTTCAAGCCTGTCATGATTAAGAACCTTCTTCAATCCGTTCGTTTGTTGTCTGATGCTTGCGTCTCTTTCGAGAAGAACTGCGTTGTCGGTATCCAAGCCAACGAGGAGAAGATCAAGAAGATCATGAACGAGAGGTATGCACCGACATGGATGGAGTAACGAATTGCAACTTGGTTCTAACATGTATATGCACTTTCAATCAGTTTGATGTTGGTTACTGCTCTTAACCCCCATATCGGTAAGTTGTCATCTTGGTGATACTCTGCAAAGGTTGTGATTAACTCAGTATCTTCCATCTGGTAGGTTATGACAATGCTGCCAAGTGCGCTAAGAACGCTCACAAGAAGGGTATCACCCTCAAGGAGTCTGCTCTCGAGCTCGGTGTCCTTACCGAAGAACAATTCGACCAATGGGTCAGACCTGAGGATATGCTTGGTCCTAAATAAGTCGACGTTATTCCACATCAAATTTTCGCCCGCCATTCAAAACATCCCCGCCTCTTTTAAAAAATTAGAATAAAAAATTCAACCGTGTTGAAAACTGAAGCAACATTGCCTGCTGTTCTTTTTGCATTCTCATATCGCCTCAATAGCTAGCTATGGTACTTGAACATTGCACCTTGGTTTCAAGACAGAAACATGAGGCTGCTCAGTCAGTGCATTTCTGTCTTCGCGCCAAAGATCCATCGCCAGTGACCATTCGCAATCGATATGACGGTTCGAATCCACTAGAAATTGGAGTACTAGACTATGAATCCATCCTCAGTCGCAGACTAGCAAATCATTTGGTAGGGCGTTCATAAAAGTGTAGGGCGCAATAAACTGGACGCATTGTATTAATGCTTACATGTGCCTTACAGGTCACAGTAGGCCAGCACTTTGAGCAGCTAGTTGGCGGCAGAGAGCTTCAGGTAACGGTCGAACTCATTAATGGGTCGCAAGTACCGGGCTCATTCTTGATAAAACGCAATCACACACGAATGACGGTCACTGAATCCGATCAGGATGACAACCAAGTTCCGTGTGGTGGTATGGAGAAGCTCTATAATGTGATCTCCCATGTTATTTGTAAGTGATTAAAATTATGCCACAGCCTATTTTGCATTGGCTCAGTTATATTGTGTAGATGAATCTACAAACAAGATGCTGCCTGCCTTCCAAGCTCTTAATATACCCGTTACCAAAACTATCTTGATCCACGGTATTTCCGGCGTTGGAAAAACCACGCTTGTCAAGTAAGTATCGTGCAAATGTATAACCTCGCGACTAGGTTGATAAACTTTCTATTGTTTAGACATGTTGCTAGGAACTTGAAATACGCTACATATCACTACCATATACGAGAATTACTGGCTTTCTCCGAACAGTTTGACGAACCTAGCTTTGAGCATTTCAACACTCTGTATTTGACATTTAAGCGCGCTAGAGCGAATTCGCCCTCGATTATATTGATCAAAGGGCTCGACCTTTTCAGAATTGGTTAGTTCCATTCACGACTTGGGACTATCAAATGATGCCTTGGAGTACTCGCTAACAAATTACATGCATGCAGATTCAAAGGTGGAAGCCGCCAGTCGAAACTCCATACTCTCGTTATTGCGCAGATCAATCAAGAGCATACAACCTGAAGAACGGGTATGCTAATTTGACATAAGATGTTTTCAAAGAATCTATAACTGACAGCCATTGGCTTAGGTGTTTGTCGTTGGCCTGGCGACTGGACTGAAACAGTTGCCGGAACCATTGAGGTCTCTCGATATTTTCGACCAGCATGAGCATGTACCTATACCCACAAGGCAACTATCCCTTTATTATTGAATATTCTGCACATTTTTTAATCATCGCAACTAAATGACCTCCTTATCCAGACCACAGCGTGAATCGATTTTGAAAGCACTAATGATATACTATAATGTCAAGTTTGATATCCAAGATGAGGGCAGCAACTTGGAAGCTGTCATTTCTCGAATAAGCCAGGTACCAAAAATACCACATTTTCATAATACTGTACACAATGGCACTGACGATAGTATATTGTCTTTCAGAGGACATCCGGCTATGTGGCAAAGGATATCAAACTTCTACTAAGGTCAGCTGCCTTGCACTCCATGCGGAGGCCAAAGGCTAGCCAGCCTGACCAAGATATTTCTGCAGCATTGAATTCTCTATCTTTAGCAGACAAAACCGATAATGAGTACGCATTTGACCCAGTGTAAACCATTTGATTTGTCATTCGCTAACGCACACTCGTGTATAATTCAGCATCACCATTCAATGGCATGATGTTGAATATGCCTTGGAAAACTCTGCGCCATCTCAACAAGCTGGTTTCGAAACAACCATTGACAAACGTTCTTGGACCGATATAGGTGGGTATGCAAAACTGAAGAAAAAGTTACAACGAGCGGTCTTGTTGCCCATCAGCAACCCCGAAACATACAAAAAATTGGGTATCCCGCCGCCATCTGGAATTCTGCTTTTCGGTCCATCAGGTATATTTAAATAGCCATTGAAATCATCACTCGCAATCGAATTACAATAACCAGACCCTTTTTAAGGATGTGGAAAATCATTACTTGTGCAGGCACTTGCTTCTGAATCCACCATGAATGTCATTACCATTAAAGGGTAAGTGCCGGTAATTAGCTTCGACTGTTCTGATTGTTGTTTCATTGACACAATTTAATACAGGCCAGAGATATTTTCAAAATATTTGGGAGAAACAGAAGCTACCATTCGGAACCTTTTTGCAACCGCAAAGCGTGTTAACCCTTGTATTGTGTTTATTGATGAAATGGATTCTATCGCCTGCAAGAGAGGTTAGTGTGAGGATGGGGGTAGTGTAAGATACAATACTTACTCTTCTACCTCTCGCTGCATATAGGTTGGGATGCTGGTGAAGGTGGCAATAGCGTCAATGAACGTCTATTAAGTACTCTGCTTAATGAAATGGATGGTGTGGAAGGCAGACAAGGCGTATTTGTCATTGGATGTACTAATAGACCCGACCAGATTGATGATGCCATCTTACGACCAGGTTAGTTTTTCTTCATCTGAGCGCACTGACCGCTTGAACTGTTTACTGAAAGTCATTCTTAAGGGCGACTGGATTTACTCCTTCATGTTGACCTTCCTACCAAAGAAGATAGGCGGGATATCATTCAACTGATTATGTCTCGAATGTCGGTAGCAGAAGAGGTTTCTGTTGAACACATTGCTGAAGCAACTCGGTTCTGCACAGGTGCAGATTTGAACAGTATCTTTCGGTAAATGATAGTTTCATTGTTGTCTTTGGATTTTTTTTTTTTTTTCATGTCATGCTGATAACCGTCGTCGTATCGATTAGGGAGGCGGCGAGAACGGCGATACGAGAAGATGCGGATATCCCTTACATTTACCAGAGACACATTGAATCATCTATCGCACGTATACAAAGAAGAGCTGAGGGTCACGCTAATGATGGATCGCTGGATGTATTTCAAAAGTTTACCAATAGAGACATGCAATGATAATAGTAAAAACTGTAGATAGGCTGAGTCATTGTCGTCAATCAGAGCATGCATGCAAATAAAAAATCGTGGATGGTCCGTTATTTACCCGAGATAATGTACCAAAACGCATTCCAGGGACATGGATAGATTCTCCATCTTTGCTTGACATATCCTCTATTCGCTCCTTGATTTTTTCCAACTGCTTCGCGGATGGAACAGACCTTGCGGGCCAGTTGTGGAGGTTAAATCAATTGTCGAAGCTCAAATTAGGGGGTATGGCCATGTACTCCACTACTGTGTTGAATGTGTCCATTGACTGTTATAACATCTTCATAAAAAGTCCAATTGTACATCACTGCAAATAATAAGGTTGCTAGCGTACAGTACTTCAACAGGTGGGTCTTCGGTAGTTGGACACGTAGATTTTTCCGATTAAAGTCTATTTTTATTGACGCGGCTCCTTAATTGACCTCCTCTACGGCAAAATTTGGGGATACTGGCTATTGTAGAATGCTAGATTTCAGCTTGTTCAGAAGCGATGGACAAGCAATGAAGCAGAGCACTGACGGTACAAACAACTGAAAATCAAAGATTGCACATCATTTTCAGTCTCAACAAAATATTTGAGTGTGTGCTACGGACGATGCTGTGATGCAGGGGCAGAATCGCGTAATAGCGTAAATTGCGTGATGCGGGTGATTCCATGGCGTCAATGTGAAGCTTTTTTTTTGTATAGCCTAAACAATAAAAACCTTTATTCCACACCTTCTTTCTAAGACCTCTTCGTCTTATCCTTGTGTTTAATACCCAACATGGTCCAGGTAGCATCGCCTACACCTTTGCCATGGAAATCACTCCTCGTGATCTGCGCCGTACGGCTGGCCGAACCCATCGCAGCAACAATGTGTTTTCCTTTTCTACCATTTGTGAGTACTATTCCAGACACTGTTGATCATATCCTAACCTGTCACTGACCACCATATTTTTAGATGGTTCGAGATTTTCATCTATCAGATAACCCGGATGATGTCGGTTACTACCTCGGCTGGATGGCGAGTTCCTTCTGCATCGCGCAATTCTTTACAAGTATGTCAACTGCTAAAAAATACTCAAATATAACGTGCAAATAAGAGCTAACCATGCCATTTAGCTATATTCTGGGGGTCCATCTCTGATAAATTTGGCCGTCGACCCATCATTCTCATTGGTTTGCTAGGAACAGCCATCACTAATACATTGTTTGGTTTCTCTACAAACTATAAGTACGCTCTAATCACAAGAACGCTGTGCGGAGCCGTCAATGCCAATATTGGAATTATCAGAAGTATGGTGGCCGAAATAACAAATCATTCCAATCATGCTCGAGCCTTCAGTCTTTTACCTCTCACCATGGGTGTTGGTACTGTGGCAGGTCCCATGCTTGGAGCTTTGTTTGTTCGACCAGTTGATCAGTTTCCCGGTCTATTTGAATGGCTCAACAATCCTGCCTTGACTCATTTCTTCCAAACTTACCCATATTCACTTCCGTGTATTATGGGCTCGACATTCTGCTTAACTGGCGCCATTTTCGGATATTTCAATCTCGAGGAGACCCTGCCCGGCAGAAGAGCACCCGATTTCGAAGAACGCTTTCATATTCAAAGTCCAGCCAATGCTACTGCCGATGAGACGACTGGTTTGCTCGGCAAAAACAAAAAGTTGAATTATGGTAATGGGGTAGAAGACGATGCTCCTGTTCCTGTCAAGGACAATAAATCAACCTATCTCGCTGCACTCACTCCGGACATCCAAAAGGTCATTTTCTCCTATGTTTTGATTTGCTGCACCGTCATCATGGAAACCGAGCTGTTTGCTCTATGGACGTGAGTAACTTGATTTGAAATCGGAAAAGGACAAAACCTTGGTATTAATTAAGTTTTCTTGTCGTTCCAGCACATCCGATGTCACTTCGGGAGGTCTTGGATTCAATTCCAAGAAACTAGGAACGGCTCTCACCATTTCAGGTGTGGGTATGATGTTCATGCAAGTTATCGTCTATCCTCGCCTCCAGCGTCGTTTCGGGACCATTCCACTATTTCGAACTATGCTGGCTGTTGCCACCGTTGTATTCTTTTCGCAAGGATTCATTCGAGAATTTGCGCAAAGACAAATGTACCAAGCGTTATGGACAGTTCTGGTCACGATTCTGTTCCTGAAGTCAGCCACTGTCTCCGTTATGTTCACCAGCTCCATGATCCTCGTGGCGAGCCATGGCGCCAACTCGGATAAGCGAGGGTAAGTGTGCATGATAACTGGCAACGGGAGCATTCCCCCACCCAATTGTACTGATCCCTTTTTTTTTTTTTTTTCTACATTTAAGCTTCATCAATGGTCTGGCTGAGACACTGGCTGCTGGCGTTCGTGGTATTGGACCAGCTCTCGGTGGTACTGCATACAGCTGGGCTCTCGGGGCAGAATACTTTCCACAATGGTTGCGATGGCAGTTTGTGTTCATCATGGTATCCGCAATCTGTTTTGCAAACTTCATCGAGAGTTGGTGGATTCGTGAACCATCCAGGCCCAAGCAACCACTCAACCAAGTTGTGATCATTGCCAAAACCGTTGAACAAGAGGAGGCAAGCATGGCCAACTAAAGTAGATATCTACACAGACAGACAACCAACCAACCATGGGTTATAGCATTAGATTCATTATATCCATCTGTAGATATCCTACATATACACACAAATGTAGCATTATGGTTATGCAACAAAACTCGAAGGTTTCTTATTTCAACTAAAAAAAAGGGGGAAGAACAATAGCACAGTATGAAACAAAATAGAATATTTGAAGTGGTGTACCGATGAAGGTTTTAAAATAATTTTTTTCAATTTTCTCCATCCCTCCATCAACGAGGAAAGAGCATTCAATGCACGTCTGGTTTTGTATGAGGAGTGGATTTTAGCAAGTACTGCTAAAAAATCATCTAGTGCTTGTTCTTGAATTTCACCAATGGGGCAAGCAGATCCATGGATCCAGCCTTCTTGAGGAAGTCGTGCTAATAACAGGCATTAGTTTAATTTCATCCATGTCGTTCAACTCATCGAAAAAAGCATCTTACCTCAAGGAGCTCAGTGGAGTTAGCTCTTGATCGGACATCAACGCATAGACAAACCGCTAAGAAACTCTTGAGTTCTCGCGAAAGCTTTTCGGGGGACTTGAGGGTAGGTGTGCCGTTGGTGGCAATAAGGTAAAGAGCCTTCAAAGGTTCTTCATCCAAGTACGGGGGCTCATTTTCAATCATTTCGATAGCCATAATACCAAGAGACCAAATATCAACCTTGGCACCATACTCCTTCTGCTTAACAACTTCTGGAGCCATCTGTAGAGGAATTGATATTTAATACCATCAACGCATATGGGCCGGCTAAGACCATACTTACCCAATAGGGAGTGCCAACCATGGTAGCACGCTTGTTCTTTTGATCAGTAAGCTTGGCACAGAAACCAAAATCACTGATCTTGACTTGACCGGCAGCGTTAAGCAAAATGTTATCAGACTTGATATCACGATGAATGATGTTCTGACAATGCAAATGGTAGAGACCACGGGTAGTCTCAAGGCAGACAGTAGCGATCTGTTGCTCAGTCATTGTGTTGTTGTCGATAACATCAGTCAATGCACCTCCCTCCATGAACTCCATGATAACCCACAATTCACTCTGCTTGACCAAATAAGAGTCAAGGAAGTTGACAATGTTAGGGTGCTGGGATTCCTTCATGACAAGAATTTCATTCACAATGAGTTCCTTGCGGGGTTGAAGTGCAAGGTCCATCTGCTTGATAGCGACCTTGTTGTTGGTGGACAATTCCACAGCGACATAAACTGATCCAGATGCTCTGATGGGAGCGGCGGAATATAGGTTAGATTGGCAATACGAAAAAGAGCAGATATCAAAAGTGTGCATTTATCCATACCCTTGACCAACACGCTTGATTCGCTTGAAACTTTCGTTAGGATCACCTGGACTGACGACAGAGCCTATAAGGTAAAAGTTCAGTTAGTGTGCGAGCGTCTTTTCTAGTGCCATTGGTTATTTCAACAACTTACGAAGCTTCTCCATAATTTGAGATTCGGTCATAGTGCTGATGCGCTGCTCTTGCTTCTTGGATGGAGTAGGAGCGGGAGGAGGAGCGGTAGCAGCCTCCTTGACCTTTTCTCTATCACGATGTTCCCGCTCTCTCTGACGTTCTCTTTCCTTGTCGCGATCTCGGCGTTCACGTTGCTCTCTATCTTGGGCAGTGCGCTCAGAAGTGGATGGATCACGAGGAGATGGCACACTGCTGGTTCTGACTGGCAAACGGTGAGGCTGTGCTCCATTGCCAGCGGGAGGAGTGCGGTCTCCAGGACGGGGGTATTGCGCTTGCGGTGGCTGTCTGTTGGTAGGGCTTACATCCCTAGGTGAGTAGCCAGTCTGGGAATACGAAAAGTTAGACAAAAGAAAGAACAATTGGACATATAAAATGCTGTGGAAGAGAGACGTACAGATGTTGAAGGCTTGGGTTCTCTAGGTATTTCAAGTGGACCGGGTGATCTTGATGGAGGTGGTCGCTGTGGAGGAGCACGGACCTAAATGTGACGAAAAAAAAAACCAACGGCATCAGCATTCTGTACGGTATACATATCACAGCCAGATAAACGCTAACATACGGATTTGACAGCCAATTCATCCATCATTTCATTGATATCTCTTTCAGGACCTCTGCCATTGGATCTATCATCGTAACCGTTCTGCTTTCCAGGCTTTGGAGCAGGTCTATGTGCTGTGAATGAATCGGATCGCAGCGGGCTTCCATGGCTAGAGGACGATTGGTTGTCTGACATCAAACCCATCCATCGATCCTCAGTTTCAACCGCTCCACGCAAAGTCGAAGAACCATACTCGTCCTGCTCTCGCTTGGTTTGTTCAGTGTAGAACTCCAAAACATCCAAAACGGCCTGTGGATTCTTTGCGGCATCTTCAGCTGTAATAGCTGAGCCTTTAAGCAATTTGGTCCATTGATCAGGCAAGCCCTAATGACAATACAATCAGCTTGAGGAAAACCATGAAAAGTAGTCAATGTGGATAACTTACAGTAAATGCGCCAGTGATAGGGTCAAAACCAACGTGGACTTCGTGAACAAAGTTGGTTGGGCCAGAAGTTCCAAGTGAGGATCGCTACAACAGGTATGAGTTTATATTGTTTCAAATCGGAGAGGTAGGATAATAGGTACATACGTTGTAAATTTCGTCCATCCAAGAGTACACTTCCTCATCATTCTTGCAAGAGATGTAATATGTCTTGTCTTTTGTGACGACCTCGAAACAGAATGGCTTGAGATCGGTACGCGTTACAGAATTGATCTCCTTCAAAAATATAAGAGCAACGCATTGTCCAGTTTGCTAAAGAAGAATACGGCGACAGATAAGAAGCATCAGCACATATTGGTCAAAGAATGGCAGTGTCATCAGATTTTCCATTTCAAGATGAGTTGTTACCTCGTTCCTGTGAAAAGTCAAGGTCTGATCTCGTAAAATACAAAAGCGCTTGGACCATATCCATGCCCTGAGGCCGTCTTCTTTAATGGACAGGTAACCCTCCTTGATAATCTCAGCCATTAGAGGAGAGTGGGTATAATTACAAAGAGGCAAAAGAACGGGTATCTGCAGAAGGCCGGAGTGTGGTTGGATACAAAAAAGTGGACTCTCGTGTAACATTGTATTAACGCACATATTTTTTTTATTACAACAGAGCCATCAACCCCACCATGCTCGCCGACACAAAGCCAAAGCTTATAACCAGCTTATTCGATGATGAGCTGGCTTGGTGCTTTACACTGTCTAGAACAGCACTGGGAACGGGAGGAGAAGCGGTGTGTGTTTGCATTAAAATCGAGCTGAAGTGATCCTTGCCTTCATCTACCATGGGTGCGCTAGAAGGTTGAGCAGCTGCATTGACCGAGTTGTCTGCTTTACCCACTATCTTGCCAATGCCCCATGGAATAGGGCTGCTTCCTGTAATCAAACTGGAATTTTAGAAATATTTCTTACCATATGCACTTGATCACTAGTTTGTCTTACCATCGGTGCGTCCACTCGTCTCGAACTCGGCTGAATCTTTGTGTGGAGCTTCAGCGGTGGTGCCATTCTCGCTAGCGATGGTGAATCGAGTAGTCCATTCATTATGCTTTCCTGAGTTCGATGTGAACATGAAAAAGTAGATAGGAGCTGGAATATCGACGGTCGGAACAGTCCATTTGTACTGTTGAGTTTTCCTGGCGTCCACTCCCTAATTTATTATATTATTAAATTAGTGACCGTGAATTTTTTAGCTGTGCTGTAATAATACTTACTGCAGCAACTGTGGCCAGTTTCACCTGCTTGTTATTGTCCCCCGTCATGAAATCTAAGAGGCCATTAGTTCACCCCATTGGTATCCATTGATCATATTACAACACCTACCTATGGTGAAGTTGGTCCAGTCGTCATCCAGGGTAGGAGCCAAGGTATCAGTCCCCCATTCAATGACATGCTCTTTGCCTGAAGTCCATACCGTGCCAGGTGATGGCTCGGATGGTAAAACGTTCGCAATAGCCACATGGGCTGTCAGTAACGCTGCGACAATGGAGTGAATAACATACATGGTAGAAATGAAATAAAAAACGAGAGTCTACATGAGCTTGAGCTTTATACTACTTCTCCTTTATGAAAACGGAACAAAGTCGACATTGAAATTTGTGGGTGTAAATTTTGGTGTTGGCTCTTTTCTGAACCTTTTTTGAAAAACTAGTCTCCTTGAGTGCCTTCCTTCATAGTAGTAATAAATACTCACTCTATGAAAATTTATGACCATTTAATTCAAATCCTCCGTCACAATATGATTTACTTTACAGAGCACTACTATTTACACATTTTCATCGGCTCATTCCACAAGCATTGACTCTATAGGGATAGGATCTTCATCTATACCTAGTTCATCCTAAAAAAGGCAAAAACAGTGTTATGGTGCAGGCCTCTACTGTTCGATGTCCGTAAATGTATACCTTGAAGTCACTCAATTTGCCCGGTAAATGTTCTGTCACGGTTTTGAAGATTTCATTGAACTTTGGCTTTCGTTAGTAATACATAACTACTGAAGTCCGCATGGGTTTAAATTGACTTACTAGCTTCTTTCGGGTTCTCCATAGTTTAAAGTTCGTATCGTATTCTTTTTCAATGCGTGCCTTGTCTTCAGAGCTAATTTGGTCCTTATCGCCTCGAAGTTGCGCTAGCCGGTCGGTCGTTGCCAAATTCTTTGCGTTTTTGTCCGTTAGTGATGAATTTCATGATAACATAACGAAGTTCTAGATCATATCAGATCAGATACTCACCTGTTCTCGCAATTGTGATAGTTGTTCTTGAGCTTCCAGGGTGGGCAACGTACTGTGCAGTTTCTTCAATTCTACAACATATTGTTGGTCAGCATAGCCGTTGGGACCCCAAAAATTAAAGATCATCTTCTTCTACACAGCTACGCACCATTGACCTTATTAACATGATTCTCCTTCAATTCCTTGAGTTTCTGTGTAAGCCTTTCTATCTGGTTGTCGAGTTGCCCAAGTTCCGCCGGTGACACGACCTCTTCATCATCCTGCATCAGTAAAACGTGCATTTAACCAACATGCCACATTCTTTAATACGCATTGAGGATCAATTTGGATGACACTTTACCTGTGCAATCGAGTAGATAACGGATTTACCATACGTCTTGGATATGGCTAGGTCTTGTTCGGCAAGCTTGTCCAACGCATGGGTTACACTGGCTTTGGTCAATGCTCCATTCAAATTCGTATGTATATCGGCTGCAGAGGTGAATTGAAGTTATGATTAGGCTCAGAAAATTTAGCTGCGTTGGACTATGTCAAAGATATTTACTGGCATTGTAGGGGCGGTTTGTTTTACGCAAATACCCGAGGACAAGATCCGCTGGTGAAGCGAGGGAAATCGAGAGACAGAAAGTTTAATTGCCAAGTACTTATGACCAGCATTTTCAGGTCGAGCGCTTACCATCCGCATCTCGAACTGCCCTTGGCTTATTTGATTTAGTCATGGCCGAAGCGCAGTAGCAGTAAGTTTGGCGCGTTATCATACTTTGCACACGCGATCTGCAAGATTGTAAGCAGTCACTTTTTTCCGCTGAGCGAAGTCGGTGTCTTCTTTCCTTTTTTTTTTTTTTTTTTGAAAGTTCGACGTACTCTAAATTGCACCAGCAGTTTACCTCATGCAACCTCAAAACGGTACTGGACAACCTCCAGAGAGCACGGAAGGAAATGCAATCGAATGTAATGGAGATACTGAAGTTAATGGGCTCTCCGTGCCCAGGGGTGAAGACTTAAAGCTGGAGCAAGTAGAAGAAGATTCCACTCATGAGCCCAAAGGTGCGGAAGAAAAGACGCACAACGATGGAATCCAGAGTATCAAGGAACGCATCATCAGCACGAGTCGACTACTGAAGATTCTAGAGAAGCAGCGCTCTGGTATGACTCAATCTTCATTATTACCGCTTACAATTGTCACATTTTTGACCAGGATTTTACTCCCCCAGATAACCAAGTCACCAATGAAAAGGTAATCGAGTTGGAGGCGCAAATTCGACAACTGGTTAAGGAAAAGGAAATAGCGTCCAAGCAAGTTGACAACCAGAGTATGGAACTTGAAAAACTCCGGAAAGCTCATCAACAGCAGTTGGATGAGTTGGCAGAAGTTAAAATCGAGAAAAATCGGATCAGCAAGGAGATCGACCAAGCTCTTCAAGACAAGGAAAAGGCAGAGAGTGCTAAACGAAGCTATGAGGTATGAAAGTCGAACGACATAATTCCCATGAAGGGTGAACTTTTTCGGTTTTTAACGTTTAATGTGGCATTGTAGATGCTTTGTGAGCAATTGAAAGCGCAGAACGCTGAACTAGGCGCAGGAATCACACCAGACGAAAAATTGAGAAAGGATGTGATAAAACTGTAAGTGGGCATAACCTAAGCGATCTGCTGCTTATGTGACTTAATCGCTGATTACATTGCACCTCTAGGAGAAGTCTCACAGACCAGTACAAGGCGCAGGCACAAAGCAACAGCATCGCACTGAAAGCAGAACAACAATCTAACCAAGCTACCACTTCGAAATTGGGCAACTTACAACAAAATGTAGACATGTTGGAAAAGCAAATAGCTGATCTGCGTGACGAAAATTCCGAATTGTCTCAGTCCAACGAAAGTTTGAATGAACAAATATTCGAAATGAATCTAAACCATCAAATGGAAATTAATGAATTGAAGGACCAATTGGAGCATGCGGAGCGAAGTCTGAAGGAGAAGGTAGAAGCTGATCAAAACCGCGACGATGCCACTTCAGCAAAGAACGACGCTATCGCTACAGCAATAAGTACCGAGAATGCCAAGAATCACACCAAAAAAGTAGAGGCATTTAAGAAGGAGCTGGCACAAGTCAAACAAGAACTATTGCAACAAACTAATCGCGCAGTTGCGTTGGACGAGAAGTTTAAATCGGCTAATGAGAAGAACAACCAGATAGAAAAGCTGAAGTCAGAGTTGAAGGAATCCAAACAAACAAATGAGAAATTGCAGAGAACCATAGAAGCTAACAAAAAGTCAACGGACGCCACTACCAAAGTTCAACAGCTCGAGCAACGGCTTGCCGACCTGCAGACCGAGTTATCCAAGGCACACGAGCAAGCCAATCGAATGAAAGCTCAAGCTGTGACTACCAGTATCAGCGATAAACAAGAAGCCAATGCCGATAAGTTCGCGGCTCTTCACGCTGAATATCAATTGGCGATGGTAGAAAACAAGTACCTCAAAAAAGCAAAGGTATGTTTTAGTCAAATGTTTTCATCTTGACCCATTCGGTATCTGACCTATGGTTTCACGTTTAGGATGTCTTGCAGGACAAGACGACTGATTTCCTCATTAGAATTGACGAGCTTGAGAAGCAGTTACGTGGATCTATTCAAGATGTTGTAAGTAATCATTCCTTGGCAGCATTTTTAACTGTCGCCGACTTCTAATCAAGTTACCATTTAGATAACGAATGGGGTTGATCTGTTAATGGACAAGGAGGTTCCGTTTGGAGGAACAGAACGGCAGGGAGCTCATACTGCTTTGGAACAAAGAGATATACCACAAATTACCAAAAGCCCTCTCACGCCATCTAAGCAGATAAAATCGGCTGAGGTTAACAAAGAGAATGTTCGAGCGAAGAAGGTAGTCGTTACAGAGGCTCCTGCTATATCACCCCGCAAGCGAAAAAGTATCAGTGTTGATATGGAGATCCCTGAAATTGCTAAGGCTGTGACTAAGAAACCTCGCAAGAAAGTCCAAGATAATGATAAAGAAGCCGTCGTTCCAATAACGGACTATACCAAATGTAAGCAAATACTTCAGCACCAGCCAGCATCGTCACTCTGCAACTGTAGCGTTACTGACATGTCTCTTAGTAATTAAAGATATTTTGACGTCGACATTGACATCGATTCCTGAAGACATGGTTCAGCATTTTGAGAGCGCTCGGATATACACTACGCTGAAAACGGATTTACTGTTGCACGCTCTGGATGCGGTATGCAGTGAACTCGATACTCACAATGTGATGCCAGAGACTGGTATTATATTTGAAGAAGAATTCGGTATTTCTGAATGGCTGGTTGTATCGCTTACGGATAGCCTGGATGTTCGAGAGAAGCGACTGATCTGGTTTTTGTATGCGCTAAGCAGCCTCAATCCCACGGTATGTAGAGTTAGGACAAACTTTTCTTAGATTGACTTGACACCACCTAACTAACTCTGTTTACTAGACTCGTTTTTTCGATCGCCTTTGCACTTGGCTATCAACTACAACTATAACACAATTGTCTGCTCATACAAGCAAAGCATGGTAAGTAAACTCGACTTATACCATACTGCCTTCATTCACTAACTGACTGTTCACAATATGTAGTCGCCTTAGTCGGATATTCATCAATCTATGCAAAGCGGCGGATGATCTGGGAAGGGCTCGAGTGTTTTGTTACGATCTGTTGCGCGAATCCACACCAACATTTCGGCCTGTAGTTATTTTGGCCAACTTTGCGTATTCATGGAACTCGACACTAGTTTTGACTTCAAGTACTCAACCGACACCCTTGCCTGGTAATGCATTCAAGCACTATCAACACCCACATATGACTGTTACTAACTTTTACTGGCTTTAGCGGATAACTTGATACTCAAGAGTGTCCAGTTGATTGTAAAGAAACTAGCACAAGATCACCTGCATGATCGAAGAGTGAGTATAACGGCGCGTGAACGTACATAAACATATATACTAACTTTCTTTTCAAAGATCGTTATTTCCTTGGCACACCTTCAAAAATGCTGCCAATGGCCTCCCCTACAACAAATTGGTAATTTGGTAGACTTTCTCGATGACTTGAGTAGCTCCATTCTGCACCCTGAGTTTCCAAAACTGAAAGATCAAGACCCTGGTAAGTGACCTGCGCGTCACATAACAGTCCTATGTTGAAGTTGTATTGACCCGTCATTTTTTGACACAGGCAAATTTCAAGAACATCGATTTAATGTTTTGAAGGCCACTGAGCTGGTTTACTATCAATACCGAGATTGGGAGTTTACGTATCAATCATTTATCTCCATGGTGGCGTACCCATTACTACAAGACGCGTTTTACATTGATTTTGCCCTGGAGCTGATCGGTACGTTGGGATGCGCAATTATCTTGCTGCATCCTCGCCCTATGATATATCTTATGTAGCCTCACGCTAATTATGTACTTACCAGGTGCTTTGGGAAGAAACGCATTGTACGACGCTCCTGAAGATAAACTAGGCCTCGCCGGATTGAGATCCGAGATGGCTAAAGCTCTGTCAATGAATGCGTCATCTATTGGTAAGCAATTTATTTAAACAGGTTTGGACACTATTTGACATGAGCGATATCCTAAAACAATCTTACAGACGAGTTCCAGCACCAAGTGTCAGCCGCCACTGCTTTACTTAACTTATCCAATGGCAAAGCTATTCTGGCGCGCCCTCTCATACAGTGGTACCGAGAGATGACATCTGAACATAAATCTAGACTTCCTGATCGTTTGACCAATGCTATCAAGTTCATCACCAAGGACACATACTAACCCTCCCTCCACACATACCTGTACATACACGTTCCGTGAAATAAATACATTACTTTACTATACCAGGATATATTGGACGTGCATAGATCAAACTCGTAGTAGAGCAGCGGTGAATTGTGGGGGGGGGGGTTAATTGGGCTGGCGTAATAGAGCTAATACAAGTTGTTCTGAGACTTTGTATGTCAACAAGCGCCTGCAAATCAGTCTCTCCTATGAAGTGATCATTACGCCAACCTGGCGCCTGGTTGAAACTTTTTGATCCGAAAGTTTGGACCAGTGGATGTATGAAAACCAGTTGTATTGGACGCTATTTTGAAGCTAATCAGAGATGATCTTTGTCTCGTTGTGTATCTTATGCATTGCAACACGTTCTAGAGGCGCAGATCATCAGCCCAGTAGAATCGAGTACAGTAAGACAGACCCCCCCCCATGATTTGGAGTATACGGTTAGCCCCTCCACTACTTTGTGAGTCGTAGCCACTACTGTTGTCTACTGCATGTCAACCGAACGCTCATTCGAGCACCACCGAGCCTTGAGGATAGTTGAAAAATGCGTATGTCTAAAAAGAAGTCCATCGTGTGGAGGGTTCTTTTTTCATTGCTTAAAAAATCACAAGAATATATTCCATAAAATGTACTGGTTGAACATCATTTCCTCATACCAACTTTGCCGAGCCAGTTAAGGCATGCATTGTAATACTGCATAGCTGAGATGGAAGACTGTTCTAGAATTGAGAGAACATCAATCAGAAGCATTTCCCAATGTGAAATAAAATCTTGGATCCCCTTCTAATAACCAATGGATCACCTGCACCGTGTTTATCGGGCCACAATGCAATGAAGGCAAGTTGGTTTTCTGATGGATGAGCCCCCTCATCGGAACAAGTCCGTGAGCAACAGCAGATCTTTTCCCTATGATAGTGTTGCACTGAAGAAATTGCCCAAAAAGAGGTATCCAAACAAGATGTTTTTTATAGAGCGATTGACGGAAAGAAAATGTGAGTAGAATCCACGGCCGATGGGCAAAAGGTTTGAGTGACCAATTTCAAATTTTTTGGTGGTGTTTTGACATCACGAAATTGTTGTCTCTCCTGCCAGATAATATCGACGTCACCAATTTAAACCATGTCTTTTTTTACGGCAGATTGGTAGCGTTACTCCATCGCACTTGCAATGTCAACACTCGGACGAACATTGAAGAACATCATGCGTGCTGGCCCTGCCAGCGCATGGAAGCAACTTAACACCATGGGCGACACTAAGTTTGGTGCATTAATAGGCACCGATGCCGTTGGCAACAAGTTCTTTGAGAACAATGATGAAATCTTCGGTATGCTGAATGCATGACGGCTAATGTCACGTCCAAACAACCCTTTCCATGCCTGCCTCTAACCTCATTTCTCATTCATTAGGCCGTGAGCGTTGGGTCGAGTACGCCAGCAGCGATCCTGATCCGGCTCAAGTTGCACCTGACTGGTAAGGGGATCATCAGCATTTTCCATTGAGTCCATCCCACACTCACGTTTTGCTTGCTTGTTCTATTCCAATAGGCACATGTGGCTCACCAAGTTCGTCCAAGAACCTCCTACTGAAATGAACATCCAGCCAAAGAAGTTCTGGGGTGAGCCAACTCCCAACTATACCGGCACCCGTAACGCCTATGTGCCATACAACACCGTCAGACCCAAATACAACGCCTGGGAGCCCGAGGTTAAGAGCAGAGAATAAATACACACAGTAGATCTTGATTTATAAACCCGTCTCGAAAAACAAATCAACCGTTTTGAATGTAACACCTTTTTACATATATTAAAAAAAAAAGTTCAAATATCAAACTGTCCCGGGGGGTTCATTTGGACATAGCCTTGATCAATTGGACTAGCGTTTGATTGACTGGAAGTTGAATATTTTTGTCGTTTGCTTGTCGACACAACCAGCCGTTAATGGCATCGATTTCAGTAGGACGTGAATTTCGAACATCCTGTAGCATGGAAGACGAATTGTGATTGGTATCACGACACACTTGTTGCACCTGGTTAAATAGATGATCTGCATGCTTGTGCTCAAACACTTGAGCGGCTTCACTGCATACTGAGCGCATCAAGGACATTGCTTCTGGACGATCAAGAAGCTGACCGTTGGGAACTTTTAGAATGGCGGTGAGAGGATTGATGCAAGCGTTCACCACCAGCTTGTCAATTTTACTATCCATCAGTGCATCCCACTCCAACAATTTTGCATTCATATCTGGAATGGTAGTTAATAACTTGAGGACATTGACGGTTTTACTTTGATCAGATGGCATGGCAGCCATCTCCATTCCACCTTCCCAATTATGATGCGTGATTTCAAAGTGACCTGATCGTTCGACACCATGTTTATTGACGCCAACTGCGACATTGGCGGAGGTGGCAGGAATGCCTGAGGCGTCCAGAGACTCTTTCCACGCCATGCCGTTTTCGAGAAATAGCGCCGTCGTCGACGGTATCCAGCGATGTTTGATAGATGTGAGAGCAGCCGTCGTATCCTGGGCTTTGGTGGTGACGATCAAATTCTCAATAGTGGAGGTTTGACTGGCGAGTTCTACCGACACGCCGGCGGTGATTAACGTAGGTTGTTGGCCGGACTTGGTGTACCGAATGCCGTTGAACAATGGACACAGATCGGCATGGCGAACAATTAGAGTGACATGGTGGCCGTTCTTAGCCAACAAGACCGAGACAAGGCAGCCAATGGCACCGGCACCGACAACGTGGAATCTGGACATGGTGATATGCGGACCCTAGTAGCGGGCGGGGATAACAGGCAAAAAAAATTCCAGTGGCTTTGGGAAGACGGACGGACGCCTGGGGGTTCGAGACATCATTTCCAATTCATTTTCCATTTCACTCATATAATGGCTGGACGTAACGAAGTACAAAGCCTCTACCGATCGTACCTACGATTGATTGCCGACTGGCCTGCCGATTTAGTTCGACCTAATCGAGATATGAAGAAGGTGCTGACAGCTCGAGTGCAAGAGATGTTTCGTCAGACCGACAACACCGCCGCTCAAGTGGATGTCGCCGAAGCACGACGACAGCTGGAGGCCTTGGAACGACTTTTGGCCAACGACTTCAAAGAAAAGGTAACTCCCAACCTAAACCATGACATGTATTCGTCCTATTGACCTCTTCTTTCACACAGTACCCATTGTCGGATAAAATTGTTTCACCCGCCAGTAATCCCAACTACTACTCCCGCCTGGTCGCGTCCCTTGAAGCACAAAAGACAGCAGGCAAGGGAGGCCCATTTGCGCGGTTTTTTGGCAAGAATTGAATACACCCACACCCCATTGTATTATAAATAGCGATCATTTTGTAAAAGACATATTTGAGCGAGTCTCAGCGCATTCGTTTTAATGAAAAAAGACCCAAGTTTTTGAATTAATACTTTTTTCGATGAGATATTTTTTTGTGGCTTTTTTTCGATGGTGATTTTTTTTCGGTTCGAGATACGCATGAAAAGTAGGAGAGACTATGTACAATAAAAACCGGATGAACAAGCACACTTTAGGTTGTGTAAAGTAAAGAAGGACACAGACATGTTGACTAACAAAAGTGAGAGAAAGAAAAAAAAAAGAAGAAAAAAAAAAAGAGAGAGGAAAGCTGGTGGGAATTGCGTAAGGTTAAGAGAAAGATGATATAGATCCAGCTAAAGAACAAACCCTTCATCTGGAGTATAGAAAGGCAATGACCACGTTCCGTTTGTTCCCCATTCATTCCCCTTCCAGCAAAGAGCGGTCGACACTTTTAGATCGGATAGGGAGAGGCCGACGAAGGAGCATCGTTAGTGAGGCCGTGGTGGTGGTGATGAAGAATGGAAGAAGAAGACTGACGAATGACAGGAGGTGGAGGCAAAAACAAATTAGTAGAGTTTGCCGAATCCGATTGCTGCGGTTGTTGTTGAGAGCCACCATCCTGCTGTCTACTGTCATAATAAGACGGCGATGAAGATGACAACGTGGCGGTCGAACTAGATGGTATAGAAGCAGATTTGGCTTGAGCTTGACCGCAGCGTTTGACCAACATGTGTCGTTTCAAAGCATCCTTACGACTGAAACGTTTGTCACAGAAATTACATGGAAAAGGTTTGACACTGAGATGAATGCGAGCGTGCCGCTTAAGGTCGTGATTACGATTGAAGGAGAGAGGACAATTATCACATTTGAACGGTCGTTCTGTGGCAGGGATTCTCCAGTGAGGCGTTCGGTGATTGGTGGAAGTTTGATTGGGTGGTTGTTGTGATTGCTGTTGTTGTTGCTGAAAAGTAACAGGGAAAGGATATCCAGATGGTTGCTTGGACGCATCTACATGTGGAGAGATATCGGTGGAAGATGAAGTAGATGATGGCGTAGGAGGAAGTTGCAGAGGTGACTGAACAGCATGGGGTCTTTGTTGTTGTTGATAGACCGGCGGAGGCCAGTGGGAAGTTGGCGGTGGCGAATATGGATTTGTAGAGTGATCAAACCAATAGTCGGATCGATTTGCAAATGGCTTACTGCCATCATCTTGATGTTCTATTTCACCTGTAGAATATCGTGGAGGGTATGGTTTCGATGGAGTTGGCCATCCTTGCTGCGAACTGTCATACCCCTGTGGGTATTCGTATGGAGACCGCTTGGACGGAGGGTGGTTAGAATACATTTCAGACGAAATAGAGAAAAAAAAGGACAAAAAAAAAAAAGAAATTGGTTCGCCTGAGGACGATTTCCTTTTTTTTTGAAGCGTTTTCCAAAGGAAAGAGAAGAGAAAAGAAAAGAAGAAGGGAAAAAGGTGTTAAAAGGGCCCGGTTTTGTTCGAGTTGTTGTGGCTGCTCGTTGTGTTCATTTCAACTTTAAACCTCTTTCTTCAGTTCTGAACCTATTCTTCGATTTCTTGTGACTCCTTCCACTACTTTCATTCTTCCTTTCCTTCTTGTGCCTCTCCCTCCCTCCAAACTTTCTTCGCATTCAATGTCCAGTTCCTGTCGCACGCTAGATAGTGGTGGCCTCGCCATACTCCCATTCAAGGCAATGTGGCGTTTCTTCTTTTTTTTTTCTCTATCCCCCCAAAAATCCTCAAACACACGCGTTGTGAGAAATCTCCAACCGTCTGCAACCAACCAGCCAAAAATCCTTATGTGGGGGTTTCTTTTTTATACATAAACAATGAGCTGACAAACGATGAGTTACCAATGACAACAAATATCAACAGCGAAAGGAAGAAAGAAAAAAAAAAGGTGTTAAGAATGAGTAATATAAGCGGAAAAGAAAGAGGGTAGAGAAATCTATTTAACAAGGTCAACGGCAAAGAAAGAAAACATTTGGGTTTGCGAAGTAGTGTTTACGAGAGAGAGCGAAGAGAGAAAGAAAAAAAAATAACTTAATGTATTAAAACAAGCTTTTCTGATCAGGTCGGTACAAATGACCAGTCTGATTTGGATTCAGTCCCGTCATGAGCATTGGACCAGCCATTAGGAGCAGCCGTATGGCTACCGGTATGGGTATTCCAAGATGAGCCTAATACAATAGGGTCCATTGTTAAATACTGTTTCTTGCCTTGTTCTCCCCTCTTGTCACTTACGTTGATTGGTATCCTCTGCAGGGGATGGTCTATGCGTATCGTGACTGACTGGACCTCCTCCAAGATAACTGAAGAGGGCAGGGTTGGAAGGGGCTGAAGAGAATGAGGAGGATCCACTACTACTGGCACGCATCAGAGGTGGTGGAGGGGTCCCATTCTGAGGTGTGACGAACCAGGATTTCGATCGCATGGGGGTGGAAGAACTGCTAGTAGGAGGTCGGACCACGATGCCTGCACTATTGGAGGTTTGTGGTAAAGGCTTAGCATCACGGTCGAGCATCGCTTCAGGCATAGATCTTGAACTGGCCATGGAACTGGTGGTATCCGTGGATGAAGAAGCAGTGGGGTGAGCCAAGTGATGAAGCAATGGTTCATTATCGTCATTGCCTGCCGTAGTAATATTGGGGCTAGTGTTGACGCCGGCTCCTCCATATTGACTTTGCAGCGGGTATAAATTACGAGGAGATGAAAGATCAAAGGTACCAGGTGGAGGATAATTGCCTAACAATGGTAAAGTGGTGTCCATGGGTCCAGAGAAGCTTGTATGCATGGTAGGTGGTGCGGGTGGATTATTGGATCCACCGATCGGTCCTTGGGTCCATATATCCGCGACCTGGGATGAAGATGGCATGGGTAAGGTTCGACCAAATGATAAATTGGTATTACGCACAGGTGTACTATGGTTTTGCTGAGGCATTAATCCAGTGACAGGATGGTCAGACACTGACATCTTATCAAAGATGGCTCTCAGATTGTCAGGTGAAGATGATGTGGATTCTCTAATAGGTTTCCAATGGGTATCAAAAGCATTACTGCTAGAATAGTCGAATAAACTATAAGTTGAAAAGGCCGAAGATGGAACAGTGACATCCGGTTGCGATGAACTAGTCGTCGTGCTGCTGGTACTTTGCAGTTGAGCACCAAACAACTTGTTGTTAAACGGTGCAAATGTTCCGGCAAAGGAATCACTTTTAGGTCGTTCCATGGTCGTAGTAGATTCTGGGTAGGTAGTAATTTGATAAGCATGAAGGTATTTCTTTAATACCGAGACAGCATTGGGAAGGGTGTCCATGGCGCTACAATTAAATTGGAAGGTGAACACATAATCCTGGCCATTGGTTTCAAGATCCGACTGAACACAGGCTGAAGATGAAGTAGGTGTCTCTGGTGACGAGATGGGAGTGGCATCCGATCGTGATAACGATGTTCGAGAAGAAGATCGCTTGTTGCCGGTCGAAGTGGACGGTTCCAATTCAAGATGCTCGTTACCAGCAGCTGTATCAGGAAGGTGGAGGTGGATGTTGAATTCCTGTCGAATACGATTCACCACCTTTTCCTTAAAGTCATCGGATCCTGTAACCACGCCAAGGGTTGTGGAATAAGGTACGCGTAGATAATATTCTTCTGGGATAAGTTCTGACAGTAACTGCGATGCTATAGAAAGTTGGGATTCTGGTCCATGTAGTACAACTGCGTCAGATGATAATTCTCGCTTGGGCCATCGGATTCTCGTATTGGTTCGTTGTTCGATATCGTGAATTTCTTGAGCATGATTCATGACCATAATTCGGTGGTATTGATGAGGTATGGTGATTTCTTTCGTCGTATAATCCTTGTCCTTGGAGCTGATCAATTCCATCACGGCATGGCGCAAATTATCCAGGTTGATCTGGTTTTTCATTGGCGTCCGAGCAACCACGTTGTCGTCATTATCATAATACCCGCCTAGCGCCGCAAACTCTTCAGCATTTGAAAACTTGACATAGACTCCATATTTTTTCATGATGCGTTGAATATTTTTGCCACCCACGCCGATGATACGTTTGTGATAAGCCTCGGGAACGTAAAACGAAATTTCAGCCGGCAATTCTTCCTGTAGCAGAGTCAAACCATCCAATGCCTTGACGAAGCTGGTACTTTGAACTTCAATCACGAAGTTGTATTCGCTGAACGGCAAAAATTTGATTTTGACACCCGACGTCTTCATGATTTTGTTAATTTTTCCGCTCTTTTTCCCGCTGATAAATTCACGTTGTTCATTTGATAGCTCCACAAGGAAGATGGTATCATGGTGGTAAACCTGGCAATGTTTAAAAAAAAAAAAAAAAGGATGGATGTTTAGACGACGAAAAAGACGATAGGGGTAAGAAAAAAGATAGATGACTGACCTTGAGTAGATTCATACCGTTTATATGCTGATAAACATTACGAATCGCCCGCTCAGAACCAATCACTTCAATGCTACCCGTTTCTGTCTTGTAGGCGACTTCAGCTCCGGAGATTTGAGATAATTGCAATACAAGAGTACTAAGGTTGGACATGGAATTGAAGAAGTTGGCGCCTTCAGCCGAATACATTGGACCATTTCGTGCATAGAAAAAGAAGGTTGCCTCATAGACATTACAAGCCTAATAAATTGGGTGGTCAGTATTATACCAAATAAAAAAAATTCCGTGCTATCCAAACAAGCCCATCCCCCACATACCAAATGGTTTAATGCCCTCAACGTTCTTTCTGCATTGACACGACTTTCAGCAAACACCGTGATCATATTATTTCCTGAACCGGGAGTAGAAAATATAATGAAAGACGCTGCAAGAGAAGGGTTAGCGAGGGTAAAAAGGGGACCATACTCATGCCTCTACCTACCATTATCTTCCATAATAGCAAGTAAATCATCTCTTCGATGCATCAAAAGCCAATCTCCTTTCCGAGGATGTAATATAGAATCCTTTTGGTACATTGATTTGGTCTGGAAGAAAGCAATACGGATTAGAGGTCCGGGCCAGACAGGGTGCATCAAGTGACCATCAATGTATATTACCTTTTGAACATATAACTTGTTTAACATATCTTTTGCTCGAGTGATGGAAGAAGGAGTTCCAGTAACATAAATACGTGCACTTTGATGATGATGAAGATCGTCTTGAACAGACATTTCTGGGTGATTAACATTGGTGAAAGCTGAAGGCAAATAAATGTTGGTGGAGGTTTCCTCCATGATGGATTGAAGATAACATCGCTTGCGTCCGCACACGAGATTATGCAGTCTTGCAGGTATATCGATGGTGTCTGTGCGCAAACCAGCCTACACAAAAAAACACATAAGTAAATGTCATGGTGCCTTCTCGTTGTATCAGGACCAAAACGAAAGAGACACTTTACCAGTTCGTCAAGCAAGACAAGGGCTTGAATACGAGCATACTCAACTGACTCTGGTGAACCCTGAATGTTTATTCGTGCTCCATTCTCGGATTGCAGACCAGAGGCAGGCATTTGGCCCGTGATCTCAACGTTGACGCTGACATTAGTTTCTTTCGAGATCTTGTCGAGGAGAGGGTGTATGGCGTCCTTGATTACACCGGTGTCGGTATAAAGGTCAGAACGAGAGGTATTAATGCTGGCCATGACCTGTGGAAAAATGGAGGGAATTAGTGGACAGGAGATCGCATAGTGAGAGAGAACAGAGTGCGTACCAGGAGCGGATTGTCTCGGATAAGGTCACCACGTGCCGCCACTACTTGGGCGGCAGGACCAGTGATGGTCAAGTTATAGTCGCATTGCTGGGAAGGCCGTTTGAGGGTTACAGTGTCAATGGGCGTTAACACGGCTTGACATCCATAACGTGTTGAAATGTGATTACAGTGTCCTTGTAATATTTGCGTTGGAGTTTGCGTTGGTCGATAGTGCGATGAAATAGGTGGTGCAAACCGCAGGGAATATGCAAGCTGGACCATAATATGTCAAAAAGGAATGGAGAAGCTTGGATAATTGGGGAGAGGCGGGTAGAATCAAAAGGAATCCCTTGAGAGGAATGCAGGGAATATGAAAAGAGAGTAGGTTATGGACCAGTGTTATAAAAATGGGGGGTAAACAATGAAAGCCGATGGCAAAGTCAATTCAGAGTTGAATCTTTTTCTAAGCACTTGTTAAAGAAAAAAAAATTTAAAGCAAAAGCCTCGGTGTTTTTTTTTGTTTTTTTTATTTTTGTGGTGTGGTTTCCCTCACTTAAGCGCTCTGGGGCACGGGACTAGTTGGCCAACGAACTTCCTTTCCAGCAGAAAGCAGAGAAGGCCGTAGAGAGCGCATAAAACACGATCTTTTCTTTGATACCATAGACTAACCTTCGAATCTACCACTTGAACATCCTTTCCAACAATTTCATCCATTCATTCAACCGTGTATTTGCATCCATTTTGCTAAGCTTCTTGTAACCTGCCGAATCGTACGTAAAAGAAAAAAAAATACCGTTGGTTTTAAAGAGGTCATGCTCGAAATCATTGGCTGGGTTTCGCTTTCGCCGTTTTGGATGACTGCTTTTTTCTGACGATGGTGAGCTCCTCTTGACTCGGTCAGCATCCTCTGAAACCAGAACTGGTGGGCGTAAAAGATTATTGGAACGAATACAAGCAACGATCGCAACGAAATAACGGAATTTCTCTAGATTTTGTCACGATAGCCTATGCGGCACGTTCAGTCGCCGACAGGGAGATCGTCCGTCCCTTTTACGACAGGTACAAAAAAGTACCAACCAAAGCCATTCTGGTCAAAGCTGAGAATAGCTGTTTACCGTCGATTGGGTAACATTGGTTTTATTTACGCTTACTGGATCTCTTGTTTTACCGGTTGTTCAGTTGTAAACCGGTTTTCATCTCCCATTTTTAATGCCCCCCCCCCTCATACAAGCTTCATCCAGGTAATTCAACCACTTTTGTTATTAAATGTTATGATGCAATAAAATAAGATACATATGAATTTAAATAGAATCGTATTACGGCGATGGTGTAGTTGTCTTGATGGATTCTTTTTCACCTTTGGCAATAGCTTTCTCCAGTATGTCACAATAATTCTGTAACTTGATGATCTCATGCAGAAGATAGCGCGACCGGTTTTCCCAGTTGGTCAGCGCTCTCACATTGTTGGTAGATCGAACAGGAAACTACAAGAGAATGAAAACATTAAAATCCTGTCATCCCCAATGAGGGGTTCGCATGAGATGTATCGGACACATACCTTGACTTCTATTTTCTTCTTCATTTCTCTATGGGCATTAATGTCCGCGGTCAAAGTCGCCAATTGCTTTTGTAAGCTGTTCAATTGTTCAGTATCGGATAGAGTACTGGACACTAGGGGTGGCGCGGGAGGCCGCCACTCATAAAGAACCACTTGATCTGGGTTCAGATATGAGTTTCCAACGTTGTCATCGCCGTTTTCCACTGCATCCAGGTCAAGGATAACGTCGGCCAAACACATTCCCCAGCCATATTCCATGTTGCTAACGCCGCCGCTTAAGGGTTCTTTACTACCTCTGGCAGCCCAGTAGTTGCATGTCGATACCCATTCATTCACCTGCTCTTGAACTGCCACCTGGAAAAGATAAACTCCTCCGTTCGGTAGTTGAAGCGCAAACACGTAAGGTCGATGACGATTGTAACCCGGGGGTGGTAGAGCATTCGATAATGAATGGTTTAGACTAACCGATTCGATTAATTGTGGACTTGTCTATGTGTGGGTTGAAAGAAGACGGCTTCGTTCAGCAAAAATGATCAAGCCAGAATAGAATGAACATGGTACTTACCGAAAGAGTCTGCGGCTGCAATGTTGCACCGGTAAACGAATTGCTTCCGCTGCCAGTCTTGAAGGAATCGGCCAGGTTGACCAGACTAGCACTGCTGGCCCGCAGCATACTTCGTCTATGATTCACTTCCCCTCCATTGGGTGACACAGAGAACACTTGCAGTTCACCACGAGTCACCACAATCATGCATTCTTTCCAGTCTCTGTTTTTGGCCTTTTGGTCACCGCTTTCCAACAGATGTTTTCGCATAACTATACCTTCTTTATAGAAAGGTGGTTGGCTTGTGAAGGGTGCATTGTTATTGGGAAAACTCATTGCAGGCTGATGTGAAAGACCAGGAGACCGTGGATTGGAACTATGGGATCCAGTGGAGGACATGGACGTGACAGATATTTTACGTCGCATATTGGGTGGTGAAATGGGGCGCTGCAAGTTGCTCAAGCTAGGTCGTGGATTAGGCTTTAAAGAAGAAGAAAAAAAAAAAAGGAGGATGATATGTTAGATGAACAACCTAAAGAATCTTCCTTTACCAGGGTAGTCAAAAGTTCAAGATGACTTACTTGGCCCATATCCGTCGTAAGGATCATGCTCTCGCGTGTAGAGCGGACCATGTTACCGACACTCTTCTTCAGCCCAATCACACCTGAAGCGTCCAAAAAGCTCTTAGGTCGATGATTGTCAAGTTGATGTTCTCGAGGTTGAAGGATTTGTCGCTGTTTGATAGAATAGTAGAGTTCCTGTATACGCATAGTTAGCATTAGAGTATTTTCCTCCGCCCCATCTTCGCCCATACTCCTTACCCTGAGGTATATTTCCATCTCAGCTTCCCACCATTTCGGAAACTTGCCAGCTTGGCCATCTTGGTTTCTATCGTTGCCAGGACCTTGTGCATAAGCAGCCGACATAGTATTTCGAACAAAAGCTGATCGTGTCATACGAGTATGGCTACCCTGAACTACGTGCAGATCAGTATTGAGGAGTAGCATAGAATAAGTGACAGCATATACCACGTCAGCACTGCCAAACACGCTCTTCTTATTGCACTGCCAATACCGTCTGGCAAACACTTCGAGAATACGATCAATCTGTTGAGACTCGGCCTTGACATACAATTTGTTGCAAAGACGTCTAAGAAATGAACCGATAATAAGGTTAAATACACGTTGACCAAAAGTTGAACATCGCGCTGGATGACTTTACCGGAAAGCGGAATCCAATCGAAGCAGAGAAAAATCGAACATGTTCATGTAATAGCTTAGTGCCAGTGAGTTCAACGGCTTGGGTTGACCCATCCACTCTGTCATAACATCTTTTTCCATAAAATCAGTATCTTCAGCCCACAGCTTTTTTGCAGCGGTTTCGGCTTCTTTTTTCAGTGCTTCATCTGCGGGTGTTTCAAGCGAGATTGTATCCGAGGTGTCGCTTCGAGGGGTAGGGATTTCTTCAATCACAATCACCGGCTCCTTAGTCGACTCTACCGAGTTTTGGTCTTTGACAGGTGGAACAGGTGGCACGGCCTTGTTTCGTTGGACAACGTCAGGTTTCTCAGCGTCGCCAGTAGCGTAGAAATCTGCCAACAGACTTAAACTGCCTCGACGGTCGAAATCTTGAAGGGCTTTTTCAACTGATCCAAACGATGGCGTGTTACTGTTGCGATGTTGAGCCTCCGCCGCTTGGCCAGCTATACTCAATAAAAGTCCACCAGCACTACCGAAATGGCCTCCACTAAGTCGCTTTGTCAATCTTCTCTCTGCTCGTTCTCGTTCAATATCCTCCTGTGAAACACCGGTGGCATCCACAAAGGACTCTTCGCCATTATCGGCTTCGTCAGAATCATCGTCTGAGTCGGATTCCAGCATTGAATCTCCTGTCACCTCGGCAAACGATGAGTCGTTATCTACCATACTGTCATCACCATTCATAGTATGAAATGATTCGGAGCTCAAGGCGTTATGGGCGCCATCCAACATAATATCTTCTCGTTGTAGGGTTGATTTGTTGGATAGTTCTGTGTCAGGAATGACTCTAGCATTCTTTCGACTTTTAGTATTTTGCAATACGATGTCGGCTAAGGTGGGCGGCTCGGAGGGTTCAGCCTTATTTTCGTACACTTTCTTCCCATTGGCCTGCGAGCCGACGGTATTGCGCGGGTCAATGGTATTGTGCACGGAAGATGTTTTTCCAGCTTTCGTGGCGGCTGATCCAGAGGACAGTCGGTCCAAGCTTTCTTGGATGGCTTTCAGATCCTTTTCACGTACGCCCAATGCTCGCAAATCAGGTTGATCCGCGCTGGGCTGTTTAGTATTGTTGTCGGGAGAACCATTGGTCGAATTTGAACTGCGCGCCTTTTCGCCATTTCTAGAACTTCGCTTCGTATTGCTCTGGATTGGTTTTTCTGCGATCTGGAACATGTCTTGCCGAGAAGTAGAACTCAACGGCTTGGTGTCGCTACGAGCTTCATTTGCATCAACAATTGGAAGTTTGGGATTTCGAGATGAAAAGGTGTTGGCTGGTGCGGGCGGCGGGGTTATAGTGGACTTCTTTTCGGTCGTCGAAGAAGTGAAAGTGGTTGCTTTCGGTGATAGCGGGGTAGATAGCTTGGCCTATAACAAGCAGGTATTAGTCATTTGTAGCAGCTCAGTCGAAGTGCATCGCTTACCTTTTCCAATTTTTGAGAGATTTTGCGAAGAGGGTCCAACGATGAGCTTCCCTTCTTGATCGTGTCAACAGTATATAATGAGTTTCCCCCCCACAAAAGGACAAATTAAGCCAGAAATTTAACCCATACCTTTTTCACCACTGGCTTTGCCGAAGCAGAAGGAGACGATGAGCTTTGCGTTGATGCTGCTGCGTTGGCGTCATTTTTTTCGTTGTACAGCAAGAAAAGGTTTTTACTCGACACTGGCTCGGAAGCTATTGGTTTTCGCTGCACTTTAGGAATGGTCGACCGGGATGCAGGGACTGTGCCATGGAGCTGATGCGGAAGAGGAGGAGTAGGCTTTGCAGTCTTTGTCGAGATGGATTCGGAGAGTTTTGGCAAATGCTTGGGTGTCACTGCCGCTGTGCTTTGAGAACGTCGTCTGGCGAATCGAGAAAAGAAGCCGCCGGTTTTGCCGCTGTTGATCACCGGAGGTGGTGATGTGGTGGAATGCTGAGCATCCTCTTGAATGACTGTGGTGGGATCTGTTTGATAGTGGGTTGTTGAAGGAACGGCAGGGATCTTCCGAGAATTCGGGAGCATTCCGAGTAAATTGGAAGGGTAGAGTTGGTACCTGAAGAACGAGGTGGTATTTCTGATGCTTCCAAAAAGCTTTTGTGGCGGAACGCAGTGTGGAACGAGACGTTTTTTTTAAAGGCACCGCGCCCCAATTTGGCAATTTCCATGGCCCCAACCAACACCTTAATAGTTTATCGGACCGAAGACAGCGGCCGTAGAACACAGAAGAGTGAAGGTATGTTCTGTTATTAAGTCAACATCATAAGGGTTTTTTCGGCCTGGAGATTCTGCAAATACAGAAATGATAAGTTGCAGTCCATGCGAGAGGGCCACCACTGCTGATCGTGCTACGAAGAGATGCAAGCTGTACAACGATATCAAACGCTCTAGCACCAACATTGTTTACGTCCTAGAATGGTGGTTTTTGCAAATTGTAATTCATAGCAATTAATGCAGGCCGCCGATTACGTTCTATTTATGAGCTTTTCTACAGCGTGTGAGTCAGATACATCACTCCAAGCCTGAATAATTAGGGAGGCAGTACGGTAGCTATTATTTAGAATTTTTATTTTTGATCTGCGGAGGTATACGGGGAAGACATTTACCCATAGGTGCTGATTAAAAAGGACGAAGTCAACCTTTCGGCAAACTGCTATGGCAAATATGTGAATCCTTGGTATACAGACTTGAAATGCAGCTTGCACTATTGATAACGCCAACCTTGAATATAACACATAGAATTTTTTTACAATCAAATAAACTTGTAGAAATAACCAAGCATCAGACTTGTGTGAGTATCGTATACAATTCTCCATTTCAGAATGCCCTGTATCTGTATATAAAATGAAGTACTAATGGTATCATCATGTTATTGTTATCTTGCTCTTTCCCATGCATTACTTCCCTAGTCCGTTTGACCTATTTAATACTAAGATTTGGAAAGAGTGCTTACTTGCCGCGTTCGTAGTTTTTCTGCAGACTGAGATATTCCCAAAAAATCAAAAACTCCACAGAACATGTGACCAGACGCTCAGTAACGGCACATTGCCCATGAGACTGTCATTTTGAAAGACAAAACCGCAACAAGCTCAAATACAACACGGCATTCCTTTCCTTCAACTATTAATAAGCGACCATGCCGAAGATCAGGACACAGCGGACGAAACGGCCACCAGAAGGCTTTGATGAATTGGAGCCAACTTTCCGGGAGTTCGATAAGAAAATGAGAGATGGTAAGACGTGAAGACCACGGATCAAAGTTGCTTGATGTTGGTACCATTTGACTGATCTTTTGTTTCTGTTCTTCCTACCAGTTGAAAATGAATCACACGAAGGAAAGCGCAAAGTGGAAAGCGTGTGGCCAGTGTTCCGAATCCATCACCAGCGATCTCGCTATGTCTATGATCTGTACTATAAACGCAAGGCTATATCCAAAGAGTTGTATGACTACCTACTAAAGAACAGCTATGCCGACGCCAATCTTATCGCAAAATGGAAGAAGGTATATGTAGTTTTGATTATAATTGAGGAGACAAGTGCACTTTACTGATGATCTGTTCTGCGGTGTTTAGCCTGGATTCGAGCGAGTGTGTTGTTTAAGATGTATACAGCCTAAAGATACGAATTTTGGCACTACTTGCGTTTGTCGAGTTCCAAAAGCGAAGTTGGAAGAAGGGAAAATTGTCGAGTGCGTGCATTGCGGATGTAGAGGTTGTGCCAGTGGAGACTAGACGACAGGCTCGGGGAATTCAAATCACCCTTCCACTTCAACTGTCATCACCATCAACACCCATCATCCAACAATGTCGTTGGAGATAACGAATCATAAATAAATTTTTGTTTTATTCTCTACGTTTGTTCTTCAAAAAAGTTACACGACTTCCTGGTGTTGTGATGGGTGTAACTGAGAGTAGGATGCTAACATCACAGTGCTATATAAATTGGCTATTGCTTCAACATATTGTTTTTCGTAAGTTATATGCTATGCTCTGTTGTGAAGTGTTGACTTTCATGACACTGTCATGTATGCACAACCCTTTGTTACCGGTGCTGCGACACATGTATTTTTACCGTTGAAAAATTTAGGCGTCAAAAATCGCGCGTAAGAAAAAGCGGCAGTTTCCGTTCACGCGACTCTTCACTACTCCTCTTACCTAATGCCTACACATCCCAGTAAAGACTTATACGAAATTCTTGGTCTTTCCAAAGAATCAGCCACAGATTCCACCATTCGTACAGCTTATCGTCGATTAGCATTGCGATGCCATCCCGACAAGCAGAGCGCCAATGCCACCGAAGAGGAGAAGCAAAAGGCGGCCGAAGATTTTCAGGAAATCGGTATTGCCTATGCTGTGCTCAGCGACGAAAAGAGGAAGAAAACATATGATCGTACGGGAAGAATAAGCGAGGGAATAGACCTCGACGACAGCGAAAAGGACTGGGACGCCTATTTTCGGGAATTGTGGTCAGGCGAAGTAGACGCCAGCACTATTGAGGCATTCGCCGCAAAGTACAAAGGTAAGTCGCTGGAATGGATTACTTAGAGAACTTTGTTCAGAGGGAAGACTAATCTCCTTTATAGGATCAGATGAGGAAAAGGACGATTTACTAGCGGCTTACGAAGAATGTAAAGGCGATATGGACAGGATACTGACGATGGTTTTGTGCAGTAGCGAAGAAGATGCGCCTAGATTTAAAGATATTTTGCAAAAAGCAATTGAAGATAAAAGTATCAAGCGGTATGGTGCGTTTACGTCTTCCACGTCTACCAAGGCTGGGCAGCGACGAAAGCGCAACGCTGACAGGGAAGCGAAGGAGGCAGAAAGCTATGCCAAAGAAATGGGTTTGGATAAAAAACTCTGGGGTAAAAAAGGTGAAGATGATGAAAGCTCACTCAAGGCGCTCATACAAGCACGCAACGCTCAGCGCAATGAACGACTAGAATCTATGATGGATGCGATTGTAGAGCGTGAAGAAGCCAAAGCAAAGGCCAAAGCAAGGGCCAAAAGCAAGGCCAAAGCAAAGACTACAACGAAATGAATGAGAATAAAAATTTCAATTATAGCACTTTGCTATTAATGAGACATGCTATTTATAAAATACTTAGAGACCGTTACAAGGTCATCCGGTATGCTTTATCAGGCTTCAGATGGTCACACACTAGGCGAATGGTATCTTGTAGAAGCGTTGCGTTCCGTTCTTTTCATGAACCAAGCGCTTGCTGAAAACAAAAATAGACAAATTTGCAACGATCAACGGTTCCTGGAAAACGAAAATATCCACTTCCCTGAATAGAAGGTCCGGTGGCTGCCCCAGTTCGAAAATTTCGGTAGAAGAATTACCAGTTCTCTTACTCGTTCCCCCTCTTCTGTCAAAACACAAATATATATGAGCAGCGAGGTGCGCTCTTGGAGAGGAATTGATGGCAAATTTGCTGCTCAAGCATCCTTTGGTGGACTTTTCCAGAACACCAAGGTCAAGCTCATCAAACCTCATGGTGGCATTGTGGCCATTCCCCTCGATCGTCTTTGCCCCGAGGATCAGAATTATGTTCGTCAAACTGCACAAATCTCAACCACCTCATCTAAAGTTGAAAAACCAAGATCGCACATCCCACCCCAACCGCCATCCCAACCTCAGCCAGAAAAAAATAGTAATGGCCATATCCGACAACCTGATAAAAGTACGATATTGGCATACGCACGCCTTGACAATAAATCTTCGCCCGGGTTGGCGTCGTTTCTGCGAGAAACCGCAACATCACAAAGCCCATTTAGTCTACAAAAAAAATCCGTACCGCCGACGCCTATATCATTTTCACCGGCTTCCGACGTCAATCTCATCGCTGCTGTTGATCGGTTAGCCGTCTCACCTACTACCAAACAAGTTCCTAAACTTCCAGCAAAATCAATGTCAAGGAAGTCGTCAATCATATCTAAAACAGGATCTGCAGAATCTCGATCGTACGCCCCAGTTGCAAACCCACTGTATAAAAAGAAAATCCATTTGAAGGAATCATCCTTAGAGGCGATGCCTTTACCTATTCTTACTCGTATATGTGAATATTTGGATGTTCGGTCTGTCATCTACTTAATGGCAAGAATCAGCAAGAATTTAATCGCTGTATTGGACACACCACAAGCCAAAGCCTTTGGTGTCATCTCGTTTTTACCGCATTATCAGTACCTTATAGACCATCGCTTTGTGCTCGCTCTGGCTAGCTTCTTGAAACGACATAACTTTCTACATACCGTACACACCATCATCTATGACTCTACTAAAATACAAGAGTTGACGGTGATGTACACGTTTGAACACTTCACTGGACTTCGACATATATCACTGCAGAAATGTTGGGATGTTCACAGTTATCCTCTTGCCAATTTATTAGCAAGGCGAAACGCAGCCAGAGGACAGGAACGAATAAGAATACCACACTTGCGAAGCGTAGAATTCGGCAGTATACTTCGCAGAGGAGATGTGCCTGGAGCATTTTTGGTTGTCAAGTCAGAAACATATGGACAAGATATTGGCTTGATAGGGTTATCCCTGAGAGGACTTGCTGGACATGATATCAAATTTGACACTTACCTCTGTGGAGCATGCGATCGAGGTCATGCCAAGCCTATGTTCGACTGTACTTTCTGTGGCCCAGTAGTGCTAAAGAAATGTTCTTCTTGTGCACCACAATGCGAAAGGTAACTGGCTGTTTATTGGAATGAAAGGAAAAAAACCCAAGCTCATGATGATGATTTTATCTTGTAGGTGTCATACACGCGCATGCGGTCAAGCAACTTGTAATGCCAGTTATAAATTGGATACGTCTGACACATGTGGGCGATGCCAGGAGGTATACCCAGTGTGCAATCAGCCCAGTTGTCCTGGTAATCGGTCTGGTCCCATTTGCCAAAAATGCAACTCCAATTATCATGAGCGGTGCCAATCGGATGAAGGTGGTCAACTTCGAAGTAATATCTGTTCTCGGTGTGGCCTCTTGTCATGCCCACGAGATGATTTAATTCTCTGTATCGGTGGCTGTCGAGCACAGTGGTGTGTATCTCGAGGGTGTGCGCACGAAAGTGGTTTGGACAAGTGTATGTGTGGTTCAGGGAGAAGCGTTTGCAGACGGTGTCGTATCACTTGCAAAAAATGCGGCAGGCACGATTTTTGCGGTATCTGTTTACGACGACATGCTGCAAAGTGCTACTAACATTGGCATCCCATTCCTCGTAAAGAAATTATCAAAAATAATAACTTTTGTAATATCTATTTCTCCTTTTTCCATTATTCTAAACAGTTTAAAGTACAAACCACGTCTATATGGCTGAATTTATGCGCTATCCTGTGAGTGTGATTTAAAACTAGATGCAATGCTACTTAATGGTACAGTGGCTTGCGTTCTTTGCGTAAGATCTCGATAATTGATGAGGTCGCTGCTATCTTCAAGCTCCTGACGACCCAAGAAGACGACGTAACGTGCCCCTGGTAAGGTTTTCAACACTTTTGTCAATAATTTATCGACCCGTTGGCTCTGTGCTCCTTCCTCTCTATGCTGAATAACAGTAGGTATAAGGAGCTCGGTCCTGAATTTATGCGCCAACTGCAAAGCCCGCTGATCTAGGCGTCGGTTGAAGTCTGTGTCGTCTTCGGTAATAGTGATGATGACCACCGGTCGTTGGCTATGCTCAAAGCCTTTGTTTTCCAGCAACATCGTAAGTCTATCTATGCCTGCAGCCCATCTATACAACATGATAAAAAACGAGCATCGTCAGAATCAAAATAACAAATCTTACACCCATTTTCGCCGACGAACAACATTTACCCTATGCCAGGTACATCCGTTTTGCCACCACTCATGAGCTTGACCAGACCATCATATCGACCGCCCGCTAAAACAGTTCCTTGTTGCGCACCGAGGCTATCGGTATCGTCATTATTGGCACCTCGATATATAAACTCAAAGACAGTATCTTGATAGTAATCTAATCCTCGTACAAGGTTAGAATTAAGCGTGTACGCTATACCAAGGCTAGTCAGATTTTCTAAAAGCTGTTCGAATCGATCCCGCGATGGTGCTGAAAGATACTCTGATAGTCGAGGTGATTGGGCGACGATCGGCGCATCGTCAGGGTGTTTCGAATCCAGTACCCGAAGTGGATTTGTCGATAGCCTTTTACATCAAATTAGCCTTCTCAAACTAGTAAAATCCCGTTCAGTTACATTTGACATCTTTACCTGCGAACACTATCCTCGCTCAGGCTTTGTTTATGACTTGTTAAGAACTCGGTCAAGACGGACCGGTAATTTGCTCGGGATTCAGAGTCTCCTAGCGTATTCAGGTTGAGTTCAACCTTGTCGTAGAGACTCAGCTTCTTCAGAAATGTGGCAGCCATGGCGATTGTCTCTACATCGGATGAAACATTCCTGCTGCCAAAATATTCTACACCGATTTGTTCGAACTATACAAGGTAGATAAGGAGAGCTTTGGTCAGTAAGGGATGTTAAAAAGTCAATCCTTTCAGTAGTAAACTTACTTGTCTGAATCGGCCCTTTTGCGGACGTTCGTGCCTGAACATTGGCCCATGATAATACCACTTAACGGGTAAGCTATTTGTCAAGTTGTTGCTCAACAACGCCCGCGCAGCACCAGCCGTTCCTTCAGGGCGCATGGTCAATTGGTCACCGCTCTTGTCCTTGAACGTATACAACTCTTTGCCAATAATGTCTGAATCTTCGCCTAACGTGCGTTCAAACACGCTAGCATGTTCTAGGATTGGTGTTGCTACCTGCAGCGATGTATAATACGGTATGTTAGACCTATAGAGTTGAATTCGCGCAATAGTCCTTTCTTTCCTTCAACATACGGGTTGGAATCCATAAAGGTTGGCTACCGATTGTGCGATAGCGCATACGTGGTTATATTTAAGAGCATCCACCCCAAACCGATCGCGCATACCGCGCACCGGTCTAGTTTCAATGACCCTCTTCACCGGTTGAATTCGTTGCATGGAGGTTGGGCCAGCCGAAAAATACAGTTGGACTGGTTTCCTTTGGAATTTTTCATTTTGACATGCCAAGGCGAGCCTGACTTGGCGCTCCCCAGGAATTTTCATGCGTTTGTCGAGAAACAACGGCTATCAGCCATTACCAACTAACGATGGAACTTCGCAATCTGATCTTTTAAAGAGCCGTTCAGTCTTTAGGTCTTCCTCTGATAACTTACTACTACACTCCTCCTCCACTAAAACACACCGTAGTCTCCCTTACAAGACGAAACGTTTTATCAAGCGCAGACTCTCAGCAGCCGGACTCAAAACCAACAAAATGTCTTCTGCTCCTTATGCACCGTTACCTCCAGCTATTCTAGGCGATATTGAGAATGGTGACTCTCTACCGTCGGATGACGAAAAAGGCTGGACCATCGTACTTAGCCGTCGCAAACGTCGGCAACGTTCCGACAATGAAGTCGGGAAATCGCAAGACAAGGGTGTGTACAAGTCTGTGTTCACCAAACATGGGACGCAAGAGAACTCCAACCCCATGGTAAGTGGCCTTTTATTTATGGATGGATGTGTGAGGTTGATATTGACCTTTTCACCTATGTAGACGCTTACCTGGAATCACCTTCCGCCTTTGACAAAGGAAGGCTATATGGAAGTTATTCATTCAGTGCAAGAAGCTATTGATAATTCCATGTATCCTACTCGTATTAGCCAAGGTTCTTCGGGTTCTTACTTTTGTCGAGATACCTCAGGCAAAATTGTAGGTGTCTTTAAGCCCAAAAACGAAGAACCCTACGGCCATCTGAACCCAAAATGGACAAAATGGGTTCACAGAAACCTCTTTCCGTGTTGCTTTGGTCGTAGCTGGTAAGACACATTACTCACTGGCACTCATCACTTTTCATTATTTGCTCAATGCATATCCTCCTGCAGCTTGATACCCAACTTGGGATACATGTCAGAGGCAGCTACGTCGTTAATTGACCGCAGGTTGCAATTGAACATTGTGCCGTTTACCGATGTAATTCATATGTCGTCACCAACATTTCACTATGACCGTGGGGATAGAAAGGCAAACGATCCTCGTAAACCCTCACCACGCCCACTCCCCTCCAAAATTGGTAGTTTTCAATGCTTCCTAAACGACTTCAACGATGCCAGTATGTTTCTGCGAAATCACCCCTTTCCACCTGATGCTTTCTATTCCAACAGCCGATCTCTGTCCAAAAAAAGAAGTGCTGTATTTAGCTGTTTGGGTAGTAATGAGGATGACGACGAAGAAAATCAACAAGAAATGCAGCACCAGGATCCGCAATTTCAATATTTCCAAGGGAAAAAAGTATTTCAATGGACGCGGAAATTACAACAACAATTCAAGCGAGAATTTGAAAACCTTGCTATCTTGGACTATCTCATTCGAAATACAGGTAACATTTAATTTTCCTTATAATTAAGGGGGCGAGCCGGGTAAGTAAGAATCGTACATTAACTGGATTTGAACGTTCCTTTCGAATCACTTTTAGATCGTGGCACGGATAATTGGATGATCCGCTACTGTGAGGAGGAGGATAGCGTTCGGCTCACTCGATCAAATGGATCTCAATCAGCTAATGCTTACGGCAATAGCCCAATAATGACTAATGACAACACCACCCCCACCTTCAATTTGGATGAATCTCACCTACATGTCGCTGCAATCGATAACGGCCTGGCATTTCCGTTCAAGCACCCTGACCAATGGAGATCTTACCCATACGCCTGGCTTTCGCTCCCTCATGCACTCTTGGTACAACCTATCTCTGTCGAAACAAGAAAAAGGCTTTTGCCTATGCTTTCTGATCCAGAATGGTGGGAAGGAACTGTTCGTGACCTCCATCGACTTTTTTCTTTGGATTCTGATTTCGAGCCACGCATGTTTGAACGGCAGTTGGCGGTGTTAAAGGGCCAAGGTTGGAACATCGTGCAAACATTGCGAGATCCCTCGGCTGGCATCCTCGATCTTGTCACTCGTAAACGATGTGTTGTTTGGGAGGAAGATCTTCTCATTGAATGGGATCAGCAAATCATTGACGCACGTACATCATCCAGCGATGCCATGGATACACAAGCTCCAAGACCTACGTTTGATCAAGGCATTGGACCGAAAAGTCCAGATGAAGATCCGGACGATGATGTTGGTGCGCTGAGCGATCCAGAAATAGTACCAGCCCGAGCTTTGGATCAGCAAATGGCCCAAGACGAATTCACTTCATCTTCCATCAGCCAAGGGAGTGGTTCACCCAAGAAGCGCTGGAATGACCGACTTCGGCGAAGTTTTTCGTTGGATAGAGTAAGTAAGAGCGTTAGACCTGCCATTCAAAAGGATTCAAAATTACATCCGTCCTTGAAAAAGGCGCACATAACAGTAGAACGCATTGAGTTCGTAGAAAAGAACAACCCATACTTTACATGGTGTTAAGTGCCTAGTCTCCACATTATAAATGTTATACCATGATACTTTACATTTTTCCACCCGAACACTCTTATATTATATATATATATATATCATCTCTCCATCTCTTTCTTATGAACATAAAAAATGCATGGATGTCAACGTTGCTGTCGATATTGGAAATTTTAGAGTTTTGATCACGAATTGATCAAAGTTTCCATGTGTCTGTCTGGATACCATTTTGCCCAAAAAATCCTGGACACCCCTTTGCCCCAAAAACATCTTCTCAATGAACCCTTACATTCATGACATTAGTCCCTGACATGATATCGGTCGTATACATTACACTTGCCGCGGCCTTCGTCAACACAGATAGCTTGAATTGACCAAACATGATCCCTAATTCCGCGTGTAGCACAAACCGTGAATTGAGGCACTCGGGCCACACAAAGGAAAAAAATGTAACCAGCGTTCTTGTGTCATCCATTCAAATTTGGCGACCAGTTCAAAAGGGTTTATTCCACTTTGTTCATTGCCAATGGGGAGCTGCACATCCAAGTCGCAAATCGCCAGCAAGCCTCCCACGAAGGCTGTTACGTCCAGTACTGGCACGGCCTCGAGAACCCGAGTTATGGCAGATAGAGAGTACCATAACGTAGAAGCCAGTACTTATGTGCTACCTAAAGATGATCGAGAAAAGGATCGTCTGCATGAGGTGAGATGACATGCAGATAGGCATTGCCCGAATGGTGGAGTTTCTAATTCCCCCCATTTTACTGACATTTGATCGACCGCTTTAGCAACACTATTTGTTGAAAGAAAAATTTGGAGGGTAAGCCAATGCGTCCATGGATGAATATGACGTTTTGTCTGAACCTTTGCAATTGACTCCGACTTTTAGCAATCTGCTGAAGCCAGAATTCACTGTAAAGCTCTTTGAAAAAGATCTTAAGGTGCTGGACATAGGCTGTGGGCCTGGTACTTGGCTCATGGACTTGGCTACGGAATATCCTAATAGCAACTTTTATGGCGTTGATATCACAGGTTGATTTCTACAACATGGCATACAATTGCTTGCGCTCTCCAATCGTCTCATGTTATGTTTTTCTTAGATACTTTCCCCCAAGCTATCCATCCTCGTAATTTGCAATTTCAGGTTGCTAATGTCTTGGAACCTCTTCCTTTCGATTTCAAGTTTGACTTCATACACGTTAGGTATGGACTTTTCCAATTGAGTTGTAAGGAGTGATTGGTATAGCCAACTGATTTGCATTTCAAGACTTCTGACAGTTGCTCTCCGAGAATCTGAATGGGAAATAGCGTTCAGGAACATTTACAATTCTCTAAAGCCCGGCGGTATTTTCCAAATCACAGAAGGCTGCCCATTGGTAAGTATGCTATGGAAAACCGAATGAATGGCTTACTTTTTTGTTAACAGAGCGTTTGCTTTCGTTCAGCTGAATACAACTGATCCTGAAATGCTGGTTATTCGCACAAATAGTAAGTAATCCGTTTTCCATAGAATGTCCATTTCTTGCCACCGCTCATCATTGGTTCTTCTAGTGGCTCAACTTGTCCGCAAGAAACAGCAAAATCCAGATATGGCGTCACAGCTTGATGTTGTCCTGGAGCAAGAGAATTTCAAGGTGCTTCACAAACAGGCTATCGAGTTACCCTTGGGTAAGCAAATAGGATTGTTTGTTTTACATTCTTATGCGCCAATCACTCATCCAACCTTTTTCAGGACACGGAACACCTGCCGACATTGCGACTGGCGACGTTTACAAAGAAGTGCTGTTAGGTATGGCTCCGTTCATGGCTGCCCAAATGAGCGTTGACATTGAAGAATACAAGAGATTGGTCCATAAGGCGGCTGCAAACATGGGTCCCAACAAGGCCTCCATTCCACTTTGGGGCTATATTGCCCAACGCCCTAGCGACAACTAATATGAGAAAGCCAAGGGATATCAGTAACGTATTGAGATACTTTGTATTTGCTATATAGATTGTGTGTAGACGAAACACTGCGAGAACTATTTAATATAACTTATACCTATGGACGACCACTAGCAAGCGAATCCAGTTACATGTGCAACGGGTGCCAAAAGATAGACTCTTATGATACAATACATGAGAACACACAGACTCATTTTTATTGATTAATGGTTATAATGTGTGATTTGTCTAGAATTTACAGCTTTGTGTTTCGGGACCATGGGACAACAAGGCACTGGTGTCTGTTGAAATGAATTGGGTTAGAGAAGGTCAAGTTGATGTAACTCCCCTTCCGGGCAGACAATTTCATGCCACAAAGGAAAAGAAAAAAAAAAAAAAAAAAAAGGAACACTGCCAAAACGTACCTTGTCAAAGCCAACAGCTTACCGTCCTCATCAAAGATTTCGCCATCCATTTCGTAGCGACCATTGATAATATATCGTGAGATAAAGTTGCACAACACCTCCTTGCCTTTGGGAACAGCTTTGAAGATCAATTCCAGCTGCATGGTGGGAGCCCAGACTTCTCCGCCGAGGATGGATGGGCCGAGATTCATGGGAGGTGGGACGATCATATCGCACCAGAATGCCAAGCTGGTGAAATCAATAGGTCGCTGATCTTTGAATCGTGCAACATGTCGCAGCTCGGGTCGTCCTGGGACTTGTTTATTAGCTGGGAAAACAGTCAAATCAGACTCTCCTTCCACAACGTCGTTCATGAAGCGCCAGGGCATAGGTTGAAGTTCCCCCCGAACAGGCGGTGATGCCGGCTTGTAGATATGGTTCACACCTTGCTCTGCGGCAAAGTTTCCAAATGTAAAGATAGCAGTTACGTTAAGGGTATATGCATCTGGGTTGTAGTTGTCAACGGATTCCAAAGGTCCAGCAGAAGCATCCTAGAAAAAAAGAAGTAGGTTAATCAGTGCCATCATACAGTCATGCATATTGTGGAATTGCGTACATTGGGTTGCTTCAGTAACACTCGAGACAAGCAGTAGCCTTTGCTGCTTCGCTTGAAGTCTTCTACTTCGACGATACAGGGACCAATTTTTGTCTTGGTGGTGTAGAAACAATTCATGGCAATAGGGTCCTTCTGGTGACGTTTGCTATAATGTTGCATGACAGAATTCATCATGACCGAAGCAACATATCCTACGAACACGATCGGGTCAGCACTCTAGCAAGAAGAATGGGTTATTGTGGGGAAGACGTTGTTCCTTACCTCCATTAGGTACAGAGCCGATACAGAATTGGGCCAAGAGGTTTCCGGTGTAGATAGAGGCACCAGACTTGGACTCTCCTAAGAACTTGGTGTCGACTCCTTGGTCGAACATGTATTTTTCTTCAATGTTACTTTGCACGGCTGTCATGTGTGTGAGAGAACAAAGAGATTGAAAGTCAATTGCGGGACAGGCAAGGGGAGAAAATATCTCAGAACGTCGGCGTTTTAACTTTTTTGATTTTGTGTTTGTCATCTCCAACACCTTTGATTTTATTCCAAGAGCAAATTGAAAAAATTAAAGCAGATGAAAGGAACTTATTCAATTTATGTATGCATTAGACTACAATGTGCAATTAACGGTAAAATTGGAGAACGTCTGCGCGTAGTATAGTAGATTTTATTTTATTTTTTGCCAACAACGCGCATGTGTTTCTAGTGAAGCAATCATTAATTTCCCCAATTCGGTTCGTTGTTCAGATGGAAGTCACATCATGAATTCGCTCACTACTGAACGAAATGATAAAAAAAGAGGGAGTAGCTGAAATCAGCAGCCTTGTAACCACTGGCTCTGCCAAACACGATATTGACCATAGATTACATGGTAAAATAGATGGTACTGCAGATGGAGTATCGCTCGGTGCTGAATTAAGCATTTACATTGGGTTTATCAAGTCTATGTTAAGCAAAGTTGCATCCACAACAGCTTTTGCTTGTATACGAGTCACCATTTGTTCTATTCAATGCATGGACGAAAGGATCCAGAATTGCCTGTAAAAGTAGTATAGGCTTGTTTCTTATACATACATTGTAGGTAACTGCTTTTGATGCAACCCTCAGCTTTGAATGAACGCTGTATCATTTAGGTAGGATTTGTTATTATTTGAGGACATGAATTGATTTTCTCGCTGACAGGTCATTTGGTAGCGGGGGGGGGTTTTTTTTTTGCTTCAATATTCTTCATGGCCAAGATGAAACAATTGCGTTTATGTGAATTAAGTGGATCATAAATAAATAAAAAAATAAAATGAGATCTATGTACGCTCACGGCCGAACAATGTATAGTTGGACTCTCGCATCGCGCATCAACAAATCGCTGATGAAATTCCTTTACTGCTACAGCTACACGTATCCACGTCCAATACATCGCATTTCATAGACAACAAACTGCCGGTTGTCCTTACTCTATGGTTTCAAAACGACCAAGTAGACCATTCTACAGTGTGGTCTCTTTAAAATCTTTCATTTGCTGCATGTTCTCCCAACCTTGCGCTTAAGAAAGTTGACCCACCTCTGGTAATGCGTTTCCTGGCGGTTGTTGAAGTTGGCCGCGTTTTTGAATGAGTGTGGAACATACAGAAAGATGAGTCGAACAAGGCAAATTACTAAGTTTAAGCGGATTCTGCGTAAGCTAAGCAAAAATACTGCTGGTCACCAGCGCTGACTGACTTCCAACGGTCTCTGATACGCAGTGCAAAACGAGTTACCAACAGTGCGAAAATGCAATCGGCTTATTGCTAGAACCATCATTTTGAATAGGTGTGTGTGTCATGCGTATACGATAGACATTTTATATAGAATTGGAATATTTTGAATAAGTATTTGATGGAAAAAAAATGGTGAGGGAAGAAGAGAACGATGCTATTGCAGTGTATCTAGACGAAGGGATTTGTGGGGAATTGTACAAAATGCTTTGGAGAAATAAAAGAAAACGGAAAACGAGAAGAGCCTTAGTAGCTTGACATGCCGAGGCTACCTGCTGCTCCATCTGCATCGTCGCCGTTGTCATCTTGGGAGTATGGATACGCGTAGTCCATGGTGTGCTCTGATTGTTCAAATGAATCAGGTGGAGATTCGTTGTCGTCCGAATTGCTTGGAGGAGACATCTTGGAGTTTTCTCCATCATCCCCTTGTTTATTACCTTTTCGTGACGATCGTGCTTTGGGTGCTGTAGGCCCATTTTCATACCGTTGTCTTTTCTTGATGATATCAGTTTTCATTGAAAGGGGTCTCCTTTCGTGATGGAGTTTAAGGCTAAGGAAAAAGAGAGGTTAGACACATTCTCGGTTTATCAAGTCAAGTGCCAATAAAACCACTCACTATAAGCCGCAAGCATTACAGAGCGTGGATCCATCGTCATCTCGTCGCCAAAGTGGTGTTGTTGTAGTGTTGCAGTTGGAGCAAACGGGTTGAATGATATCTTCCTCTCCACGAGCATCCTTACGCGCCACATGCGGTTTCAAACTCTTGGGCCTGGGAGCATTGTGTAGTTTTAAACTAATAAAAAAGCCAGAATTAGCCCACATGAGAATCTAAACATTGAACAAAATATGTGTCACTTACTATAAGCCACAGGCATTACATAAAAGCTCATCGTTGGCAGATCGTCGCCATAAAGGCGTGGATGTAGCTCCGCAATTAGAGCACACTGATTTGCTGCTGGATTCGCCATCTGTGCTCACCGACGCCGACGCCACCGTCGGTCGAATTCCGCTCGCACGTTTAGCAGCTTTCACGTCTAAAGTGGGTGAACTGGCTCTACTGCCAGACCGCGATGAAGGGGCCGAAACGGGTTGTTGCGACATCTGCCTCTGCACCTGATGGATAACAGACTGCAGTGGACCAGATGATGACGCATTATTCAACGTTGGAGGTACGCTGGATAATGGAGTGGTAGGCGCCGATAAGCTGTTATGCCTAGCTTGCTGTTGATGGTGAGCAAAATTGGAGGTGTTGAAGTCGGCCGTGGCATTAGCAGTGTCTGTATCTATGTACATCAGGTTTTGGGTATATAGTGGTCTTGAGCTTCCCTGTTTCCCTGTCAGTCCTAATGAATACCGGTCGTTTATTGAACCTTTTGGCGTGGATGCATGTGTCAACATGTTGGAGCTCTGCATACCACTAGGAGGCGGCGGGGGCATCGTAGATGGCACATACATAGCATTTTGCTGCTGTGGAGGTTGCGAGTTGGATGGTTGCACATCATTATATCCATCAGAGGAGTTGTTTGCGTACTGTGGAGGTCGTACAGAGGTATGGCTGATGGGGCTTGTTGGAACGCTTTGGGGAGTAGTCATCGCCATTGATCGCCCAGTATTAGGAAGATGCATGTTGGTGGTGGTTTGAATGGAGGGTTGTCCAGAAGGTTGCTGCATGTTTGGATATACGGAGGCATTGTTATTCTTGTAGAAGTATGAAGTTTGCCCAATGGTGTTCGATGAAGCCATAGGTGATGTACGATAACTTGGAGATGGAGCCCCAGACGACAGGGGAGAGAACCCATTGGGGTCAGTCAACATACTGTCGAAGGGGAGTTCAACTATAGGAAGTTGTCCAGGGTCCGAACTTAACAAAGCGTGCATATCAAATGGCCCAAAAATATCCTCTAATTCAACCACTTGATTATCAGCTTGATCTGAAGTATACTGATGCAAAACGAAATTTTCAGTGACTTGTCGCATTTGCTGTTGTTGTTGCTGCTGTAAATCGTATCCAAGTCCATAGTTTGAATAAAGCGTAGGGTTCTGACTTTGCTGATAATTAAATTGTTGTTGCTGCTGTTGGTTTGGCATGGTCTGTGCTGAAGGTTTCGGTTGTTGCTGGAGCGTATTTAGGTGTTGTTGTTCTTGCGGTTTCTGTTGCGGTAATGGTCTTCGTGATGGAGTTTGATCAGCCGATGTCTTCATCACCTTTCTCGTAGGTTCTTTCTTGTTGTTGGGTTGAGAAAGCGGGGCGGCAAAGTTGATAGTGGAGAGACTGTTACCCCCAAACATAGCGTCCGACACCAGTGATCGAGCAGTGGTGGTAACGGCCTTTCGCTTTTTGGCGCTATCCGACACAGTTTGTTTCTCTTTTTGTTTTCTACGCTGAGCAATGACTGATGCGCCTCCGTCCTTGCCGTTGCCAAAATCGAACTTTTTAGGAGCTGGAAGCTGAGATAAAGCGGTGCCTTTTTCGCCTTCTAGTTGCCGAGTGGTGTTGGACGAGAGCTTTTTGAAATGGGACTTTGACTTTGTGTCATCAACGAGTAAGTGATGTAAAAACCACAAACGCCATGACAAGTTTTCAAGACGGGACCCATTTTCGAGCGAATCTTTTACTTTTGTACACACACGCCATGTCTTGGAGAGCTCTTCCTCAGAATCCAAATTCGAGAATGGCGAAAAGGATTTGTTTCCTTTAATCTTTAGAAGGATTGGGGCCATTTAGATTGAGCCAATTTCAACAATGGAAAAAGCTGCGGGCCTGTGGTGTGGGTGATGGGTGAGAAGAATGACAGATTGGTCAGTGCTACTTTTGTGGAAGAAAAAAAATAAAAATTGAGTAATAAAATCCGAGCACGAGCCCAAAAAGATCCAAACAGGATACATACTGGTTTGTAGTTGATAACGCTCGCTATGACCTTATTTACAGAGACAGTTAAATAAAACAAAGTGGAGCACTGTTGGCAAGTTGTGCAAAATGGAGATGGGGTAAAGAAAGATCAAGTTGGAATGGTCGGGTTTACAAAGACATGGGGGTGAAGTCATGGGCCCGTACGTCAATTCTCACAGTCAGGCAAAATTAATACTATGGTAGGCAGACCTAGGGCTTCATTTCGTTGTTTTTATTGCTACTGCCATATGTATGTTTGTCTAATGCTACACTTTGGACAGTTTCAAAAATGCCGTATGCGGCAGACGTGGTGTCGCATATCACAACTAAGAAATGTACAGTTTTCTAGTCTCCACCAGCTCAAAGGTATCCCCAGTTCGAGGACATGTAATGTATCCATTGTTCTTACTGGCCATCTCTTCCAGAGCCTGCAAATAGGATAACAAATCAATCACCCTTGCTAATTAAACAAAAATAAAAATAAAAAAGCAAAGCGCATCATGTGACTGTACATGGTCATGGAATGTTCCTTTTTGCCTTACCTGAAGGCTGTATACCCGTCCGTTGGGTAATAACATGGGTGGATTATTTTCGTCGATCTTTTTTCCACTGAGGCGACACACAATACTGGAGTTGACATGATGAGACAAGGGAAGGTTCTCTGCCAACGCTCCCAACGTGCTTGTATCGCATACAGGGCAATTCAAGTTCTTGTCTTCATGCTGTCGGCATTGCGGAGTTTTAAGCGCTGACAGGCCCGCCTGTAACGTAATGGAAAGCAATGGTTGAGAAGTTAAGCAACAAAGGGCAAAATTGTCTGCCTTGAATTGATCAATGAGCTTTTTCCATCGTCGAGAATCATATAAACTCTGTATGAATATCGGTTAATAATGTTCTGCATGCATGGGTTTCTATCTATCTGATCTGACCTTGTAGGGTTCGCAAAGAGTGTCCTTGGGAAAAGCTAATAATGCCATGGCTTGTTCAAGCTGGCGTAAGTGGCTTTCTGACCATGACGATAGATACTTTTGAACATATTGAATCGCCTCCGTCTTCTTTCCTAATCGGACGAGTTCAATGTACTCCTGCAAACGCAAATTGAATTCCAGCGTGCTCTATTATTTCCACGATATGTTCAGTTACATCACATCATTGAGTGAGAGAGAGATAACTGAGTGCCTAACCTTCAATTTCTTTAGACTATTCCGATTGTCTGAGCACCACTGTATACATTCTGAACAGCTATGTTGTTTCAATGCTTCTTCAATCCGCGCTGACTGTGCAAATAGCTCGACATCCACCATTTCCTGTCAACGCCAATGATCAATTTTCATTTAGTATTTTAAAAAAAGAAAAGAAAAAAGGTGACATCAAAAAAAAAATGAGATCTCTTACGCTTATTTCACTGTCTTCGGCCATCTTCTTTGCCGTATCATTGAACCCCTTGCGAAGCATGTAATCAACCAAGACTCTATCAAGTCTGAGCTTACTCCAACGGTTAAATGCTTCCTTGTCCGTCGGGGCAACTTGTGAAGTATTTTTCAGGTGGTCCAATCGTATCTTTGTCCTGGTTGTGTATAGTTGCTCTTCCTTCTTGATATCATCCAGCTAGACGCAAATGTTGAAAGCGGATTAGTGGACCAAAGCTGATGTTACACTTGTTAACCATCTATCTACCTTGCGGCCAAGTTTTCTCAGTCGTACTAATAGTTCATCGATGATAGTCGTTGCTTGACTGGAGGTTATTCGGTCGGCTTTCGCTTTTTTGACGCAATCTTCAATCTTGTCATTGATGTTTGTAATCTCTTTTTCAAGGTACTTGGTCTGATTTCGGAGGGTTTTCTTTAGTTGTTCGTTAGGGACCTTTTAATGCGAAGCAGTTAGCGTTATTATCTTTCATTGTGTATAGCAAAGGGGCATGTTAATTCTTCCGGACAAAAGGATTGATGGGATAATGGCGTTGTACAAATCATACGGATCTTGACGTTGCTTTTTCAAGCGACAATGGGCGACACGCTGTCGTATAGAAGAGTCATGTGTATTCAAAAGTCACAGTTATTACCTTTATAAACGGTTGCTCCAGCTCTAACAGCTGCTCAGGCTTTATCTTGTTCATGGCTTATGGGAAAGAAGACGGTAAGCAATCCTCATCAATGTAGGAGTTTTAAATCATTACAACCGGCATTTTTCTACAGGGTTTTTCAGTTTGGTTGCTTATTTATTTGGGAATTTCTATGATGCATTGGGGCAATATGGAGCAAAACAAAAGGTAATGGAGAGGTAATGATGAAAATTGGAGGGGGTTGTTTTTACGAAGAGGCCTTCTTCTTCTTGTGGGATTTCTTGTCCGAGTCTGCCTCATGCGACCGCTTCTTCTCCTTCTTGGTAATCACGGGGGCACAAGTATCGAAGCCATAGGGCTTGAATCGCATCTGCATACCCTGTGGCTGCTCTCGAATAGGCCACGGTGTGTTTTTTATCTCTTCTCCAATCTGAGTGGTGTCTGGAATTTCAACCTTTTCATCCAAAATGAGCTTATGCTTGATGGGTTTTGGTGCTAATAAACAAGACATCCAAATTAGACCGATTTCACGTCAGGTGAAGATATGCCCAACAAAAAACCCAATTCATAACAGACCGGGGCTACCAGGCAAGCGGCAGGGTCGCCCATCCCGTCTGAATAAAATTAAAATAAACCGGTCCCGTCAACTCCACTCCACTCTCGCTCGTCCCTAATAACTTACCAAATCCCAGTTTGCCTTTTCTCTTCATGTACGGGACCAAGCATCTGAATCCAGACATTTCCTGGCCACCACACAAGATGTTCTCGTCAGATTCTTCCAATGCCTCGGGTACGCGATACATGGAGTACGAAGACGAATGTTTTGAAAGTTTGCCGAGACTCTTCCCAGGAGAGCGATCGCCTGGAAGCTTGAATTTCATTCCGACAAGGTCTGATGAAGTAATCTGCATTGGTGTGGATACGAAGAAGAGATTTCGAATTAGTGTTCCAATTAATTGCGCAACCCTTTTTATCTTAATCGTTCATGATCACGCCTGCCTGATTCCGCTCAAAATCACCTGCACAATTTGAAAAATATACAGGAAGTGTAATTTTTTCCCAAGAAAAAAAAAATAAAGCTTCGATGTCGTCAACAGCCCTTTCCAAAAGCCGAATGCACAAATAAACACCCCCCATAGAAGGTATAAGAAGAGATCAATAAGGTAGATGGAAAAACTCACGTTATGAGGTACCCGAATAAGCCAGAGTTCTTTGCCATCGTCAGCGAGTTGCTCGTAATCAAAGGGTGATGCGTGTGTAGAATTGGCGATTTTGAACATATCTGGAGGTCGATAGCTGTTTGAGAAGAAAATGATCATGATCGCTCGTTAGAGATAACAAAACCTTCTCAAGAGCAGTAACACTGACGTTGGTAATCGTTTGCTTGGCCGAAATTGTACATTGCTTGAAAGGATTTACCGTCATTGAGCGAAAAAAGTCTTACCTGGTGATTGAATCTTCCATGTCGCTGTCGTCGCTAGACACTGTTTCTCTTGTTTTACCCATGCTGGCTGATTCGAAAAGAAAAATGCAATGAGTTGTTCGTTCACTTTGGGCCAAATTTTTTTGCTCCGCGAAAAATAGTGGTCACAAATATTCCACCCTCACATTTTCAAAATAGCGCTGAAACAAAGGTACAGAAGATGATACTCTTTATGCTATCAATTTGAATGGATAAAAACAATATTCATAAGCCTCTATGTAGATAATATGCTATTTTATAAATAAAATTAAAATTGGAACGTTTCTGCTCGAACACTCCAGCCGTTGGCCGATGAAATGTTCTCCACTTCGCGCATAAAGCCGGCAGGGCCACAAGTTTGCACAGCAACTCGCTCGATGGTATGTTGCATAGCAATATCGGTCATAACTTCGTTGACAATTGCTCTCTTGTTATGAAGTGTTAAGCTATTTCCAAGATCCTTGAAGATCTCAGAGCCATTGTCTTGAGACGCTGAGAGGTATATCTCGAACTTGAGATCCAACGGTTGAATGGAAACGGCAGCGAGATCCCGGCAAGCCTTCAATATGGAAACAAAAGCTTCAGCATGTTCTGTTTGATAATAAATTAGTACGGAAAATAAAAAGATGAAGAGACTGATTCAATGACAACATACCAATTTCGCGAATGGACCATACAAAATGAATTGTTTTGGTTCTCACTGTTGCGTAGCCCTTCGATCGTTTTTCAACCAGATCTTTCAAAATAGTCAGAGAAGGAGTGACACCAACGCCTGCGCTGATTAAGACGACTGTTTCATAGTCTTGGAAGTAAACGCTGTTGGCACCAAATGGGCCATCGACCTTGAGTTGGATTTGTTCACCGTTGGCTTGACTGGCAGAGAATAATCGCTTTGTCATGTTACCGATGCCTTTAATATGAATGCTTGCAAAACCAGAGGATACAGCCGTATCATCACTATCATTTTGCGATGACAAAGTTGGAGTATGTGATGAAGATACGTTGGTAGGAGACTTTTTAAACTTCTCATCTTGGAGATCATCCACAACTTCGTTGACTTTGCCAGTTTCAAGAGACTTTTCTTGCTGTTGCTGGACGCTTTCAGTCATGATTTCTGAAATAGTAAAGGGATGCCAGTTCAAACTTTCGTACATTCTACGGAATCCCTTGGATTGACGGATTGCCACGAAGACGTATTGACCAGGAATAAAGCTTTTTTCTAGACCTTCCTTTTTGAATAAAATGCGGGTGAAAGTCTGCTTCTCGTTTGCTTCCACTGCAATAGTGACAGTCTTCTGATAATGGGAATTGTAGTATCGGAAGCCTCTGTCAACTAGCCATAAAAAGACGCCTGGAGCCAAGATAGCCATATCGCCATATTCATGGGCTAGAGCACCAGCTGTGGAGAGCAATATACCGAAAACATGAGAGTAGTAGAAGAACTCAAAGTAACGACGACGGATAGTCTCAAAGGATGTTATATAGAGAATGATGTATCCTAAGGTTGCGATAGTACCAGTTTGTATCTCGAAATTATAAAAGAGAGAAGCTTTGACGGTTCCGTATCTATTATAGGCTTTCCAGCTACATAGTATCGAAAAAGTTAGTTCATGCAACATATTATATGGTTGCTATCGTTGTATCAATTAAACTTACATTTGATATCCAATATGGACGCCTTGCTCAGCAAGTCCAATCCTAGTGTACCAGCGATGGTATGGAACAAGCTCGTCAAAGGAATGGCTTGAAAGTTTGGAAAAGATAGAATTGCGAGTGACCATGATAAAGGCAATTGTGAAATTGACAAGTCCCACATAAGCGCATCGTCGATTGGAAACGTCAGCAACCGGGAGCATGTAGTCTCCAGATAAAGTGAACGGAGCGAAGAAAATGAAGATCAAATTGATAGCCAATAGAGCAACGATATGGCATATCTCCATGACCGAGATACAGTCGGTGATGAATGGAATAGCGATTTTTCTTTTGAAGACACGCTGCCATCCAGGAATCACCTTGAGGGGAGCAACGTCCTGTCCATTAGTCAAGCGCCTGCGTCGAAGGTAAACCAGGCCCCTGTGGATCTGCTCGCCAATGCAATATAGCAAATAGATTCCCCACATGAAGAGACCGTAAGCATATCCGGCCTGTATGCAGACAAATTGGTAAGCGTGGACAATGCACCCATTCAATTTGTTAAATTGAAACTAATTTAGTACCTGAAAGAATTCAGACGTTGCCTTGAATGTAGTAGTAAATAATAGCGCCATGCAATGCAACTAACAATTAGAGGAGAGAGAGGAGTACTGGACCGAGTTGCCTGGAGGATATTTTTTTTTTTTTAGTACGCTAATTTTTTTTATTTTTTTTGGAGTTCAGCAGCTAGTGTAAGGCAACAAGCGAACACAATCTGATCTATAAACAATATTCGCTGCATTCCGATCGTCACCACCCTGCGTTGTACCATTGTTCCGGTTTTGCAGCCATTGCAATCACATTCCGGTGGAGATTTAGGTGGGTGGTGGCACTTGCTAATCAGATTTCATACCCATACCGAAGTTCCGTCCTGTTCATCATCCGACTTTGTAAACGCACAAGACCGCATCTTACTTCTTGACCAGGGGGGGGGGAGAGACATACTGCAGCTACGATTGTTTTAATTACATTGTAAAACAAATAATGCTGCTAGGAGTTTACCAATATCCCTGACTGGTATACAATGGCTTAGCAAAAAGCATCATTGTTATGTCTGAAGAGGGTTATATTGTGCCTCTTTAGTAGATCATTTAACTCGGTTCAGAAGTTATCAGATGAAAAAAAAAGCTTGTGAGCTTTGATTTTCAGAATTCTAAGAATTGGTAGCTTCACTTTTGCGTTCCGTCGTTACTTCATGCGTCGGAACTTAGAGCTTGGGGTGGGGACCGACGGAAACATGCAAGGCAGACTAAGTGTGAATAAAAAAAAACGCCATTGTACTGAAATGACTCGGAGACTCAATGGAGGTTTCGATGTCTAGAAAATCCATAATCGCATTTATTAACAGTTATTATAAAAAACATTACTGCAGATATCTGCGTGTACCTAAGGAAGTGTATGGGAATTTTGGGCTCTTTTAGTACAATTTGAAAATCTCTTCTTTGACAATACTAGTCGAAGTGAGCGTTAGGCAATATGAAGACGATTAAACGTTTAGGTAGAGCACCTACAGAATCTGATAACAATTCGTAATCAACGTTTTCCTCTTCAGGACGATGAATCTCCGTTATGAAGCAACGGTTAGCAACATTCCGCAAATGGAAGGCAGCGTGGGTTAGCGTGAGCGAACGGACATATCAAGATATTGATGATGAGGTTTTTAAGAGCAAGAGCATTATATAGACAGTCATTTAATATAGAAACATCAGTATAGAATAGTATTTTATATATATGATGAAAGACAACTGGGAGAAAGCCAAAGTTGGAGAACACCATCAAAAAGCATTTTTTCCATCTGATAATTTTTTTTGGCGGGCTGGGAAACAATAGGAAAAAAAAAAGATCTGATAAAAAAAATTTCTGGGTCAGCCGGGTCCAGCGTTTGGTGACTCCGCGAAAGAAAAATCAAGGTTACAATAACAACGATACAAGATGATTCCGATCATGGCACGAGATCTTGGCAACAGGTTCATCGGACATTCATAATGAGATTCAGGTCGCAGGCGGTCTGAAGGTCCATTGTCAAGGTTGTTTAAAGACCGCTGCTGAGGAATCTCCTTTATATATCGTCAAATCATCGCACCCTGTAGGTTCAGGAACCACATATTCTTTATACACAAATGACTAAAATCTTTTCACTGGTAATCCTCGTGCTCTCAATGCTTATCGGTATAGCTTCTGCCGTCCCTGCCTTACCATCTCCCTCTGCAAGTTTGAGCCGAGTGTCTCTGGTTGGCAGAGCCGCCCAAGCAGGCCATGGAGGCACTACTACTAATGCTACAACAACCACTACAACTACCACTACTACTAAGAGTAAGAAAAGTAACTTTGTATCTGCTCCCATTCTTGAAAGTGGAACACTGTTCTACGTTGGTCTCGCCGCTACTGTTGTCCTATGGAGCTCAGGAAAGTCTGTAGACTACGCTCTCCAGCGTCAAGAACGGTACGCTCGCTACTTGGCAACCAAATAATTAACTCGAAAAGACTGGGGCTTTTCCAAGTAGATTCCATAAATTTTACATCTCATAGTAGCCTATGTTATAGCATACGCTGCACTTATTTTATCTTACTCTTAGAAGTGTGATTGTATATAGATATATATTAAAGAACAGTATGTCACTCTATTTTTTGAAAAGTGAGCCAATGCGAAAAAAAGATCCTAGTGGTTGAGTTTTGGATAGTACTAATGGCTACAACTTTAAAGACAGGAATTCAACCGGTAGGGATGTTTACAGGTTAAAATGTTTAAATTTTCAGACCACAGATAAGACACCTGGCGGTATAAGATGCCAATTGAGCAATCCTTTTCATTTCATGTAGGATAGTACAATTATAAGGCAAGGATTAGCTAAATCTCCTTCGTGATTGATAGTATTAGCTTCTTAGTTGTGCCATACAGAGCAACCAGTATATTTGTTTGTCCTCTTACTGCCAATGTAGAGCTTGGCTATATTTCATAGATGCGTATCAAAAGTATCACATGTCGACAGTTGAAAATATCGGTCTGCAACACAGTACCGCCATGATTGCTAACTAGCGAAAGACGAATCCAACGTTAGATTCAACATGGCATAAATTAGCCTTCGAATAACATTTTTATTTTTTTTAATGGAGACAAGAATAGACATTGATTTATTTGTTGAGAACAAGACCGTCGAAGCGGGACTTGTACCATTGGATGGTCTCGTCCTAAAAACAGAGCAAAGAATGAGTGAGTTTGTTCCGAATGTTTCCTCAAGTACTAAACCATACTATACCTTCTTGACCTTGTGCTGGATGCCAACGCTCTGCTTGCAGCGGCGTCTGCGGGCAACACGGTAACCGGGGCGGCCCATAACGCAGAAGAAGTCCATACCTTTGAAAACAATACAATTAGAATTCGTTTCATGATGTCTATTTATCATTCATTTTTATGTTACTTACCGTAAATACCGATGGAAGGATCGTACTTGATACCAAGATCGATGTGTTCTTGGATACCGAAACCGAAGTTACCGGTCTCAGAGAAGTTGCGAGCCAAAAGTTCGTATTCCTTGACCTTGAGACCACGCTCAAGAATCTCCTCAGCCTTGGCACCACGGACGGTAACGTGGACAGAGATCTTTTCGTTACGACGGATACCGAAGGTACGGACGGTGTAGCGGGCCTTGGAGTAGACGGGGGTCTGACCGGTCAATTGTTCAAGAACCTTGGCGGCACGAGTAAGTCTGTCACCAGATTCACCGACGCAAATGTTGAGAACCAACTTCTCGAGACGAAGCTCACGCATGGGGTTGGTGGCAGGGGCCTTTTCTTCAGACTAGAAAATAGAAAGGGTTGGAATTAGTTAAAATGGACTACTACCCACACTTGCTCAGGATGCGTGCGAAATCGTAGATGTTGGTAGTAATTTCGATTGTCAAGCTCGAATAAGATGTGAATACAGGAATATTGCCGTTTGAATTATCCTGTATTGTCTACTATGATTTGTAGGTGTCGCCTTGACCGTCGCATTTTTACATTGTGATTGCGAATTCAGAATCACTCTGTCGACATCCGTCTTCTGTCATCCATCAATCCATCCATCCACATTCGCACGCATCCATCGATAGCACTATCAATGACAATAGGATAGATATATACCATGGCTAGTGGAAAATAAAGAGGAGGATCCAATCGTGGCCACTTGGTGGTGTGTTAATATCGCCTACGTTCTGCCAAATCGCCGGTCACGTGCTTCTATTGCGGTTGGCTTCCAGCGTAAAAATCTCCCATTATCCGAGATCATAAAAAAAAATAATATCTTTTGCTTTTCTGCTTGATAATTGGAATGTTTTTATGGTAGTTTGTTATCATTGGAAAATAATAAAAATAACATTAGATTTGTACTAAAGTAGATATATGTGATAATATGGTGGTTGATATACTGTCTAGAGACTAAAACTAGGGAAGCTGTAACCGGCTTGACTCCAGGTGGTTAAATTGGGATTGGTGTACGCGTTGTAGTGCCTAAAGCCCATGGTTAATCGTGGTGATAGTTAAGCGACCTTTCAGCTAAAGAAATTAAAAACTTACATTTTGATGTAATCAGATGTTGGATAGTCCGTTGGATCACAATCAAGACTAACTCTGTCAGGGTGCTGGTAGATCCTAACGTAGTCAACATAGTAATGTGCGGGGAAAGGCAATTTCTTCATGTTGACACTGCCCCAATTATTGGATATGCCGAGATTGAGCACCACCGACTTATAATTAAGCGTGTTAGTCTGAGACGTGTTGAGTCAGAAGCAAATTCAACGAAGTCTAGGTATATCTTACCATTGGTTCCTTGCTGATGAGTCGTTGACCTACGTTTGACTTGGGATTTGGTCCAACCGCCGGTTCTAAAAATCGCCAAGTCTCTCGGCCATCAATCAGCCACCTAACATAGCTTTGCTCTCCGGATGTATCACTGGGAACATATTCAAACGCAAATGTTTGAAATTTTTGACCGTCATACATGTCTGGATCCAAAGCTGTCAAAGCAGAAACTGCTTGTTGAGAATTGCCACCTTTGTAGCCGTTCATGATGGTTTTTCCATTATTTCCGATGGTGGTATTGCTGAGATAGATGTACTTTGAATTAGGCGTGAGTGCGTAGTCAAAAGGTGCAAACTGTCCAGACTGACTGACGGAGCCGACATCGCCACCAAAGTTTCCATCTGCGGAAGCGACTTCGAGAATATCAATTTCTGGCGCTCCGCGACCTATCCCAATGGAAGGGTGATCCCCACTTTTTACACAAGAGTTAAGTTTCTGACCAGGAAGGTAGGAGAATCCGTTTGGCATGGACTGGTTTTTCGTAGCGCCAGCATCGCAGCTGCTATAGGAATATGGCCATACACCATCCGTTGTAGCACCATAGCCTGGGCGACCAAGGTTTCCCATGGTCCAGGCTCCTGGCCAAAATCCGCCGACATCCGGAGGACCAGGCAATGAAACGTTCACTGTTATACAACGTAAGAGATCATATAATGATGAGCATAGGTAGTTGAAATGATTTTTTACCTTCAATTAAGCCGCCAGTAAAACATAGTTTGTTCCATGACTGTAGCATTCCGCTGGCAAAATCTAAGTTATGCAATTCCCTTTGCGATAAAGTAATGACTAGATTTCCACCAGCTGTAGTAACAGCATCTGGTGTATACCATTCCAAGTCGTTAGTTGCCCAATAATGCAAATCAGCAGCTTCCCTAATTGACATTAAGAATACATTAGCTGGCCCTCGCTCAAAATGGCACAGATGAGATCGCTTAGCAGGTTTGTGTAGCTCACCAAAATGGATCTTCTCCCGGATAAAAAGTTCGGTTAGGCTTATTAAATTCGTCTGAAAATACAAGTTTCCAAGTCTCTCCATTTAGCGAAGTTTTGGTGCGAGCATTGGCGGGCGTGTCGGAATCTATAACTGGCACTCCACCTGGTATCAGTGGAATAGTCGTTGTCGGAGGAACAGTAGAATTCCAATTGTTTGCTTTTTCAGCAGCAGCTTGGCGCTCTTGATTATTCTTGGTGACTGACAGGCCTATTGGTAGTCCCATAAATACTCCTACGAGACCCATCAAAACAAGAAGGACAGCGGAGGTGTTTAACAATCCTCTCAAACTGAGTGTGATGTGCTGTTGGACAGTTGTATCGAAATCTTTATCGGCCAAATCTTTCTGCAGATCTTTGGTGTAGGGATTCTCATCGCTAAATGTGTGATATGATAGAGTCTGGACCGCAGTGTTAGTTGGAGATGCTTCGCGAGATGGCGATGAACGTGGGGTTCCAAGAAGCCGCTGTTGAGATAGATTTGTTTGTTCAAAGGTGTGGTTGGATCGATTTGAACGACTCTCGGAATCCGATAATGAGGGGCGTATATCCGGGTATGAACTTGGTGATGGCAACGGCATACTATGTCTCCACAAATCGTTGAAAAAGAAGGAGAAGGCAACAGAGAGGTTCGGGTGTGAATAATTTTTGTTTTCGAGGTATGGTGCTACCTCTTTGGTTTCAAGCGATATCCGAGTGAGACCTAAGGGTATACAAATTTTCAACGTGGAATTTCATTGGCCAATTTTACAAAATGGAAGTTTCATTATAACACAGATGGATGAGACATGGCCTCTGACATCCTATTCGAGCCCTTCTCTCTCTATGAATGAAAGAGACCGGAATTCGGGGAGTAGCAACATTTTCTCCATCAACATAAGAATTTGGAAAAAAGGGAATGGCGTCACCATCCAGTTTATTGTCTATCCAACATTACGCTTTTTTTACATTGTCATTGAGATCTTTTCTTAATATAATTACAGTCTAGTCGTCTTCTTGATTATGAGTAACTTCATATCGCTTTCCTCGAATACCCCAGATACCCCAATTTGCGCATATTGCCTGAGTTAGATCCTGTAAGTTGATGTCATGTTTGAGACTCTTGAAGTGATTCTCCGTCGGCTTCAAAATCCAATCAAAATCTTCCCCATGATCCTCTTCAACAGCCTTGACATCCGTTTGTACATCAGTCTGATCGAATCCAGTGATAAACATAGCACACTTCGTGTCCAATGCCTTAGCAATGGATGGCTTCCATGCTTCACGTGAGTCGGGATGGCCGATGCCAGGAGCAAACAGGAAGTATATATCACGATATGGGTCGAATGAACCAATCTTTTCGTGGTAGTCGTGGTACATAGCATTGTCGTATGTAAAAGTCAATCGATCGTTCAAGAAGGTCGTGTATGGCTCTCGGTTAGGAGGAAGCGTGTCAGGACCAATGAAATGAAGATGGAATGGGGTTTGGGGAAACAAGTGCGACAATTGAAGCCAGATATGAGGAGGCAGGGTAGACTCTGCTCTAGCACCAAGTAAATAGAGATTCACCGTCTCAGTTTTCAGCATGGTAACACCATCCTTTGCCAATATAACCTTAGGATAAAGAATAGAGCGAATAGCTACCATGGAGTAAGTTTAGTAAGTTATGGCGGTTAAATGATAAGATGTATGATATCGCGTATATGACAAGTGGGTTACCTGCAAGCGATCTGAGGCCTTCGGGAGTAACCTGCTTCTTGTATGGAGATGACTCGTGCAATACAGAACCAATTGTGATGGGATATGTCAGCAGTTTGGAGACATGTCGCATGTTCCTGTCGGAATCCATGGACGGGAAACTTCGGGTATAGAAGAAGACATCCCAGTTTGCCATATTGATAGCTTCATCAAAACCTTGGGCACCTAGTAAATAGTCGAATATCAGCATACCTGTAAAGATAATGAAACTAATACATGAGGCACAATCTTACTTGGAAATTCAAACTCTTTCATTGGTCGGCCGGAACGAAGGTCATGTTCATCTTCGTTATGTTCACGAAGGATGCCACATATCTTGTCATGCTCAGCTTTGCCTTTATGGTAATGTTCCTCGCAGCAATGCGTGGGATGTCCACAGTCAGGGCATTCAAATTCAGGGGAGTGCATGGAAGCACGGTCGCCGTGGTGCTCTTCGTTGCATACAGGGCATGTCCCGTACTTTTTGATGATAGTAGCTCTGTCACGGATTTCAGGTATCGGTGACTCGGACAGTGGGTGAAATAAATTGTCTTGGGACAAGATAGGCTGTTTGATACTAGTACTTTGGTCATTATCGCCCTTGCTGGCAAACAAGCTCTTGATTGACAGCGGTCGAGTAATGATACGTGTGGTGCTGTTCAGAGAGGGCTTGAGTACTACTGCGGATTGTGCCATACGAGCTCGAGATGCCAATGCCACCCTGATGGCGGCTGGCCTCAGCATACGTAAGGAATTCATGTATGTCTGCTGGAGGGGATTGAGCGATAGACTTCAAAAAAAAAAAAAAGGAAGTCAACAAAAAGAATAAACAACAATCTCAGGTAGGTATCAAAACGTTTTGAAACATATTTTGCTGTAATTTGAGCCCAGTCAGAATTCTATGAATTACAGTTCTATGGGTGAAGATATGATGGCTGTTGGACTCGAATCGGTTTCCATAAGATCATCTACATCTAAAAGACTATTATGTTCGCTTGCGGATTCTTCTAGACTTTCGTTATTATCGCTTCGCAGCCTGCTGCTAGATCTTGTTCGTTGTGGACTTGTATCTCTTTGAGCAATTCGTCGACTTGACCGAATACCGGTTCTCACTGAAGTGTTTTCATCCTCCAACTCCTCATATTCGTCATCTTCAACTTCATCATCGTACACGTTGTCATACCGGTAGCTTACAGGTCTTCGACTGCGTGATCGAAGGGTCATTGGATCGTTCATGAACGGCAAAGCCAATAGTCGCTCTTTTGATTGTTTTTTTCGTTCCACCTTCTCGCGCGCCGCAATGCTTTCTTCGATGTTAGGTATTACTCGATTCGTTAGTTTCATGTACAGTTGCTTCTCTGTTCGACTCTTGGTCTCTGCAATTTCCTCAGTAAATGCCCTCAATTCCTCCAACGTATTTGCGACTGTAATTGTATGAAACGGATTAGAAGGTCTAACAATTCAAGTCTGTTGATCTTTTAAGAATGTTCTTTACCGATCTCCCATTGTGATCGTTCCTCTGTCTTAGCACCATGCTTCTCGCGCCATAGTCTGGCGGAATCACCAAATTGCCAATAAACGCGTTTTTTGGAATCAATCCCAACAGGCAAAACGTCGATTGGATTGCTCTCTTGATAGCGATTCCCCCGACAATGTTTGTCCATGAGAGCTCTTATAGCAACGCAGTCTTCCAGCTGCCATTCCACTAAGGAGCGCAATATTTCTAACTAATTACATAAGAAATTAGATTAGGGTCCCCATATAATGTTGACGTATGCTTCGCGTTGGAAATTATTACCTTGACGATAGGTTCTAACGTGTCAAAGTCGGTGCTTCCAGCAATTGGATTGAAATGGAGCAAAAAATCAGATGCCTTAATTTTTGCTTGTAACAGTTCGAACAATCCTCGTCGTATAGTCGCTGTGCTAATGGGATATTTTCTCGTCAAATAGCGTCATTCATGATTATACATGTCAACATCTGTGCATACTCATATATTTTCTTTCTGTTGAGAGCGTTGCTGGTAAAACAACAAATCAATTGGTCTATTAGATCGCTTTTGATTCTTGACATGAGGGCTTGTTCGAGATCCTATCAGGGAAATAAATGTCATCAGTACATTTTACGCATACGAGTTGCTTCAAAATGTTTACATACTCCTGGTTGAAAGTCTGGACATGGGTGCAAAGCTGGAACGTCTAACCACAAGAATTTGCATGCGAAAGCATGAATGAAAGCAATATCCCAATACCCAACAATGGAGGCGGACGAGTTGTCTGGAACGTCGTCAACTTTATCTACGTGACGCGAAGTATCGATATCCGTATCTATGCCTGTGTTTTCTTGATCATTGAGCATCATACGGAAGAGATCAAACGTGATCTGGAAATTCACTTGTCGGTTGTGATCCCTTTTGTTTCAAAACCCCGTCACGTAAAATCAGGATACAAGTAATCATGCGTTGCCTTCAATAAAAGATGTGGTTTATTGTTGATGCCATTGCATCCTGTATAACAAAGTACACTCCCAATATATATTTATTTGAGAGGGACGAAACGAGAAGAGTGAGTGGCACCAATACCGGGGCGACCGTGCTTAACGGGCTTGTAGGAGATGCTAATGCGGACAGATATTAGAAAACGTACGAAGTCGGTGAAAGATATATCTTGTGAGGGATACTTACGAGAACTCAGCGAGGTAGTGACCAACCATCTCGGGCTTGATTTCAACTTGGTTGAAAACCTTACCGTTGTAGATGGCAACGACGGAGCCAATCATCTCGGGAACGATGATCATATCACGAAGATGGGTCTTGACGGTGGTAGGCTTCTCGTTACCAACAGCCTCCTTCTTGGCAGCACGGAGCTTCTTAATGAGACCCATGGGCTTGCGCTTCAAACCACGTTGGAATCTTCTGCGAGCACGGCAGTGGACGAGCTCCATGAACTATGGTGACATATATTTGCATAAGACGACACTATCTTAATTGTTTGTTCCTGATCCTCATATTCTTACCTGCTCAGAAGAGAGGTCCAAAAGTTGGTCGAGGTCGACACCGCGGTAAGAGAACTTACGGAAAGTTCTGCGCTTTTGAGTAGTCTGTTCCTGGTCAGCCTATCGAGGTAGAAAAGAAGATGGTCAGTTCTATGATGACATTTGGAATAGACGGCTTATGCCAGTAAAACGAGATGGAGTATGGCGCAAATACTATAGCTGTTGAAGACGTGTGTGTTTGATGTTGTGTGTTGAATGTGGCCATGGCGTTGCCTTCATTGACATTACAGCGAATTCAACATTAAAAAGTTGGTAATGGTTGGCTGTCTTTCTTTCTGCATCCATCCATCCATCCACCCAACAACATCATCCCTGGATGATTAGACATATTTCTATCATGGTATATAGGTATACTCACCATATTCAAAGAAAAGGAAGATTGTGGATTTCCAAAGTAATCCATCTGAAGTACTGACGACTCGCTAGAAAATGAAACTCCGTGGTTTCCATTTTTGGCAAGTCGAGACTACCTGTCGTTAACTTGTTGTATGAACGTAGATTTGAGTGAAAGCAAACGAAGCCAATTCAGTAACACTATGAATGGCAGGTAAAGTTTCAATGAGAATTATGGAAATTGGTATGAAGTTTCTGCGTCGTCTAGCAAGCATCATGTATAGAACCATGTACTGCGTCCTATACCTTGTTACCTGAAGAATAAGTCTACGTAGTGGCATTCCGTTCTTCAACATAATAAAATCCTTCAATTAATCTTTGGTACATGTCTAGACCTGATCTACCTTCTAGGACACCCGTTCCGATTACAAAAGGTAGCGTTTGGCACAATATTGTAATTTTGTCATCAATTCATGTGACGTAAAACGCTCGCTAGCAAATTTTTTTTTCTTCAAAAGCCACCCTTCTCAACAACCATAGATCGTCCTCTTCTTTTCACCACACATAAAAGTAATTTAAAATGGGTCGCATGCACGCTCCTGGAAAGGGTATCTCTAGCAGTGCCCTGCCTTACCGCCGTACTCCTCCTTCCTGGGTCAAGACCACCCCCGAGGAAGTCTGCGAACAGATCTTCAAGCTCGCCAAGAAGGGTTTGTCTCCTTCCCAGATTGGTGTCATTCTTCGTGACTCCCACGGTATTCCCCAAGTCAAGGGTGTTACTGGTAACAAGGTCCTCCGTATCTTGAAGTCCAACGGTCTCGCTCCTGAGATCCCCGAAGATTTGTACCAGCTCATCAAGAAGGCTGTCTCCGTCCGCAAGCACTTGGAGCGCAACCGCAAGGATAAGGACTCTAAGTTCCGTTTGATTCTTATCGAGTCTCGTATCCACCGTCTTGCCCGCTACTACAAGACTGCCGGTCAATTGCCTCCCAACTGGAAATAGTATCCTTTTTTTGACGCACATGCACTGCACTTTGTTTTACAGCTTTTGGTAGATGCGATGATGAGAAATCTCTCGCTCCCAATATTGAATTGGCCGATTGGACATTATGACAGAGTGTAAATGCTACAACCGCTTTTTTCTGAAAAGTGGCTTGTTTGCATGCTCGATAATTGTCTACCTTGACCTCTTTTTTTTTTCTCTCTTACAGTGAGTCCGCCACCGCTTCCGCCATGGTCGCTTAATTTCCACAAGCCACTACTTTTACATGTTGGTCGACAAGAACCCCTTTGGTCTTTGGTTTCGACATTTGCAAGGATCTTTGTGATGTTTACATTGCCGCTTATACCGCTGAGACAAAGGTAGCGTACTGGTTCGACTATGAACGTAATAAATCATCGACAAATTTTTGTCTACATGTTATGCGTGTTTGAGGGAGGATTGGGGTGGGTTAATATAGACTCGTATATTTGTATACAATCAGGCATTGATGGCAATGACGAAAGAACTATTGATTACTCGAGAACACATAATACATGTGAGTTGTATTCACACTGTCCGAGCCTTTTATCAATCCTGATTATAACAAATAAATGCAAGGAAACTTTTTTTCCACATACAAAAACATATTCCATTCGATTCAATGTTCTGTGTTGAAATTGCTGACATCCAGTGTGTTATACTGATTCAGGCGCAAGGAAAAGCAAATAACTAGAATGATAAATTCGTATAGCGATGTATTTGCCGTAAAGTAACACTTTAATCCTATGATTAAATAAAAAATAATAATAAAAAGACAACGAAAAAATTGCGCAACAATCGCTGCTGTCAATAACCCGGGGGACTGTCTTCTCAATAGCCATGTACCGAGATATCAAGCCAGCCGAAGCACCATCAGGGTGGACGCCCGATGTGGTGTGTATCGACCGTCTGGTATGGTCGCCAAAGATACCAGCCGAGCTGAAAAGCATGTTTATGCCCAAACCAGGAGCTCTTGAACCTCCAGCAACCTTTATAAACGAGAATGTCAATGTCGTTGGAACTTACAACAATTCCCCCAAAGTCACACGAAAGAATGTCAAGATAAAACGCATCACCGATCCAAAACACCCATGCTGTGGAGCATACGGCCTATATGCTGCCCAAACTCTGGCTCCCAAACAGCTCATTATAGATTACATTGGCATCGTCGAATACCGTGATCAGTATGACCCCAAGTCGGACTACGTACTGCGATTTGGACCTGATCTATCTATCGATGCCGGCCGGTATGGAAACGAAGCGCGATTCTGTAATGATTTCCGAGGTATAGGTGAAAAACCAAACGTATGCTTCTTGAATTATCAGGATGAGCGTACAAAGGCCATTCGGGTTGGTATTTTTGTCCAAAGTACCAAGGAAAAAATCAAGAAAGGCGATGAGCTGGTAAGCATTTCTCTTGTAAGAAGTATGCTGTTGGCAGAAATTAACCGGTTGCAATTCACAGCTTGTTACCTATGGAAAAAGCTTCTGGACAAAACGCGGTGTACAGTTGAAAAATCAGTCGAACACTGAACCATAAGCTCATGATGATTTAAATGCCATTCCAATAGTATATAGTTCTCACACTTCAACTCTTTTCATGTAATCCTACAATAATTATATTCCTCGATTTAAAACCAAAATGTAAAAGCAAACATTCATAATTACAATCTGACTTTATGCATTTCTCTTTTCAAGTATTACACTACAAGGCCTAATTACAAAGAGAGACCCATGAACTTTCTCTTCTGGAAACACATCCACCATTTGGATGGTTTGCCATCGACATAGACACGGTCAACTAGTCGGACAGCCATCTCTTGACGGAGTTGTTGTATGTAGATACGAAGTTGATCTGTTAATGGTTCAATAATTAATGAATGCGAATAAGTGTGACTACATCTCTTTCCCGCGCTTATTACCTGCTTGGCCTCTATCTGGGGGATGCGAGTACATGGCATTCAATGGAAAGGTTGCATCACCGGGAATAGCAAAGTTGGTAACGGCCAAGGTGCTCAATTGTTTGACCGCGTCTCCCTGCGATGGTGACTTGGCAAGCTTGCCCAAGCACTCGGATATAAACAAGATGAGATAGATGAGCACTCGATCAGCGTTTCCCTTGATTTCAAAGTTGCGGAATAAGCAGTTTGCTCGGAATAAGTTTAAAGCCTCGTCTATAATGTCTTCAGTACTTGGGTCCGCTGCAATATATAAGAAATCCCGTTAGACCTGACAATTTTTTCCTTCGACATCATACATGCATTATACTGACCCATAGGAGCATTTCCTCTGACTTTAGTTTTGATAGGAAGAATGAAGAAATTGCCAATCGACTGGAAGTCGCCGTCATTAAACTGGGAATGATATGCCTAATTGTGTATAAATGGGTTAGGAACACTTGCTGATGTTGACTCTCTCCATTTCGCGCTCATCCAGTCCAAGTCGTCAAGTTCAGAGTACTAAACACGAAGAGCATTTGACTCTAGACCGGTGGGCTACCTGCTCATAATCCAACGATACTCACAGGCATGATGACCGAGTTCAAGTTCGTAGCATTCCGCTGCCTTCGGCATCTGAATTTTTTGTACTGGGCATGACGTCGGTGACGGCACCTGCCCAAGCGGTACATCCGCTGAACTTTCCATTGAACACTCACTGTGGCCATCGATACTCATGGCTTACAGAATACATTACTGGCCTCAATATATTATGCGCTCAAATAAGCATGTATAGTGTCCTTCCTTACTAAGCCAAGAAATTGATATTTGTGCGTCTACAATTCTCATTTCATGACGAACCTTTCTTGGCAAGCGCTTCGCACTGACTTCTTATAATTTATGGTACTAAGGTATCAAGTGTATAGAGCTCAATTATGTAAGTAATATGATTGAGGCCGTCCGCATAGCCAAACTTTTTGCTTTCAACAAATTAAACATTTTCAATGCTTCGCTGAAAAGATAAAATGTAGGGAGAGGTGTTTTGTTTAATCATTGGGTAATGTACTGAGATAATGAAAGTAGATATGATTGAGAATTTTCAGAAAGAAAAAAATAAGCAGCATTGATGAAGAATATTTATGTACATGGCTGTTAGGATAGGGTTGCCTATGATGATTGCCCTGTGATTTTGGGTGATGTGCCTTCGCTACGTGGTCCGTTGCTGAGCTGAACTACTTGTAGTGGATCATGCGATCCAAACCTCGCGCGTTTTGATGGAACCGTACGAGATCGGCTGAGTGCTTTCGCTTTCCTTTCTTCGCCGCCAATAGAGCCAGTTGAGCTGGCAAAGGATAGTCGATTAAGCTCATGCTGTTGTTTGCGGTAGATATCCAATGGAGTCCCGCGTCTTTGGGGTAACGTGCTTGGTTGTGACTGGCTATCATTGCTCGTTGTAGTGGAATCTGGTGTTGGGTTTTTATTGTCCAAAACATACCAAGCCTTCTTCGGCATATTGAAATGTTCATGGTGTTCTATCAGGAACTGTATGACCCTTTGCGAAGTCTTGTAATGGGCAGGGTTCATAGCATGCTCAGAAGAACATAAAATGCCGGGCGTGAATACTGACGCGAGGTTGGAAGCATCCATACGAGTTGTTTTCTGATTTTGTACAAAAAGGGCCATGAGGTCCAATAGATATAACAAGAGGTATTGATGATCTTGTGGCAGTTGATCCAATAGTCCCTGGTAAGCCTCCACTTTTTCTTGCTCACTTATCGGTTGATCTATGACCCAGTATCTTTTTTGGTCAGCTTTGTACTCCTGTACAGCCAATCCGGTCAAGTAAACGGCTAACTATATCACTACTTACCAATCACGTCACGAAATACTTGGTAAAAGCTCGACACAATGACAGGCTCAGGTAAGTAGTTGAGAAACCGTCGAAGTACGCTGGCAGCGTCGTGAACGGTGAAGCCTTCCCAATCCAACTGACTCCCGTAATCCGGAGGTGTATCGAATATCCGCTGCAGGTCACCTATCCTCCTTGCACTACGAGGTAATAACTGCATATAAGTCAACCATACAGGAACATGAAATTTTTGATTGAAATACAAATACCTGCCGGACATCCGGAAAATACCCTCTGTATAGAGCCCTGAATATATGCCAAGAATTTCAGTATAAGGTGTCTATAATATGCTGAGGAAATATATCAAAATTTGAGTAGCCAAGATATACCTCGATCTTTCAAAAAGGAGCCACATTTGGCAACAATGCAAGGAACAAATCCCACATATTGTACATTGCAATCCACATAGGCTATGGCTGCGTGAGCATATTGAATGCTCTCGGTCAAAGGAACTCCAAAAACTAGAAGATATGGTCTGAGTAGGCACAGGATGAGGTTGGATCATGGTCTGGGCTGAAACACTAACCTAGCTGTTGTTGAGGAACTTGTTGTGGGTTGTTGGCCGTGGTAACCTTCCGCCACCAAGATCTGAAAGCATTAGAGCCTTCTTTGTCTTTGGGTTGTGGCATCTCCATTTCGAAAGATAAAAGAGGGAAAAGGTGCCCTAACTTTTTTAGTTGGAATGGAGAGGTAGAAAAAAATAAAGAGGAAGCAACTGGAAAAAATTATAAAAATTGCTTTGTGGTGTTGTTGTTGCACACATTCCACAACCCATCAGGCATGGCTGAGCAGCAAGACATTGCCCTCCAAACATTTAACGAATTAGGGTTGACGGCTTCCGATAAAGTATCCAAGCAACAAGAGTCAAGTTTTGAAAATCTCGACTTCTCGCCTCAAGACATCTTAAGCCCTTCATCTATTGGAGCTTCAAATGTGACAGATGGAAGTACTTTATTACCCAGTGTTCACGAAGAAGGCTCAACCTTGCTCAACAGCAGCAAAGAGAAGAGAACTACCACGAGTCCCAAGAAGACTCAAGAGCGATATCCAACATCCAAACCATCAAGTCGGTCAAAAAGTCAAAGAAACTACCAAGTGTTTCCTGGAAGAAACCGGTTCTTCTGCGGAGGTCGCGTCATGACCAGTCGTGAATACTATGCATTTGCGCTTGCTCTTATACTACTAATTGCACCCTGTGCATTATTTGGTGTCTTCACGTAAGTAGCGAAGTAGTCGTATTCTCATGTTGGGGGTTAATAAGCTATTTGAAATGTAACCTTAATCATTCGTTTGCATAGTTGTCCCTGGATTTGGTTCAATGTTCATATCGCGGTTCCAATCGTATACGCCTATTTATTCGTTCTTGCTCTTGCTTCCATGTTACGAACCAGCTGGACTGATCCCGGTGTAAGTGTAGACTAATCAGTCTGTCATACCTATCTGTCATGAGCTTGTCTAACCATACAACATATATAATTTAGATTATCCCTAGAAATTTAGACCCCTCTCCACCGCTGGATGATTTCGATGACCGCCATTCATTTGCCTACGGAACAACGCTTGATCGACGAATCCCTGTTGTTAAAAAAGTGGTTGTAAAGGACCACATTGTAGACCTAAAGTATTGTGATACGTGTCGTATTTATCGACCTCCGCGGGCCAGCCACTGTCGACAATGCGACAACTGTGTTGGTATGTTTACAATGAGTATGTATACGTTGCTCCTCTACATCGTAACTGATTACCCTTTCATAGAAAATGAAGACCATCACTGTGTTTGGCTCAATAACTGCATTGGCCGAAGAAATTACCGGCCGTTTTTCATCTTTATCAACACTGCCTCCGTCCTGTGCCTGTATACCCTAGGATTCTCCATTTATCACGTCATCACGCTTTATCTTCAAGGAGATCCAGAGCGAAATTTTTTGAATGCAGTACAACAGGCTCCAGTCAGCTTTGCTCTCATCATTTTGTGCTTCATATTGATGTGGAGTGTTGGAGGTTTGACCGGATATCACTGCTATCTTGCTCTCAGCGGTGTCACCACGCATGAACAGGTAATGTCCTTTTGTCAAGCTGCGTTGTAGGTTTCAGTACGTATATTTACTCCGCATGCCTCTCTTTTTTTATTGCATTGCGCTTCCTTTATCTTAGCTCCGAGCGAATATCATGCGCGATTCGACAGATATCAATTTGTTCAGTTACAACAGCTCAATCCGAAATCTAGCTTACATCCTTTGTAGACCTACTACGAAAAGGTAAGTACTCTGATAGACTTTTCCTTATATATTGCCTTGCGACAAATGTTCTAAATGCATTCCCTTCTCAGCTTTTTGCGACGTCGTAAGCCAGTGGAAGTCGAAGGTGATAGACAACTCAGAAGTGTAGTAACATCCCAGGAGTGATATGTATTATTGTAGACGTAGTTGCGATTTTAATTTGTTACAAGATACCCTAGTTGTTACTTTTATATTTATATTACAATGTTAGTACTCTGCAACTTGGCAATAATGGCTAGTCCATGATGTCGTCTTCAGTTTCAGAGTATCACATCTAAAATACACTAGCATACCCATGGCTCAACTGAAGCTGTTCTTTCAATTTTTCCGTTTGCCAATTAAAAATTTTAGAAGAGCTTTGCATCACACTGACAGGCACACTACTTCAGCCTGCGCGATCGACATAACGTGTATGCTCACATATGGATTCAACGTAAATAAGGTTCCCCAATGTATTAGATGTTAAAAACTGTAGGTTGCGATGCGACAAATGTCAATTTAGAAAAGTGCTGGTCCCAATTAATCAATAGAACGCTCCACTGTTGAAAGATTGCGTTCATGCTGTAAACTTGCTTTCACTCCATGTCGTTGACGTCGTATTTCCAGAAGCTGAGCCCGCAGCTGCTTGTTGTGGTTTTTAGTCTGACGAAGTTTCAGTTGCATCTGCTCATGCTCACTGTACAAGGTAGCCTGTAGTAAAAGAAAAAAAAAACTCTGTGTTATCACTTGTGTCCGATGAGCAGTGATAGAGAATAACACGCACCTGCTGAGATAGCTGTTCAAACATGCTGCGTCTGAATTTCTTCAAGGCAGTTTTAACAGTACTGTCGTGCTCTGATGTACTAGAAGCATAGCTAGATTAGTGTCTACCGCTTTAACATATCTTTGAACGTGGATACATTCACTTACTGGTATGGTGCCATGACTTGACCAATGGCTTCAGATACAACGTCCATCTCGTTTGCCTCTCGCCGAGGCTCCGCCCTGTTTTGCCGTGTCGAAGTGTAGGAAGCATGTAGTTGAGCAAAGGACCTATTCAGGTCAGTTGTTTCCATCTTTTTCAGCAACACATCTTGGCCCTTAGTAACACTGACGTTGGGTGAACTTCTTGGTGGAGTAGGCAGTTGGTTTTGAGAAAGAGTGTCTCTTATGACTTCCAGGGCTGATCTTGGTTGGCCGCTATATCCAGATTGCAAGCGTTCATGATACCGCAGTTCTTGAACGGGCGACGGGGTACGTGCAGCATAGAAAGATGGCTCAGGCGATGCAAATGCCTTATTTTCCTTTTCAATCGATACTATACTTTCGGCAGAACCAAACGCGTCCACCTCTTCCAATAATAGCCTGTCCAGGGCGTGTTCTTCGGGATCTGTGCTCGGAGATGGTGATGGTCTTTCTTGCGTTTTCTCTTTATACTCTTGATGATAGGCTTCTAGAGAGAATTTTCTTTGGTCTTCCAATGGCGATCGGGGTTGACTATCTTCATCATCATGGTGTGGTGTGTCGTTCAAACCTTCGACTTCTTCGAATAGCGTCATGTCCAAATTGCGTTCTTCTTCATCAACAATCGTTGCAGGAAGTTCCGCCTCTTTCACGGGCTGTACATTGGGTGACATAGAGATATTTGCCTCCTCTTCATCATTCTCATTCACTTCAACACCTTGATCAACAGTTTCATATTGCACATGAGTGTGCTCTTTAACTATTAAGTGTTCTTCTGAAATGCCCTCATTTTCAATAGGTTCGCCTTGATGATGTTCTTCTGAAGGGTGCTCGTTCTGAATAGTAAATTCCGGTACATGATCTACAGGGATATCATCTTCATCATCACCTTCGAAATGGTCGTAATCATTGTAGTCATCTGGGGTGTGGTGGTCTCGACGGTGATCCATCAACACTTGATCAAGTGTTTGCTCTTCCTCATGTTCAGAGACGCGATACGACTCTCTTCTTTCAATTGTAACAGTGTCATGCTTTTCGACGGCCGCCACAGGAGACAACGGTGGCAAATTAGATTCCTTTTCTACAGGTGACAGAATTTGACTTGTCTCTTCGTCCTGCTGTTTTGTTGCATAGTCTTCCTCAGCAGCTACTGAAAGATCCACCTCAATACCTCGCCCTTCATCACTGATGGTATCGTCCATTTCGCCAGCCTTTGTCATATCCTCAAGGTCTGAAGCCACGTCTGATTCTTCGGCTATGATTTTTTCGTCGTCTTTGTGTTCGAAAATAGGTTCCAGTATCCGTAATGGGGTAGAGCTACGGCGGGGTTGTACTTCTTCAATATCTTCTTCAGATTCTATTTCGTCGACTTCCTCAATATCGCTCTCAATTTCTTCTTCGACCACTTCCTCAACTTCTTCCTCAACCTCAGCCTCTTCAATATGCGGTTGTTCATCCAATTCTGGTAGTGGAGCTGTCCGCTTTTCAATAGGCGATGGCAGTTGACTGTCTTCATCCTGCTTGTAGTGCAAAGGCATGTCATCCACTTCGTCTAGGAACAGCATATCCATTTCCCGTTCGTCGTCATCAAAAATGGTGGTAATGATTTCTTCCTCCTCTTCATCAGCAGGTTGTGCTTCTTCCAGGTCAGGGTTAATAGAGCGCGTTTCAAAGGCGTCCTTTTGTACGTCAGTATTACCAGCAGGGACGAAATTCTCTTTCTCTTGGATCAGCTCGTCTTGAGCTTGGTCTTCTTGATCCTGCTCCATCAGCAATCGATCTAACGCTTGCTTTGCATCTTGGTCAAACATTGGGTTGGAAGTTTGCTTTTCTGGCGCCGCTACTTCATTCTGTGAATCTCCATTGGTTTGTGATGGTAAAATTAGCTCCTTCTCAATGAATGAGGACGCTCGACTCGTTATATCATTTTCAAAAGTAGCGCCTTCTGCAACCTTCTTTACAAAATGCAGTACATCCTTTTCTGTCTCTTCTTCATCGATTTCAACAGGAGCCGCTCCTACTCTCTTCTGACCTACATGGCTAAAGGTAGAGTCGGTATCTTCAGCGATGGTGACTACTCTGTCCTTGGGTCTGGTTATATCTCTTAAGACACGATCATGTGGTGGACTACGTGCAGGTGGTGGCCGATGTATGGGAGGGGGAGAACTAGCTTCAGGTGAAGGGCTACGTGCAGGTGATGGCCGATGTATGGCAGGCGGAGGACTAGCTCCAGGTGAAGGGCTACGTGCAGGTGGTGGCCGATGTATGGGAGGCGGAGGACTAGCTTCAGGTGAAAGGCTAAATACAGGTGAAGGAATGTCCTCTTCATCATCTTGAACATCGATAGGCTGTTCAGTTTCTAGTTCCTGTGGACGATCCAACAACGTCTCTCCATACTTGGTGTAGTCGGAGATATCTCTCAAAACGCGTACAGGTGTAGGGCTGTGGGAAGGTGGAGCGACATGGGTGGGTGGTGGACGACGTACAGGTGTTGGACTACGTGCAGGTAATGGAATGTATACAGGTGGAGGTGCAGCGGAGGTCCTTGGCAGGAAAGAGGGGGGTTGGATATGAAGACTAGCCCTGGAGCTAAATCGGCTAGAACTATCCACTTGCAATTTCCTTCTTTTTTGTGAGATGTTGGAAGTAGTACTCATCGCTCGCTTTCTCGCATCGATAACACGCGGTCCTTCTGGAGTTTCGATTTTTTCGAAGAAATCATATGTATCGTCCTCCGGCTCAGGGAACAGCGATGGTGAAATACCATAATCCACAGCTGTTTGAAATCTCGATATCATAGTCTGGACTCTGGATGGTGTTGTTTCGGGTATAGGAATCATAACAGGAACTGAAATTGAGTGTTCTGGCGGTGGAGAGGGTGATCTGTCTGCATCCAGTGGACGGATATTGAAGCGACTAGGTGACTTATAGTAAGACGGAGGAGAGTAACGTCTATGACTTCGCCTTCTAAAGTAATCTACCAAAGGATACTCGGTCAATACATACAGGCAAATCGAATGTAAAACACCAAAGGCAAGACACGTACTGGAATTCAAACTCGCTCGCGACGCGGGCGAGGTAAAACCGTGAAAGCTATTACTGATGATGCTATCATTGAGTGGAGACTGGAATGCGGCATCTGTCACTGTGTTATTTACAGTATCATTATTGCTACTAAAGACATGCGATTCATAGGTGGTAGTTGTTCTAGGCGGGGAATAAGGCTCATTTCCAGGCTGGCGGATAGCGAATGGTGGCGCTTTCGACTGGTATGAGCTATGTTTGAAGAATAAGTTAATGGCATTAGATATGTTCTCCATGCTCGAGCCCTATTGTACCTGAAATTTCGCCGTTTGCGGCTCTCCATTCATGCAAACAAGTGTAAAGATGTCCAAGTTTTGAAATTCCTGTAAAACTGCTGTTGCCCACAAAATTTGCATTGGTTTCACTCAACAAAATACAGGCTGGCGATGGGTTTGAACAATTCAAATTTTATTAACTTAGTCAAGGAAGTTGCAAATATTGGAGGTTTATAGTTTAAGAGAAACCGGATTCTTTCAATAGTCTTGCGATCTTTTCATCTTCACGTTCTCTGCGAAACGGTAGTTTAGATCAGTATGAGTTGCAGCTCTATTAAACAGTACAAGGATAGGCTCTCACCTGGGCTCTAAAGCTAAACTTAAATTGTAACACGTTTCTTCATCACGGCTGCTCTGCAGATGGGTCGTAATAAATAGCTGTAATTCAGGAACAGCATTAAGGAAATAAGGCGAGCTTTGGTATTGTTGAATTTCGCGAATAACTTCTGCCGTCTTCATACGCTTTGCAAAGTTGATGAGCTGATTTGATTTTCTCAAAAAGTTGGTGTTGCCGTCCTCGATAAAAGTCAAATCTTGCAAGTAAATACCAAGGAATGGAATGCAGGGTGGGTTGACTGAGTGAATGATCTCACGATATTCGTTGAAGTTCTTGTTGGCTCCCATCAGCTTACGAATATACGCCAGCGTTTGCATCGTTCGAGCTGACACACTGTCCCATGTTCGTCTTAATCGACCAATTGCACTGTTATCAAAAGCAGACAGAATAGCCATACACGTATTGAAGTTGTTGAGAATACGACACTTTTCGGCCACCTGGACCCAGTGCTTGATAATGGCGCATCTCTTCTTAATTTCAGTTTGACTCAAAATAGAGTCAGTGACCCAAGCGGTAATTTGATTGGAGTATTCAATCGATGCCTTAACGTTGGCAGCGATGTTCTCTGAGTCTTCTCTACCCCAATTTTTGTCCAGACATTCGACTGGTTTGATTTTGATATAGAGTCGCGAGTCCATGACGGTCAATTGACGAGCAATTTCAAGTGGATCAATATCCAACAAGCGGACACGCTTCATGTTCTTTGGCAAAATAGATTGTGGTGCAGGTATGCCCGGTGTCAATGTCATCTTACGGAATTGGGAAGTGTCATCTGCATCCATTCGCTTCTTGACCAATTTGATGAGTTGCTCAGACGCAAACTGCATGGATTCACGAATGGTAACCTCGGCAAACTCCATGATACGAGCAATAATATGTTGATCTTCTTCTTCGTTGTAAAAGTTTTCGAGCCAAGTCTTGATGACGTTGAAAACACTATTTGCAACAGGTCAATATCACAACTACATTGAAAAGCGCATCTGATGATTTTTTCTTTCTTACCGCAATCGAACGAGCTTGAGCTTCTTCTCACTCCAAACATCCACCTCTTCAGGAGTTAGTCCTGCGGGTGGTGGTAAGTTATATCTTTGCATAAGTAGATCGAACCATTCATCGGTTGTACAGAATGAACGGTAAGTCAATAAGAAAGTGTTGATAAACTTGGAGTCTGGAAAGATCATAAAAATGAAAGAAAGCCATTGTTAGTTCTTTGGATCATATTCCAATGACAAGTCACAATTTCACTTACCAAGGTAATCGTGCAATGTCAACCGCTCAACCAGCGCAGCTAAAGTACCACCTTTAACTTGACCTTCCATATTGAAGACAATGTCATTGGGAGTATAATCGTATCCTAGATACCATGGAACTTCAGGTGCGTTTAATGAAGTAGGCGCTCCAATGGCGGAAGGCATATTTGACACCGTGCTAGCAGGTCCAATGGTGGTTTCGCGGCGCTTTGCAGCTGCAGCTGCATCCTCTCCAAAGAATTTCTTGAGCTTATCATCTGGGCGACGACTCATTGGGTTATCCGACATGGAGCGTTGTGCAAGCGCTTGAGGTGAAAGATCATCCTCCGGGGACGCAAGGATATCATCCAACTCATCACGATCTGATATATCGGTATCGGGAGAAATTCGTCCATCTTCGTCTTGTGTACTAAAGTAGTCTTGACCAATATCCTTGCCTGTATCGATGCTAAGGGAAGTGTCTGGGATCTTCCAGGCTAACAAGTCATTGGTATCTCGTATTTGATGCGATGTTGGAGGAGTTTTTTGGGCTGATCTTGCTGGTGGTGGAGACTGGGATACAGCAGCTGGGACAACTGGCTTTGACATTCGCTCAGAGGTCAATTGAGAAATGGCTCTACAGATATCCCATACACTCTCTTCCACCGACGTTGCGCACTGCTCGACTTGGGCTACATTTGCATCCAATTCATCCGGAGTAGGAGCATCATTGGTGATAAACTGGGTTGCCACAAAAAGTGATCCCATAGAGTTGTACAAAGATTGCTTTGCGAATTTCAAATCTCCAGCATGAGCAAGAGCATCGTCCACAGCGATATCTTCGACGTGGTTCAAGAATTGACTGATAATATTGCCGAGATTACGGAACTGGGCGATAATGAGTGGTGTAGCAGATTGAATGTTGGGAGTGACGGAGGAGACATCATTTGTGTTCGTTTTCTTCTCGGCGACCTTTCGCACGTATTCAATAAATGACATGATGGTGCCATGCATGTTAGTTGCTGAGTTTTGCAAGATGGATACTTGCTCAGGGTGAAGGAAGAAGCGAGGCTGGGGTTCATCCAACTCACTGGCTGGTCCTCGAGCGCTACTCTGTGAGTTATTACGTTTCCTACGCCATTGAAGCGAAGCAATAGAAGTGGCCCCATTCTCTAATAAGCGAGGATCGGTATCTTGAATTTCTATACAGGCTTCTTGTGCTGAGCCTAAGAAATTTCGTACAGCGACCAATACATCGTTAGCGTCGGTTTCCATCTTAACAACCGCATCGGGAGGCGACCACATGGTGGAGGCAAGTTTGGCAGACAAGACCAACTTTGAAAGAGCTGCCATGATGGCACGGTATTGAGTACGTAAGTTCTTATCGTTCTTGAGGTGAGGAGAGTTCTCTTTGTCGATGGAGTTGGAGGTGTACAACATGAGACGGATGGATTCAACAACTGCTGTTGTGAGATCTCTATACAAGTGTCGCTGTCCATTCCTGGCTGCACTGTTCAAATCATGAATGGCGTGGGCAATAAGACTGGATAGTTTACCCCATCCAAGTGGTTCGTTGATTTGTTGATCTACAACTTTTCGGCGTGAGAGATGAGAATGATCTGATGATCGCTTTGATTCAGTGTCAGCAGCAGATCCACTAATAGGCTCATTTGCAGTTGACTGGGTCGGGGTTCCGGGTTGTATAAGCTTCAAGGACGAGGTATTAGGGGTGTAATGAGGTTGTGTGTTACGTCTAGTACGGAGAGCTTACCAGTTCACCAGTGGTGGGATCGACGTCTTCAATGTTCCATGTGGTCTCATTGGTAAGCATGTTACAATAATATGGACGACCTTGAGGAGTCATTTTTTTGGTCCAGTTAGGAGGATACTACAATGGAGTCTGCATAAGTCACCTTATCAAAAAACCAAACATGCCGCTATTTGAGACTTACATGCTCGTCAACATCTCGAAGATATTTGTTTTGAGTACCTTGAGAGGACACGGAGCTTAAGCGGCTATGGTTGCCGGAGCTGGCCATGCTGCGGTCATCCACGAATTTCTCAGCAACCTTGATACGGTTGGCAGAACGAGGTGGAATTCGGGGCTCAAACTCTCTGTCACTTAAGTCTTCATCCTGGCTGATTTCAGATTCGCTGACAGGATGCTCTTGAGCCAGCTTGGATCGCGACTGTACGGAGGCAGCCATATCTGGGGACGCACGACCGTTGCCGTTGTACGCACGGAAGTCATTTACATCACTATCCGAAAAATCATCCATGGATTCTTCCTCTTCATCCGGATCGTTAGGATGTGTATACCGCATTTTATGAGTGGTGAGATTATAATAGTAGAAACCGGAGCCATCTTCCGTTGTCTGTTTCACCCAATTGGGCGGCAACCCATTTTTCATACTAGAGGATTCAGATAGGTTGGCAGCCGTTCTGCTTCTTGATCTTGCCGTAGTTGGGGTGGCCGAATAAGACCGGTCAGACGAAGCCAAAGAGAGTCTTAACTGTTCTTTACTTCGTGCAGTCAGTTCATGAAATTGCTGCTGGTGTTGTGTGGATTCATTGTAATGATTAAAATCGTTCTCATCAAACCACTGGTTCTCGTTGGCTTGATGGTTGTTGTATGGCTATCATTGAAAGTAAAAAAAAAAACGTGAGTATTTTTTAAACTTTGATATGGGTGGGTTGGGGAAAATTAGCCCGTACCTTGGTCGCCGTTGTTGATTGGTTTAAGCCAAAATCGCCTGCGATCATCTCTGGCTCGTCCTCAATAACTTCAACGTAATTGGAAGGAAACCAGCCTCTCAAGCCATTGCACCTATAAATTATCAACCATATCAGTACCCTTGCTTGTACGCCCCTCACTTCGTAGCACTCAAGCCACCATGGGTTTCGACGTTACTCAAGCAGCACTCCCCGCCTTAGCCAGCGATTCTCGACCGACTATGCAAGATATTTGAATACATCCAAATAAGCCGTAGCAGCATGTAGCATACTATCAACAATGCTGGAGCACAAAAAAACATGGATCGAACCGAGATTACAAGGAATTATAAAAGATTGCACACGTACCATCCATCCCACCATCCAGATTCTAGTTGGGTTAGGACCTCGATGATGTCGCCTTTTCCAAATGACAGCGCTGACGGATCGCCAGACTGATATGCGTATAAGGCGTGTACCCTACACAGCACTCGAGGAGGATTCATTCCTTAGATGAGGATTGATGAGTGTGGAAAGTAGAGGAAGCGGTAGAAAATATCGTTCGTTGAGCCTCCGGTTTTTCAACGCCAGTCAGGTTTTTTTTTTTTCGATTTTGTGAGAGGTTGCTAAACTGTGTAACCGCCATGAGGCATTGTTCTGCGCAGTTGTCGTTTCAAGACCTCACTTAAAAACTCTCATTAACAGACAGCTTAGGAATCATCATTGCATTAAATGCTCATATCGCCTACTCCATTGGTCCATCTCTCGAGAGATTTCTCAAAGCTATACAATAACCGTAGCCAGGCGGACATTGTCATTCTCACAGGTACTCCCGACCCTACCCCATTCTACGCCCATTCCTTGATTCTACAATGCCGAAGTGTTTACTTCGATATGGTCTTAGCCGACCGTTCTAATATTCAACGAGACAACGATGGTTTGATAGAGTTTGAACTCCCACACGTCAACAAACATGCTTTCGCTATGTTGTTACGCTATTTTTATTCAGGCACAGTCGACTGGGTTATGGGCTTCAAGACGGAAACGGTTCCTCTGAGTACCAAGAAATCAGAACCCACTTCACCTAGTAGAAAGCACCGGCCTCTCCGACGATCATCCTCCAATATCTCCACTCTTCAAATTCTAAGTCAAAACAATCCCTCCTTAATACTTTCTAGCGATGATGAGAGTGATGGTTATTTCGGTGACAGTCAATCTGATTTCAGTCTTACACAAAGTGTGTTCAGCATGGCCTCATCCAGCAGCGGAGAGTCGGACGTCAAGTTACCTTTTCAATCCATCAATATTCCGAAAGTGAAGTCCACTACCGACTATGATACCCAAGGTGATTTGTTGCTGGATCTGCTCGTGGCTGCCTCCGAGCTGATTGTCGAATCGTTAGTCACACCTTTACAACACCACATTGCTGACAAATACCAAGTTTATCTCAAGAGGCATGTGTTCAAGGTCTTTGAGCTTGCGGACACATACGATTGGAGCATTTTACGACTTCGCTGTACAGAATTGCTATGCTTGGATCCTTATGCGTACTTTCGCACCACGGGATTTTCAAAGATGAAAAAGCATTTGTTAGTAGAAATACTACACCGGAGCGACTTGCGAATGGATGAATATGACATCTGGTGCGCGTGTCTCTTCTGGTCTTATGCCCACGCACTGGACGATAAAGATGATGGAAACAGTCAAGGCATATCACAATGGGTGCCGTCAACATCGAGACATCATGGACAATTTGAACGGCCAAATTCCCCCCAGCCTCCACGTCGTTCAACCCCAGAACTCCCACTGTACGCCACAGATCCCAGCGTCTCCGACGATGACAATTCGTCCACTTGGTCAGATGAACAGAAGAATCTAGTAGCACAGGTCAAAGATTACATGACCGCCTTGGTTCCATGCATAAGATTCCCCCTGATCGATGGAGAAAAGTACATACAACATGTTGAGCCATACAAGGTCGTGCCACCCTATTTGCGACAAAAATTGTTACATCACTACATTCTTAGCAAGCAGGCTTCATCACTCACTCTAGATAATCTCCCTCCACGACTTTCGGTGCCTAGAGAATCAAAACTACTGGATTCTCGACTTATATCTGGATATAATAAGCAAATCATTGACCATTGGATTGCCGGAGATAAATCGAACAATTGCTCTTCACTTGTAGAGAGTATAGTTCCACGACCTTCAATTGCCCATCCTTCCTACAGACAATCGTTATGGAAACTTCTGTATTCTAGCAATGTACATGGTCCAGATATGAAATCTTTCCACCATAAGTGCGATAATCAAGGTCCTACCATCACAGTCATCAAGATCAAAGGTACGAACGAAATTATTGGTGGTTACAATTCCCAAAGCTGGAGAAGTGAAACCGGAGGCCGATACGTCTTTGCTCGTGCTTTTTTGTTTACACTTTCTGGTACCGGAAGATTGGAGCGTCAGACCAGTCGCCCAACATCCACTTTGGCTAACAAGCTCACCATCGACACATCAGTGAGCGACTTTACAGAAGATCGGCCGTGTTCTCCATATACCGATTCCACCTATAGCTCCGTAGCTCTGTCACCTTCTTCTGTTGCTGACCCGTCCCTTGATCTTGTCTTGGGAAAGCTGCAAATGACTCCAGAGCCTTCGGATGCCGTTCCTGATGCAGAGCCTGATTCTTACGTACTCTCTCCCTCTGACGACTCTGGAACAACCTTTTCATACCAACAGAAGACGTCCTATGATGATGAGGAAAGGGATTTGGGCAGTAAAACACAGGTTGATGATATTTCAACGGCTTTGTCGCAGCCACAGCTCTACCCAGAGCCAACGCTTCATTTACTTAAGCGAGCGCATCTCCATTATGCCATACATAACCATGCAGCTTATGGTCCAATCTTTGGAGGCGGCCATGACCTGTTCATTGGCAACCCAATTGACGAAGCAACTAGTTTTTGTCGAAGTTACGCGTTTGAAGGACAAATCAGAAGTGGAAATGAGAATGACTTTGCTATAGAAGAAATGGAAGTATGGAGTGTTCGTATCAATCAAAAGTGCGTCTTTGACTCTGTCGAATAAAACGCCAGTTTTGTATTATATGCTGCTGCTTTCTTCTTCCTTTTTTTTTTTTTTAGAATATATTAACTTATCCTTTGCCAGTATTGTTGCAAAAGTGTAGTTGAAATTGCCCGGTTCATTTACTGTACAGTAGTATAACGTTAAATATTAAATCAATAAAACAATCCATCAGTTGATGCGATCTTTTCAACTTCAGGGTGGTAGTCACTTTGACCTTTTTCATTGAACTTCCTGATATCATGCTACAGCTTGAGGAAATGCTTGGCACAAACGACCTTCCGTTGCAAACCATCTGGTAAATCGAAAGAATCTGAGCATTCCATAAAACCTTGGCCAGCAACACAATTTTAATATTTTCTGACTATGAGGTTCGCTGCAAACCATGGTATGCCTCTTGCGTCAGGAAGACATAGAATTACAAAGCGGATCATTATGGAAGTGAACATCGAGCGAAGCTGGTATATATTGTCTTGAACAGGCCGTACTTACCACAGCTTATTGTTGATTTGACTTTACATAGTAATTACCTATGTACCATTGAGGCGCCACTGACTCTACAAATTCAGTCAAGTTTATTAACTGGTTTGGTCAGAGTTCATCATCAACAGTGTGATATTCATTATGGTAAGCTTAACTCAGGCTGTTACGATGATTTGTATTTTTTAACGTTTTCGACAGCGGCTGTTAAAGGCGTGTGGCAAAATCTTCAACGAGAGCTTGGAACTTGTCGACAAATCAACATTGATACAACGAGAACAATGGCACGGTTTGTTATCATCGTACAGCATGCCTATCAATCGCGTAATGTTTCATACTAATACCCACTCATAACTTCTTATATCTATAGACTGAAGTCTATAACTCTACCAGATAATGGTAGCCCTATGGGCATGGTGCTATCGGACGCCGTGCATCCATTTGAAAACTTGGTAGGCAAATCCCTCCTTTTTTTTGTTTTTTTTTTTTTGGTCTCGTTGCTCTATCGTCTTTTATAACCAACATGAACTACGGCTAGATTGATAAAGACAATTTTCGACCAGACTGGTTCTTCAACTTGCGACCATGCGAGAAGCAGTATAGTCACATCTATACGACTGATTTATCATTCGTGGAGTCACCACCTTTGAATCGTAAGCCCCTTTATGTTTATCAAATGCCTTCACTTTCATCATAAGAATTTTCAATTCAAATCTAAGACACATACATTATAACAGTTCTGTCATCAACAAGACTTAATTTTGACGATTTGGAATTTGACATACAGGACGCTATCTCGATAGATAACGATGAAGGAAGTATAGGATCAAGAACTTGGAAGACCATAGGACACAGTCAGGAAATGGAAGAACACCTCTCTCTGATTGGCATATCAGATGCAATTTGGCATTCTGGTGGAGAACAGTTGGGCTTATTTCATTTCATGGATACTTACTCATATGATATTGCGCTAAAATACTCGATATAGTGAAGAGACGCTTTCCCAAGCTCGAGGACAAGCTATCTTATCCAGACCATTACAAATTTCCTTACCGGGCGTCAACGAGGCTTTGAGCGACTCTACCATTCTTAAAACCTCCTCCGTGGTCAGTCATCTATACCTTTCTTAGAACATCATCACCAAATAGACGATTTAGCTGATTTATTTTCTCAGGAACTGGTCACTGAAGATCAAGCCAAAATGGGAATCACCGATCAAAACCTCGATACAAATGGCGGCATCGAAATATTGAGAGGCATGGGCGTATATCAGGAACGCAGTCTGTCTCAAATTGACCTACCTAGCGAAAATGCGCTGCGTATTAAACGCTCGTATGTCAAACACAGATTGGCAAGTGGTTCTCAGGTTGAGCTTACAGCGCAACAGTTGGCTAGCATGCTATCAGAAAACCACTCTCATCGTACACGGGAAAGGCTCGATCAAAAGGTACTTGATATAGCTAGGGAAAAAATACCTACATGCAGGGGCGCATATTAATACCCCCTTCCTAATAGAAACACCTGGAAGAAATACGTAGCAAATTCCATGAGCTTCTACATCATCCTGGCTGCCAAGGTAGTAGTTAACTCCTTCCTACATTATAACGAAAGTGACGTCCAAGCGAGCTCTGTTTTTCATTGATGTCGTTCCTCTTTAGTACACGCTACTGAACTGAAGGAGATGTGGATAAACAAAGAAAAAAGTAAGAAATTTCATTGTGCACAGATCTTCTAACCATTGCAAGATTGAGCTAACTTTGATTTTAGGTAGTGCTAGGGAGGGTCCACTGTCTGCTCCGAAGTATTTTGACGAGCGACTAGCAATTCACAAATCATTGATTGGGCGTCAAGTACGAGACGAGAATGAAATGATGGTGGTAAGACTTCTGCAGTGATCTATCGTATGCCACTTATTAGGCATATTTGCTTGTAGATCTAAATATCAATACACATAACTTGTTCTTTTCGCTTGTTCTTTCACTACAATATGGAAGCCCACAGAAGATCCAGAAGAAGCGCGCGGTCATCTCGGTGAAAGTACTGGAGAAGTTTTCTTTTGGAATCAACCAGAATACCTTTCTGATGATAGCTACGGTACAAGGGAATCTCGTGCCGGCTCAGGTGAATGCGATGCTTTCCTTTGAATTTTAGGGTATTTCAGTTAAGATGTCCATTTGCAGATACTGTTTATTAATATTCACTTTCTATCAATGCTGTAAACTTTTTGAATTAGTTGCAAAATCTCTGGCATCCATGAGCTCCACCGGTTTAAATCCTGCTTTTGACAATGAGACAAGGCCGAGCGCGTAAGCTAAACCTTTGTTGGATGCAACTCAAATTTGAACAAAAGATCTCAAAATGATGCAATACCCATATCATTGTTTATAAAGTCCCAGGGAGTTCCCAGCACTCGATATTTTACCTGAGCACGGCGAAGAATGGTCATCCATAGAAGGTACTATGGGATTTTGCTTGAACTTGAGATGGTAATCTCTAAATTAATCCATGTTTTTCGAATGCCAGATTTCGAGTTTCCTATCAGTTCTGAGATTAGCAACGCTGTCGAAAACAGGAATTTTCCTCATTGGTCGGACCAGGAAACCTATAATTTCTTCTCGTTGGTGTTCAATGTTTGATTACAAAGTGCACGAAACTTGTCATAAATAAATCTAATATATGTCAAATAGGTACACATGTAGGTTACTATCAAGTGCGGACACCAACAAAATAGTGTTCCATAGCCTATTCCCTGGCTTGACTCGAGCAAAAAGAGCTGCGATTTCCCAGGCGTTCATTAACATCCTAAGTATGCCATGCTTTGTGACATCTGTATACGATCACCTTTGGAACTGTTCTGTTAATGAGCCCGTTTCGCATCAAATGTTAGCTATAGCAAGCCAAGGTCTACTTCATGTACAACAGTTAACACCGTACTCCGATATTTTGATATCACTATGACCACGGACGTTGCGTGTTCCCAGTAATGGGTCACTGTAACCTTGAACGGACATAATACACCCTAAATAGCCACTTTCAGCACCCCCTTGCTTGAACCATAGACTCTATTTGTGTAAGCAGATATCATGATTTATAAACATTCAAACAATAAATCAGGAATCTATGGTGAAATGAAGTGAACGCGAGTTCACATGGAAGTATCTCAGGGACAATTCGATAGAAAACATGAATAGAATTTCGATCTGAAAAGCCTACATGATGCCAAATTCAACCACTCCGTATGCTTCGTGAGCATTTCAAATGTACGCCATGTGAATCAGCATAATATTGACAAAATATAGCCGTGGCTTAATTCTTTTGCACAAATAGAAAAAGTCCATAGGCGCCATTTGGAAAGGGTGATCTTTGCATAATTTTATCGGTCTCTTCGTGTTGGTATGGCATATCAAAATATGGGAATGAGTGACAGTGCCAGGTATTCCCATCCTTTAGGAGACCAGAGCGCGTAAAACAATGCACAAGGTTGGCTTAAATTAGGAATATTTCTTTCATGAAAGTATTAGCAATTTCTTTCCCCCTCTTCCGATGGGCTTTGTGATGAATTTTAGAACATGAACTTTATAGAATATTGCCTCTAGTCAGATATCGAGTTTATATGTTTCTCTTGCTTTTCGCGATATTTTGCCATTCCGTAAAAATAAAAGTGGCATTTTTAGTCACTCTGCTGTTCTTACTTTTTTTTGCAGTTGTTGTTTGACCTATCTGGCGATGTGGCATTACTGTATTCTTCATCATGAAGCAAGAATCCTGACCAGTAAATTTGTCATTGACAACAATAGTTTTTATTTTATTTTCATTCACACTAAAGACAACAAAATTTACAATAGGCTGTTGGTATTTGAATTCAAGAACAAAGTAAGAATTGAAAGTACAAAGGTACATGAGTATGGGTGTAGCTACTAAGCGCATACATAAAGACAAATGGCAAACATATGCCTGTGGAAAGTCGACGTTCTCCTTTTTTTTTTTTTTGGTATGTCTCTCTTTGTTGGGTTTCTCACAGATGAATTGGCTATAAGCTGTGTACGCCTATGATGCCGATTGGTGTTTTTTTATTGATTCCATTTTTGAGCTGGGTGGACGTCTACCTCGGTGTGAAGAGTTCATACTACCTTCTGCAGCACATTGAAGGTCCATACGCCAGTGTCTTTGTCTTGCGTCTGTTCTTGCAAACCCTTTATTGCAACCTGCGCATGTATAAGGCTTCACTCCTGTATGCGTTCGAAAATGGCGATGAAGATCATGTTTACGTGCAAAAGCGCGTGGACAGGCTGTGCACTTATGTGGACGATGTGACTTTTGAAGATGTAATCGAAGTTGTCCCGTTTCTGAAAACGCTGCCGAGCAGAAAGTGCATGGATGCATGGACTTGGCATTGCGTTCATTGTAATCTATTGAGCTACCTTCCATAGGCTGTCCGCTATAGTCTGCCATAGAGCTATTGGCTGACATATATGGTTGACGAGGATGCCAGTCTGACGTTTCTGAATAGCTATCATCATCGATATCCGACATGTCGTCGACCGTAGATACAATGGTGTTTTGCGGAGACGGAAGTACATTGTGGTTATGGAGAGATGCAAAATAATCTTGATCAGAATAGGAAAGGTGTTCATCGACCGGTGTTATGGCGGAAGATGGTATTGTTCTATCCAATATTGCGAATGGTGGCTCACAATTGAAGATTGTATCGTACTCGAAGATATCAATGCCTAATGGAGAAGAAACATTGTCTTGATACATTGAAGGAGAGGAAAGGACAGAGTTGAATCCATCGGAGTCATGCAAATCAAATTTATGCAATTCTTGGACTTCTATTTTGCCCATCTCTGAAAGTGGATTGCCAAAGTCATACATCCGACCGTTGCTTATAGCCCAATTCTGAAGAGGCCAAGAGGAATCCATGCAGCGTGAATTGAACAGTATTTTCTCACTCATTTGAAAATGACAAATGAACAATGCATAAAGTGGAGGAAAAGAAAAGCAAGATGGTAATAAGACTGTGATGAAATGTCTGCAAGAGAGCGTGTTTAAAAATAAAGATCATGGCTAGGATTTATATAATTTTTTTTTTTCTTTTTAGTCTGGATGGAAGGTAAAGCTTAAAATGGTGCAACCGGTGCTCAGACTGCTTTATGTCTTAGCAGGTACCTTAACCTTTTGATTGTGGATCGTTTTCCAAATAATGTGTCCAGGTTCACCAGCTTTCCTTTTTGAAATTGTATTTTATTTGGTGCTAAAGTAAATCGTGTGCGCAGATCCTTCATGCCCTATTTTCTTTTGCTTCTTTCAGATTTCTTGCTTTTTCATTTGGGCTCCTTGTCCTACGTTTGATTAGAGCAGCGACTCTGCCAGACACCGTAGCATGATGGCGTGGAAATTGGCCCGGCCGATGTTGTCACAGTCAAATATGAATGGTCATTCTAAGCTGTTTCAACGAAAAGTCAAAATTTGAATAACCTTATTCCATGAGATAAACTTACTGGCGAGGTGAAGTCTTCCAAACAAGTTTAAATTTTATCAACTTATGGCTGCGATGCATTGATTATGATCACTAATGCCAATCTTCTCCGTTTTTGATATGTATATTGACCCTAAGGGGGGCTGGAGTTCACACATAATAGGAAGGAGTTGATTGAGATGTAAATGGGGCGAGAATATACTGGGCAAAAACCTGTATTTTCACAGCGCTTTGTTCCAGGCAAGAGCAGCGTATTGTGAGTGAGCGTGCACTAAATAATGGCCACATGAGGTCTAACTAAAGGCTCTGTGTTCACTTTTTTTCAAATTAAAACATGTTCTGGAAGTGAGCTAACTGGGAAAGCTGCATAGCATGATTGATAAAACATTGAGGACATCCGAACGTAATTTGACAACAACGAACAATAATGACGCACTCTTTGACAATCGTCACATTTGCACGATGGAGACAACGCCTCCTTCTGACAAAGAGATGACTTGAAAGTAATGGCAGAATTGACGATATAGGATATTGAAATTAGCGACTGTCATGGTAACTTATCGATTGTTGTTAAAATCGGGAAATACATGGTAAAATCCAAACTAGTCGAGCAACATAAGCAACAAAGTCTAAAATCTACCATTGACATAACATGGGCAAACTAAAAAAAATCCCTAGCCGCCAGCCAGGCATCCTTTATCACATATCAAAACAAAGAGCCTTTTCCTATCCTGACAACTCCGCAGACCACAACCCCCTTCGTCTCAACCTTCAACCATATGATCTGTGAAGCATCGTCGTTCAACCAACCGCGCTAAAGAACAAATATGTCGCTCTTTCATTTCCGTGTACATCTTTTTCTCATGATCTGTTTCGATCCTTTCTTTGTACACAACTCACGATTTTCACGCAGCAAGATTGGCTATGGTGGACAGACTGTGTTTCAGCAATCGACAGCCCAGCATTACCGGAATGCAGGGAGCTGATCATCCTTGCCCACAGAAAAATTCTCATTTGAAGGTGTCGGGGGAGTTGTGCGTGCCATACGACTTGAAAGAGTTAGACTAATTGTAAGGTTTTTTGCATTTTCTAAAAGCCACAGAGAAAAGTAACCAGCGAAAGAGGGGAACATCTTCTGATTAGTTAAAGCGCTGCCTCCTCTGTTTAGCACCTCCTAAATGACATCGACTTTGGATGGCATTTTACCTCCAAAGCTATTCATCGCCAGCACTTTTTTATTAGCGTAGGTTCATCTACAGCTTGGTCAGTATGTGTATGATCGACTTGATACGTGCGCCTTCATCTATATCGGAAACTTGCTCAAAACTAAATCGGCATGACCTTATCCCTGTTTCATGCAATCCCACCGACGCGAATCACAACTATAGTTTTAATTTTGTATTTTCCTTTTGTAGTTTATGTTTGATACTGAAAAAAAAGTTTTTGCAAATCTAAGCATGTGCGACCTCCAATTCGTCGCTAACGTCTTTTCCTTCTACCCAAAGCTTAGAGCATTTGGCCATTGTGCTAGAAGCACGGGAGATAGGATCGGTTTGGTAGAAGTTCTTGACAACCGAAGAGAGGACAGCACCAGTGCTTTGTACGTTGTTCTTGCGCAAGGCTGAAAGTCCAAGTTGACCAAGCGAAGGGGTTTCAACCACGTCATATCGAGTAAGAGAGGGGCTGACATCGGAGAGACGAGAGCGCAAGCTAGGGAGGTCATCATAAGGCAAGGCCTCTCCAGCCACTTCAGAAAGTGCTCGGATAATCTTCCAATCTTCACGAGCAGCACCTGGTGGGTTGACAGCAGCACGCGTCAATTGTGATCGTCCTTCAGTGTTAACATAGCTAGAACATGGGCAAAAAAGGATTAGAATTGGTTGCATTCCATGCGCACAATGCGAAAGGGAGCTTACGTAGCGTTCTTCTCAGTGAAAGCTGAGCCTGGCAAAACAACATCAGCGTAGTGAGCACCATTGTCACCATGGTGTCCCTGGTAAACAACAAATGCGTCCTTGGGCACATCCTTTGCCGTGATTTCATCAGCATTCAACAGATAAACAAACTTTGCTGATGTGGAAGCAGCCTCCTCAGATGATGGAGTAAATCCAATATCTAGAGCACCAGTTCGACTTGCGGCCTAATGAAAAACAGAAAAGGAAGGATTAGCAAACGTGGATCGGAAAACGTAAGGTTTGCACTGCATCAACTCATATTACAAGGTTCCTCAACCACTTACTCTTTGGAAAACGTTGAAGCCGTTCCATTCTTCTTGGAACAAGGTATCCTTGTGCTTCTCGGCAAGTTCAGCAACCTTGGAAAGAACATATTCGCCATCAGCTGAGTTTTCAACAACTCCAGAACCAACAATGATCATGGGCTTCTTAGCCTCGGCAAGCTTCTTAGCGAACGGATGAGAGCCATTCAAAATCTGCTCGAGAGCCTTGGAGTCTTCGCCAATGTGAGTGTATTCATAGGAAAGATCAACTGATTCACCAATGAGACCCATATCTTGGCCATTGTGAAGGTAGGCCTTTCGGAGACGAGTGTTCAAGATAGGTCCTTCGTGACGGGGGTTGGAGCCAACCACCAAGACAACATCAGCATCCTCAGCTCCAGAAATGGTGCTGTTAAGGATATAGTTGGATCGGAAATCGCTTCCAGTAGCCAGTGGCTTGCTGCCGTTAGGAGCATCGATGGCAAGGTTTTCAGATCCAAATCGGTTGAACAAATCCTTCAAAGCGACCATGGATTCAGCATCGGCCAAGTGACCTGCGATGGCCTTCATGCTATTGCCTTCAGCCTTCTTCATTTCCTTGGCGATGGTAGTCAAAGCCTGCTCCCAAGTGGCGGGGACAAATTTGTTACCAGAACGGATGAGGGGAGTAGTAAGTCTTTGGCGCTTCAAACCGTCGTATGCGAATCGTGTCTTATCGGAAATCCATTCCTCGTTGATTTCATCGTTAAGGCGTGGGAGAACACGCATGATTTCGACACCACGAGAATCGAGACGAATATTGCTACCCTGTTAAAGACGACGACGATTAGAGACACTCATATTGGTTACACCATCATTCACCCAACCATCGTATACACAATATTTTGTTCGTGAATGCATGCATATACGGTGGATAATGTTTCAGAAAATGAAATACAACTTACAATGGCATCAGTAACATCAATAGATTCGTGCTTCTTGAGTTCCCAAGGTCTTGCAGTCATTTGGTATGGCTTGGAGGTAAGAGCACCGACGGGGCAAAGATCGATGATGTTACCAGACATTTCAGAAGAAATGGTCTTCTCAATATAGGTACCAATCTGCATATCATTACCGCGACCACTAGTACCAAGTTCAGTTGCGCCAGCAACCTCGTTTGCGAAACGAACACATCGAGTGCACTGAATACAACGGGTCATAACAGTCTTCACAAGGGGTCCAAAGTTCTTGTCCTCGACAGCACGCTTTCCAGCAGGTTCGTTATAACGGGAACGGTCACTACCATATCGCATGCTTTGGTCCTGGAGGTCACATTCACCACCCTGGTCGCAAATGGGACAATCCAAAGGATGGTTTGCCAACAAGAATTCCATGACACCTTCGCGAGCCTTGTGGACCAAAGGAGTGTTGGTCTTGACCTTCATACCTGGCATAATGGGGTATGCGCAAGAAGCGACGGGCTTTGGTGATCTTTCGACTTCAACAAGGCACATACGGCAGTTACCAGCAACAGCAAGACGGTCTGCAATGGGTGAAAATGCTTAAATATTGAAGGAATTGAACGTAGAGAGTGGATGGGCACTTACCATGATAACAGAATCTAGGGATCTATTTAGGAAGCAAAGACGAATTCAATTAGGTGTGTGATATACATTAAACGACGCCAAATTCACAAAGGTGAATTCCAACTTACATCAGCTCCGGCCTTCTCACAGGCTTGAATGAGGGCAGCACCTTGTTCAACCTTTACAGACTTGCCATCGACGAAAATCTCGACTTCTTCGTTATTAGAGGGTGTGGAAGAAAATGCACGGGCTGGCAGAAAATGGAGAGAGTTAGTGAATGTTGAGGATGTTGGACCTGTTTGTGGCACGAAATGGGGGTGTGCGTGATTATTTTTGTTTTGGAAATCGGGCTGCTTTCGATGGAGTCAATAAAGACATTATCACCAGCAAAATTGTAACCATAACCGAGGCTACGCCTGTGCGGATTCAAACCACTGCAGGACAGAGATGTTGCTACTTGTCGTAGTGATCGAACATGTTGTTTATGATCACCCCCATTGGTGCGTCGGACAGGATGTTGATGAATGGCAGTAAAAAAACACAGAATTGGCAATAAATTACCTCCAATGTTGTTGATGATGGCAGGAGCTCTGCGCGAGATTCCACTGGATTGGAGAACGCGCAACATGATTCAGCAGGCGTTTGCAGGAGTGGGGAGTAGAGCGACAGTTACAAACAGTAAATTCAGGATTGTAGCTACAGACTGCCTACATAAAACCCTTACAACAAAAAAAAATTGATGACGCAGACAAAATTTCAATTTGGAATGGCGACTCAAAAAGAAATGGGTCAAAAGATATTTGACAGGTGAAAAAAATCCAAAACACTCGACATGGAAGAATATAGGTTGTTACAACATTCAATTGCCTATATGACTATAAGAAATGGTATGAAATGAAAAGCGTTTTCCTCTGTTTTATCTTAACGGCTTATTTGTACGGGGGCTATTTTATTCTCAGGGCGTTAGTGCTGCAAGTCAACTCGTACACTACATACTACAATGGTAAATTTCATGTTGAAAGGAACGAGTATCAAAGGAAATAATTAGGATCACGAAATATAGATTACTTTATAACATCATTATTAATTTCAAGAAGTGAGTGAATGGGATAGGGAAGTAGCTACTTCCAAGGATTGGATGGCGGTAGAATTAGTGCGGGCTAAGCTGCATGGTGCCTGTAAGTGTGAACCTAAAGACCTTCCATCTCGTTTGGGAATGTGGATGGTTGTGCACTCAACTTTGGCTTGGTTAAGTAATCTCTTTCTATCAAAGGTAATCATCCTATACGTCCAAGAAATTTGTAACCATTTGTTGGTGAGTTTGGTCATATCCAGGGCAAGGTTTGAAAGAGCGCAATTTCGTTTTTGTTTTGTAGTTGCTGTAGTGCATATAGACGAGGCGAGTTTACGACTAGCTTGTGATGTTGAACTATCAGTGAAGAAACAGCTTCGATCCGATATGGTCGAACTGTTGTCCAGAGAGCCAATGTCATTGCCCGCTTCACAGTGAAGACGTATGGCAGTGTATACGTTTTGTAGGTGTAACATGGATCGGCGCAAAGGATTGTAAACAGTTGCATTATAACAGCTGTGATGAAGGATATCAAAGAGAGGGAAGGGGTGGAATTTGTAACCAGAATTAACGGACTTCTCTACATCATGTCCAACGGTGCTCATCGGTTTGATGATGACAATAATGCGAATGGGTACATTAGACGCGTGATCAACAATTTTGTTATCGTTTTCTTTCATGATCATATCCGAGATTGATATGATTCCATTACCGTTTTCATTATACTGAAGAGATTGTTCTTGATGCTTGAAATATTCAGTCACGAACATTGCGTCAGAGCTCAGCGTTGCGTAATGGAAGTTCCCTTTCGCATCTCCTTTGGTCTTGGTGATAGTGACAGTGTCCTCCGCAAACATGTCACTCATCTGGATGTCCACACCAGTGCTTTTAGCGAGCATGCTCTTCGCTTGTCGTACTGAAGAAGCAAAGGTTGCGACTTTCCTTTCGATTTCGAGTATGGTTTTCTTGCGTTCCACGCTACCAGAGTTTTTAAGGAATGCTATGCCATCTTCTGTATTAATGTCTTTTTCAGCTTGCATTTGTATCCATTTCCATTCAGAACTAGACAGGTTGGTTTCCGATCTTATGCGTGCACATGGTAACAGATTCTTGTGTCGCTTGTCGACTAGTATTCCCAGTCCTCGTGGCGTACTTTGAACATGGAAGAGACCAAGGTAAAGTCCAGGATTTAAGATGGCACGTCTGGCGTTGTAAATAGCTTGAGCTCGAAACCACACATCAGAATTTATCTGTGGTTCTCCATAGAGTGAATTAATGCGATCTTGAGGAGCCCAACGCAAGGATTGTAAGCTTTTTGGGTAAGAAGTGCATCCATACAGGCCTTCCAGACTTTTTGGGCAGAATTGGACTGTGACGATCATTTTTATGTCTTGGCGGCGAAATTCGACAACCTTATCGTGGAAGATACCAAGCTGATGGCACCCAGTATGCTTTCTAAGCTGAGAGGCAGCTGTCAAAACGCCTTCTCTGAACTGCAGCGTAGCACGACTATCGTCCATTGAAAAATTGCAATTGACAGGAGACATGCATTCATCTGAGGATGAACTCTGACTCTTCGTAGACTCATCGCTGGTTCCGAGCCCTTCATCTGAACAAGATGATCTTGCGTCGTTGCTAGAAACTTCTGCATCTTCATGATCAGCCCAATCCATGGATGTCTTCACAGCCCAAGAAAATTCGGTGCTGGTGTCATCGAACGTGTCGTATAAAGCTTGATCGTCCTGAATGACTGGTACGGTCGGAATGTGGCCTGAGGGCGTCAACAGTAGGTTCCCTTCGCTATTGAAGATCATGGCGGACATGTAGATACTGTGTGGCCGCAATTTAAACTTCACGTTTTCCGACGACGAGGTTGAATCATCTGTTTCTAATGGTTTACCACCACCATTTCTTTGGAATAACCTTGAAAATGTAGACCTGGGCATTATGAACGATTATGTTGTGGCCTTGTTATCGCAATAAGACTTTGTAAGAAAAAAGTTTGCATGAGTTTCCAAAGGGCCAATTGTTCAAAAATAAAATTTTACCCAGATATAAACTACGAAATATCCTGTCTATGGAGCTGCGGTGAGGGGAAATCGAAGGGCCAACTAAAAGGGGCAGACTTGTTCAAGTATAAGGAGAGTGAACGCAGCATTCAAGAGGGATGACACCATAGAGAGTAAACGTCATCATGATAACAAAGTAAGAATAGTGTAAACCAGTATCAATGAAGCAGGTAGTGATGTGCAAAATGACAGATCTACCATATTTTGTTGTTTTGAACCCTTGACTTGGCAGAACGTCAAGTTGATCATATGGAGAATTGGAGTAATGTGGAAGCACATATATAGACACATTTGAACTCGGCTCCTTTTTCCGTCGCCAGATCTTTTCGTTCGTCTTGTCAAAATAGGCTTTGGCAATGAGCGACGAAAAAAAAAAAAAAAATTGGCCAGAAGAAACTCTCCCACTATCACTTTCATTGAAATTTTTCAAGATCTATGCTAAACCTCGTCAAAACCAAAAATATGTGTAAACCCCACTTTTCAAAAGTCATAACACCAAGGTTTTTCAAAATGCATTGACAGTAACAGAAGGTATTTTCAACCTCATTCAATGCTGATAACGCAGGGTGCATACCGTCATGCTCTAACGAAAGGAGAGCCCTCTCACCAATCATATAGCGAACATATTTGTAAGATGGGATAGTTTCCACATACAGACAACCCTATGCAACAGGATGGTCATCCAGTGGCACTCTCGATTAGTTTCGGCCACGCACTTTAGACTCACTTTCATGACGAACGGGAAGCCACACCAAGGCCCAGCTTCCATTAACCCTTCATTACAATCACTTTGTCAGGAGACTAGGAGTTGACGAACGATATCACGAATTTATGTTTTAAACTGTTTACAAGCAAGGCAGTATTGAATATAAACCCTCAATTGCATAGCTGTGAATTACACTTGGGTGCTCCGTATTTACACTACTTTATAATGATAATCTGTCCATCCAGTGGAGCAGAGTTTTTCTTTTAATTGACCTTGGGTCGTATGCACTTGTATTTAACATGAAATTGTCTGTCGAACCCCTATGACTTTTCCGAGTCATTGGATGCGTCTGATGCTGGAACTGTATCGGTCTCCGGCACATTCGCCTTTTTGTCCCAGTGAATGGTAATCTCGCCTTCCGAGGGTTGAGACTCGACGGTGTAATGCGTGGTTGCTGTATTGGCTGATTTAGAGTGTCTATCGGGTGCTGGCTGTTCTTGAGAGATGGAGGTATTGGTAATTGAGGTGACTTGAGATGGTGCGGCTATACTTTGCCTGGAAGAGAGACGTCGCTGTGATGCCTTACGAGTCACTCGACCATCCCGACCTTTCAAAGAATCCACACGAACTACTACAGGCTTTGCACGGACTACCTGAATAGCGGGTGTTGCAGAATAAATGCTATGGACGGAACCTCTCTCGCTGCCATAGAGTTCGGATTGCGGTCGTCTCCCTGGGTCGTCGACAGTATCAAGACCTGACCTCGGGTATCGTTGACTCTTCTTCACTGATACTGCGCGACGCAACACAATCTTTGATTCATCTTCTAAATCATCAAATGGATTGTCGGATAACCTTTTTCGCCTCATTTCGTTTCTTGTGACTCGCATCGATGATGAACGGACAACGGCGGCTTGGGGAAGTTGAGTCTGTTTGGTCTTCAAGCTCAATGATCGGCTAATTCCTCCTTCGCTTTTCACCGTCGGAACAGCCGGCGCGATATTGGGTTGATCAAGGGTCTGGATGCTAGGTGTAACTTTGTTTTCATTGGGTATCACTGGAGTCTTCTCAGTAGAATTATAAGCGGAGCCAATGGCTTCTGGGTCCTGATTCTGCTAAAGAACACCGGAGGTTGAATTAAAATAATGATGAATGATTAATATTTTTTATGTTGCCGATCCCTTCTCTGTCAAGCAACGTGGCTACTTACGGCAGAATGGCTTGATAAAGTGGGTTGAGGACCACTGATATCACTTATATTGGTAGGAAGGATCAATGCGTTCTTCTCAGATTGCTTTTTTTGCCTTCTGCGCCAACAGAGAAACAGGACAATCAACAAAACTAAGCCTCCACCTAGTCCTACTGTTAATCCCACTATTAAGCCGATATTGGTCCCTGGGGATTGCGAAGCTGATATATTGGGAGATTTTGATGCATTGGGTAGATCGATTGCAGATTTGTTGATACATTGGGAAGGTGGGCACTGTCCACAACTTTGCATGACTGTTAGTGAACAGACTTGATCGCTTGAGCAAGTTGGTGAGCATATGGCTGTACAGCCATTAGGCTGGCAGTTGGTGGGTGATATAGTGTTTGAAGCCGCTAATGATAATGTAGACGATGGCCTTTGGGTTGAGCTGATGCTGGCTGTAGCTGATAGTTGTGTAGCATCCGCCAATTTGAAATGTGTGGTTTCAGATATGGAAGCTAAATGATATGAGGTGGATGACAATTATAGAGATTGATATCTTTCGAAAGCTCACCTGTTTTCTTAAATGAAGACGACATATGATATAAGGAGTGAAAAGAGTTTGGCCTGATTCAATACAGTCAGTCATCATAATATAAATGATTCGCAGCCGGGAACATTAAGTCCGAGTGCACCAGGTTCCTTGAAATTTTTTCTGAGGTCCGAGATTTCCATACAAGAAAATTCGAATTAACGAGCGCTCATTAAAATCTAGGTGAAACACGAGCACTGACAGAACCATGTTGCTGCCAAAATAGACTTCTTTGCCGAAGAGACCAGTCATTGTTTTTCATCTCACCTCCGTTTTACCCAGACACACTACTTTGTGGGAGTATGAATTTGGGGGTAGAGGTAGGCAATAAAGAAAAAAGAAAAAGAAAAGTCAAAGCCACGAGCACAAGATAATATTACAGTGATGGTTTGCTACAATCATTAACGTTTGTGTGTCGGCATCATCCATAATTGTATATGCGCATGCCGCCATGCTCCATTATTGAGTAACCCAATCTTTTTTTTTTTTTTGGCTGTGTGTAATTTTAACGTGCGGCTATACTCTACTTAGAATGTGAGCTGAGTACCGCCAAGTCAGCAGAATGTGTTGAGCGTATCTCTGCTCTTGCGGGACTATGACGATCTTGTTCGTTATGAGCCAAGATTTTCGTTATTGGTGCCTTCGGAATCGCAATGGTCACAGAACCCATAAGTCTGATTATAGAATTTTTGGCAACGACCGGGATGAAAAATGTGCCTCCTTAATCATCATCATTCAGCATTACATGACTATGAACAGACCATTGTGTTAAATCCAAACGTATTCATCTCCTTACTCAATGGGATGATTAGGTATGCATTTTTGCATGAAACTTTTTATATGGTGTAACCTAGCAACTTCGAGAAGCCCGACGAAATGTACAGTATTTTAGACCACAAAATCGGAAATAGTCTATTTACCGCCATGGATTGTAGAGGTGAATTCTCGCTTTAAAGCAACCGATGATAAGAGTGGAGAATAAACTACTGATCTGTGTCGTATCTGCAGTTTACAGGAGTGTAAAATTCATACGCCTCCAAATGCAGCTAAAGCACGGTCTTTAAATCAATACCTTTATGAGTTGAACATAGCATCGTATAATGAAACAGGTGAGGTCAAGAGGAACGATAGATAACTATTTATCTAAGTGAAGTACGGTTGCTTAATACTCACTAGACCCGTTAACTAGAGCAGAATACATAATGCCAAAATTGGGTACTTGCAAACGAATGGAAATATCGTAATAAAGGTGTATATTACAGTATACTTGGTGGCAAGAGAAAGGGGATCTCAAGTAAAAGCAACTATTTGGAAGTCAGAAATAAAAGTTTCGGCTTTTATAAAGCTCAATAAACAAGATACCAGTGTTAAATTAGCATAGAAAGTTATGAGAAACTCAGTGGATGTTGAGCCATCATAGGCACTATGAATTTTCAAATCCTATTTGATAGTCAAAAGTCAAGGAGGGAAAGAGAGGTGACGTGGCAGCCCAATATGGAATTTGGTATTCAGTGGGTCAGCACTCGCAATCGCATAGAGTATGAATTAAGGCATAATGTACAGTAATCAGCCTGGACGAGGTCGACCACCAAGGAAATTTCCTCAATCGCATAGGTCCCACTCTACCGGTGGACGCTCCATGGGACCTTCGCGCCTATATACTCAGCATTTCCAACGGCGGAGATTCTCCGTCTCTTCCGACACTCCTGATATGTGTCTAGCGAAGTGGGAGAGCGAACAAAATGTCTTTTCTGATTATGCTGTTCGAGAAAATCTAACTTTGAATCTCCCACGTCATGGCCTACATAACTTATTAAACTGGACTAATGCTACTGGTCACCGTCGGAGAAAGTCTATGCTATCGGATATGTTACCCAAGGACACTCAACTGCAAACGAGGTCCAAGCTTCCGTTAGCTTTTCCATCTCCGGCATACGCCAGGCGAAAATCAAGAAGCGACCATGAGCATGCGGTGCCGAAGACTAACTCGGTAGTTAATAACACTGACGCTTCGTCGTCCTCTAACCATAACCAGGAACTACATTGGATTGAACAGTGGACTCCACCACCATTATCCCCAACCGATGAACAGGTCAAATATGGTCATAGTCTGTATACTAGCGAAGAAACTTCAGAAAATGACAGTTATAGCGATGCATCGCAAGTGGCGGGAGCCGCTTTGAATGGTTTCACGCCTACCCCAAAGAACGATAATATAACCGAGGCTATTGATGACGATAATATAGGAACGCAGGGAAACACGGTTATCACGCTGGTTGAACTGAGTGGCTTGAAGAAATCACCGCCTGTATCCGCTTCACCCCATAATGGTTCTCCAACACTAGCTTCAAGTAGCGGCAAGGCGGAATCGACCGTAGATGCAGAGCAGGTCAGCGACCTGTTGAGTACGAAAGCGCCACCCGACGCTTCAAGTGAAAACGATGAAATTCAGCATCAACCGGAAAATGAGAGCCTTATCTTGGATGCTCTCCAATCTCCCGCCGATGCCCCCGCAGACAATGGGCCAGTTAAACCTACGTTAGGGTCGAATGACGTAGAGATGAAAGAAGCGACAGTTCCCGTGGCTGGCACCGATGTAAACCGTGACATACAGGAACAGAATCCTACGACCATGGAGGAAGCTTCATCATCGCCTCCTACCGATCACGGTATTGCACATGAAGTCGAAAATCCTGTTGAAGTACAAGATGAAATGGATTTTCCGCACACTCCACTCAATTCTATAAAGGAAGAAGAAGTTGTTCCTGAAGTTCCCATCTGGGCAGACGGTGAAAAGATGAAAGAGCACCCTACGGAATTTCAAAAGGCAGTGGCCTACTTAAAAGAGAATGGAATTCCGTTTGACTCATCGCTGCCCCTACTTCATAATGTGATTCTTTACTTTAGCGACACCTCAACCGCCAAAGCGAAGAGTGCCAATTCCTACTCATCGACTATACGGCCCATGTTCATGTGTGAAACAGTATGGCAATTCAGTTCAAGGTGGCGGAAATTTAAGGATCGATTTTCAGCACCATCGCAAATGATGCCGAACCAGAACCTCTATTTCTTCAGGCAAGGTGTAGAGCCAATGTGGGAAGATCCTATTAACGCCAAGGGAGGACGCATGACCCTCTCACCAACCAAGATGGCTCTGGATGAGATATGGGAAGTCGTACTCGCTGCATTTGTCGGCGGCACATGTCATAATAGCGTGGTTGGCGTTGTTATGAGCAGACGAGGTCGTGGAGATCGCATTGAAATATGGATGGATGAGCAGGGACGAGAAGCCTCAGATGAAGTGAAGTAAGTTGAATTTATTTACGTGCGTGCACAGCGATAATTGTCGTCTGACGTCAACTTCACTCATGCTACAGATCGCTGTTATCGCGCTATCTCCCACCCTTGATACAAGATGTTGTACAGCTGGCAAAGTACAAAAAGCATTTCGATCGTTGATTACAACACGTTTTATTCCGGCATACCACTGCATTTGTAATTTTTTATCACAAGTCTTGTCTAGCCCTCCTCTTTTCATTGTACATACCGAGTTTTCGTGTACATATTTGGTTTGTTCTCTTTTTTTTTCTTTCAAATGAAATTGGTCTTTTTTCAACCACCTTGGCTTTATGATGTTGTTGATGATATCTATGCCAAATCCATGTCATTGCATTTCAAGCCATTATAACCATAAGCCGTACAGTTTTTTTTATATTTTATTTCCTTCATCATGTGAGCATGCAAAAGGAAGGTGGTGTACGAAAAAGAGTGGATGTTAGACATGATAGGTGGATGGAAGAGAACGAAATTAGGAGAGATGTGTATGTGCATTCAGGTGGACTGTAATGAATTTCTATATGGATTGTTGCTATTGACAGCAGCAGGAGCCTTCTCAACATAATTGGATGGGAACACGCCTTGTTTGGGTTCACCGAATCCTAATATTTTCACAGTTAGTATTCATCATGGAATTGTCCACCTTGAGTATCCCTCAAACTTACCATTATCTTTGTACCCCATCCACCATACATCGTCATTGGCATCTACAACAATGATGCGGTCACCAGCATTGAATCCTAGTTCGCCATGCTCTCTTGCCTTGAACTCAAACTTTGCAAAGTACAAATGAGGTCGTTCTTCGCTGGGAGGTAAGTTTTCAGCATTGTTACGGGCAGCAATTTGCACAGCAGCAGCGAAACTGGACCGATGATTAGGAACTTCGGAAGCTGCAGAGTCTCTACTTGGCATTGGAAAATACACTGGCTCAGGTGGTAGAATTGGGTCGGGTGTCAATCGTTCACTAAGACTGCGTCGTGATCGTAGATGGTGGCCAGCACCTCCAGTCGCTACAGCAGATCCAGACCCCATTTCCACTACTTCACCCCCTAATCGATTTCCTGTCGAAAACGCTCTATGTTGAGAGATTTCACTATCCGGTCTACCATTAGTTTGATGTTCGGACATGGATGATCGTTCAGTCATAAGTGCTGCTCCTGCTGCTGGCATGAGCATAGCTAAAAGACTTTGTGGTCTTCTTGGTGGTTTGCCTATGTATGCTTCTGGTGCTCCTTTAGGTGACGTGTTGACTTCATTCCTTCGCTTCAAATACATGATAAGGAGTGCGCCGAGAACAACGAAAAACACAAGTCCAAGTGCGATGGCAATGGATATTAAGATGACGATGGGGACAGGGAGATAATTCTTTTCACCAATGTCCGGACAACAGCTTCCGAAGAACATACTGCGGATAGATCCGGTAGAACCATTCAGAGCCGCGGTCGTCAAATATGGATGAAATTGATTGCCATCAAAAAGGGCGGCAGAAGTATCTCCATAGCCATTGATATCCAATTGACCCGTGACCATGATAAGACCACCTTTGGAAAGAACGTCTGACTTCTGAGTAGAAGGTACCATGAATATCTGAGATATATGGCTGTTGGTACCAAGGTCGGTGGTCAGTAAGGAAGTCCTGTCGTCGCCACTCCATTGACTGATGTAGCTATTGGATGCGTTTCTACCAGCAATGAAAGCTTTGCCGTTTGTGGAATCGTAAAAGACTGAAATGGATGGTCCGGGCAAACTGGTTCGATTGTTATAGCCAAGTGGAGTCGATGTCAGATCGTTATTGACCAGCGCCAGGTAGGCTTGTACACCATTAACAACGAGGTCTCCAGCAATCAAAAGTTGATTCTAAGAAGGTATGGAAGTTTTTTAGTATTTTCATGGGGCTAATTACCTGCGGGGTGTTGCGTACTTACAGAAACAAAGTCCAAGTCCATAATCTCACCAGTAATATTTCCTCCAATATTACTCCATTGTAAATTATTTATGTCCAGAAGACAAATACTTGAGCATGGTAAGGATCCAGCATGAGAAAACTTGCCACCGACGATAACACCACTTCCATCAGGCTTTTTACGAACTATATTCACGATTGGATGACTTCCATCATCGTCTAAAGTAAAAGTTATCTTAGCTTCCATTATTTCATAATAAAGAATCTGTACGTGCATTGAACTTACTTTGTAAATCTTGTACAGGAAGATGGGTATGGTTTATCAAATTCCATACAGCTAGACTGGTGAGATTCTGACCATCCGTGATCGCAGTGAAATCGCCAGCTATGACCAGATTATTTTCTGCTACAGTTAAGGTGGTAACTTGACCTTGCCAATTTGTCATCGGAAACCCAGTCCAACTTCCATTAGCTAACATGGCAATGTTTTGTATATTGTTGGGTAGTTGAAATTGGCCTCCTATAATCATGGTAGAATTGCCAGTGGATGGATTTGTCCAGTACATTCCTGCGTTGGTATGATAGCTGACATCGGTAGGAAAGAGTGGAATTGGATTAAATTGATATTGATTGCCAATAACAGACAATGCGTTCACTTGATAACTTTCCGCTGCTCGGATGTTGCCGATTAAAATAGTGTTGTTAGCAACAGAATAGGTTGAAATGACTGTTCCAGAAAGGAAGGGCTGTTGAGTTGATACAAAGGCACCCTGGGTAATGTCATAAAGGGCTGTTCCAGAAGATACATTTAACGCGTTGATAGATGTGAAAGGACCGGAGACTACGAGAACATTGGATGTCGAGTTGGGTGATGTGTACTTAGCGAACGATGTGACGGGACCATTGACTCCATTTTCCATTGCGTTCCATGTGCCGGCTGCAAGGTCGTACACGGCGAGATTGTTTAGGGCTAGTTGAGATGCATTGGTGGGTCGACTGAAATTTCCACCAATATAGAGATGTGAGCCGTTAATCAGCATAGTGTTGACGGGGCCGTTGAGTCCTGCCGAACTGAAAGGAATCATCTTTGATGTTGAATAGCTATATTGAACAATATTGGTAAAATTCGAAGTGTTGAAGTTCCCTCCAATGATCAAATCCAGTGTCGATGCATCCAGTGTGGTGACGATGGAATTCCGTGGGAGGCCGTCGTTCTTAAGTGGCCGCCAGGCAGCAGTAGAATTATTCTGTAGCCACTGATCTATCTGATATTCCAAAATACTGTTCAGCTCCTGGTTTGATATTTCCTTCACAAATTGCACATAACCGGCCACAAGGTTGGCCGTTTTGCCAGATGGCTGGGTGGCGTTTTCGGCGAGGGTCATTGACACATGCGGTTGAAACAAATCGCTTGTAGCAGGAATCCAACCACGATAAATAAGTGTATATCCGTCAGTTGCATTCCTTTGGTCGACAGTTGCATTCACCGAAAGCGATGGCGACACATGCGTAATATATTGGGCTTTGGTTCGGCGTGAGCAATCTGAGTTACCGACGCACCCAGGGGTAAAAACATACACGCTGTAATTGCCATTTTCTGGTAAATTGGGCTTATAGTCGATAGCTCCGCTTGAGTTCGTGAAATTGGCGGTTGAAAAGCTATTTGTTAAAACCCATTGGTACGACCCTTGAGCAAGCGAAGTTGTCCAGTTGCCTGTGACTGACGATGTTCCATAATTTTGAGCGTATGCAGTAGTTGATGTACAATTCGAAACATTAATATCGTTGTCGGCGTGTACGATGATTTCTGAAATAAGAAGGAAAATTTCGAAACATGTTAGACTAACGATTCTTCCCACAAGTGAGAATCTGTTGGCATCATGCCAGTTCTTTACCAGATTGAAATATTGCAACTCCTGATAAACCTCCACCCGCTCCATACCAAGAATTGACAGATATCTGTACACCACTTGCTAGTATTGGAGTGACCACTTGAAAATCGTGCGACGAGGTACCGGTACTTGGCAATGTGCAGTTCACGCTGCAGAATCTCATTTGACTGGTAGTCGGGTCAATGTAGGATAAATTGAAATGTTGATTGGTACCCAAGGCAAGTATACTACATATAGAAAAAAAGGTAAGTGCAATTAATTTTTGTTAAGCTCAAGAACATGAGGCAGGATGGTTCAAATAGCAACCACAGGTACTTACGAGAAATTTTGGGTTCCTCTACCTTGGTAATTTGTGTTGATTAATCGAAACAAAGATGGTGTCACTGGGTGCGGAAAAGTGGCCTGCCAATATCCGGACTGGTTGTCTTGTAGTAACCATGGTGTTTGCGTTCCATTCGGACAAACAATGGAACTTGGGTTGTTGTATCCAACGGTATCGGCTGAATTGCCTCCACTGATCACCTACAACAAACAAAAATAGAAAGCAGCGTCAGATAATGTGTCTGGACTGAATTGGGTAAAGATCATCTCAACCATGAATTAGATCTTCTCTAAATAAAAGAAGCTTTTTTTACCGCTGGTAAAGTCAAGCTGACAGGCTGACTGGTAGGGATATAGTCAAAAGTGCCATCGGTTGTACTATCGAATTGACCTCCAAATACAATGGAACCATATTGAGTTCGAACAATTGCATTTACAGGTCCATTGACGCCCTTCCAAGGAACAGCGCTCCACGTATTATTTTGCCAAATTGCAACGTTACCGCCGAATTCGGCAAGTTGAGCCGAATTATTCATGACGTTAATGGGGGCCGTGAAGTGCCCACCCACATACACGGCGTTGGTGGTTGTGTCGCATAGCAATGTGTTCACAGGACCATTCAAACCTTGGTCAAGAGAAGTCGTTGTGTTTGATTCGTACTGGTACTTTGCTATGTTCATGGTGGAAGCTGAACCGGTCATCGAAAAATTGCCTGCAATGTACAAATCGAACGATCCATTGGTAGTTGGTAGTATGCACGCCGATGTGATGTTCCCGTTGATGGTGGATAGAATATCAAACGTGGTGTTTGTGTTGAGTGACAAGATCGCACCATGATCGGCTTGGTGAAATTGGTTGGTATCTGTTGCAAAGGAGAGTCCACTATACTGTCCGGTCACCACTACTTGTTGGAATCCAGAAAGATCGAATTCCGGTAAAGGCTGATAGAGTGCGTGTGATGGTAGAGAGATCAATAGTAAAATGTGAACAGCTAAGCTCAAGTGAGCCAGAGCCATATCAAGCGGTAGGGGCTGCGCAACAACTCGTTAGAGAGGTTGGTTTTGGGGAAAGGTACTGGGAAGTGAAAGAGGAAAAGGGGAAAAGGGAGAAAAAGAAAGGTAGAAAAAAAAGAGAGAGAAGGAATTACAAAGGAGAAGGGAAGAATTTGAAAAGGGGAGAAGTGAATTCACGTAATGTAGGAAGATCCTGTCCCAGTACCCAAAATGCTTTTTTAATCCTTTTTTTTTAGCTGTCGACAACTGGCACAGAGCCAGAACACGCTCTCCTATTACAAAAATAGCAAGATTACCGCCCGCTACCACCTGCTACGCAATGAACATCGTGTTGGGACAAGAAGTGTTCTAAAATGAAAGAGAAGCAAGTGCTTACAAACAATCCATATCGTCAGTCACATATTGTAACTTATCTTGTTCATTGAATTCAACTGTATATGTGCTATGAATGCCATCCATGCTGTATTTCATAGTAGCGTCTTTTACCGAATAATTTGTACAAAGTCTTCTTGAAAGCAAAGATTCTGGTAATATCTTCAAGAACAGTCTCTAACTACTTACCCAAATCACTGTGTGTGAAGCATTATCAAATTGGATCACTTCACTTGTCGTTTTATCAATTTCCGACCAACACCACCTCATTGGGCCAGCTTCCAAAATTTGGGCGAATTTTGTAAAATAAGATTTTACTCTAGTCTCTCAAACGGTTGACTTTTTTGACTTTGCAATTTAGCATTCACTGCTTCAGGTGATCAGAACGTTGTCGTCAACCATAATTCTGGCCTGTTTGCTTCTGTCATGACCGATCCGCCAGCATCAGCTATGCAAGCTGAGATTCCTTCTTCAACAAGTACGGTAGCGTCTGAAGCTCCGAATCAGCAAGACAAACCTATACACTTAGCTGCAGGGCCACCCGATTCGCAATATGATTCAATTGGTGACTCCAATGCATACCAACAAGCTGAGATTCCTAATGCAAACAGAAAATTGTCCATCCGCTCTGGCGACCAAGTTGAACCCAAACTCGTACCAGAAGCACCCACACTGCAGCTCAATGAAAACAAGTTGCCAATTATCGCAGCGTTGATTCCGTTATCGATACTTGGTGCACTGATTAGAATAGGTCTGAACCTGCTCGAAACGTATAATGGTACCCCAGTATTTGGTCTAGCCTATGCTCAATTCATTGGATGTGTCATCATGGGAGTGGTTGTCAAAAAGAAAGACTTTTTGATAAAAACATACTTGCCACTGCAGATTGCCTTGTCAACTGGACTTTGTGGTTCAATTACCACGTTTTCATCATGGCAGCTTGGTACGTTTGAAGCATTTGCAAACTATGCAGGAGCTGATCATGCACGAGGTTACAATGTACCGTAAACATCCAGTCAAGTTATTCAAAACTTCTGTTGATAACAAACATTACTTAACCAGCTTTCTTGATTCAGGTGCTAGCAGGTTTGTCCCAAATTCTGATAACGTTAGCCGTTTCGGTTTGCGGCTTATCACTTGGGTATCATATAGCGTATGGTCTTGATCAAGTTATCACTCACCAAACTGCCCACAAATTGGACACTCGTGAATACATCGTCACTCCTGTCGGATACAAATTTTCGGGCAATATGCGAGATGTCTTATGCGAACTGGCTGGTCTAGCTAGCTGGGTGGTCGTCATTGTGATTGCTGCAACTGTGACATCGAAACAGCACATAGTACTGGCTTGTGTATTTGCCCCTCTTGGGACACTAGTTCGCTGGTGGCTCTCTCGGTACAACACTCGAATGGCAGGGTTTCCTTTAGGAACCTTTATCGCCAATATCCTGGCCACCCTGGTGTTGGCTATTGTGACACTCTTAATGAGTGGGCCAGTGAGTTCCTCAGCAGGATGTAACGTTTTACAGGGTATTTCGGATGGCTTCTGTGGTAAGTCATTCTTCATGCATGGTGTGCTTGCTTTACCTTTGGCGAAAACCAAAAATGGGAGGATCAGCTTGTTCTATTTTCTAACTATCTATGGTTCAACTAGGCTGTCTTTCCACAATATCGACCTTCACTGTATGTATATACCGCAAAAAAGGGGTTCGTTGTGCACTTTGAAGTAATATGGTACGAGTGATGATTTTTCCCCCTATCACTAGGTTGAAATGACGACCCTGAAGCTGCGAGCAGCCTACAAATATACCATGGCATCATTGATACTTGGTCAGATAATCATGTTCGTGGTCCTGGGATCGTTTATATGGACAAGTAGCGTATGGTCACCTGGCGTGCAAACATCCTGTAAATTTTAGAATAACTTAGTTGTTTCCAACTGCTTACATCCTAGGTATAATCAACCCGCAAAAAACGGGGCCTAATTGAAATAGATTTCTTCTTTATTATACATTTTTTTCGCGCCATAAAATATGGGTATGTGAATTAGAAAGTTGTGAATGATGAAAATATTTGAGTTATGGGGAAAACTGGTGTTGGAGATCTGCATTGGTTTGCTTTCACATAATGGTACATGCCTCATCGCCTGTATATTGTCGGCCGGTGATGGCTTGGCAATCCTGGATAGCCTGTTCTCGCTCATTCTCTTTCCGCTTCTCTTTAATTTCGCGGCTAAAGTATGTTTGCATGAGATTCTGAAGACTATGGTCGAGATTGTTAGCGTCGGCGTTGCCTACAGCCTTCTCCGCTCGGCAGATGGGACAATTGAGCATTTGCTTCTTTTGAGCTTTTATCAAACATCGAACGCAGAACACATGGCTACAAGCTAAGCGGATGGGTCGCCAAGCAATCGCTGTAAATGCAAGCGTACAAGTTAGTTCCATTCAAACTAGGTAACAAGAGCTTAGAACAAGATTGATGTATCTTACAGTAACAGACCGGGCAGCAGTAGTCTTCCAGCTGGGGTATAATGGTCACAAGTTTTGTGTTGATGAATTCGTACACCATCTCAAGCATTCCACTTGCAAAAAAGATGTCCTTTTGCATGAATATTGGGAAATCTGAGCTAGCACTAGGTCAAAGGTGCACAGGTTAGTTTCTTCGAAGAGTATGTACGACTATAATGACAGGGGTTAACTTACGTCAAGCCACTTCGTTTGTCGTGTTTCTTCAAAATCTTGGTCACTGCCATTTGATTAGTGGTGTAGAATTGGCTGAATACAAGCAGCGATGAATTGAGTTCCAAGAAGCTTTTTAGTGCACGTCTGGAAGTACTACTTTTCATACTTTTCATCTACGATAGTATACCAGAAAATTATTAGGCAAATTAACCACTAGATCACAATAGCATTTTCAACCTACCAACTTCATCTTCTCGATCTCCTCTACAAATCCTTGCATTTTGTCTTTACTATATGAAGTGCTTTTGGCGCCTTGAAAAACTTTCCATTCAATGTACAGTCGAAAAATTTCTCGCCAAATGTACATGTCTTTGTTCTTGGGTGAAGCCTGTCGATCGCTCGTGGTCAGTACATACGCCTTTTTTTTTTTGGTCCCAATCTATTTCAGATTGTCTTACCACCGTGGTAATTTGCTTCTCTAGCTTGGAGATATCAGTCTGATATTGTTCCCGTTGCACTTGCTCACTTAATTCCATAGCATTATTCATATCTTTGGTCAGCATATTAAAAAATTCTACTTCGCTGTCCAGCTCGACATAAATATAGTTGCGATCGTCGCTCTCAGATTCGGGATGGGCGAAAGTGGATGAAATGCCGAGCATGTTAGAGCTAACATTATGGCATTCGGTAACGTTGAGATGTGTTGCTCCCAAGTTCTCTTTTGTAAGCTGTTCTCCCAATAATGCGTTTGATTCAGAGGTATCATTCGACTCGATAGCAATTTTGAGCAAAGGGTGCAAGTCTCCGGGATCACCTGTACATATCAATTGCATGTTAGTATAGCACTATTCATTTGGCCTGCATTGATAGTAACCGTTTTCATCTCGTACCTGAGAACATGTACTCCACTTTTTGTGTTTCACTGCTGTCTTTACTGTCTGTAAGTTGGTGAATAAGCCCCCTTGTTTCTATCTCGGCGACAATCTTGTTGATACATTTCTTGAGCAGCTTATAATTTATAAAGTATGGACGCCATTCAACTGGAAGCTCAGTTGCTGTTGTCTCCAAGGTCTTGGCGAATTTCATGGCCGTATAGCAATTAAATAATAGCTCTATTTTCTTTGTCTTGTCTGTGTGCCAGAGATTTGAAAATCAGAGAACAAAAAGAGAAAAACCATGTGCCTTATAAATTTGTCTATGATTGGGCAATATATAGACGGAGATCTAAACATCTGTGCAGTCTGGGCCAAATGGAGGACACACCAGATTCCCATTGACCCAATCAATTCGGTCATCTAGGGAAATTTGGAGAAGACGAGGTGGCATATGACCTAAGAGTCCTAAGAACTTCAGTGAGAGATAGATAAAAAAAAATGTAATTGGTAACAAACGTCAGCCATCTTATGTGACGTTGAATTGAAGTAGAATAAAATGTCGCATATCGTATCATTGTGCAAAAAGTCAGTATTCCTTAGCCCAGCGAAATCGTAGTGGCTGGCCGAAAAAAAATAAAAAAAATTGGTGACTGTTAAAACTTTTGGGCAAGCGGCGAGGGCGAATAAAGTATCATCCAGGGGATGCCGAAGGATTTTTCTTCCTCTCTCATTCACTCCAGGTATTGTATCTCACCATCCGTATGCATCCATCTGTCGTATGATTCCATCAATCGCTTCGCATCCATGAGATGTTCACATCTGCAAGGAAATACTCAAGAGTAACAAAATTCTATACGATGAGCATTGGAGAATTCAACATTCGACGATCTCAATTAGAATTTTCACTTACTCTTGATCACAAATGGCTATGATGAATCGTACTCCCTCGCTGGTTTCTCGTCAGAGTTACATTTTCAACAGCGTTGGGAAACGACACTCATTACAGCCGAACATTGTTTCCACTAACGCGATTCTTGATTTGGCATTCTCTTTAGAACCGCTTAGCAAACATGGTCCGTGTCTCCGTCCTCAACGATGCTTTGAACAACATCAACAACGCCGAGAAGCGTGGAAAGCGTCAGGTTCTTATCCGTCCTTCCTCCAAGGTCATCGTCAAGTTCCTTTCTGTCATGCAGAAGCACGGTAAGATCTCGGTTTATGGATTCTGTCAAGCCTATACTTTCCACTAACTTATGAAATCTTTTTAGGTTACATTGGCGAGTTCGAGGAGATCGATGACCACCGTTCTGGCAAGATCGTTGTCCAACTTATTGGTCGCATCAACAAGTGCGGTGTTATCTCCCCCCGTTTCAACATCAAGCTTACCGATCTCGAAAAGTGGACCTCCAACTTGCTTCCTTCCCGTCAATTCGGTTACGTCGTCTTGACTACCTCTGCTGGTATCATGGACCATGAGGAAGCTCGCCGCAAGCACACTGGTGGCAAGATCCTTGGTATGTTCTACTAAACTATTAGTAGTTACAAAAAGTGCCATTATGGTACAAAAATAAAAGCATCATGGAATCCATCATGAAAAAGTCTGTTTTAGAGCACCTCTGGCATTGAATGGGCAAAAAATAATTTCATATGAACGGTTGGAAGTAAAGGGGAGAATTATTATTATTTTTACAGTCGTAATATAAAAAAGAAAAAATTTACATAGTCTAATATGAGCGAATATAGCGAATATCCATCGCTATGAATTTATACTTTCATCAAACCTCGCAGATCTTTTTGAACGAGTAAACTCGGGCGATGAGCAAACACGTACTTTTCTTTAAGAATAGTCACCACGTCGTACGTGACGGATTGCGGCTGGTCGAGATCCATGGAATCAACGTCTTGTCGGGTTCTTTTCGTTATGACCGCCAATGGTTTTGATAATTTGGTCTTCTTTCCTTCCAATTTGTGATGGCCCACGGTCAAAAACAGCATGCCCTGATAGTAACTCAAAAACATTAGCATGTTGGAAGGCTGTAACTTCTTCGCGTCTAAATGTTACCTGCTCATTCTCCTCTAAATCACCCACTTTGAGACCGCGGACATCATCTTGCTCACATTCCAGAGTTCCTTGAAATTCTATTAATATCACTGAATCATCTTGGTTGCGAGAGTCCTGGAGGCTCGAAATGACAACTTGAGTAGTCATGTTCAAAGAAGGAACGCTATGGCATAATGTTTGTGGGTTTGAACACGAAGCGGAGTCAGAAAGTCAGTTCGAAGTCACACAGTACACAAACGGGGGAGGTATCCAAAATGGGGGGGATGGAAGGATGAGCCACAACGCTATTTAGGATAGCGTTCTTCCATAGCGTCATGTAGACATCATGGAAGGAAACCATTTTCTGTCGACCTTTTGTGTCCAAGTGGACTGACTGTAAGAAAGAAAGAAAGCAAAGAAACCCAAAAAAAAAAACATGGGATGTTTGTTACGGACGACCGTAAATACTGGTTCTTGGTGATCCCTTCCTTATTCAGCGCATTTTTGATATCATATTTCCAAACGGCTGGACTTTGTAACAAATTCAATCAAGTAAAGAAATGTGAAAAATCCTGTTCATCCTGTTTGCTGGCGTTCAGGTCTTGGCCCCATGAGAAGTCCACTAAAATGTTACACAGCCTTGCCTATTTATTTAGTAGCCCATACCTAAAGGAATGACAAACGTATCGTCGTCCGTAAGACGAGCAAGTGACCGAGTGCATGAAGAGGCAAAGCAGTAACCTGCCGACCATGGTGCGAGCGACTCGGGCGGGAAGGTATTCTCATTCAGGTACGGGAAAAGTCTGGCTCGTAGAACCGCTAGAGATTCAAGCGCACGAGCCAGAGCTTTTTGGTGGGCTCGTTCTGTTAGCACAAGGCTTTGTCGCGTGTTTCCATTTTTTTCCATCCTGCAGCAGGCATATCATGGGACCGTTTGTGTACCCAGAAACGCTTTTTTCCACCAACAACAGATCACACTACTTTCGGAGCCCTTCTCTTCGCTAACTTTCCAATCGTCGTCGGCCGTTGGTGATTGACTACTTTTCCAGTAGGAAAAGCTATTTGATTATCGCCAGTAACAAAGGTATGTTTGATGCTTGCCTCCCCCCATCCCTTTCTTTTTGGAGTCTTTTCTTTCCCTTTTTTTTTTTTTATTTCAAATCGAAGAACAATACATGGTTCCAGTGACGAGATAGGCGATAGAAAAACGTAGGATACAAAGCGAGGAAAGAGAAAGAAGAGGAGAGCGGGCGGCTCTTCTCAAAAGCTACCTACATCAAGTAATATATAGTGGTGTTCATTGGTGACCATATGATGCAGCAGCGCTCGACGACCGACAACTCAACCTACGGCATTTCCCATCCAAAAACTAACACAAACCTCTTCTATTACCCACACATATTATTATTATTGCCATACACCTCTTTTTCTTGCTTTCTCTTTTTTTTTCCTCTCTCTCTTTTCCTTCTCATTCACCGCTTTTTTCATCTGCCTCATTCCTTAAAAACTAATTAATGCAACCATCGGCAGCATCTGCAGGTGACCAAGCCTCCCATTCCTCTATGGCTCTCTATAGTTCTCCTTTCAGAACTTCTCGGCCAAGGCTAGAGTCGCCTCAACAAACACACCAAGCTGCTTTTCAATATAATCGGTCTAGCCATTATCATCGATACAGTAGCCCATCTCCTCCACACCTTCCCAGTAACAACCGGGGGAATGTACTTCCATTTTCCTCTAGCACGCAATCATCTCCTAATAACGCGCTGACTCTAAAGGCTACCAATGGTTCAACATCAGCCACTACCGTTGTTCATACCCCTCCAACCGCTCCGGTGAACCCAATAGCTGAATCGAAAGAAAAACAGCAAACGATTGTTGCTCCGTCCCAACCACAAACGACGTCCGCCGCCCCCAACGATAATCAACAAGATACTGCACAAGCTCAAGAAATAACGTGGTTATTCTTTCGAGATAACAAATGGATGCCATTTCAAAGTGAAAATCACTATAAAATTGAGCAGGCATTTACGCTTGGAGGTAAGCCCGATTTAATCCCGAATCACATCTCGGTTGATCCCATTCAAAAAGCTGACTGATTTTCATTCAGGCATTTATGTCGACATCAAAGGTAATGAGAGGATCCGTTGTAGGCTGTGTTTAGGACGGTGGTACTAAGATATTACCCTACTTTCTAGATCATAATTTTCCACAATTGAAAAGTATACGAGTATTTCCAACGCGATTCTACCTTTCATACTTGGGAATGAAGGTAAGAAAAAAAAAGTTCCAGAAAGATAAAATAATCTTGTTTATTTGCCCCAACTGATGATCGACATCTTGCTCATCTCTTGTCTCCTTTTCTCTAATAGTATCGACTAAGCTGTGTCATACAAGGATGACGGCCCAAAAAAAAAAACAAATTCGGGGAACCCGATCCAAAGGATATCAACGACTGGAATGCACGAACCAAAACCAATGTGGAACAATTTGTACAGATCGAATCAACTCACCACCTCCATAAGAAAACTATCGAATATGGAAAACAAATATCAAATGGGTAAAGGCGAAAAAAAAAATGAAAAAAAATATAATTTGGAAAAGAACTCGACTTGAAGAACAACATCATACCACACGCAGAGAAGCTAGGAAAGACCATGTTGGAAAACGACGGCACAACCCTTATTATAATATTTTGTACATTTGATTATCTCACCCACAGTCCCACTACGGCTCCATCACCATAGTAACTCGCTCCATTTCATGAACGCCAGGCCAATGTTTTCTTATCAACCTTACAGTAACATTTTCTTTCTGCCTTTTATCTTTTCGCATCAACCGCAAATTTTATTAGGTAGTAGACTCTCACAATACTTGGTTAGTGACCACACTATTTTTCTCTTCTCCAAGTGTAAAACGCTGATATCTTCGAAAACAATCCAAAAATCCCCCCGCACTTCACCGCCGTCATCCCCTTGCCAATCCGCTCCCCCCTTTTAGCCCTTTTAGATTGAAAATGCATTACTGCATTTCATTACAGTTATTCACCCTCCAATCCAATCCAAATCTTCTTTTTCTGTTTCTCGCCTTGTAGTTGTATCTCTTTCCATGCTATTCATTTTCTTTTTACGCAATCCGTTGTTGCGTTGTTTGTAGTTTTTTTTTTCAAGGACAAAAAAGCATCCATTTCGCAGCTAATACTCAAAAAAAAGATATATCTGCAACTAGAAACTATTTTCAATTATTGATTGTGTAAAGTACAAGTACCATATTTTTTATTGTATGTGCAATGGTAAGTATTTATACGTTGCCCATTACAACGTCTTGGATCGGCTCAATAGCCATGTTGGTATATACATCAAACAAAGCTCGTTGATAAGCAAAGCGCGGAAAGTATCCTCCAGCTCTTGTCTGCTTGTTATTAATGAGCGAGTCGGTGGCACTTGAAATAGATGTTAGAGAATGATCGTTGGCTCTAGAACATGAAAGTATGAACATCAACTTACGGGTCGTTGTATGTGGTCATAATGGATGGGGTTGTAGGATCTTGATACTCAAGACCAAGTGGATCAAAGTTTTCAAGGTCAGCAGCTTCTTTCATATCAACATCGGTAGGGATAGATGTTTTAAGCCATGCAGGAAGCAAATTGTTGCGTTGAGCATTGGCATCCCGTTGTTGGCGTAATGCAGAAGATTTTTTCAAGGTACTGGTTTGTCGAGTGGCAAGAACCGCATGTGCTGGCTTGTTGGATGTAGCCTGATAACGAAATGATGAATACGTGTACCAAATGTAAGGCAAAAGACGATTATAAACAATCTTACCAGTTCTCGAATAAGATCCAATTTCTCTCGTTCTTTCAAAAGCTTTTCTTCTTCCAACTGCCTTCGGTAATCCGCCAACCGCTGCTCTTTTTCCTGCTTCTCAATTTCTTCCTGATACGATGATTTCTTCATTTCATTGACCTGTACCATTCAGACATTAGTGATCTATTTCTGATCCCTCAAAAAAAAAAAGATATAACAGATACGAACCGATCGGGCTTCATTTGCAGCAATGCTGTCCTTGTTTTCTTTCTCATAACGAGCCATTTTTGCTTCTGTCTCTGCCACATCCACTTCATTGATCAAATTAAACGCTGAAATGTGATGATTAGTCTTCGTAGAACGACCAGGTACAAAGGCATTGATTACATTGTACTTACTGATATCTTCGACTTCTTCTAAATAGTCATTATAGGTCCTTAAGCTTGAGAAATCTTCTGGCCGCTTGTTAAATCTAGAACATCCAGCTTGTTTAGTAACCTAGTAGAACAACGTTGACCTGCCAGTAACCATCACTTACATCCGCGACACCTTTTTTCTTATTCGCACTTCCTTTTCAACATTCAAGTCTTCAAAGATTTGTGACATGAACTGATTCTTTCGAAGAGTTTGTAAACATATGGGGCATGGGGCTGGACCAGCGCTGAACAGGCGGTCGATACACGATTCGCACCTGAAAAGAGAAGGTTAGCAGTGGAATCAGCAACAAGAGAAAGCATTCAGCACATTACATTTTGTGAAAGCATGGCGATACCAAGAGCTTCAGGTTAGGTGTCAAGTACTTGTCACTTTTGCATACTGGACATTGAGCGTCTTCTTCCTGCAAATGTGAGCGGGGTAACAGTGAATCACGACATTTCGTCTGTCTAAAACGTGGCCAAAATGAAATTATATCCTACCTGATACGATATGACAGTTGCTGAGCCTTGCCGTATACTTGTACTCGTGTTCTGTTGTGAACGACCAAAGCCATTGGTACGATTGGCGTTTCGTTGCTGAGCGATCATGAGTCAGAATGGAAGCAAGCAACTTCAGAAAAAACTGGCGGTCACAGACGATTTTATAAATTATTGGGCGGACTGAATCACCTGCCATCGATCACCCATTCCTTACTGATCATCCGCCCACCATGTCTATGCTACAAAAGCTCAAGGAAACTACCACTGACTCCATTTTTGTGGAAGACGAGGATTTGGACATGGATGTCGATAACATGGACTTCCCATTGCCTGATGATCTTTCAGCTAGCGGCACTGGTGGCCTAGAAGAAATGATGGCCAAGCTTTCAGCCGGACAAGTTCAGCGACCACCCCCAACGAGCAACACTCGTGATATCGCTGTTGTCAACACACCTCAAGGTGTTCAGCGTGTAGATCCTTCGGTGTACAAAAAGTAAGTTTCATTGATGGCAGATCCAGGCATGTTGCATTTGAGTTTCAGATTTCTAACCGTACCATCTAAATCAAGCTGGGTTTGCGTTTATCCTTGCTACATCGATGCTGACAAGTCCTTAGAACAAGGAAGAAGGATATCGAAAGCCAAAGCTATCACCAAGCCTCACGCTTACCATATAGCAATGGCCGTTCAACAATTAGGAGGGATGTCTGTTGTTTACGAGGTATGATCCAGATGCAACGATCGACTTGTTTAGATAGAGACATAATGAAATAACTCTATTTGAACACAATAGGGAAAGAAGCACCCTGCCGACTGGGCGAATCCGGGCCGAGTGAAGGTTCAATTGAAAAATGGCCAATTTTTCAGTAACCCTAACTATACCTCTCGTAAGTGATTTTCATCTAGGGTCTGTGCTTGAATCAATCCATTAACAACACATGCATATAGGTAAGCAATTGATCCACGCTATTGCTGAACTCATGCCCAAGATTCAAAAGGAGAACGAAATTCCCAAACACATTGTGTCGCCTATGACTACGCTTCGAGAAATTGAAGAGATCGCTAATGAACAAAGACGAGCTCAAGGATTGCCTCCCATTGAAACCACACCTCCACCGGCTGCTCCTACTGCTGGAGCTATTGAAGCGCCCGAGTCTAGCTCGAGCAAACCCAAGAAAGTCAAGAAACCAAAAATGAAGACCATTGTTCGTCGCTAGAAAAACTGACATGATTTATTGTACATAAAGTTAACAGCGCGAAAAGTGCTCTGCCTTTTCGGAGGAAGAGGCTGACAAAAGAAACATCAAAAATGCTCTGCTTTTTTTCGGAGTGCGTGCCATTCCGTTATTTTGCTGTATGAAACCAGGATAGAGCATAAAATTTATTAGCTCTCCCACATAAACCTTGCGTTATCCAAACTCATTGATCAATTCAACATGGCCACGCCATTCAGACTATCCCGTCTAGCTTCTCGCTGTAAGATACTCTCTCTCCGTGAAGTTCACTGGTCATGACCTTCTAACCTGTCCATCCGCTATAGACCCGAGAATACCGACCAGCATGCCCATTTCCCGACTAACAAGGTAATGTGTTGCGACTTAAACTATTCTTCGAACTGGAGCAACTCGATTTTCAGATACACAACAAATTCTAAAACTTATTGCTTTTAGCATGCAATCCTATCACTCGGCAGCCCGTGCGTCCACTTTCGTTGCTGGTCGCAAATATCAAAAGACCCTCTTCGGTCTTATGGCCGCCACTGGTGCAGTGGGTCTGTCATATTCCATCCTGAGTACGGACAAGGTACTACCCTCCGCATTAGCATTGTAGTCATTGGCATAGAGACTAATCAGTAGAGTGTGTTTAGATGACCACGGCTCATTGTGATGCAGTGAATGATGATAAACAAAGAGTAAGTATTTTCGTCGAAAGATAATTCGGAGGGATGTGCAGCTGTCGTGCAATGTGGTGCACAATCCAATGATAAGCAAATTTTCTGACATGATCTTTTTATTTCCGATGTGACAGAAATCGCAAGGTCCTATTACAGACAGCGATCCTATGCGCCTACGCATGGAAGCATTCATCAAGGACCTTCAAAATCGCATTGTGAATGAGATTCAGCAACTCGATGGTCGTGGTGAATTTACGCGCACCACTTGGGAACGTAAAGAGGGCGGTGAAGGTATCACTTGCGTTTTGTCAGAAGGCAAGGTGTTTGAAAAAGCCGGTGTCGGTATTTCCATTGTGTATGGACAACTTCCTAAGGCTGCTGTGGAGCAAATGCGTCACGATCGAGGCAAGGATATTGAAGCTGAAGGATCCGTTCCCTTCTTTGCCGCTGGTATCTCCTTGGTCATGCACCCACACAACCCTAACGCACCCACTGTTCACATGAATTACCGATACTTTGAAATCGAGAACCCTGATGGCACTCCCAAGCTTTCCTGGTTTGGCGGTGGTGCGGACTTGACCCCATCCTATCTCTATGAAGAGGATGCCGTTCATTTCCATCAAACGCTGAAGGATGGTTGCGACAAATTTAATCCTAACTACTACAAGGATTTCAAGCAATGGTGTGATAAGTACTTCTTTATCAAGCATAGAGGTGAAGCTCGAGGAATTGGAGGTATTTTCTTTGACGACTTGGATGATAAGAATAAGGAGAACGTCTTCTCCTTCATCAAAGAGATGGGCAACCGTTTCTTGCCAAGCTATGTTCCCATCATCGAAAAGCGCAAGAACATGCGATACACCGATGAAATGAAGGAATGGCAACAAATTCGACGTGGTCGATATGTAGAGTAAGTGACTGACTGGTCAAGTGCTTGTTGAAACCTGCATCAGTAGTAACCCCCGTCTGTCTACCACATTATAGGTTCAACCTTGTTCAGGACAGAGGTACCAAGTAAGTGTTTCATCTTGCATTACATTTGCCTCGTATCGCTCTTTCTTTCTTACAATGACTTTGCCCTTGTTTAGGTTTGGTTTGAATACGCCAGGCGCTAGAATTGAAGCTATTTTGATGACTATGCCTTTGACGGCACGTTGGGAATACATGCATGAGCCAGCTCTCAAGAGCCGTGAAGCTGATCTCATTGAAGTTCTCAAGGTTCCTAGAGATTGGATCCCACTTGTTTAAAAAAAAACCACCTATTGGTTTTTGATATTTCCCGTTGGTGATCTTTGATAGATCTTATATTACATAAAAAGTTCTTTTTATATTCGCTTGATCAATACAACAGCGAACATCGTATGAAAATGTGTGCAGTCAAAAAAGATTTTCAAATTAGCTCTATAAAATTTTAATTATTTGACAATGCCGTTCCTTGGCTCTATGGTAATGCTTCGTTTATGATACAGGTTCGATGGTAAAGCGAGGGCTCATTGGGTCAATGTCTTTTACGCGCACCTTCAAAGACTCTCCTATTTCAAAAGACCGCTCAACAGAAGGATCCATTCTACCATTGGTTCCCAGGCTAGGGATGAATGCGCTGGCAGGGAGTATTCGGCCGCTTACATTCTGAGCTTCGTTGCTGATGATACAATCCCATGTCTCGGTGGCTAATGACCCTTGAGCTTGTCTTCGCCTTAATGACTCTGCTATCCACCAGTCTGTAGCCTTGGCGCCAAGTCTATTCAATTGCTTTTCTCGCATGTCGACGCGAACCCCCATGGTCTTCAAAAAATCTTCCGAAAATGGTAAGGGTGCGTTCAGCATAGACGCCTTGAGCTGCCAATGAGCAACCATATCCAGATACCGGCGAAGAGGAGACGTGACCTTGGCATATCCGCCTGAAATTCCCATCATCCAATGAGCACTTCCTGGTTGCGTGGTGACGCTACCAGGTGACATGAACCGCAGTATCCGAAATGCATCCTTTAGAGCAATGGATCCATTACTAGGATCCCGCTGGGAAAGTACAGAGTCGATCAGGTCTTGCTCGTCAGTGGAAAGTAAGTCTCGGTTGGGTGGTGCTTGCGTACGGTATACCATAGGGATTCCACGCTCCTCACAAACTGAGCTGGCAATACGTCCGGCCATAATCATAAACTCGGTCACCAAAGCTCGAGATGGAGATTGGCCACCGCCCATGCGCACAGTTAAATTAATATCTGGTGCGTGCTGCTGAAAGTTGGGTTTGCTAAACTTCAGAGACGGCAAGTCGATTGGGTAAGGCGTCAAATGAATACTTGATTCCGGGCGATCAAAATTCACCGCTCCATGAGCAATACGCTGCTTTAGATGTTGCTGACTGATAGTTACTAAACTTGACAACGCAGTCATGTCGTCCGACAACTTCGATCCTTGCAACATTGAATCCACTTGGTCATATGATAACTTGCATATACGTCGGACCCATCCAGGCCGTATCATGCTATCGATTATATTCCCATCGTTGTCAATCTTGGCACTGAATGACATGGTATACTGACCGGCTGATGCATCTGGTGATGAAGATACCAAACTGAATTTCCGTGAAGACAAGTTTTCCGGTAAGAGAGGGAAATGTCGCTCTGGCAAGTATAACGTTTGAACGCGACGTGCCATGACCATCGCTAATTCTTGGCGGGGATGTATGTAGGCGGAGGGATCTGCTACATGGATATGAACCCAAGAATGGTCTGAATATTTCTCCACAGAGATGCCATCATCAATTTCCTTGGCTGAAGGGTCATCGATGGTATATACTGTCAAGTTTCCAAAATCGTGCCTTATTCCGTCGCATATATCGTTTGGATAAGGCTCATGGGGACCCAGTGATCCAGTGCTGCTGTGAGTCGAGCCTAGTGAGTGCTTCTCAATGGTTTTCTCATCTCTACGCATTACCTTTTCAATCTCTTGGGCTTTCGCAGACCAAAAATGCTCCACAGATATGGGCGCCTCCTCTAGAAGAGTCATGTTGTCCCAAGGTTGCCACATTCCAATATCACGAAGAAATTGAGCAGCAACATCTTTCTCAATATGGGTTTTTTCATAGCATTTCAACGCCTTGAGGATGGCTGGAGCAAAAATCTCATGAGGTGTGAGAAGTGCAAACTTCTGGTTGGTAACCCACTCGACAATGAAATCGACGTATTTCTTATCGTTTGCTGAAAATGTAGGAAACTGCTGCTTCTCGTTTCCAACATCCACAATACCAGTAACTGAATCTCTATGCTGGATTGAGAAATGTACAGCTTTCCTGCAGCGATCAAGGAACCCCTTATAGTTTTCATCCAAACTTCGGATAGATGATATTATCCATTCCAAATTCTTAGCTTCGTCTGGTGCTCGAAGAATGAATGAACCACAGTCGCTTACATTCGGTGCGGCTGTAAAGTGTACATTATCTTGAGTGACATACATATGGGTAGCATACATTTGTTCATCAGTCGGTCTATCTGTATTGAAGACGAACTTCGCCATTTCGTCCAACCGAGCTGTTGATTCATTATTGGCACCACCAGCGTCGATAAAGTGCTGATATAGTTCTCCAAACTGAGCTAGTCGCGTTGCTTGTTGAAACTTGATATGGTCTTCAAACTTTTTGGCGATTTTTCGAAAATCGGCAATTGGTGGATCATCTATGCGGACTCCGTCGCGAGCAAAAGCAATTTTTTCCTTCATTGTCTTCTGGATGTGAGGGAGGTCAAGAAAATTTGGAAGGAAGAATGGTATATTGTCGCTGCTGAATTCGAATACTCTGCCAGATCGCGTCACTAATTCTATCATCTGCAGACCGCCTTTAATGGGTCTTTGGGACACAACTATTCCTGAATATGTCCTTCCGTTCCTAATAGAAGCAGTGGTAGTTCAGTATCTGCGGTGCATGCTCGATGTGCTATCGAATTTAAGTTACCTGTGAGCTTCTGCCCAGTCACCAAGTCCTATCTTCGCCAATGGAGCTCCACTAAGCAATTTCAGTTCCTCCGAAGCAAATTCGAGTTCAGGGTCGAATTTCATCAAATGATACGTGTCCTCTTGCTTATTGTTTCGTTCAGAAAGAGGTGCTTTTTTCTGCGGTGCCTCTCGCTCTACAGCTTGTTTGGAACTAATGCTTGCAGTTCTAAATTGTGCTGCGCCATGTGTGGTAATTACTTTCGAAAGGCTTCTATAGCGTGGTGTGGTTCCTAGCCACCATGTTTTTGACCTTGCGCACTGCGATAGCATGGTGCCTTCAGTTAAATGGCGACCTGGTACGAAAGTTGCAACCAAAAAATTCAAGGAAAGTGTGACGGCCTTTATTACCTTTTAGAAGGGGTGCACTGGGATGATTTCAATGACCGAATGCATTAGGCATCATTGTTGGTGAGACTCAAATCAACTCGTGTTGTTACGTGGCCTATATTGGACTTTACGTTCAAAGTGAGTTCCGTTTAAATATACAAAGACGTTGCTAATGATTCTTGAAGAGAATAAATATACGGACAGAAATGCGTCCGTTGTTGAGTTTTGTACCGCTTGAAGTAGTGGTAACCTTAGCCAAAATGTAGATATTTTTGCAGCCATCAGTCAAGGTAGAGAGCCATCATATCAATGTGTTCACATTATTCGAATCAGAACGTGATGCTTTCAGTTTGGTTGATTTCCTTCAGTGTGCTACTTCATAAAGTCATTTGAGCGCTATTGGTAAACTTGCATGGACTAATTTCTTTGTTTGGGGCCAAAATTGACTCTCTGGCTTCCAATATGATAACCACACTAGGCGTTCACAGCAACATGGTATACCACGTTACATTTCACGAAGTCAAGCCGTCAGATACGACATACTAACTATATGTGCTCTTGCTTAACAGCTCGGAAAGACAGCTTTGATTGTAGTCGATGTTCAAAATGACTTTATGGAAACGGGATCGCTTCCGGTTCCTTCGGCGTCCGAGATCTTGCCTGTAGTCAATCAGCTTATAAATGGCATCAAAGACCGCGGAGGGCTTGTGGTCGCCACTAAGGTTGAAACTTGCTGAATAGCATTATATAATATTCATATGTAGTTCATGTATTCACAACTTTATTCCCTCGAGCAGGACTGGCATCCACCAAATCATATCAGCTTCGCGTCCAACACACCAAATGGTAAAGTCTTCGAGACGAAGACGATGGAGTATGAAGGGGAAACGTTTGCGCAGCAACTTTGGCCAGATCACTGTGTGGTAAGTCTAGGCAGCAGTACAGTTTGACCGGACATAAAACTTTTCTCTAACCAATGGTCTTTCACCAGCAAAACAGCAAAGGAGCGGAATTCACAGACGGGCTGGAGACGACCAAGTTTGACATCACTGTTCTAAAGGTAATGTATGCAAACCAGTTGACATAGAATAAAGGCTGTATTTAACGCTATAAACATAATAGGGCTCCAACCAAAACGTCGACTCTTACAGTGGATTCGCCGACAACAAGTACTTTGAAATTACGGAGCTAGCAAAGCATTTATTTACAAGGCAAATTGAAACTGTTATCGTAGTTGGCTTAGCAGCGGATTATTGCGTCAAAGAAACTGCATTGGATGCCCGTAAATTTGGGTTCCGGACCATCTTAGTAAAAGAAGGAACCAGAGGTGTTGTTCCAGACAATTTCGACAGCTGTATGGATGATTTACGTTCAAAGGGTGTTCAAGTTACTAGCATCCAAGACCAAGAATTCACCACCGAATTCCTATTTTAATACCCCTTGACTACGTCAGTCCTCGTCCGCTAGTTCGTCTACTTCACCATCAGAATGTTCTATTCCATTATCTTCGTATTCTTCTTCCTCTTCTTCCTCGTCGTCTCCGAATACATCTTCATATTCTTCAATTCCGTCCAATTCCAAGTCGTCTTCAAAGTCTATAATGCATTTGTTAATAAGCAAACCATAAGCCGAAAGTTTCAGAGCCATTTGTCAGCTACTAGAAATAATGGATGCACATGTTACCTTGAGCTTTTTGGAGATTGCGCATAAGTTCATCGACCTGAAATGCCGTATCTGTTAATGTGCTGCAATTAAGTCCCGTTGGCATGTTCGTACACTTACCCGAGCTGAGACGTCTGGTCCTGCAGACGCCGCCTCTGCAACTGTGGCATTCTCATCTATATCCATAGCACTGCTTTCAGCATTAGCATTTTCTTCAGCACGTAAGTCCTCCTTGAGCGCGGCTTCAAAGTCCACGCCTGTTTCCCTCATAGTTGGTAGGTTTTGGCCGTCTATCGCAGCATTGTATGCCGCTTTCATGAATTTTCGTAGTTCCTTGTATACTGTGGGATAAATCCATCCGCTCTCTTTCTGTTGAGAGATTTTGTATTAGTAACCACATCTCGGCCGTATTAAACCCATGCCAATGTACGTACTGTACAGGTCTCTTTCCGATATCTTGGATCTTGTATGACTTTACGAAATTCAGGTATCAATATATCACACAACATATAGTTGTTTTGTCCTTCAGGTTTTATAACACCATCCCACTGGTGATTCATAGCTGGAATATCACTTAAAGGCAGCGTCTTAGCATGGATGTGACGTGACAAAAGTTCTGAGCAGACGATGAGATGTACTTACTCTTGATGGGAGTGCTCCTTTGATCCCACTTCGTTCGAGTCTAACGGTTTTCGCTTTGCCCGAGAGGTCGCTGGTGCTTTTGCTTTGAGATATCCTCGCTGGTCAAGAAGCTGGTACCTATAGAGTACTGAGTCAGCTGTAAAGTGAGCGATAGTATCAAAAAGAAATTTCTCACTTACTGGTATGTTTCGGGGTGCTTGTTTGGGTCATAGCCATATCGGATCCAAGTATCTCTCCAAGGGCCACTGGAAACGTTGTATCCTATACCAGGCAAGACGCTAAAGAGAACTATTAGCTTGTTGTTGAACAGAATGATCATGCAGTATATTGTTAACACCAACCGAGACAGGTATTTATGAGTGGAAGGTGGCAGCATAGCTCTCAGAGCGAACCTCGTCCATATCGGGCGTTCTTGAAAGAGCTAAATGGACAAGCACGTCAGCATGAAATGCCTCACAATAGCTACTATCACCTAGACCTACTCACCTCTTGCACGCGAGATAATATCTGCATCGCTTCGCCTTCAAGCGGTCGAAAGTTATTCGGGGGCTTGTCTGGAATGACCTTTGCTTCCCAGGGTATGATGTAGTGAGTTTCTTTTCGCTGTTTGTATCTGTTGACCAATTTGACCGCCACCTGTATATCTTTATGTCAATACATATATGGTTGACCGCACCACTGCGTCCGATACTTACAGATCCATCCGGTTGCCGAATTTTCACCTTAACAACAGCTGGGTTTTGCTGATAGCTGATAATAATGATAGGTAAGTATGCCATGCATTGATATTTCAAAAACCAGTAATCCCATACCTGTAGTCAAATGGCATTTCTTGCTTGGTGAACAGTGGTGGTGGGACTAGCTCGAGGTTTTCATAGTCATTTTCAGCAGGAACAAAATCCATCATCTTGTTTACTGTAGTATCATTTAATTTAATATCATCACAGTAATATCTTCCATGTGACCATTATTTCACCTACCATCACACTCCATCACCGCTTTCTTCACCTGCGATACGCGGTTTTCTGGTGCTACCAAATACTGGAAATCCGCCATTGCTATTCGGAGAGCATCAGGGCATGAGCATACAGGTCATTGCTGCATTATCAGTACTCGTATTTACCTCGAAAACGGCAAGTTTTGGTTATATAGCCTACTACTTCGGCTTTATGGTCTCCGATCTGTTCGTCTGGATTGTTCGCGTTGACCTGTCGCGTCACTTTGAGTAATAAATTTTTGGTATTCATCACGTTGCCGGGAATGCCGTGGGCGAAGGGATCCTTGGGGCGAAATTTGAGTTCGATTTCTGGTTCCTTGTTGTTCATTCTCTATAGAACGCAGAGGAAGGGTGAACATGACGGCATAGGGATATGGCACGGGTGGATGGTTTTCGCCTCACCTTTTCCAGCAATTGGATTCCACCGAGATTTTCAAACGCTCTGTCATGGTTTTGCACCCTTCCAGGGTATTCAACGTTGACAAATTCCGTGTTTGGGATGCGATGCTTGGGAGCGGGCTCACCGGTCATTGTGCTGAAAATAAGCAGGAGCAATTGAGCTTCCCCGAAATTCCAAGTCACCGAATGTCAGTTGCTCACAGAGTGAAATGAAACGAAGTCACATGTGGGTTTCCAACCTGACCTTTCTTCTTGAACCTCACCAATATGAAAGACCATACTGTGCAAATTCACTCAGCCGACAGTGTTGAAGAATCAACCGCACGTTCACCTCTCATTGATTCCTCTACCAAATCGTACTCTGCTGTGGAAACTCTTGAGAATGGTGCCACCATAACGAGTGCAGCACGAACTGACGACGAAGAGCAAGAGGCTGTCAAAGTGGTTGAGCGCCGCACTTGGACATGGCGCTCACAATCGTATAAGCGATCGCTGGCATCGCTCCTTGTGCTCTTGATAATATTCACTGGTCTTCAGTACCTCGTACTGAAGTTAAATTTACCCGCCCCAAACGAGTAGGTAGCTGCTTTGTTACAGAATTCGTCGAATGCTAATATTACTGACTGCTTTGTTACAATAGCGAGGACAAAGACGCCTGGAAGCTCCCTCGTAACTTGGAAGACCTTCGAAAGCTCAATGCGGTATTAGCAATCTATATCGGGGAGCATTATTGGAATGTGTACTTTGCGTTTTTCAGCACATACATTTAGTAAGGACCTCAACTGCTGTGTGCTGAAGCACTCCTTCATTGAATTAACATCGCCCTTCAGCCTTCAGAGCTTTTCAATCCCGGGAAGCATGTGGCTCTCAATATTGGGAGGCACCTTGTTCGAGTTTTGGTTTACTCTATTTACTGTTTGTCTTGTAAGTCAGATTATTGCTACCATGTGGGTGGTGCTTTGGATGCTAACTGGCTGTATTTTTTACAGTGCTCCGCAATTGGTGCCACGATAGCTTATTTCATTTCAGCAAGTCTAGCTTCGGTTTTCGTCATTCGCAACTTCGGCGAACGGTTTGCTAAATGGAATGAACAAGTAAGTTGACGTATGCTTTGTTTTCGATACTCCGCAATTGGATTTTAACAACAGCTTGCCGATAGCTTGTTCAACATAGAAAGCACATGTTTAATTACATGGTTGTTCTCAGGATTTCACCATTACCACCTAACTGGGTAGCCAATCTGGGTGCTCCGCACTTGGATGTACCTGTTGGAGCATTCTTCTGGGGAACCTTCTTCGGTAAGTTTTACATTTCATTCACCACCTTTGACGCTGTAAGACCATAAATCTCTTGGCACTAAATTTTCCCGCTTCATAGGTGTGGCTGGTCCATCTTTCATCCACGTACAAGCTGGTGCTGCACTGGATCGATTATCGTCCTCTGATGAACTCCAAATCTTCACTCCACTCAACATTATCTGCCTCATTGCTGTTGCAGTGGTTGCGTTAATTCCTGTCGCTGTTAGACGCCGCTGGAATATGTAAGAATATGTAAAATAAAAAATACAGAAGCTTTTTATCATATATTTCACGTAATTTATCTGCTCAAACCAAATAGAATAGTGGATTAGTTATATAAAATTTGGATGTACATCTATGAAGCTTCTAATTTAACGCTTAGATGGAGCAAGGCCGATTCTGGCGATGGTGTTGACTCCATAATCGAACACAGCGTAATAGCTCTTTAAAAAGGTATCGCCGAGGATGGTGAATTCACTAGTTGTTCCTGCAACTCCAGAATTACAATAACCATCGCCGACCTCTTCTCTAACGATATCAGCAACATTAATAGGGAATGGCAAACCGTTCAATGTAAAGGTTATTTGCTCAGTAGACTGAGACAAGTTGCATGGAATGGTGTAGCCAGCGGTGCTGTTGAAGCGAGTCCCTGGGATTTCGCTATAGATATCTTGTGTGAGGTTCATTGGTAGAATGATGAGGGTAGTTCCGGTATCGACAATGGTTGAGGAACCTTTATAATCGAATGTCTTTTGGTTGATGCCGATAGAGGACATGTTGAGCTGCCAGTATTTCTTGACAGGAACAGTAAGATACTGTATTTCCCCAGTATAATGGGCTGAATTAATACCGCCAATGGTCTATGGGAATGCATGGTAAGTTTAAAGGGACGAGTTATCATCATACTTGGCTTGACTTCAAACAACTTACCAGTTCGCCACCTCCGCCTTCTCGTGCACGGCCAAGCCAAATTCCAATGACGGCATCATCGATCACGCCCTGTTTCTGCATCTGAACAACCGGTGCCATCAATGCACCAGTGTAGCTGAGAGACGGAAACCCTAATCCAAAAATGCCATCGGTGATATTGCTGGTTGCAAAAGTCCCCGTGACATTTTCTGCTAAACCTAAAGTTTGGTTCATAGTATACAAACCGCCGAGGGTAAAGGCATCCTCAGCGGTAAGGCCCGATACAGCGGAACCATCTGCGTATTGCAGTTTCCAAGGGAACCCATCGAGTTGGAAGGTTGTTGACTGGTTAGTGTCGAATTTTTGGCTTGGACGACAGCTACTGCAATTTTCGGTTCCAATCCATACGTCGGAAGATCCTGTATCAAAGTCCATGATGAAGTCTTGAGGTGGAGTACCAATGCCAATTGTGCCAACGTACTACAATACAACAGGTATAAGAAAATGTGCTTCACAATTGGGAAAAAACTTTCGTCGAAAGTGTCACTTACATCCACATCATAAAAATTGTCAGTATACTCAATTGTGCCGGTTTTATCAGCATCACCTCTTTTTTGCAGAGTTCCTTCCAAACCATACTTCTGCATTAGCTTGTGGTATCGAGCCGGTGTACTGAGAACCTTTCCATTCTTTGGCGAAAGTGGAATTCTAGTGGAGATGACACGAAAGTCAGATGTGCATCATGAACATGGTGTCAATAGTACGTTTACATACGGTATGTAGGCAGTGACTGAACCTATGGAACCAAGAGCACAAAGACTGAACAGAATAGGTACAAATTTCATTGTAAGAAAAATGGAGTGGCAAGTTTTCAATCGGCCATGAGATTTTATATCACTCGATTTTTTTTTGAATGTTCTGAAACCAAGGGTTTCCTATTCACGGGAACCGACAAATTGGAGGTAGGCATTTCTCGTCATGTCACTAATTTTTTAACTTGAGCTTGAAAACGCATCTGAAACATTGTGGATGTCATTGGTAGTGTTGAAGAAGTATGTATCAAAAGAGGTATCGCCTATTTATGACAGCTTCCAGTTGAAAAATACTATTAATGGTAATAATAAATATCTGCACGAGCCCTTTGTGAAATTTTTTGGTATTAAGAACAATCAGAGCAGTCTTTATCGATCAGCGGTGTTGTATGATTCGCTCAACTTAAGCCAGTCTGACCCTACACCAACGAACTCTACGCGACACAGTCCAGCTGCGCCTCCAGAAGCAATCCATCCACTAGTCAAGAGGTTTGGATTCCAAACACACTAGTGATACACATTAGCACCGAAGTAATGACGTTAGGACAAACCCTAAAAGCTCCAAAACGTACCTTTTGGATAGCGATTTCTGGGTCTAAGAACAGATAGTACAGCGATTCCATTGCCCGCTTTTTGGCTTCATACACCTGATTGGAATGCAAGTGATTGGTCAGTGCGTTGGACCCTGTCACATCAATCCTGGGGACTAAGACTTACACCTGGTTTGATACCATCTACATATCTATATTTCTTGGGATTCTCTTCAAGTTTCATTCTGTATATAGTAGTAATAATCGGTTTCTAGCGGAAGCAATGCAAGTGCTCACTGTGGTTAGCGGATTGATTTACACTCAGATTGCGGTCATGGCAAGAAGTCTTACCTGATTTTTCACTTTCCCATGGTAAGGATTTTTCATTTTCAGCCAGCCATCTGACGATGAAAAGAGGATGAAAGGATGAAAGTAACTTCCAGCAGATTGCCATACTTCGCCTCTATTATCAGCCTCCTTTTTAGTGGTGCCATGTTCTGTAGTGACTCCCGTACGAGCAGATCGTATGTTTCGCTCCACATCAGTGAAGAAGAAATTTTCAGTGTACGAAGGCCACGCCACGGTATTCATAAAACCTTTTTCAGAATTAGTATAAGGTACCTTTTTTCAAAGCGCTGAATGAATGAATGAGGTACCTCGATTTTTCCAATATGTAGCACCGGTCCAAGGGTCCCGGTCATCAAAGCAGCGAACTCGGCCATCTTGCCCACAACTGACGAAATCATGTTCATTTGAGTCATGCCTTGAATGATACGTCAAATCCCGTACAGCGGAAGTATGTGCTTTCACATTATAGACAAGAGCATGTGCAATATCTGCAAAGCGCAGTAGCCAGTTCAGCACTCAGCGTAGATCGGTCTCCATCATCCAAGAGACCAAAGTCGGTCACTTACCCTCTGTTTCCGTGTCTTTGTTAGCTCCAGCTCTATTCTTTATGGCCCACTCAACATTCCATAAACTTATGTGCCCTGTACAACACAATGTTAATGCACAGTGTATGCCAATGCCGATTCAACCATATCCTCTTACCTTTTGAACAGCCTGCAATCAGCTTGTAGGGTCCACCCCAAGATATGGTTGTAAGACATGTATCAGGTATGGAGAGTATCGCTAACGATTTTTCAAGTTTAACTAATGGGACGTAATGGAAGGTTAATATTTTTTGCATGCGAGTGATGATAACCGGCTCGAAATTTGTACGCACTATATACTGTAGAACGCTTGTGTTCGCCGGACTGCGCGCTTTTTCCTTTCCCTTTCTCTTTCATCCGAAGTCCATCTGGGTGCGGCACTGATATAAGTCGAATGGTTCCATCACCAAAGGCAACAGCCATAATTCCTAGACGCGGTGTGAAAGTCTGTCCTTCAAGGGGCTAGAGTTGATACGGCCTTAGTATTATTTTTTATAAGCACACTCCATGCACTAAATATATGCCCCAAAACATACCTCTTGGTACGTTCCAAGTGGGCACCATTGCAATGCTCTGACAATACCGAGGTCGTGTGCTATACAGAGATCCAAAGTTGGTGCGGCAATAGGGCTCTCTTCGCTTTCAACTAGTCGCAAATCCATGCGCCAAATCTGAATGCAGTTTTCTACAGTACCAGCTTCCTGTATCTCTCCAACATTGTGGTGCTCATCTGTGGTGCCAGGATAGCCTGCAACGGCCAAATATTGGATATGCGGATCTGATGCGGAAGGCGATTTCGGTGCAAAATCAAGGCCCCAGATGGATCCACCTGTATTGAGGACAAAGCTTTTATGATATTTGAGGTATTTTGGACCTAATTGGCCATCAGCATGATTGTTTTTGGAGTCAATATTACAATAAGAGAATTACATACATAGTGCAACACTCTGCTGAGGCTGTATCTTGACTTCGGTCTGTTTCTGTATGCCGGCAATGATTGTAACGCTGTCTTTTCTTTTTGGTAAGAACGCCTTACCCTCGCTGAGCCATTATAAAATATATCAGTACTTCCGTCCCATAGCGTTGTCATGGCCCTTTGTAAAGTTCTTACGTTGGTTTCATAACGCGAAATTCGGAATCCTGACATTCAACGTCTTGGTACGCTGGCTGATCGAAGCAATCACCGTAATCGACCAATGGTGCAGCAGAGGGTCCACGGGTATCTGCATACCACTCCCTGAAAGGCGAATCTGTTTTGTCCTGCACGGCCATGAGTAAGTTACCGAACTGAGCTCGCGTTAAGCAAGGCAATTTTTCAACTGCAAATATTTGAAGTGGCGAGAAGATTTCAATGGTTGATTTTTTGAGGAGGTCGAAACGCTATCAATTCATTATGCGAGTTGTGCATCCTGGAAATATGTTTACATCCTCAGGACAGAGAGGTTAACTGGAGGAACTCTTCGGGGGACCTCTTGCCACATTCCTCGCTCGCGGACGAGAAAACCTCCCGCGGAAGCCCATCGCTCGGCCATCCTCGACTTGCTTGACAACCGTAAAGAGATTCGCGAATCTTCCATACATAAGGCTTTCTTCCGAGCGCCTCCCGACCAGACCCTTCGCGAAAGCCAAGACTTTCTTGTGGATATCTCCTCAGTTATCGAACATTTCGAGCGACTCGGCTCCAACGACTTCATGCCGTTGAAGGAGCTGACCCAGAAACTCTGCTGGCTCCTCGGCCTGTGCGGGTTTATGTGTCTCTCAGACATCGAACGAATCAACCTGGAAGAGAGTGGTCATCGCATCCTTTTTGCTCGCTGACCCAACTTTGTACGGTGGCGGTGTTCAGAGCCTACAACGCTCTCATGGACACCATTGCGGAAATATCATGTATTCAATCAGATAAAATTCAACTACTAGACAACGCCAAGCCCATCGTTCGTGCCATTTTCCTCACCCTGCTCTGCTCCATGTTACTATCCACTACTTGATTCGGTTCATCAGTAGTTTTCACACAACTATCTGTGCTCAACGGATCAATAACTGGACCACTGCTATCACCGCCCTGATTCCGCAGGACTTGTCCCATTCAAGCCTCCGACTACGAGTCTCGACAAGCTACACCAAACATAGGACTTGTCGAAAAGAGGATAGATTCATAGCAGTAAATGACTCTGTCTCAGCATTATCGAACGACTTGGTAACTTCTTGGCAAGGACCCGCGTGGACGCTGAGGTAGCCCATGGGAACTGGCCATGGGAGGCCACTGATTCAGCCGATATTGAATAAAACTAGAAGAGATACACCAAATGTGCAGATAGGTATCGAAGCAACAATATGCAAAATGTTCAGCATCATTTGAAAGTTTCCAACAAAAATTTTATGAGTAGCAAATGTGCATTTCCCGGATCTATAAATGTACTTGACTCCACTTTCTATAGAAAAGAATGAAAAGAAAAAAAAAGTTGATACTGACAGAATGCTGTAGAAGCAAAAGACACGAAGAAGCAAAGAAATATGATAAGAAAGGGGGGTCTATACAAGCTTTTTACGATAAGAGGCACTAGGGTTATTGTTAAGCAGAATCGCAGATATGAAACGAAGGTGTAGCGAATGAGCTGAAGAAAGAGAGAATAGTGTGTTTCTGTGACACTAGAATACTGGGGTTGTTGTGTGGAAGGACGACCTCCCAAAGCGAAAAACAAAAAAGATACGGGAAAAATGCAAAACGTCAACCGATACGGCACAGAGAGAAATATAAGAAAAGAATTGAAGATAGGGTTATTTCTTTTTTGAATGCTTGAACATACTTAAAACCAGCTTGTTTTGTTCTGATATTGAACAGGTACTGATGTGTTAGATGGACCTCTTCCGTAACCTCCACCATAACTATTGTACATGTCTGATGCATAACCACCACCATTTCCGCGATACCAGTTATCACCACCATTTTGTTGCTGCTGTTGCTGTGGATACTTTCTGAAATCTCGGCTGCCAAAGCTACCTCCGCGGCCACGGCCTCGACCTCCACGGCCGCCGCCACCACTGTACATTCGGTTCTCTCGAACAATGGATTCCAACCATGAAGGGACCTCTTGATTAGCTTCCTTGAGGATATCAATGAGATCGCCAGCAATACCTTTGTTGCCACGGTTGAAGAATGCGGTTGCAGATCCAGTATTACCAGCACGGCCAGTACGACCAATGCGATGAACATAATCATCAATGTCGGTGGGAAGGTCATAAGAAATGACATGTCCAACGTTCGCTATGTCCAAACCACGAGCAGCCACGGCAGTAGCCACCATAATGGGGGTTCGACCATTACGGAATGAATCTAAGGCTCTTTCACGTTCCCTTTGTGTACGATCTCCATGAATGGCTGTAGCAGGAAAGTTTTGACCAACCAGGAAGTCGCATAGCATATCGGCCATTCGCTTGGTTTCAACAAAGATGAGCGTCAAGCCCGTCAATTCGGAAGAATGTAGAATATCCAGTAAAACGGAACGTTTGTCTTCATCTTCTACATACTCAATCTTTTGGGTGATATTTTCAGAGGTTGAACCAACCCTTCCAACCGATAAGAAGATGTATTCCTTCAAAAAGTCGCGAGCCAGGTACTGGATATCTCTTGGAAAAGTTGCACTGAACATCAAAGTGATACGATCTTCCACCCCTGGCATATCCTCCTGCTCTACAATGCGTCGAATTTGAGGCTCGAAACCCATGTCAAGCATTCTGTCAGCTTCATCGAGCACGAGATACTTGATTTGCGAGAGAGAGATCCGCGCGCGTTCAATTAGATCCACGAGGCGACCCGGTGTAGCCACCAGAAGATCACAACCTCGTTCAATTTGCCGCAGCTGTTGTCCGATGTCTGCGCCACCATATACTACACATGGTCGAACCCAACTGCGGTAAGCGAATTTCCGTGCTTCATCGTAAATTTGGCAGGTCAATTCACGAGTAGGCGAGAGAATAATGACACTTGGGTAAGCCTTTTTGGTACGCAGGTAGGAGGGTCTATTTCCTTCCTGTGGGGGAGCGGAAGCAATGGGGCCATCTGAAAACAGCTTTGACAACACGGGGAAGAGAAATCCTGCGGTCTTTCCCGAACCTAAACACATATGTGAAGTCTGTTAGACTATGGTAAAAATTAGAGACTATCATTGCTGTATTTTAATTACCGGTCTGAGCACAGGCCATCAGATCTCTTCCCGCCTCAACAATTGGAATAGAGTACTTCTGGACAGGAGTTGGGGTGGTGTAGCGAGCCAAGTCAATGTTGCTAAGCAGATGTTGGTCCAAAGGTGGAGAAGTGAACTGCGTGATGGGCTCGGGAACGTCAGTGCCGCTGGCTTCGACAGGAATATCGTCGTACTTTTCAAAGTTGATGCCGGTATGTTGACGATCGACGTCTTCAGGAGCACCAAACAACTCATGCTCGATACGAGGGTTGCGGGCGGCAAAGTGATGAACTCCATTCTTCCAATATCCTTGACTTTCATCTCGACGAGGCACATAATCTTGGTCACCCCGTGCATATTTGCCACCGTATGAACCCCGTTCGTAAAAGTTGGGTCTATTACTGTAGCCACCCATACTTTTATCACTCCAACCTCCAGATCTCCCATAATCAGACCTAGAAGATTGCCAGCTGTTGGGTTCAGGCAAGGATGAAACACACAATGCAATGATGATTTTTTTTAGTGAGTTATTGCTTGGAACGTGCCAAGTCCTGCTGCGGAAAGTAATGCTCACCTGTCTGAACGCACAGCACGGTCAGTCGGCTTGCTCCATGTTGAGCCCATATTTCCACGCCCATTGGATTGCTCTTCTTGGTGGTGAGGCGCTCTCATATGAGGAGGCACATAGCGAGAAGTTTGAGGACGGTTATCTGAGTTGTTCACGCCAAGGCGTGCTTGTTCAAAAAGTGCGGGGAATTAAACTCTTGTACATAATGAGTAAAGTAAATGGTGTAAAGACCTACCGAATTTTGATTCTAAACTTCCACTGTTGTTATTTGTCGCATTACTCATAATGTAAGATTTCTTTTTATTTTTGTGTTGTTAGAATGAAAGAAGTACGCTTCGTCATTTGATTAATCGAAGCTCTTTTGTCCGTTTGAAAAATTCACCGCTTGACCAAAATTGGAAACAGCATCACAGCCATATTGGTAACAACCTAGCAGCAGCTAATTTATTCACTTCTTCTACGCAACAACTTCATATGCTTTGAGAATTTATTTTCATGTATATGTACTTGCTCGAATTTGAACAAGGTCTTTGGACTGTAGTATATTAACCTACATTAGCCGTTCCTTGTAGGCAATGTCCTACAGACATCATCGATCATACAAGCTTGAGTGTTAGAGATCATCCATTGACGCACTGTTATTAATTCCTCCTCATTCTGTATCGCAATGCCTTATTTTTCTTTATTGAAGCAAGCATAAAATTGAAAAAAGTGGGTGGGAAAATTATTTTTGATTTTTTTATGTTCGATGTGATTACCATAAAAATCGTAGATCGATGCCGTCTTCCTCGTCAGATACGAGTTGTCGTTCTGTGACGCCCATGTTTCGAATAACACTAATATACTCAAAGAAGACATTTCTCCAGCCGGATGCTTGAGATGGGCTATCAGCGATCATGAGCATCTTGTAATCTATTGCTTCTCCCTCGTCTAGTGTGACGGAGCTGTTCTTGGATACGCATCGAGGATCCATTTCAAGAGAAAATCCTGTACAACCGAGACTCACTTTTTCGTCGGTAGTAGATATGTTACGCAAGTGATTGAGGTTAATGACGGCCAACGCCGGTTTTTTCTATGGAATAGAATGATTATTAGAGAACAGGAAAACAGTCATCACGTTCATAGTCAGAAGCAATGGACTTACCTCTTGGTATGTGAAATCATACAAGCACAAGTCATCGTTATCAACTACTGCCCAGTACCGGGTCCATTTCTGATTCATTTAGGAGGAGAGGCATTAGTTTCACTCCGTATTATCAATGGTGTTGGAGGGCAACCATAATAAAACTTACAGGTATCATATTACTACGAGAGTATACAGTCAAGTAATCGCTGTGAACACGGCCAGACAGACCTCCTTGACTCCTGGATTCTCGAATTCTTCCAACAACGTCTAAATGCACACCTAGTTGAACTTCAATCTCTCCATCGATTTTGTCTTGAGGGCTGTCATTATATCTCCCAAGAGAAAATGTCTTGATGGCTTTATCCATGCCTTCCACTTTTTCATAATGAAGATCGGCCAATCCAAATATGACTTCATTGCCAGACGAGGTTTGTATGGATGAAATTCGATTACTGCTTCTTCGTGCTAACGTAGGTAGAGCCATTCTACTACGAGCAGCTTGTGCTCGCACAGCAATTTTGCAAGTAAATGGACCGTCGACATCACTGTATGAGGGGAATAACAGACCAACAATGGTTAATAGACGGGATTGTTACTACTACTGTTCCGAAAAATAATTGATACTTGCAATAGAAAAGCATCATCAAAAGTAGCAACTGCAGACTGTTTTCCAGATCTCGCCATGGACACACTACTGGTTGAACGCTTGACCCCATTGACTTCCAGTTCAACACTAATTTGCAAATCTAATAAGGTAAATGTTTAGTTCAAAAATAAAAATGTAAGGGTATAAATTTTAGGATCAAGAAAGATGGTTTTTACCTTTACTTGATGCTTTGTTTGACACTCTGAGTACTGTAATTTTTTAAAGCGAAGGAATGAATTGACCTGTGGAGATTACCTGCTTTTACTTTAAAAAAGAAAGATCCGGTTACTTACTCTTACAATAGAATACACCCTTGGCACTTTTGGGTTCCCTTATGTTTGGCATGGTGGAGGATGTTTTCATACCACCAAAGCTGAAGACGTAAATTATAGATTTGAGAAGGACTTTTTTTTTAGCACAGAGATCATACCAGGACCAGATACATAATGCCTCTTACCCATGCTGAGCTGAATATATTTCATGCGCTTTGGGATTCAAAACGCCGACTTGGTTATTGAAAAGCTTCAAGCTATGGCGATTGTACCAATTGGTGGACGAAAAGAAGCTGAGTCTTGATTCTGGGCGGGTATTCTGCTGCTTCACGTAAATATCCACGGGCTGGGATGGTGTGCTCTTAATCCACATCAGCCTCTCGCTCGAGAGATTTTGTATTTCATTGATGGGAGCAAATGAATGATAATGAATGGAATTGGAAGAAGTTGGTGTAGCGACAATAGACGAATCACTATCACTAGAGGAGGAAGGTTCTTTAGGCGAAAAGAAAGAAGTGCGATAAAATGGGTTGGAGGGCGATCTAAAAGCCGTACGACTGAGCGAGCGGAGCTTGGTATTAATTAAAAGGCTGGCACGAGCATTCTTTGGGGGTTGGTGCTTTTGTTCGGCGAACGTAGAGTCGTCTGAGGAAGCCAAACTCGCTGTAGATTCATCGCTCAGTTCCGGAGTTTGAGTGTGCTCTCCAGTCGAAGAATGACTACTTCCGCTGCACATTTGCAACATTAATTCATCAACATGAGGCGACGTGCTGTCAGGGTACTTAAAAGAATCTTGTCGGGGAAACATGTTCATTCGACGAAAAATGGAATTCAACGATGGAATGGTGCTGGCACTCGACTTAAGCTCGCTACGTTGAGCTGTAGAGTTCGATTCATGGGTGTTATTTTGTAAAGCGATTGACATCATAAGCAAATGGATATGGCCAAATAGGTCAAATTATATAAAATCAATAATTTAGCAGTTTTGCAATCGTATTCTTTGGTATTGAAGGACTAGGAATGGGTTAAGTGGGATAGACTTTGGTAAAAAGGAGGGTATAAAATGGTAGCTTTTGAAGCGTTGGTATAAAGGAGAGAGAAGAGATAGAGTGTATGCAATGGGTTCCAGAAGGGTAACAAAATAACGTTGCCATGGCAGCGATTATTGCATACACAGATTCAAGTTCCAGTCCATGACTTGCACAATAACCTTGCTTCGCATTTTAAATGTATCTAAAAATGCATGGTTGTTAATAGCACCATCACTTCTCTAGAGGGGTAAACGTTGACGCCTAATGTCGCAAGGGTTTCTCGCTTGCGGATATTTAGATATGGGGTAGACTGATTCGTGTAATTTCGCATGGAGTTTACTGCAGGCTGGTTGCCACATTCCATGGATGATACCATATTATACCCACACCTAAGTAAGGGGTATACTCTTTTACGAATGTCCTGTATCTACTTGTGAAATAAATAGTCCATTAAAAAAATAATTACTGGCTGATTGTTTGGTTAGCCGAGTAAGGTACAAAATGCCCTAACTGTGATGATTCTGATAAGCAGAACTCACCAAACAAAAATTATTGTAATTTGAACATTCCATAGATAATTATTATACATACTTTTCCTCGCCGAGATGACGCTGATTGACAACTGATAACCGAAAGGTGTTCAGAGGAGAGATCTTGCCACGATAAGCAGATTCCAAGCGAGCAAATACGAAAAAAAATATGTAAATGAGCCTAAATATATCAAGGTACAAGAAAAAAAAACGTAACAAGAGATCGGAACTAGGCGCATTGACCATGTCGACTTTCATTGTTGTAGATACTTGGGGGTGAACTGACTCGAATACTCACTGGCGTTACCTTTGACAAAGTAGTGACTGGATCAACTCTAACCCCCTTCCCCTCCAGAGTACATATGGACAAGCAGAATAATTAAAAGCAGTACTTAAAACAAGGTGTTCCATTTATTCCATATAGGGGTGGTAACAAAAGATTGGCGATATCTGTAGCGAACAGACCGCCGATTAAATTGAAAAGGTGAGGCCAGAGAGTATACTTTTCCTTTGGTAACAGGTGCTCACCGAATGGTCCCAAAAAATGATCGTGCCAAAACAACATCAGCGCCCCCCATATCTATTATTTTCCATCTTTGCCAGATGTGCTTTTCCCGCTATCAGCAGCCTTCTTTGCAGCAGCAGCTTCTTGCTTTCTTCGCATGATATCGGCATCACTGGAGGTAGAAGTAAGTGTAAGGGTTGAGGTTGCAAAGTTAGCAGTGAGTTTTGGATGAACTCATATTAGTTGGTGGTTCGGTTTGCATGGGGTAGGCTACTTGGAATGCCATGCCTTATATTGCAGGTAGAATGACTGAGAGCATAGGGGGAGAGAGATAGAAAACTGTCACTCACCTTTCTTGCTTGTTCTTCAAGGACTGACCATTCAAAGTAGTAGCCTTGGCTTTGCCGCCAGCCTTCTTTTGAGCCTTGAGACGATCTTGTTCACGTTGATTGCCACCTAAAGAAAAACGGAAGGTCAGTTTGGGCGTGAGCTTCTTTTAAATTCGATAGTAGAAGATGTAGACGTACGGGTCATAGTGAGATGTGAATTAAATGGTCAATGAAAAAAGGTTTGTTATGTATAGATTGTTGACCAAGAGAAAAAAAAATACTGGAAATTCCCTCCAACCCGATCGGCGATTGAAACCTTGAGCGAAGTTTCTAGACAGCTTGGCATACACTGTAAAGGTGATGAATGAAGGGCGAGGATGTGGTATAAGCTCTCTGAACCGCGCTTTTATTGGCTGAAAAATATAATCTCACCAAATGATCCTGCCTAAGATCTTTCGAAACTTGATTTTGATCATATCGTCTTCCACTGCTTTCCGCCAGATAACCGCAGCTCCTTTCAAACGAGTAGACACGATCCACAATATCTCGTGGTCTTGCACATTTATTCCTTTCTTTACCGTTGGAAGTTCTGAGCCCAGACAAGGGGTTCCGATAATATATCGCTTTGGATGCAAAAATTTGAGGATGTGGTTCCAACTTTCCTTGCTGCATCTTGCGTTGGCGTTTCCTGCAGTCCTTTTTGTGATGCCTGGGTCCACCACAATAGAAATATTTTCTTTGCTTCGAGTTTCTTGGTTCCACTGCTGCTCCCGGATTGCGGCTGCTATTAGGAACGCTTGAACTGTCACCATATACTGTAGTCGGTATATAGTTGCCGTTGGCCTGTCCCCAATGTACCTGGGATTGTTCTTGTGATGTATCTTTCCACTTCCGTTGCAATTTCAAATGGATTTGGTTACCCATATAAGTTGAAACTATATGCAAAAATGAGGGAAAAGTATGCGGTGAGGCAGAGAGATTGGCCTCCGTGACTGAAGTTGGCCCACGCTCCATAGATCAAGCGCATGCATGGAACATATTTTTCAAAATTTGGTCGTTTTCGGCATCTGGCCATGCCGCCTCAAGAGAGGCGGCTCGCTTCTCTAAATAGCTGGCGATGGATTTCTTTCTTTAATGGTGGCGGTGGCCACATACCATGGGTCTGCGTAGTTGTTGAGGGATCTCTGACATTTTGTAACGTGCTAAATTCGGTGGTGGTGATGGTTGCTTACTGTTGGATGGCAGAGACACATTATGGATACGCAACGGCAAATTTTGTTGATGTCGGTGGATGACAATTGTAGATACTGCCGTTTATCCACACCTGTATCTAATACAGTTGAAAACTTTATATCAATGTTCCCAAGTAGTTTCGACGGTAATGTGTAGATATCAATTTCTTATACCTTGGAGATCTTGGTACTTGGATTCCTCCTTGCCTGTAGAGAATAGTGAGTGCGATGTACTGGGATCCATGCATTAAGTCAAGCCAACCGTTTTTGTGAATTTATCTTTTCCAACCTACCATCTGGATACAATCGTTCTGAGTGCGGTTATTGATATTATTGAGTTCTCGGTTCTTTTTACTTTTTTGTGGCCTAATAAAAAGTAACAAACGTTAACAAAAAGTTAATCAAGAGCCAATTTTTTATGCGTATCAGCTTATTATACTGACAAGTTGCATGAGATGAACAGGTCAATCTCGCCTTATTTGGCCACATCACCCGCTTTCCTTGATGCTGGACATGCTTTATTAACAAATCTCCACTTTTCCACTGTGCGCTCTTTATTTGATGTCAAATCCGCATGGAGCATGTGATACCACTCGAACGCCTTTGAAGGTTGTCAACAGTTTGCGCCATCACTGATATTTGTACCGTGTTGCAAAGTTCCAAATTCATAATTCATTTGTTAGCCTGCGCGAAATACTTGGGTAATATTGGTGGACACTTTTATTACACTGTGATGTGGAATTGTTACATAGGCTCTATGGAAATATTACAAGGATGGGTAGAGGGGGATTGGGGTGGGTATACAGAGGTGATGAGGGAAAAATCTAGAATGGGTGAATATAACTTTTTCTTTGACTAACATATATTTAGTCCTTATTTTTTTTTTTGTTAACCCTTTGTACTGCCTTTCCTCCAAGTCCATGATTTGGATTCAGACACATTCACATTTTCGGTCGAAGACGAAGACGATTTACTAATGGCAGGAGATGACACCGGTCGGCGAGGCAAGAAAGCGTTGTACAAATGTGGGGAGCCTTTTGAGGGTTTTTCCGTATCTTGGGTCTCAACAGAGGAGCTATCTTTATGGTCTTTTGTTTTCCATGGTGTTGCTGTGAAGCGCTTGAAAAAGGCGCTTGTGGAATAATGGTGCGGCCGGTCGGTTGAACCATCATCATCCATATCATCCTCTTCCTCTGAGCCAATAGACGAGTTGCTGCTTCTAATGGATTTGCGCAGTAAAAATAGGGTTGAGGACCTTGTCGGAGAAGCATCCAATGGATGTTGTGGCAATGATTGCTTGATTTGAGAGACCCAAGGTATGAAAGAGTTAACTCGCATCAATTCCAAAATAGAATTTCTGGCGCTATCGAAAACAGCTGGGTGATAACAGCCATGCGTCTGCCATTGGTCCAGTATCGTTTGGCGCATTTCACAGTGTATGTTAATTTCTTGTGGAGAATTGGGTGAAAGATAGGTATCTATAATATACGAGAATTTTTGTTTGAGGAGTTCACAGCGTATGGATTCTTCAGCTGATAAAAAGTGCTCTTCAGCTACAGTATATCGAAAGTGCACTCCCGACGAAAGTAGTACAGGCGAGTTCAAGGAGTCTAAGGAAATCGAACAATCTGTAGGACTAGTGGCCTCTAGTGCACATTGCTGTGCATCAGGGTCGACGGTGAAGAAAACGATAGCGCACTGTCGGTAGCGAACGACGGATGACCAGAATGCCAAGTTTTCAAAGCAATAGGATTGCCGTAAGTACTCTGCGAAATCTTGCAATGAATAAGGATGGGTGGTTTGATTCGAAAGAACAAGTTCAAGGCTCAGTTGTTGGTTCGAGGGAGAGTGTCTGCATGGGGAGGGCATTATCATGTCTTCATGTACTGGCATCTAAGCCTTAATACACATAAAACAGAAGGTAGAAAAAGTAGTTCAGAAAAATGTCTTAAAGAGACTTATGTAGCGATTTTCGTTGGTGCAGTCTCTCTTTCGCTCTCTTTGATTTTGGTCATCCGCTTTCCAAAAAAAAAAAAAAACTCTTCTCGCGTGGATTGTATACATGTATTATAAAATTATCAAAGGATGGCTCCGCTTTAAAAAAGGTCACTGCAGCAGCACGTCATTGCCCTAGCACAATCAAAGTATTTACGCATGATTAAAGCTTGGAAGCCTTTCATCTTGATGGCTTGGATAGGTAGAATACTGCTCAACAGACCCACTTGATACTGGACGTGATAAGAAAGTCAAACTGCTGCCATTTGGATACTTTTTTCCCACTGTTGGAATCGTATCACCACTACTATGGAACTCCGCATCAGTTGCTGAGTACGGAAGGTTGGCCTCCAGGTGACCGAGGTCAGTATGATGAATGCCGGTCAGGTTGATGGACGCCGACGACAAGGTTTCCTGAGAAGACCTTGCTGTCATGTAAGATGCGCTTGTAGAAGAAGGGTTTGTTCCTATCATGAGGGTAGAACGCTGGACCGCGGCTGTGAAGGGTTCCCCGATCTGCAAATCGGAGATATCGTGTTCAGAGTGGCCGCCATGAGCCTGGCCACGTGGTTGGTCTCCGCTCTCAATGATGACCCAAGGTTTGCTAATGCTAGTCGCTTCGGAGTTCTCTAACGCTAAACTCTTCCGCCAGGCTGCTTCTTTCGCTGCTGCTGATCTTCGAACTTCTTCAGCGAACATATGGTTGAAGTTTTCACTATCAGAGATATGCCGTACTGAGTTGCGCAAAGTCGATACTTGGGACCAGGGCCTTGTGCCTGGAGTTTGAACCGTGATGTCAGAAAATTCGGATACGGTCGAAGTGCGATTAGGATTAGGATATCCTGAAGTGCTGAGTCTTCTGGAAGCGTATGCTTGATTCTCCGCACTACGTGATACTTGCATATCTAGGTCTTGCTGTGCATGCTCACTGGTTTCTTCTTCCGACGCTTCTTTACTGGCTGGTAGTGGGTCATTGTAAGCAACTGGTTTGGCCATGGGCGGGATGGTACTTTCTCCGATAAACCTTTGTCTCCTCTCTGTTCTTCTTCGTCTCCAACAGCACCCTAAGCAGACCAACACCAAGATGAGGAATAGGGATCCCAAGACCGCCGGAAGAACGATAGATAGGATTCGGGTTGCGGAGTTGCCACTTGAGGAGTCGGCTCCCGGTTGTAGAAAGATATGATAGCATGTAGAAGCAGAACCGTTCCATTCGTTGAAACCAGTGATAAGCACAGTAATATTTTGCGCTACCATGCTCTCGGTATGTCCGAAGACGGTGTTTGTAGACTCATTGAATGCCAGCCAAGCAGCAGTCCCATTTTGCGGTATAAACCAAGCTTTATAGCGCAATGGGCTACCAGAACCGGGATCCGAAGTAGCCAAAGGCAGCTTCATGTCCACCGTTTGAGAATTAATGTATTCATCTGGAATGATAATAAGTTGATCGGGAGGAGCATGGCCGTTGACAGCCAAAGTGAAATTGCTGGTGGCTTGATCACCGGTTGCGTCGGTAGCGAGTACAAAAATGACCATAGATCCGGCCATAGCATCGGGCGAGCATTGCAAGATCCAAGTACTACTATCAAACGAAAGCCATGAAGGAAGTGGACCCATGCCATCGCTGGTCCTTGACAATGTAATCTTGGCAATGGCACTGGTTTTGTTGGCTTCCGTGACCGCCACGCCATCAATTGCAAAGGTGTCGGCAGGGATTACAATGCTGAGGGTATTTCCTTGTGTAACATTGTAGTTCTGGATGGGTTGAACCACCGTCAATTGATGCTGGTAAATGGAAACGTTGAAGTAATCATCCACTCCTGTGAACTGTTGAATGTCCGTAGCATGGACCACAAATGTGAAAATTTGAGGGGTCAAGTTCGCAGGGGGGATGCCGTAAAACGTTCGTGAATTTGCATCAAACGACAACCACGATGGTAATGACACAGTACCTAGAACATTTGCCGAATAGTACAATTGTCCGGCAGAAAAGAAGGTGTCATTTGCAAAAGTAAACGTGAATGCCTGACCAGCTTGCACTCGCAGGGACCCATCTGGGCCAACATAATTTACACCTAAGGTTGCGCTTGCTAATTGAGTAGCTAATGGTCGTCCAATGGTGGGGGCTATAATGCTTGAGACGATGACTTGCATGGTACCATAATTAGATAGCCCTATCATGTCGGTCGCGGTGATGGTGATGATTGATTGGCCAACGTCAGCTCCCGAAGGCGTGCCAGTCAGGGTGCGATCATGTAAGGACAACCAATTAGGATTATCGGATAGTATATACGTCAGATTGGACGTTGAAGAAAATGTCGTTGGAAGAAATGTCCATGAATACGGCTGCCCAACTCTGGCGATCAGTGGCTGTTGTGTATCTAATGGGACTTGATACACCGGCGGAGTTTGCGATGCATTGCCAGTTTGCTGGCATACCACGTACGATGGTAAGATGAACACGTACAGTAGGAAACAAAATGGTACAAGCATAGTAGGTACAGATAGCTTGAAGATATGATCAAGTACTGTGAAAAGGATTTTTAGTTAAGTCTTCGTTCATCGACTTACGTGTGCACGTGCATTGTCTTCCAGAAAAGAGATACGAGTCTGAGATCTGCAATACATACCTTTCAAAAAAGAAAAAATTATGTATAAAAGAAAGTTGGGAAGAATACTGGTCCCAAAAACAAGTCAAAGAGCGCGAACGCTTCTATGTTGTAACGAGCGGAGATTTAGCTATCGTTTGCTAGGCAAGTTGCGAGCGTCTACAAGCCGTATTCCATACAAAGTAAAAAAAAAAAAAAACGCAGGAGAGAGTAGAAAGGGTGATAGACAGGAAAATAAAAAAGACTGTAAAAAAAAAGGTAGAAGCAAGAAAAATAACAAATACCTTTCCATAACTGCTTTTTTGCTTGATCAAATTACTCGCTGTAAATCCCATCGACCCCTGATTTCACCCCCTGTTGCTGTTAATGTCACCAAACAGGTATCGACCATCCTTAGCTCTCCAGCCAACCCACACGCGTCAACAAGAAGATTTTGGCGGGTGAGATTACGGTGGCTGAATGGTCTGTGTCGAATGTGAGGTTAAAGAACTACCTTATGGAATATCTCGGCCGTTATTGACGATGGTATGCAACGATCTCAGTATACACTAAAAGGCAATACCAAATTAGTAGTAGTCATGATCCCCCTTGCTTTATGTCAGCACCTGGTGTTCAGGTTAAGGAGAAAACGATGTGAGACGAGAAAAAAACTCTCAAGTGGAAGCCATTTCCCACCTTTGAGGTGGCTGTCGGTGGCGGATCCAACCCTCTGAAAATAAGGAGTGAGATAAAGCAAACGGGTCACAAAGAGGAAAAGCAATCGAAGTTTTAGGATGCTATTCGATTGTGCTGCAGCCTCCCTTTGCACATCGATTGTCAAGAACGACAAGCAACTACCCCGCTTTGCCCATGTATTTACCATGATGACCATGTTTTACTACTTATTGTTTTCAATTTTGTGGGAAAACTCAATTTTACCAAGGGAGCACACACACAGTGGGATTCCCACTTAACGCCTCCACCATGATAAATGCCATGTGGAAAAGATGCCTTTTTGTTAGAGTCAGAGGCGATCTTTATCTCTGATATTAATCTAGAATCGAATGTTCGGTCTTTTCAAATGATGGTGATGGATTCCGTCAGCCAAGTTGACCGGAGGTAAGCGGCTGTAGAAAAGTAATTGCGATTGTGAGTCTCCACACAAAGTGTTCTTAATGTAGTACCACTGTTACGTTATTCCCAAAAAATGATTACATCCCCGAGTATTCGTCGGACATGTCGTATTATTGAATCATGTTAGCACTCAGATTCAAATTTTTAAGAATTCGCTGAGCATTGATTCGAGAATGACGATACGTGCGTTCTTTAAGAAGGTTCTAGGAATGCGCTTTCTAGCTGGAGGTAACACGGCGTGCTATATTCAAGCCAAACTGCTCATCCACTTCGTAACTGGGAAAAAATAAATTATAGGTCAGATGGGGCTCAGTGACGATACCAGTATGACCAAATCGGCTTTGAGTGACTACGGCATTGTATTCTACGTACGCATGTCATGGCTGCGTGAAGAGTCAGGATACTGTTGAGCTTAAACCGCAGTGATGGTTTCACCCACGGGTATTTGCTTGATGCACCATTCGTTCTGATGGTACTCAACTGACCGCGCACAAATAAACATTTCGATAGAGAAAAACAGGATACGTGAAATTCAGGTCTCGCGAGAGCAACATCCGTAATGAAAGATCAATGTATGAACTTGGCATGGCATCGGGCTGAGCGATGTGAGTATGTGGTTTTTTGCAAGGCGAGGAAAACAACTCACTGAAATTGGATATTGTATTTCCTTTCCTGGTGGGTCCGTCTTTCATCAACCTACTCATATTAGATTCCCCGCTGGTAAACTCAAGGCCTACTCTTCGCGTGGTTTTGCATTCTTCCTTCTATTCATAACAACTCGGCAATGCCCAAGGCCATTAGAAAGAAGCTCGTTGTCGTTGGTGATGGTGGATGTGGAAAAACGTCACTGCTTGTAGTCTACCAGAAACAGCAATTCCCAGTGGTAATGTACCTGAATCTGTCTTTCCCATCTATTTGCATAAGTGATGCTGGCACGGTCCGTCCCCCCATAAAAATGGGCAAGCAAAGCATCCACAACCGATAGAACAGCTATGCTTGTTGTTATGGTTGAAATAATGGCGGTCAACCCTTCATGTCTCATTGATAACTAAAACATTGTTGTTTATTTACAGAAATATGTACCTACAGTATTCGAAAATTATATCTCGGTTGTGCATCTTGATAACGGCAAGAGTGTCGAACTCGCCTTATGGGATACAGCTGGACAGGAAGACTATGATCGCTTGCGACCACTTTCATACCCTGAAACCGATGTTGTACTCATATGTTTTGCTATCGACCAGCCTACCTCGTTCTCCAATATCCAGGATAGGGTAAGATAGCCACTGTATCCATCGACCCAATATCCAGGTTCTGGAGCTAATGATTTTCTTACGAATACATAGTGGTTGCCAGAGGTCGTTCACTTTTGCGAAAAGATTCCATTGATTCTGGTTGGCATGAAGATTGATCTTCGTAAAAACGACAAGCGCATCAGCGAGCTGAATGCGGTGGGTCATAACCTGATCTCATACGAAGAGGTGTGTAGTAGGGGGATGTAGTGTAGGATCATACTCTTGGACTGAGTACTAACTCGCGACGCGTCGCCTTGTTTTGTTGTTTTTTAGGGTAATAATTTGGCTAGAGAAATCGGCGCAAAATACTTTGAGTGCAGTGCAATGGAGAAGATCAATGTCAATGGTGTCATTGAGGCAGCTACACTGGAGGCGATGAAACCACGCGGATTGACCAAGAAGCTTTGCAGTATCTTGTAAGAATTGGGCCTATCCGGGAGAAAGAAAGAAGGGAGGATGAGTAAATCCTCGGGAAAACCCCACAACCAAACCACCTTGATTTAGAGCTTTCTCTCTCCCTTTTCCCCTCCTCTATTTTATTTCATTGCCTCTCCCATTTTTTTTTCTGTTTTTTCTTTACAGACGTGACATACTCCATCCATTCTGCTTATATTTCTTCAATTGGGCTATTCGTTGCTTGATATTATATTCAGATGCTCTCTTTTTTTTTGTTTTATTTCAAACTTGCCATGTATAACCCATGCTTTTCTTTTTATTTTACCCAACCATTCGTTTTCATCAATACCCCGCCACCGCCGATCCAATTGCTGTGATGCTCGTATACCAAACCTCCAGAAAAATTATTGAAAATTGATTTTTTCTGTATTTCATACGCTTCAACTTGTGTTGGTTTGGACATGTGAGTATGCAATATAAGTTTTTCTGCTTATACAATATATAAAAATGTACTTCTTTCTGCTTTTGTTATTATGGCCTCTATGCAGTCTATGGGATGGCATGAATTCAATTCTGACAAGTCCGTAACTACTTGGCATCAAGTACGGATTTGACCATTTCGCTGACTTTCTTTTTGTCGGCCTTGGAGCTGTCTATGGCCCAAGCCTTCATGACTTTTCCCAAATCTTTAATAGACGCGGCGCCAATGTTTTGTACAATTTGCTGGACTTCATCGCGAATTTCGTCATCGGACATCTGTGTTGGCATGTAGCGATTGAGAACCTCCAATTCCTTCTGCTCTTGATCAACCAAATCCTGGCGTCCAGCTGATTGGTACTGTGAAATGGACTCTTGACGTTTCTTGATGGAACGTTGAAGGATAGTCAGAATACCTTCATCAGGCGTGGCAGGTGGTGTAGGAGACTTATTCAAGTAGATGAGATCGGAGAGAATCGATTTGACTACGGTGAGATCTGGCTGTGTTCGCCCACGCATGTAGGTCTTTTGATCGGCCTTAAGTCGGTTATGCAGTGAATCTATTGAATGAAATGAATCGTACACAATGAATTAGCAGGATAAAGAATTTCATGCGCCACAGTCATCAGTAATTACCATTAGCGGCTGCTGTGTACAATCGAGTGCTCGTAAGCTGAAATGTTCGTCGAAAAACGTTCTGGCGGAAGGCAATGCTTTGCATGTTGTATTTATTGTTGTAAGGCGCACTGTTTCAATTTGCTCTCGTGCATGGATGTCAAGATCGCACGTGATCTGTCAAATTCCAAAATAGCCAACAGTGCTTCTATTTTTTTCTCCATGGCCGTTCAGCCAATAAAATGTGCACATTGATTGACGTTGACAGCCTGGGCTAATCATTTTGCTGTCCACAGCATCATTTACGACTGTATTTGTCCATTGCTGTCGTTCCTTATACATAATTACTCGTAATCCTGTTATTTACGAAGGTCGATCACATTGAAACATTCTAAGTGAGGTAATGACCCATTCAATTTCGATAGGCTTCCCTGTCTGCCCTGAATTCGCTTTCAATTTTTTTTTTTTTTGGGTAAATTTTTTCTTAGCAAACAGCGCAGAAAACTCCGTGTTCTACTCACTTCTACTGTAATGCCTCACTTGAAGTCCTGGTCTGAAAATTTTCATCAAACTATCTTACCATCCAGCTACAATGCTTTTTTTTATAATATATTCGTCGTCCATTTTGATATGAATATATAAGCTGACGATGAGGACGATGATGATGCAGCGGCTTGTCTTCAAGTGTGTACTGGGGAAATGACATCAAAGGCATTTTTTTACTTGGTGGCTCACGTGGTACACAAAAGCAAGCCCGCCATGATGTAATGGCTTCAGGGCCTGGAACGCGACTCAAAAACCGTTGGTTTTCTTTGTGCTTCTCATCCATCAACACTTACTATGGCTGAATTTGTCAAGCTCTCAATTTTCGGAACCGTATTCGAGGTCACAACTCGGTAAGTATCATATGCAAATAGCTTCGAGTCAAGAATGCGGTACTCATGTTCGGTCATAACAGCTATGTAGATTTACAACCCGTTGGAATGGGAGCCTTTGGTTTGGTCTGGTAAGGGTAGATCAACTGTATAAACCCGACGTTGCAATACAAACGCTGACAATAACATTGGATTGGTTTTATGAAACACCTATTAGCTCGGCAAAAGATCAACTCACCGGCGCAAATGTTGCAGTGAAGAAAATTATGAAGCCATTCTCAACACCTGTTCTGTCAAAGCGCACTTACCGAGAACTCAAGCTTCTCAAAGCTTTGAAGCATGAAAATGTACTTAAACTAACCAAATGGTGTAAATATGCTGTGATTGTCCTCTTATGCTCATCTTTTGTTCTTTTGTAGATCATCAGCTTGAGCGATATCTTCATTTCCCCACTTGAGGACATGTTAGTAACCAGTTGGCAACATTTAAATCACCGTGTTTTGTGGACTGACATCTCTCACTTTTAGTTACTTTGTCACTGAGCTATTGGGCACAGATCTTCATCGTTTGATTACTTCTCGTCCTTTGGAGAAGCAATTTATTCAATACTTTTTGTATCAGATCTTGGTGAGTTTAACTTTTTCGATCAAAACCCAAAAACTTGGAGCCATGATGCAAATATGGAAACCTCTACCAAGTCAAGGGGGCCAAAACAAACGTTTTACAAACTTTAAGGTCAATACTCATATGACCCATTTCTGTGTTATGTATTGCAGAGAGGTCTCAAATATGTCCACTCCGCAGGCGTCGTTCATAGAGATTTGGTAAGGATTTTGCTCTCTTCATCGAACAACTTTTGCAAATGCTCTCGTTCTTACCTTGCTCACCTCAAATAGAAACCCTCCAACATTCTCATCAACGAAAACTGCGATCTCAAAATTTGTGATTTTGGTTTGGCTAGAATTCAGGACCCTCAAATGACCGGCTATGTGTCCACGAGGTACTATCGTGCGCCTGAAATTATGTTGACCTGGCAGAAATATGATGTTGCCGGTAAGAATAAATGGTCCTTTTATTTCATCAGGTGACGACAAACGTCTGTAACTGCATCACTCAACTAAACGAAATTGCATTTAGTCGATATTTGGAGTGCCGGATGTATCTTCGCTGAGTTATTGGAGGGCAAGCCTTTGTTCCCAGGCAAAGATCGTAAGTGCATATTAGGAGAAAAGAGATGGGCTGGAAGCGATCACCATCCTAACTTTTATCTTCACAGACGTCCATCAGTTCTCTATCATCACAGAACTCCTCGGAACCCCTCCAGATGATGTGGTGGCTACCATTTGTAGCGAGAATACTTTGCGATTTGTTCAGAACTTGCCTAAACGGGAAAGAGTTCCTTTCTCTCAGCGATTTGCTGGTCAAGACGAACAGGCAATTGATTTGTTGGAAAAGATGCTTGTGTTTGATCCTCGTAAGCGTATCAACGCTACCGAGGCTCTTGCCCATCCTTACCTCTCGCCATACCACGATCCCACTGACGAACCCGTTGCACCTGAAGTGTTCGACTGGAGCTTCAACGACGCCGATTTGCCAATAGATACCTGGAAAGGTGAGACTGATTTGCAAAAGGGTTGAAAATGTGCTTGCTCGCCGTATTCTGACTATCCCTTTTAGTGATGATGTATTCTGAAATCTTGGATTTCCATAACGTCGATAACGTTGATACCGCACAATTCTTGGGTACGCCCATTACTGGCGACTTGTCGGCTCTCTCGTGTTAGAGAGTATTGGCGGCTGTTATAACAAACACCACTCAGCTCAGGCATGATGACTCGAGTACTTAAGACCGCTCATTTTATCCATTGAGACATCACAACCGTTTTTTTCTTCTTCTTCCTTTTTCCATTATTTTCTTACTCCATGAAATTCACAGCATGTATAACACCTCCTTTTTCCGCTTTGGATACAATGCTCCACTCTGTACCCTCTCATGAGTTCTCCATTTCCGCTTCATCTATATGTATTGCCTAGCTTCTTTTTTACATTTCTGCTCTTTTTCCGTCACCATTTCATTGAAACTACACAACAGGACTTGCACATGTGTTTTCAGGAGGACAATTAGTATTGTCAAATTGAAAATTGGGTATGTACCCAATTCTATACATTTTTACTTTTTTTTTTTTCTTCTCTCCATAATTTCTTAAAAGAGTCATTAAAACAATTTGCAATAAATACAACAATGAAAAGCAGTGATGAATCTGCACGTACGAATGAGGTTGGGCATCTACTAAGAAAAAACGTTTCATTTCGGGAGAATTTCTAATCTAAACAGAAAGTTCAGCCTTGGCATAGGCCTTAAGGTCTCCGGAATAAGGAGCCAAAGCAGGCTTAACATGCTTCTCAAGGAATGAATCGACCTGTTGAGGAGCACGACCAATGAAGGTAGAGGGATCAAGAAGTGAATCGAGTTCACCCCAGATAGGCTTGAAGTATTCAGTGTTCTTAACACGTTCGATCAAATCATTTTGTCCACCTTCCATCTTAACGACACGGGCAGCTTGGTGTGAAAGGACTCGGATTTCCTCGTGGCAGACCTGTCGGTCTCCACCCTTCTTGACCATGGCCATGATGATGTTTTCAGTGGCCATGAAAGGCAGCTCTTGGTTGATGCGGCTCTCGATGACCTTGGGGTAAACAACCATGCCTTCAAAGATGTTTTGCAAAAGGGTGAGGAGAATATCAGTGGTCAAGAAAGCTTCAGGAAGAGAAATACGACGGTTGGCACTGTCATCCAAAGTACGCTCGAACCATTGAACAGCGCTGGTTTGAAGAGCGTTGTTGGCCAATGTCATGAGATGGCGGGAAAGAGAGCAAGCACGTTCACATCGCATGGGGTTACGCTTGTAAGCCATAGCAGAAGATCCGATTTGATCCTTCTCAAAAGGCTCCTCAATCTCCTTGAGATTAGCAAGAAGACGGATATCGGTGGCAATCTTGTGAACAGTAGCTCCGAACCCAGAGAGGGGCTGAAGGACATCAATGTCGATCTTTCTGGAGTAAGTTTGGCCACAGACGGGGTAGGGTTCAGAGAAGCCAGAGAGCTCAGTGACCAATTCATCCAACTTTTCGATCTGTACATTGGGATTTAGATTATCCTAGTGAGTGCATGATTCCAATTTTCAACCCCATAACCCAATATCCTCAACTCACCTTGTCGTGATCGCCATTGAACAAAGCCATGAAAGAAGCTTGAGTTCCTGTGGTACCCTTGACACCTCTGAACTTGAGATCATTGCGAGCACGTTCGAAGTTGCGAAGATCCCAAAGCAATTCTTGAATCCAAAGAGTGGCACGCTTTCCAACAGTAACGAGCTGAGCAGGTTGGAAGTGAGTGAAACCAAGAGTAGGCATGTCACGATATTCGGCGGCAAACTTGGAAAGAATGTCAATGACACGAGCCAACTTCTTCAGAACAATGTCATAACCATCACGGATGATGATCAAGTCACCGTTGTCTATATAATAAGATTGTTATTTTCTACTGTGACGCTTTGGTTAGATATAATTCAAGCATGCTTCTTACCAGTAACGTAGCATGAAGTGGCACCAAGATGGATAATGGGGGCAGCGGCAGGAGCAACCAATCCAAAAGTATGAACGTGAGCCATAACATCATGACGTCTCTTCTTCTCTTCAGCGGCAGCAACACCATAGTCAATGTTGTCGAGGTTGGCCTTCATTTCCTCAATAGCTTGATCAGTAATATCCGTAAGGCCGAGTTGCTTTTCAGCAATAGCGAGATTCAACCAAAGTTTGCGCCAAGTGATATAACGCTTGTCCTCGGAAAAGTTATGGGCCATTTCCTCGGACGCATAGCGTGAGGTCAATGGCGATTGGTACTTGCTGTGAGACATGGTAAGGATGCTTTACTCCAGAGAATGTATGCTGGGGGGTCGGGGTACTGATGTTTTTTGACGAGATCCAAAAAATCTCGAGAGATCCGTGACTGTTGTTTTGCAAAAAAGCAGCAAGATGCATTTCATCCATGAAGGGGCCTTTCGGATGATTTTTCTGCCCAAAACAAAAACATTGCGGCGGCTGCTTTGATCATTGTACGGTGCAAAGATTAAATATGTCATTTAAACATCTGCTTAAAGTATGGAATAACTCAATGTAGCTATGCCATTCAAATCCTTAAAATGTAACATAAAGGATACAAGCGATAGAACACGACTTATAACATGACCGTCATCTTTCCAACCAAAACAGGTTTTAGCCGTTGGCGCTGATGATATATTGTGTTTGAGCGACACAGTAAAAACAATCGAATAGTCACCTTACTCTCGGTTATCGGATAGACTGATGTGGTAAAGGATGATGATAAAGCTACGTGAAAATTTTATCATCAAGGCGCGAGTTTCATCTGTTGATTGCAATCAAGCCGTATCACTACTTGCTGGACTACGTTGCGGTTCATAAATAGATCTGTGTTAAAACTGTGCTGTAGCTTTTACAAAACTTCAGGTCCAGCTCAATACCTGGCGACGGAGTGGACGGCAAGAATCGACAGATTTGATATACAGCTGACAAGGCCTAAGTCAGCTTGGTTTGGCAGAAAAGTTGTGTCACTAAAGAGCAACAGCTGGCTGGCAATGCCCGGAATGCTGCCGTTGTCTATAGTGGTCAGCAGGGTTTTATTATGGCTGGCAGGGGTTCCATCATTTCGCCTCACTTCATAAATAAATGGCTCGCGAGGGGAGCACAGAAATTAGACTTTCGAGGATGGCAAGTCTGACACATAGAAATATATTAAAAATATCTATTTCTATTTGTGAACTTGAACAACGAGCAAAGTGAGCTTAAAGTTGGGCATTATTGCCAAGTGTCCGTCTGGCTGAGAGAGTGCCCCATAAACGCAAGGGTCCCCAAGCGGCCAAAGTGACCGACAAAATAGTTCTCTGTGAACGGTAGATCGCTTTTACCGCTTTTGCACTTTGCCGGCCGAACCTTGATCACGACAGCTCGGGTCTGTTTTCTACACTACGGCACGTGTTGTCAGCAATTCTTTACCAAATGACACCACCCTGCCCCAATCTCTGATTCCATGACAAATTTAAACCGGAAAGGTAAAAATAGGCACTGCCGGACAGCTTTCTCACAAAGGGTAAGTTGGGGCCAACGAAATCACTGTGAGCGGGGTCCCCCCAGTCTGGACTTTGGCCCCACATCATCCCGATCGAAACATATAAAGGCCCGTCTTCTCTTTTTCACTCTCTTTTCTCATCTAATCATCCCTCTCTATGCTGCAATTCTTTTCTGATATCACGAAACGAAGAAATAGTGATGACCCAAAGGACACCAATTCAATAAAAAGGTCTTCGTCATATTCGTCTCGCTCAGACAAATCCTCTTTCTCGGTGCCTACTTCTACCAGCTCAAAGCGTGCATCTTTGCATCTGAAATTCGAGGAACAGTATTTCTCCTTCCCGAGTCTGGATGTCGAACAACAAATGTCCCATACTAGTCCCATTCAGTGAATCAAGTCGATCATCAAGAGCAGAATGGCTCCCAGAAAAACTCTTTTATTACTGCTACGTCGTTCTCGGATGCTCCTCCAATACTCTCCTTCGCCTTCGCTATGTATAAACCCTCCCAATTATGTTATGCTTATTCTACTTTTCTTTTTGATGCTTCCTATATTTTTTGGCTTTTATTTTCTTTACACACATCTCTTAACCCTAATACCTTTTTCAGCTTTTGTTGTTTCTCTACTTAACCTGGCTTAGTTGCTTACCTAGGCGTTTTTCGCCAGTGTGGAGCTGCTTTGACTATTATGTTACATTGGCTTACTTTGTTTTGTCTGTGTGCACATCGCCTCATCCTCCTTTCGCTTCAATTCGCTTCGCTTCGAAGCCCTCCGAAGCATTTTGCTAATACCTCGCCTTTGCCCTGGCACACATATCCCCCCACCCCCAATATCCTGTGAAAAAACCCCTATGCTGATATTGTAAATAAAAATATTATCACATTTATTGAAGAAAGCCAACACGTTGCTCTTAATTATTCTGTCGCTGATGACCATGAGAAGCTCATGCTATATATACACTTTGGTCACTTTCAAGATGGTGGGTTTCTTTGTCCGCGTATCTCACACTACCCAAAAGAGTAAGTCTTCTAAAACGCACTTTTACTGAATCTATCGAGAGCTTCTAAAAATATATCCATAGTCAGGCCTTGTCTTCGATTAACCAAAACCACCTTGACACCGAGAGGTTGAACGCAAAGATTCATGCGGTTATCGTCGAAGAAGAGCATATCCTGATAGGCGATGCCTGTCTTTTTGTGGATGTTTCTGAAATGGATGGTTTTTCGGTCGTCGTACATTTCAAACACAGAGCACAGGCTGTAGAGATCGACGTTGCCTAGTTCTGGGATACGATAGAGTTTGAGAACTTGCGCTGCCCAATCCGGTGTCATAGTCCGTGATGCTATAGCAATTTTAACACCAGGAAAAGTTTGTATGAGGGCAAAGATTCTAAGTATATCTGGGAACAGTGGTATGCGTCCGCCTCTTTCGTCGACTACCACTTTATGTGTATTGTCATAGCTAAAGGGAGGTCCCCAAGTACAATCTACATCCAACGGCCATATCGTCTCATCGAGGTCAAAGACGATGCATTCTGGTAGTTTGGCGGGAAGGCTGGATTTTGTCATAATAAAAAATGGGTTTAAAGGAAAAGAGTCGATGCGCAGCTCTTTCAGGAACCAACCAGGATTTTATTATTTTGAGCTCAGGAACAGTCCAAAAAATGGTCTGACTGCGGTTCATAAGTCACAGCTAGGCTCATGACAGCCTTCTTATCGTCGAGCTGTTAAAAAAAAATTCATGGTAAAACCCAAGGAAAAATTGCCAAGTGTAAAGAATTTAGCAACTGCGATCCATTGGGAAAAAAAAATATGAGGCCAAAGGAGCTGATTTTTCCGCCACCCATCCAGCCAATAATCCAGCCGTCACATGTGACGTCGACAAATTTGTGCTTGCTTGCCAGCTTCTTGAAGACTCCCAAACGCGATAATTCGTGAATCTCCCCCCATTATTGCTTTTACCTCTCCAAATGTCGGTAGAAGTAGGTTCAGAAATGGCAACTCCACCACAGCCAGTTGCAAGCGAGCCGCATCCCGTTGATCCACAAAATCATTCTATCGATGAGGCTGCCCATAAATACCTACTTGATCACATTAAAGACGCAAAAACCCCTTCATACACAAGTTGGTACGATAGTGAAAACATCCACGACATTGAAAAGAAATCGCTTCCAGAATTTTTTTCAGGGAAAAATAGGTCTAAAACTCCCGTTATCTACAAGAATTATCGCGAATTTATGATCAACACCTATCGATTGAACCCCAAAGAATACTTGACCGTCACGGCGTGTCGACGGAACCTGGCTGGCGACGTGTGTGCCATCATCCGGGTCCATGGATTTTTGGAACAGTGGGGATTGATCAATTACGATGTAAGTTCTAGTGAACCAAGGGAGAGTATGCACTCACAAACACGTTGAACTCAACTTTTTTTCTTCTTGGTTTTCTGCTCAGATCGATGCTAGAACAAGACCATCCAACGTTGGGCCGCCTTTCACTGGCCACTTTCGCATCACTGCCGATACACCACGTGGATTGCAGCCTTTCAAACCAAGCATTACACCAGCATATACCGGTCAACAGAGAACACATACGACAAAAGGCTCATCTCCACTCGAAATGAATGTCGAGTTACGTCAACAGGTGTATGATAGCATCGAAAGCGGTGTGGGTGGTAACGCTATCATTTGCTTCACTTGCGGTGACGATTGTACATCACAACGATATCACAGTCTCCGAACAAAGGGACTTGATGTGTGTCCAAGATGCTTTAACGAAGGTCGATTTCCTAGTACATCCCAGAGTGGCGATTTCGTCAAGCTTGAACCTAGCAAATTTAAGCACATGGTTGAAGAAGATTGGTCGGATCAAGAGATACTCTTGTTGCTGGAGGGTGTTGAGCTGTACGATGACGACTGGAACTCGGTGGCCGACCACGTTGGAACTCGAACTCGTGAACAATGCATCATGCAATTCTTGCAAATTCCTATTGAAGAACCTTACCTGAGTAACACGGCGGCTACCTCAGCCGACAAGTCAGACATCACTCGATACCAACGTATGCCATTTTCACAGGCCGACAACCCAGTCATGTCGATCGTTACCTTCCTCGCCTCTACTGTCAAAGCTGAAGTAGCTGCGGCGGCTGCTGATTCGGCTATCAAACGAATTGAAGCCAAGAAAGCGCAACAGCAAAGTGAAGATACAATGGATCTCGATGATGTAAAAGTATCGACCGACGACGACAAGATGGACGAAGATGAAGGTGAACAAGAAGTGCCTGGCGATTCCAAGACGAAGAATTTACCAAAGAATGAAGTTGAAAAGGTCGCTGCCGTAGCGCTTGGTTCAGCTGCTGCAAAAGCCAAAGTTCTGGCTGACAATGAAGGTCGAGAGATCCAGCGCTTAGTCAATACGGTGGTGGAAACTCAGCTTAAGAAATTGGAACTCAAGATGGCTCATCTCTCAGAACTGGAAGGTTTAATAGAGGATGAATTGGATTTATTGGTCACTCAGCGAATGCAACTGTTTAGTGAAGCCCTTGCGGTCAAGAAGGCGACGATACACCTTCAAAAAGAAATTGGTGACAAATCTATACCTGAAGCAGTGGATGCGGGTTTGACGAATGAAAAGGTACACTCCATCATTGCCGAACATGGTCAAGCTGATGCCTACAGGCTGGTTCCCGTCACTGCTGGCAGCGAGGAGACATTCCAATTACCCCAAAACAGCGATGATGGTGTAGCCATGACATGGTTGCAGCTGTAGACTCGATGAATGACCAAGGGGGAATGTCATATTTTCTTTTCAAAATATAACGGTACATTCACGTCGCTCAGACACTCGCATGCTTTTCTGTTCTACAATAATAATTATAAAAACAATAAAAAGGGTGATTTTGATTTGTTGTATATAAAATATCAAATGGCCAGCCAGCGTCTACAGTTATAACCACTGGCATCTCTGCTATTTTAGTTTTTATTTTTTTTCTGTATAAGCTACTCTAAATCTATGTGAGCACAGTGCCTTCTCGAATGCCGCGCTGAATTCTATCTGCCAGCATCTTATCCCTTCTGCCTACCAAGCCAGTGGCTTTGCCGTTGCGTCCAGCGCGTGCAGTACGACCAACACGATGAAGGTAATCGATGACAGACGAAGGGAAATCGTAAAGGACGACGTGGTTTACAAAAGTGGTGTCGACTCCTCTTGACGCAATGTCGGTACTGATTAGCATGTTATTTCGCTCATCGGTTTCGTCCCCATCGCTGGCTGGTTGAGAAAAGTTTCGCAATGTCTCTTCACGGCTCATGGGTGCGTCCTTGTACAAAGCCAAAGCCTCGATACCCTTGCTTTGTAGAAATCGATGGGTCAACTCTACACTCTTTTTGGTGTTACAAAATATGAGTGTTTTTTCGTCCTTGATATTTTTCTTCAACACCTCCAACAGACCAATTTGTCGATTTCCTTTGAATCTAGTGAGATCCACAAACGATTGCTTGAGATTAGGCAACGACTTGTGCAACGAAGGCGTAGTGATTTTGACAAGCTTGGGGAATAGTTGGTCAAGTAGAGTGCTCACGGATCGAGGAAGCGTAGCTGATACGATGATGACTTTTTGTTCCAAATTACGATGTTCTGCAATTTTGTTCAAAGTATCCAACACTTGTTTGCATTCATCTCCCCAACCTGAGTCAAATAGCGTGTCCGCTTCATCGATGATCAAATGGCTCACATCTGCCATGGACAGGGTTCCATCTTCAACATGAGACAAAAGTGACGTTGGCGTGGTGACAAGGATATCAATAGGTGAAGATGCTAGCGAATCCACTAGTCTGGACCGCGACAATCGCGAAGTTAATTGTTCGGCTCGCAGTTTCGCCACATGCGACAAAGACTTGCACGTCTTGAGCACCTGCGTTACAAGCTCTCGCGTTGGGACGAGAACAATAGCCCGTGGGTGGTCTAAACGGCGAATACGTGGATTTTTTTCCTCCTGGATCTTTAATTCGTGCATCGTCGGAAGCAAATATGCCAATGTTTTCCCTGAACCGGTTTCTGCTGCACATAAAAATTGTCGGAACGATGAGGCGTGCAATATCTTTGGTATAGCCAAAGCTTGAATCTCCGTTGGTTGAGGGTCTTCTACGTCTTTCAAAGGTCCCGTCAATGCTGCATTGAGGACCTGAGGACGTAATCCAAGCTCATTAAATGAGGTGTTTGCAAGTCGCTCTGAAAGTTCGGCAACAGATTCTGCCGCAGGTTTGGCGGATGGACGGATATCGGAGCGAATGGGTTCTAACCGTTTGGTTACAGGGATATATTTGCCTGGCTTTGACCCTCTACTATATTTTGCCTTCTCACGCAAAACATTCCGCCTTTGTGGTCCTGTCATTCCGTCTGGTTTGAGATGTTTCGTCAACGTGGAATAGTTGGGCTTTCGCTTTCCCTTGTTCGCCTGCAAGGGGCAAGACGTAGAGAATTCTTTTTTACTTTGGGCGAAAAGCAAGCCGAGAACGGATCTCGCACATTGCACAGCTTTCAAGGGATTGGTTGCCGATGCGAGCGACATGTTGACTCTGGCAGTGTATGAATTAGTACAGAGCTCGCCTGTCGATTTTTTTTTTTTTTTTTTTTGAGCCTGCCTGCGCTCCGGGAAGGTTTTGGGCAGTCACGACCAACATTGCAGGCACGGGAAACGAATTCCCCCACACTGTCGTCTGTTAGTAGTGCTCCAGCAAACTATTCGTCGCAGTTTGGTGAAATGTTTTTATTGTAAAGGACTTCGTTGCGATAAACAGCACTGAGGAACTTTTCAATTTCAATCTTTTTGACAGAACAATAAAGCTTTCGTGGATGATTAATGAGGAAAGTAATTCATTTTGCACTTATATGGGTGCCTTGGAGCTGATTGGGCGAGACCTTGGTCAATTTCCTTCAGTCAGCGAAACTCTTTCTCCACATTGGAAATGGATTCTCACGTGTTAGAAACATCAAGTATAAAAGACACCAGTTCTTTTTTTGTAGTCTATAACTAATCATGTCCCTTAGACAAGTCTACATCGTCGCTGCCAAGCGGTAAGCTGTCATGCTTTGAACATTCCACGTCATTCGTCATTCTCATTCGCCTTCTATATTAGCACACCCTTCGGTACCTTTGGAGGAAAACTTAGAAGTCTTTCCGGTAAGCGAAACATGTTCAACTTGACAGCAGGATACCCCATACTAAATCATTTGTTACTTCTACAGCTGCTGAGCTTGGTGGTTTGGCTTCAAAGGCTGTTTTGTCCAGTCTGCCTGCTAATACCCCTATTTCATCCACCATCATGGGTAACGTTTTGCAGACTGATACTGCAGGCGCTTACCTTGCCCGCCATATTGGACATCGCGCCGGTCTTCCTTTCGAAGTTCCTGCTTTGACCGTCAACCGTCTTTGCGGATCAGGTTTTCAATCTGTCATCAATGGTGTTCACGAGATCTTGCTAGGCGAATCCGAAATCGTTTTGGCAGGTGGTGCTGAAAATATGTCCAAGGCCCCTTATGTCGTTGATGGTGACAAGACTCGATGGGGTACTCGCTATGGTGTTGATCTCAAGATGGAGGACTCCCTTTCTGCTGTTCTAGTCGATCAGTACCCCTCCCCCACCCCTATGGGTATCACTTCGGAGAACTTGGCTAGCAAGTACAACATCACTCGTGAACAATGCGACGAATTCGCTCTTCTAAGTCAGCAACGCTATGCTAAAGGTGAGGAATCGGAATTACATGTGAAATTGAGTTGGTCGCGGTAGTTTAAAAAATGATGAAAATCTAACCCGAGGATTGCTTAGCCGCCAGCCAAGGCATCTTCGAGAGAGAAATCATTCCTGTTGAAGTTAAGGGAAAGAAGGGACCGGAAACTGTGTCGGTTGATGAACACCCTCGTCCACAAAGCACAGCTGAATCACTGGCCAAACTTAAGCCCGTGTTCAAGCGCGATGGCGGAGTCACCACTGCGGGCAATGCTTCAGGCATCAACGATGGTGCTGCTGCTATTATTGTTGCCTCTGAAGAAGCCGTCAACAAGTACGGATTGACTCCTCTTGCCCGTATTGTTAGCTGGCAATCATCTGGTGTTGATCCTAGCATCATGGGTATCGGACCGGTTCCTGCTATCCAAGGTGCCTTGAAGCGTGCCAACTTAGGATTGGATCAGATGGATCTCATTGAAGTCAACGAAGCTTTTGCTGCACAATACCTTGCTGTTGAAAAGGAATTAGGTCTCGATCGATCCAAGACCAACCGTAACGGTGGTGCCATCGCCATTGGTCATCCTCTTGGTGCCTCTGGTGCTCGTATTCTCACCCATTTGACACACGAACTTCACCGAACCAACAGTAAGCTTGCTGTTGGTTCCGCTTGTATTGGAGGAGGACAGGTAAGCTGCGGGCTTTTTCTTTTTTTTTTAAAAAAAAAAAATGGATGTCATGGTTGAAACTAAACACCATTCTTCTTCTTCTACAGGGTATCGCTGTTGTACTAGAGCGTGTTTAAAAAGAAAAGCAATGTGATATAACCCCCAACCATGTATGTTATGAAATAATAAAAATGGAGCTGTGCACTGAACGTTTCTGTGTAGAATACACGTGAGAGCTTGTTTTGTCATGGATGGAATTTTGTGGTAAGCAAAGCCCCTCTCCACTTACCGTATGTCGTCTGCCCCGGCGGATTATCAGCAATCACCCACGACATTCTCGGCTCAAAGACCTGGTCCTATGCCTCCTCCGTCAGAAAAACCCGCTTCCAATAGAGATTCATATACAGGTATAGATCAAGTCATAGCGCCAGCCGTTCCTGTCCATCATCGTTCTACCAGCCCAACACCCGGTACTGACATTTCATCAGGTGCCTCAAGCGAGCGACCTAAACCAAAGGTGACATTCGATGAACTTAAGGAGAAGTATAGGAAAGTCAAGCGTGAAAAGCGTGACTTAGAACACAAGACTGAGCAATTGACGGGTCAAGCCCATCGTAATGCAGCTTCTATTGAACTACTCAAAGAGCAATTCAGTGAATCCGAACGCATGCGAGAGGAACGAGATGCTGATTACGAGCGACTTCAACAACGACTAGAGCAAGTTCAAATACGTTTGGAATCCCGAGAGCAGGAATATGACCGCTTGCAAGCCAACTTCATCTCTCATATGCGTGCTATTCGCGCTACCGATGATGATTTATCCACCATCCGAACAAAATTGGCCAACTTGCATGGCTCTGTGGCGCAATTCTCTATGGGACTCAAAAAACACATTGTCGATCGAAAGCAGGCTGGCAAGGCATTTGCTCGCGTGTACCCTCACTTGGATACCTGGGTCACCGCTAAGGATCTGGAAGCTCCCGTCATCATGCAGTTGACTGAAAAGCTGGTCAACGATGCTCTGATCCGAGTGTATGTGGCTCCTGGTATCTACCCGGGCATGCATATTAACAGCGCTTACAATGAATTGAGTCAATGGATGCAAAGCCGAGGCGCTGACGATGGTGTTCTACGCTTAAAGCAACAGCTCTGCTACTTGATTGCACGCGATCGAACCCCAGAGACAAGAGCTGAGATTGCGTCGGCCCAGAAGCTCGTCTCGGACCAACTCTTTACCTCGCTTCTCGATATCTACCCATCCATGGAGAATGTCATGCGAAGTAAAATCGACAAATTTATCGAAAAGGCTTTCGACTTGAGTCTTTGTATCCGTGGTCAGGAAGTTGACGTGAAAGTGTTACCCATAAAGGAAGGAGATACCTTCGATACCCGCACCATGGCGCCTGACTACAAAGGAGTCGCAGAAGGCCAAGTTAAACTTGTTGTATGCCCGCCCTTTGAAGCCATTGAAGGAGATCATGGTTTCTTACTGCCAGCCAAGGTCATATGTTTACCTTAGGTCTTTATCCCTTTCCTATTCCCTGTTCTTTACAATACGTCGTAATGATACGTAATTTTCACTCGACCGTGTGTACAACCTATTCCCATATGCTTTTTCTCTCCTTGTAATTCCTTTTTACGAAAACCTCACGTCTGTATTTGAATATCAGGCAGGCATGCTCACTCTTATTCTATTTTCCCTTTTCCTTGGATATTCGCCATATCTTCCTATTCTCTTAACCTTCCGGTGCCATTTTGAAATAGAGTATCGCATACATACGTCTGTCATTTGTGAGCCTCATTTTACGACCATAACCATGATGATATGCGTTTACAATCTGATACAAATAACCATGCATCGGTGATATAGGGTTGATGAATGCTTCTCGTCTACTGCATGCATGTCTTTCAATTGGGAAAAGCCAAAATGGTTCAAATATAGGAAAATTTAATCAGTCACCGCCATGCAAGGGGTAACATTTCTGAAGACTTCTTTGAGAATGAAAATTATATACAAAGCAACAAGTGCTTGCTTGCCAGGTTGCGAATCAGTTACAATTAGGAGATGTTATATATGGGAGGAAGACTTGGAACTGGCGGTATATTATGGTCCTTTTCAGCTCGACTGCGAGCTCTCTTCTCAGACGCTGTGATACGAGAAGGGTTTCTTGATCTTCCACGACGTTCTGAACTTGGGCTATCGTCACTGGAACGCCGTTGTTTTCTTTGTTGTATTATCTGTTGAATGGGGATATTGTCGTCTTCCTGTTCATCGGAAGACTCACTGCTGGCCTGGTCTTTGAACATGCGCTCGCGTACCTTTTCCTTGTATTTGTCAGCTGCTGTCATAAATTCACCTCGTATGGGACTAAGAATAGCAATGGGAATATGGTCTTCATCATCTTCTTCCTCGTCATCGTCCAAAAGGGATGAATGAATGATCGACCGATCAAGATTGACGTGAAGACCCGTGCCCATAGATAATCGGCGGTTCTGTAACCAGGGCGGAGCAATATTGGTGGCAGCCAATGGTATGTTATCTTCTTCGTCTGACGAAGATTGAGAGGACATGGTGCAGGCTCTCATGCGACGAGAATGAAGCGGAGATGTAGGGACAGGAGATACAGGAGTGGGTGGACATGTGTCTTTTGAACCATAAGAACGGCTTCTCGACGGTGCCTGCGATTTCGATCGTCCAAGGGGCTCGGAATGTTGTATGGTAAAGTCATTCCTTTCTTGTTCATGGCTATACTTGGGACGTCGATCCATGTCACTCGCATATTTTGGGCTCCGAGGCGATGATAAATTTGAACTATTTATGCTAGCTTTTGATAATTTGGTCGCTAATTGATGTTCTGGCGGAATGGACGGAACGGGGGGTAAATTATGTGTGTCGATAAAGGATTGTTCTCCAACGGAATAGGAGCGAGATCGAGAGGAAGAACGTGTTCGAACCGTATCTGTGGTGCGAGTATCTCGACTCAAGGACCGCGACCTGGATGGGGCAGCTGTAGTATAAGCAGGCTCAGGTTTGGCCGTGGTAGGAGAAAATAAAGTTTCGGATTCAATATCTTGACCGTTCCTTGATCGACTTTTACTACGAATAAGGGAGTTGACAAGGGTTGCAGTGTTGGGAGTATAAGGTTCGAAGCCCCCCATGTCAAGTGAAGAATGTGGTAGATTCTGCACCCCAGAACCTAATGACGGTCCTTCATTGAACGAATCATTCTTTGTCTTTCGAAACAAGTCAACCAGTGGTAGTGGTTTAGACTTTCTTGGCTTGACAGCTGTCACCATGAGGGCGCTATAATATTTTTCTAGTTCAAGAAAGAACTGGGGACTCAATCAAAGGAAAGTACTAATTGAAGAGAAAACCCGACTCCAGTCTCGAACGTTTTTAAATAGTCCGCAGTTTGGTGCGGGGCCCTTCAAAAAATCAAATACCTCAGCCTTCAAAGTGAATTTATCTCACTTTGATATGATCCGTCTTAAAACCGTTCAGGGCTTCCCTTCTACATCTTTCAACCCACTCCATCATCCCTTCCATTTGACACCATCGCATCGTTAGTGCTCATAGCTTTCTTTGTGCCACTCAACGATTGTACACAGGGCCAGTGCTTGAGCTTTTCCGTAACACAATGAACAGCCACACCATTTACTCTTCGACCATAACAAATAAGCCGCAGGCGTTGATACTTCCTGTTCAGGTTAAAGGCAGCCGATGGATGACACAGTACAATCCTAAGACAATCTGAATAGGTCTCGCTCACATTTGGCGCCAACACCTTCTGTTTGTACCATCATTTCCAAGAAAGCAAATCTTTCTATTCTGGAAGGCCGTGTGTTTCCAAACGCATCACTAAAATGGCGACTTGACACACTTTCGTATCCCTAATCTCGCAATGAAAGTGCCAAGGACAATGAGTGATAGTTGAACATGATGAGTGACTCATTTGTCTCATCGCCAACCACCAATAAACAATGTGATACCAGGCGGATGTGAGGTGAGCCGATCCTCTATGCAATGGTAATCTATTGGTATACTCTATGGCTGTTACAAATCTACCATACATGCAGATTTTCCTATGCCGTACATTGACGCAAGATACTATTCAGTTTCTCTCCTCTATTCAACAAATATAGATTAGTCTTAACTCTCTGAAACTGAATATCACACATGACATGCATTAGCAACCAGCAGATGAAGCGTATTCGATCTTCCACGGGTAAGCCAAATAAATACAGCCACATGGTGGAGATCAACAGCAGCCCTGCGATAAATGTACCATAGCGTTCATTTAGCAAAAGGATCAACCAAAATTTTTACCAACTCGTTAGAGTATCAACGACTGTCGTTAGAAACTAAAAAAGAAAAAAGTATCACGTTGGCGATATGGTTAGTACTATCGTACAGATTCATGGATGTATAGAAATCCGGGGCTTTATATTATCCTTTTTGTTAGATACGGTATGAGATTCAGCTGTACAGACAAACGATGAGCCCATGCAATGTTTCCATACTTGAGACCACGCTGTGCTCCTCATTTGCATGCTTTCGCTTTTTTATTGGTTATGAAAAAATACCTCCTTCTTAGCCATACTCAGATGTACCACCCGCTGAGCCTTCATCTTGCTCATATAATATATCATGGCAAATTTTGACAGTCGCCAGACTAAGATTCAACAAGATGTCATCTTAAAGCGGTGTGTGGATTGCCATATATTATTTATAGAGTGAGGTGCTAGTGCCATTAGCCGCTCCGGGGTTATTCTAACCACACCGTTTCCCCATTGCTGAGCTGGATGAGGAGTCGGGGCAAACGACATCTTGGCAATAGAGGAGACAGAAAAAAAAAATTTTTTTTTTTTAATTGGCTTGTCAGTCAACGTTGAAAGTGAATTAAATGACAAGTTGTAAAACTAAAAAAGTCTGCTGCATTCAGATGAACTTCTTGGCTTTTCCAAATGATGCGGCTATGATAAGCCTTTTTCAAGCCCACCTCACGCGTCCCGGCATCTTCTTTATAGTATCAAATAAAACGCTTCATCATTTTATCCTTTGGAATCTGAGTTTGCTGTTCGCTTCAATCCGACAAAAATACTCTACAGTTGCCGTTTTATCTTTCAAATCCGTAGATGCCCATACATCTTGATCGTTTGTATAATTTTTATTTTCACTTTTTCAAATGTAGAAGTTCTTTAGCCAAGCTTTGAATCCTACTGTGTATGTTATCTGTTCTTTGTTTTTATGAAAAGCAGTAGCCCCAGCCCACAGGAGCAAACCTGTTTGCCTGACTGAGGAAAGACGTTCTCTGTACGTCACAAAATGGCGACTCGGACTTTGCCCCATGAGTTACTGAAACAAGACCAGAGCATCAACCTGGAGTTCCAAACGAAAAATTCTGGTTCAGAATACAGCCAACGCTAAGGATTCGGCCGAAAAATTTGATATAGGGGCGGCGGATGACAAATGGTAGAATAAAAACCACTTTAATTTTAGGAGGGGGCTGGCTGATCTGGCCATGGCAACGGAATCTACTGTGCCTTCATGTGGGTCGTACTTGCTTACAGGAGAGTCCACATAGATAAAAGAGATACACGCAAAGGTCCAGAATTTACATATCGATTAAGTCAGCCATTGAGAGAGATAGAGGCTTATCCGCGGGCTGCTGCCGTAACTCAGTTGGTAGATTATGGGGGTGGACTTTCGCGTTATCAACCCATTTTACCGTACCTGGATCATTTACCAAGCCATGTGGCTGGTCTTTAAGTTGTCAGTTGTCCGCACGCTTGCGTGTGGTCTTTTTTTTTTTTTTTCAGTGAGCGAATGACGTTGGGTGATAAGCGGATAGCGTTATTAGAACGTGTGTTCCAATTACATGCGTTCTGGTGTGGGGAGGTGGGCGGAGCGGAGCATTGTCGCACGTGTAAGTAGGGCTTTCGGGTGAAATGCCCTAACTGCCTTATTCAGATTATCCAAGTTACCGCTATTTTACCGTTTTTTCCCGAGGATTTTTAAGGTCAGGTCCCAGATGAAACCACATCTGGGTAGCTACGGAAACGGCTGCAAAGGAGGTGAGCCAGTACCAAGAGTTTTTTTTATACATGCATACAGTAGTTTTAGATTGCCTTTGTGCCAAATGATATGGATACCCGACCTCCTTGGTTTCTTTAGTAATATATTGGCTTTCTTGTCCTATCGCATCTGATCCTGAAATATCCAGTGCGGGCCTTACAGTTACCTTTTCCGTAATCTCCCCACACGTTTCTTGCATTTTGTATAGCAAGAAAATTCAGTATTGTGTCTTTGATAGCGAGCAGGGAGGGAATGACATAACGTGTGCATATCATGCAGATGCATAATTTATTTTCTTGCAAGGGTGTGCTCCAATTATAGCGATTTAATTAGAGTAAGAGATATAAAAAAAAAATATTTTCAACGACACTATGATGAATTGCCCTCCGCCCGCCCATATCGATGTTGTGCGTGTGGCCTTAGACCTATAAATTGAATCTGAGCCAACAAGTTATCACAAAATCCCTTTCTTCTTTCTCTTTCCCTCACTTTTACATTCTAATGATTGAAAAGCAACGCTCTTACCAATGCCCAATATGCCAAAAGGCTTTCTTTCGACTAGAGCATCAAACTCGTCACATTCGTACACACACCGGTGAAAAACCTCATCAGTGTATGCATCCAGGTTGCGAAAAGCGCTTTTCACGGTCGGATGAATTGACCCGCCATGTGCGCATACATGCTGAACCGGTTCGAAAACGACAAAATAGAACAAGCAATATGGTCAAGCGACACACATCACCCGGTGGAGGCAACATCTTTAAGCACATCAATATATTGGCCACGCCTCATTCATTTGATCATCATCAGCAACAGCAACAGCAACAATGCTCCGTTATCAGGTTCAACGATGATGTCACGTTAGGGGATCATGTTCCTTCTTCCTCCTGGAAGCTGCAGCCATGTCCGGTGGAAGGATGTTTCAAGTCGTTTTGGCGATTGGGTCAGTTGGCTCGTCATGTTCGAACTCATCAACAACCGGTATCGGTCATGTCCAATGAGAACATTCTTCCATCACCGGCCATCACGCCTTCCAGTAGTCCGGTCATGCCCGCTGCCAAATGGTCTCCTTCACAGCATAATAGTGACATGGAAAGCGATTCCATTGCTACTCCTGAGAATTCGCCTTTACTGCGGCCTTATCAAAAGCTGCCTGCTATGGAATGCCAAGTTGCTGAACCAGTGTATTCTCGTGGATCACCGGCGTCCAGTCCCCGGCTTTTAGCTCACATCATGAATGAACGAGAACCGGCCGCTCGTAAATTACCCACTCCTGCCATGCTTCTAGAAAAGCCAAGTCTCCATCCTGAAACATTGCCAAATTATCGAGTTGCATTACCCTCAATCAAGTCGCTCTTGAATGGATTGTGAACTCAGTTGCATTATTCAGTGAACTCAGTTGCATTATCCAATGTAAATAAGCTTTCCCACAGATCCTTTTGGAAACTTTACCCACTAGACAATCTGCATTTTTCATAATAATTTTCCCCCTCTTTATGCTTGAATACCAAGATTAGCAAGTTTAATCATGTACATAATTTTTATTCCTGCAATGCTTTTCACCGTTGATTTGCGAACAAAATACATTTTATTTTTTACGTTCTATGACGAAAAAGTGAGAATAATATTCCCCGTATGATGAAGTAGCTGTCATTTGCGTTCATATTAAGGTTTGTTAGGTGTCCGACTGCTTCCGTAAGTAAGAACGAAGACCCATGTGTCTTCAACTTGTATGGTTTCCTAAGGTTTACAGTTTCCTTTTCATCTTCCCCGATTTTCCTTTCCCGGAATAACTTCCTTTCCTGTGGATGTACGTTCGGTCGATGAAAACCTCTTTTCTGTTGTGGAGTTGGACAAGCCACAAGGCGAACTACTGGTTCTGAATGCTGATGATGGCCTGTTATTGGAACTTGAAAGTAGCCACTAAGCAAGTCGTATCGTCTCCACCTGACCATCATGCCACTCCTCGTTTGTTTGCAAACCATTCCTTTCAAAAATTTTCGTTCTGGGGACCTCATTCAAGGACCTGTTCACCTAACAAAACCCTGAAGGTGTCACCTTTGTACTCCCTCCACAAGCTGGATATGGTCATTGGTCCATACGTGGTGAGGGGAGTCTGGGAAACGGCACGCGGGGACTACCACACTCCCAGCTGATTGTCAGTGTGTGTGAACCAACATGGTCGTGTGAGTAAACCAGTCGTGGACCAATTTGCCCCAACTTACCGTCGGGTCCCAGTAAGAACTACCCCACAGGTTGCCTTATCATATGTCGACCGTAATACGTGGCTTCTCACACATGTTTTTTCTATTTTCATGGCATGGTGACTCAAGAGGGACCCACCATCCCATAGCCAACACCGAAACTTCTTTCTATGACACAAAGCCATGGAAGGTCGACGAAGTAAGAAAAGGACCAAGGTTTAGTTAGCACTAAACATTGCTTACCAAAGCTTATTCCACGGGGATTAGCAAATCATTCAGTGTGGAGAAGGTTCAATTCCGAGGGGGCCAAAAAAAAATCATAAATGGTAGAGTGGTGGTAACACGTTGTTTGATATCTTTCAAACTGCCCGCCCACGTAAGACGAGCCATTAAAATTCCGAAATGAACAAGATTTCCCGTTTTCTCCGAGTCACCTATGAGAGTACACCATTGTCCTTTCCAGCTTGGAATTTGAGTTTGTAAGCGGGAGGAAGTTGAAAATTCAAACAACCTAGAAAGAGGGGTAAAGTATGTTGCATGAGGTGTGAGAGAGCCGAGTTAAAACTCTGAGTGGTTTGAACCCGCTTGCGTACGTACTTTTTTCAACTCCCACTTCACCCACTCGACATAACTTTAGAATGCACGTGCGAAAGAGCAAGACTCGCTTTTTTCTGTAGAGATGTGATACTAGTCAACCTGATCCGTTCAACAAGATGCTGTATAGACCATTTCTTCTAACCATAAGCTACTAATAGTGGTCACGAGCAGAACTCGTATTATGTACCTTTGCGTTTTTGGTGCAGGCAGGCAGGCCTTGCTTGACACTTTGAAGCTATTCATTGGCCATTTTTGGCCTGTCGGAGTTTGGTTCATGCAAAGGCAAAGCTCAGAGAGCCTGACTGCGAGTCCTTTGTTCATCGGAAAGCCGTTGGAACATGTACTTACTCTATGCATTGTTCACGGCTTTTGTAGTGGCGGCTGTCACTGTAAGTACTTGCACGCGCTATGGTTTGCGAGGGCCATCATCTATTCAAAACCGTCCACTGTAATCTGACCCTCTTCTTCCTAGGGGTTGGGACTCCTCCTGTATTGTTCTCCAAAACCTCGAAAACCAACAGAGCAAGAAGGATATTATGTTGATAAAACAAAACAGAAGCATAAACTTCCAAGCATCTTGGACGATGCATCCGTGAGATTGAGCTGCATTGTTCCGGCTTTTGACGAAACAAAGCGCCTTCCGGTAATGTTGGAAGAGACGGTTGGTCATCTGGAGTCACGACAGAAAAGCGACCCCAAGTTCACCTATGAAATCATCATTGTTGATGACGGTAGTCGGGATAATACCGTTGAACTTGCCCTGGACTTGGCAAAGAAGTATAACAAGGTGGATCTACGTGTTCTCGCTCTGGAGAAAAATAGAGGTAAAGGTGGAGCGGTCACTCAGGTATGTTTACAAGACGCTTTGGATACAGATCATAGCGTCGCGTGAAAAATAACTTTTTACGCTTGTTAAGGGTATGTTGGCTGCTCGTGGTCAAATATGTTTGATGGTTGATGCCGATGGAGCCACCAAATTCTCTGATCTGGATGCGCTGGAAGCTAAATTGATGAAGAGCGAGGAAAATGGCTATGGTATAGCCGTTGGCTCTCGAGCACATCTTGTTTCCACCGATGCTGTTGTGCAGGTTGGTACTATTTTCTATTTGTAATCATATGGATGGCCAAAACGGATCACACGATTTTACTCCAGAATGTTTAATCGATCATCATTTGCAGCGTTCTTTCATACGAAACTTTCTTATGCGCGGCTTCCATCAACTTGTCTACATTTTGGGTATTAGAGGCATTGAAGATACACAATGTGGTTTCAAACTTTTCACTCGAAAAGCTGCTCAGCTTATCTTCCCGAACATGCATGTTGAAAGATGGATCTTCGATATTGAGTGCCTGGTCATTGCTCAGGCTCATCGTATACCCATAGTCGAAGTGCCAGTCACTTGGCACGAAATAGATGGCAGTAAAGTTAATTTGATGCGGGACTCTATTCAAATGGCTTTGGATCTTCTCACGATTCGACTCAATTTTTTGCTGGGATTCTGGAAAGTCGATAGCATTAAAAAACAGAAAAGTCAATAAAATCGTTGTTGGTAGCCAGATCTCAATTGTAAGTGTGTGGGCATGGATCACACGCTTTCACGTGGTGGCAAACTTATTGAACTGCTGTTGCCATGGTGCCTGGATGTGGGATTCCATGGAAGAACCACATCGGCGAAAGTTTAGAAATTCTGAACGCCACATGTTCAGCACACAGGCAATTTGATCCATCCCTCCTTTGTAATTTTGTTTCAGTTTGGACCCTCAAATAACACTCTTGGGATATGTATTAGATGCGTTTGCTAATGAGCAATACGTACTTTATTGGGTATGTGTTACGAATTAAATTAGGAACAGGATGCATGAGCCATAAATGTTGCACGATAAAAAGTGGAATTGAGAAGTAGACGTGGCCGAGTACGTGCTCGTATGAATTAGGGAACCCAGTGAGACGGAGCGATGGTCTGAGCAGTATAGGCATGCATGCAATAACCTGCTGATGGTTCCTGAGGACATTGCAGTTGCTGATATCGCTTTTTTACTTCGTGAGCCATACTGTCAGTTCATCCTTCATAGACATGGTTGAATCAAATGGTAACCAATATGACAATTTGATGTGGGAAAATTCTACAATGGGAATGATGGCGGTAGACTTTGAAACCGGTAGCGGAGTGTATTTTGCAAAGCATTCGATCGTTACATGATTCTTGCATCTTTGGTTTCGAAACAGGGTAAGATTTCTATAGGGAAAAGATACGAATAGATAGGTTATCCAAAAATATCTCTCCGTACACTATCTTATCGTTCAAAAGCTTATCTTCATTTGTTAAAAGTTTACAATGTATGTGGTCGAACGACGGACAATCCACAAATTTCATCAGTTGCTGGAAATGTTATCTACCTGGGGCAGCGGCCACTTTTATAGAATAGGAAAGATTTTCTTCTATTGGTTAGAACTACACATTCATACGTCTTGAGATAGTTTGAAAGCCGAGTTCATTCTGGAAATTCCATTCAACGCTATTGGAGATGAGCATGTCGTCCCATCTCCCTTGCTAGGACGTACCTTCAAATCGAAGATGAAACATGGTAAACCATGATTCTGCCCACATTTCTTGAAAGTCAGCTCGTCTTTTGTCTTCAGCTTCAACGCGGACTTGGTGAGATAAGACAGACGAACCTTCTACCTTTCTACTTTGAGTAACAATATCCTTTTAAGGTGAGGATAGGCAGTCTCCCGGAGAAAGCTCTACGTCGGTATATCGCACTAGTTGGTCGCTTGCTCTGACTGCAAGCATGGTTTTGATAGCTGTATTATCATACATTATACAAAAAACCTTACATTAGAACAACTCTCGTTCAGTTAAATTCAAAACATTCCTTCTGAACTTGATAGAACGCACTGGTAATATCTGGCACAATACACTGCCTTGATTTGAGTTTGACGGCGAGCTGTACAACTTGTTGTGCATATTGTTCCCAAGAGACTCAGACAACTGCCGACCAATGTGTTTTCTAGCCAAAAGCGTATGAACCTTAACGGACTTCGCATGTGCTCTGCAAAGTATTGATTGGCTCCGAAGTATCAGATCATAAAGGTGCATAAAGAATGATTGTTGCAGGTAGCTACACAATCTTCAGTGACTTAAGAAGGACTCCAGATGGCACGTATGAGTGAGCCTGGGAATCGCAGATTGAAAATTTTAACATATTGTCATCAGTTGAGGAAAGCAAGGAAAAATCGGGTTTGCTGGACTCTAATTAGAAAAGCGATAGATAGGTCGGAAAAACGATTGAATGGATGACCTCTATTTGTTCACATCTCTAAGAGCTGGATCTTATTTTTATTTTTCTCGGCGAAGACTTCATTTAAAAGAAAGAGCTATTTTTTCAGCAAGATAAATTTTTTGTTTCCCTCCTTATTCTTTACTATGGCAGACGAAAAAAAGGTTGATCCCATGGTCAACATCACCACAGACGAGTTCGATGGTGCCGAAGAACACGAATTCGATGGTCTTCGCCGTATTGCTGAAGGGGTTCCCGTTGGTGCTTGGTTCATTGTGCTCAATGAGTTCTGTGAACGCTTCGCTTACTATGGCGGTTCTGCGCCTTTCCAAAATTACGTTCAGTTTGGCCCAAATACCGGTGATGATCAAGCTGGTGCTTTGGATAAAGGCCAATCTGTGGCAACTGCTTTGTCCAACTTCTTCACTTTCTTCTGTTACTTGACACCAATGCTCGGTGCTCTCATTGCAGATCAATATCTGGGACGTTACAGAACAATTCTTTTGTTTTCTTCCATCTACATGCTTGGATGGCTCATTCTTACATGCACTGCCACTCCCAATGCTCTCGCTGCTGGTGCAGGTTTCCCTGGTTATGTTGTGTCTTTGATTGTCATTGGTCTTGGTACTGGAGGTATTAAGGGGTAAGTGTTGCTCTTCAAGGTGTAAAGGCAGGAAATGTGTGTTCTTCAAAACAAACTCACCATCATTACCCGTTTAGTATCGTTGCTCCTCTCTGTGCTGATCAGTACAGAAATACCTCTCCATACGTGAAGACTCTGAAGTCCGGTGAAAAGGTGTTGGTTGACTACGATCTCAGCATCCAACATTTGTACCAATGGTTCTACTGGGCTATCAATGCTGGTGCCCTCATCGGTGGTATTGCCTGCCCTATCATTGAATTAAACCATGGTTACTGGGCTGCCTATCTTTTACCTACTTGTATGTTCGCTATGGCCATTAGCGTCTTTGTTGCTGGCAACAAATTCTACGTCAAGCCCAAGCCAACCGAATCCATTCTTGTAAAGGCTTATAAAGTTTTCAAGTTTGCTCGCACCGTTGCCAACCGTCAAGAAAACACCGAAGCTCGCTCCACCAACAAGTACCGCTTGGACTTTGCTAAGAGAAACAACGGAATGCCCAATAGCGCTCCTTTGAAAGATGAGGACCTCGCTAATATGTTCTGGGATGACACATTTGTAGACGAGCTTAAGCAAACATTTATGGCTTGCAAGATCTTTATTCCCCTTGCCATCTACTGGGTTTGTTACAACCAGCTTTCAAACAACCTTTTGTCTCAGGCTGCTCAGTTGAACCGCCCCGCTGGTCTTCCAAATGATATTATGAACAACTTTGATCCCATTGCCTTGATCATCTTCATTCCTATCACCGATGGTATTTTGTTCCCACTTCTCCGCAAACATAAGATCAACTTCTTTGCTCAGCAACGTATCACGCTTGGTTTCTTCCTCGCTTCTACTGCCATGGTATACTCTTCAGTGCTTCAATCTTATATCTACAAGGATCCCGTTTGGCAAGAAACTGGTGTAGCTAATATTTCGGTCTTCTTACAAATTCCTGCCTACTTCCTGATCGCTTTCTCCGAAATTTTTGCCTCCATTACTTCTATGGAATTCGCTTATACTCACGCTCCAAAGAGCATGAAGTCTATGGTTTCTGCTGTCTCGCTTCTTCCAAACTGCTTTGCAGCTTTGATTGGTCTCGCTATCTCCCCTGCTGCAGTTGATCCCAATCTCACATATGTCTATGCTGGCGTTGCATGTGGTGCTTTCATCGCTGGTATCCTCTACTATATTTGCTTCCGTCATTATGATCAGATGGATGAGGAAGATCGTCTCAAGAGAATGGAGTTCCACCGTCAAGCTGCCGCTGGTCAAGCAGAGATGGAATCCCGTGTGAACGAAAAGACCGCCCATTTGGAAGCGGAACTTAACTATGATGAACGTTAACTTTCGTATTTGATCAAATGTGCAATTTTTTTTTGTATCCAGTTGCTGTACTATACTGCTGTTTGTCGCAAGGCATTATTGTTTTATCTCTGAAATTATACATGTAATATATGCCCATCGCGCATCCAAAAATTTAGCTTTATCTCCAAAGTGTCTGTCTAATGTCAAATATAACCACCTATGCATTACACTAGCGACGTTGGTGGACTCCTCTTCTGTGGAACAATGGGAATGTGTGTATCTTCAACACTACGTATTTGATATGAGTAGCATGCTTGCAGAGGTAAAAAGTAAACAATAAGAGCATAGTACACAATTGTCATGTTTAAGGCGTCATTTTCCTTACCTTGCTCAACTTTTGATAGGCTTGCTTTCATTGTTTCCAGCTTTTTTGCTACCAGTCTCGGCGACGTGGCACTGATGACATCAAATTCTGTGAAGCAAAAAGCAATATTTTTTAAAGTAGTTCGACAAGTCTATACAGGGTGACATCCTGCCACTGACCTTTGTAGATTTCCTGCATGAAATGACACACTGTTATGGCAGTATCATGATGTCCTGCACCAATACTGTTGATGGCGTATCGCATTAGCTCACCCGTCAAATCACCTAATCCATTCAAGTAGTCTTCGTCTGTAATGATAAATGCCTGAATAAAATATCGCGTAAGAAAATCTAAACATTATACAGAACAACCAGGTGCAATCCATTGTACATTACCTCTCCAAGTCCAGCACTTTGCATTTGTTTGTGAAGCACTTCAATAGTAAGTAGTCTACCATGTTCAAGATATTCGAGAAACGCAACAGCTTCAATCTAGAGGATAAAGTAGTCAATAACCATATGATGCCATTTTCGAGGAAAAAGTCAGCATTCTCACATATTCCTCGATCCCAGGCGAAACACTCTTGAGATATCTGTAGATATCCTGTATATTACTACCGATTCGAGTACTACAGGCAAGGCCACCCATTTAATACCTATAGTAGTCCGGGCCCTTGACTTCGTTCGCTACCTTTCGTAACAATTGTAAAATTTCGGACTGTTTCGCTTTGGGCTCGTCAAACTTCATGTTGGAGGCATCCTGGGCGGTGCTTTAACATCATAGCTATTGAGTATTATGCGCGCAGTGATTCACGAGCTAATGAGCCACTCACCGATGCAATATAAAGATAAGCTTTTTACTCTGTGCGGTTATGTCTCTGGGAAAAATGAGGCCAAGCTGCGTGTTCAAACGTGCACATGACTGATTTCATACCTGACAAGTTTGATCAACCGTTCCCGCTTGTCATGCTGCCATGGGATGGATGAGTCAATTTAAACGCAAGCTGGACATTGCAGGGAAACTAGAACTCACATGCGCATCCAATGACACTCTTAGTGTTTCAAACAGCTGTGCCATACTATCACTCTCGTTTTGAGTCATTTTCTAAGCGAAAAGGTTACAGACAAATGTTTGACTTTGCAAAATTACTTTATGGTAAAATTTTAACCTTTTTTTTCGTGGTTATTGAATTATTTGGCTTTTATACACGATTTTCCTGATATGAAAAGGTTATGTCAAACACAATCATGACGCCGGTTGAGAGATTGTAGTGGTATGTGGTCGACTTGGTGGTTGTTGATGTTCAGCTTGTAGCCGCACAAGCTCAGCTCGCATTTCTTCAATGAGCGTCCCGTCCTCTGCCAAAAATGGCTGAATGGTTGCCTGATAATCCTGGAGTGCTTGCGCCTTAAGAAATTGACTGATTTGATACTGCTGTTGCACCTCCGCATCTGAGATTCCTTGGGACTTGTTCGCAAAGTGCGGTATAATACGAGAAAGAGCCACATTCAAGCTATGGTACAAATGTCTCGTCATCAACAGCATTTCGTGCAGTAAGAAAGGGTGTCCTAGAACACGTATATCGCATGATTTAGGTGAAGCCAAAATGTTGAGTTCAATGGCGACGAAGACAGTAAGTAGTATAACTTTCCATCGAGTGACCTTCATAGCAGGAGCAAAGAAGCCGACACCAAATTGAAACAGTCTTTTGTGTTATTTTATAAATAAACGGGAAGAAGATACAATGGATGAGTAAAGAATTTACAAGCATAAAAGCGATCTCGAAAATACTTACAAAGACATGACATGGTCCTGAGCCATTTTTCGGGCAGATGCTTCCATACAATCGATTATAGTGGCTGAATTATCTACAAACTTCAAGTTCGGTCCCATGCGATTATAAATCTCTCTCCTCTTATCATCAGTCAAAGTCTCGTATGCAGTTCGCAGCCGGACAAAGTTTTCCATAGCTTCTGGATCTGGGTTCTTGTCGGGGTGGTATATTAAGGATAGTCGTCTGAACAGTCGTTTCAGTTGGCCAAGGTCCAGATCCTGACAGCTTGCACCAAAGTGTTGATAGTAGTTCATAGGAAGGTCACGGAAGGTGATAATAAGAGTTCCCAGTATACCGATGACATAGAAGATGGAGAGTAAGTAAGCCAGCTGTCTGCCTCTCTTAAAAGGTGTCTTTGGATCCCTGTTTGGGAACATGCGGTAGCAAGTGGTCAGACACCAGACAGCAATCCGCTGTGGGACATCAAAATACCAGAAGGCCATCTGCAGCCCAGGTAACTGCGTGAAGGACATGCTGCTTGACATGGGGAGATAGCCAGGAGATTAACTTGCCATTCTGTTGGCAAAAATCCACCTGGGTTCCGAGCAGTCACACGTACAAAGATGGGGTTTCCATGGTAACAGGTGGTAATATCATGATCGTACGCGAGGGGATGTTTCTAGCATATCTTCGTCATGTTATACCTCTTCCAACCACAGCTTTTCTATTGTAGATTTTATTTTATATATCCAAGACGTATTGTACATTGAATGCAGAGCTAGTAACTCAATTTTGGACAAAGTAATTTGCATCCCTAAGCATATTAGGCAAGCACCATCGGCTGATCATTGCAAAGACAATTACAGCGTAAATAAACAGCAATATTGCTTTATTCGCTTGGGGCTTGACAAGCCATGATTAGGAACAGTATTTTGAAACTTCAATTGCATCCATCTTTTATGAAGAATCCGAAAACGCACAAATAACTATGTAGCCACAGCTGGTCATTACGTATATAAAGGGATCATAACTGATATCACCTTGAGAAACTAGAGAAGGTCAAATAATAAAAGTGAAGACAATTAGATGATCGGCATCATCGTTGGAACAGCATTCGTAAATTTCAAAGAATGATATCAAAAACGTTACCAAGCTTCAAAGGTTTTCTTAAGCATCAAAGAAATACAGCTGCAGACGTTTCACAGATCATGTGCGTAGACTGCAATTGAAAAAAAGGGATTTTGTACTCCCCAGTAAACTTTCCCTCTTTGTTTTCCGTCGAAGCACCATGATCAAAGCAGCACTAAGATCTGTAATAGTCTTTTTGCTCCTCTTTCTATACCTTTTTCTGTATGAGATTCCGGTATCAACGTTCAACGGCTTAAAAAATCGAAACAGAGACAAGTACCTGAAGCGGATCTTGGATGAGAAATTTGAGGAGCTGGAGGAGGGCATGTGTTTGATGTTAACTCAGTATTTCGAATGCACAAATACAAAACTATTCGAGGTGCTAGAGACAGTAGAGTTCAACGGAATAGAATACAAAATAATATCCTTGGATCCAGGTGCGCGTGTACAAACTGAAGGCTTGTGTTTTTGGAAAGGGAAAGTCAAGAAGTGTCTCTATGCACCAAATACCGGCGACTTGAACGGTGGTGTCAACAGATCATTCATTATTTAAACTTGCATCCTCTGGCTCAACGACACACTGGTTTCAGTAAACCTACAGAGAAGCATCGACAGCATGTGAAGCCAATGTTAGCCGGGCTTAAACAAGGAATACTGTATGCCTACAACAAGAATGCCAGATTTATACAGCATCCATCGTGAAATAGCACATCAACCAAGTGGACATCGAACCGTCCTTGGAGAAGATCTGGCTATTGTACAACGAACTCAGCCCCATACCCAGAAAAAAGCTATTCTGTAATGTGGATGAACCGTCCAATTGTGATAACCACATAATCTAAGAATGTTTATATGATTCGCTTCTAAGCTAGAAATCAACGGTAAAATTAATATGATTTTGACAACCCTATAAATGACAAGTTTTTTTGTGTTTATTTGGTGGATTAACGTATAATGTGATATAGCCATAGTCAGATCCATAAAATCATGTAACAAATAATCTTGACAAGCTTATCTTTTGACGAACGAATGATATCAATGAGGTGAGTTTGAACTGCTCTTCTGTCTGACACCGAAAATCGGTCACGCTGCCTTTCCGTTTGAGACTGCCAATTTTTTTTGTTGACCTCAGACCTCTCCATTCCAATTTTGAAGAGGAATCGCTTGATTTCCACAAAGAGCCTTGTCAAATTTGAAGACTTTGGCAAGAATACGATCAGATAGCCGAGAAACGAGCTTTATATTGACAGAAAATAGGTTCGTTGTCGTTCATCCACCCAATATAGGCAAAGGGAAAGTAGCACTCATAGGCAATCCCATCTCCACAATCATCTCCACAACTTTCAGATAGCTTAGATGGAAAAGGTCAGTGAAATTACTTGCTTCAGTTTATAGAGGCTTTACCATGGATTTGAAATTGATATACATGAATTGGATTTTCTTTTATCAGAAACAAACTCTCGAAGATACAAAGGTAAACTCTAAAAAAAATGTGGGGACGCTGACCATATAAAATTTCGGCAATTGACTTTTGTTGGCAACTCGTTCAGGAGGACTTGATAAACACTACGGATGAACGTAGACCTTCCGTAATGGCTATTCCAGTATCGAAGAGAAACTCCAATCTCGATGATAATTGGAAGGTGGTAGGTAGTCCACCCCGCAAAAATAGCTTCCAACTGCCTTCCAGTCTGGGTATGACGAAGCGATCTTCATTAGCCAGTATTAAAGGCATCGACATCGACAGTGACAAAAATGGATCCAGTGGACAAGCAGATCACCCCCTTTCGTCATCTTTCACACGTAGAGGAAGCAATGCCGGTCAATGGGTGTCTATGGGCGGTTTCCAATGGGAGGGACCATCCATCTTTGATGAGAATAATGAAGAGCGTAGCCGAAGCATCAAAGCTGTGCCAATGGTACCTGACGTTTCCAACGAACCGATTTATCGAGAGCAACGAAGCTTTTCTTTCTCTGTTGGCCAAGACCCTTCCTTCTTTGGCTACGACGATTATGATGAGATCGAATCAACTCTCAGTAGCGTCGCTTACCAAAACCAACTTGCTACGATGGAAGAAGAAGATGAAACAGAATTCGATATCATGTTGAAGGACCGCTTACGATCCCAGTCCACCAGTGCAACTTTAGGCTTGTTGTCAGCACAGCATGCTCATTTGATGCGTGGTGGCGGTGAACGACGAGGTTCCGAACAATTAGACGAGGCAATTGCCAGACGCCGTACATCCTCCAATGCAATTGATGCTACGTCGAAGCTTGGTTCCTCATTTGGATCTCAACGCTCCTCGTTTCTTCAACCTTCCAGTTCTCTGTCTCAATCATTTGGTTACCAAGACTATACTGCTATCGAACATCAAGTACAGCGTAAAATGTCACAATCTGAGCAGATGCCAGGTTTCCAACACCTGCATCCAATGCAGCAAATGCAATATCTTTCTGAACAGCTGGATGCCACTAGATTGAATGGACAGCCCCAAATGCCATATATGAACGCCCCTTACCCCAATCATATGATGCCCATGATGCCCGATCCGAATCAAATGGGAATGCCTTTACCTCATCCCGGATTCCCTATGTCACCATACATGATGGATCAGCAACACGACTACTATAGTCCTCCTGTACCGAGAGACCAAGATAGAGGGGTTTCATACAAGCAGGTCTCTGAACAAGCCCAACTTTTCCTCGTGGAGTTCAAGACGGCTCGCTCGGAGGTGTTTTATGTTGCTGATCCCGAACAGTTGCAAATACGAACTGGAGATTTGGTCATTGTAGAAGCTGACAGAGGAAAGGATCTTGGAAAGGTGATTTCCGATCCCCTTTCTGTAGAAAAGGCTACTGAACTTGTCAAAAAGCACGTCCAGCAACAGCAACAGCAGCAACAACACCATAGTGAGCACATACAGTCACCTTCTGATCCTGCTCAATCTGAACAAACATCACCAGTTGAGGGCGAGACTGACGCTGAGACTGAGACCAAGCCTTTGGAACTTAACCCGAAGCGCATTTATAGATTGGCGCTTCCTGGTGAAGTCGCTATGTTGATACAAAAATCCGAAGATGAGCAGAAGGCTCTCACTCTTTGCCAGATCAAAGTAAAGCAGAAGAAATTACCCATGGAAGTAGTGGATGCCGAATACCAATGGTTAGTTATCTTGAATGGAATGTAGCAGAAGATTTTCCAATGGTAGAAAGACTAATTTTTCATTTTCCAAACAGGGATCGACGCAAGTTGACGTTTTACTTCAATTCTGATCGCAGAATTGACTTTAGAGAGCTTGTTAGAGAGCTATTCAAGATATACAAGACGCGTATCTGGATGTAAGTGTTACCCATACAGCAACACCTGAGGAGGGGGGTTGGGGTTTTCTTCCTTTCACAATTGGTTTTAACTTTGTGTTTGATTTCCTAGGTGTGCCGTTTATCATGATGGCCAATAGAACGCTCAAATGATCTCCAATGTTGCTACTTCCTGATCTGCAACCCCCTAACTAGAAATCGCTTGTAATTCGTTTTCCCACACAATTAGCTTTTCCTGTACAAACCTGCCTTCCCCTTCTCTTCTCTTTCCACCTTTACACGTTCTTGGCGAAGAGTTTCACTACAGCGCATGAGAAGAGCGTCACCGCATTGCTCTTGTACCGTGACCAAAAGTAATAAACGTACCGTTTTTTAAAATAGCTCAGCAAACAAGTATTACAGTGCAAGAACGTCTCTTTATGTACAAGTCATTATAGGATAATAGGATATTAGGTCAAAGTGTTTGTTGGGAGGAAGCATTTTAGTAACCGTCATCAGAATAGTCAAGGTTCCAGATGGCGACAGTGAAATCGTCGGAGCACGTTGCAAGTTGACCCACATCACGCTTGCACCAGTCGACTGCTGAAACTTCGGCTTCATGTCCAGTGAATTGGTGACATTCTTGTGGACGTCCAACCTGCCACACGAACGCCGTCTTTTCTCTGGATCCGGTCAGGAGGTATCGATCATCGGGTGATATTGACATTTGTACATAGAAACCTGAGCCAGTCAGGAAATCCGAGTTGGTATAACGCTGTTGCGAAAAGCGGATGTCTGTGATGTTTCGCTCATAAACGTGGTTGTCAGTGCAAAGGGTAAATAGTCGAGTGCCGGCGTTGTCCATAATCATATTCAGGATTCCTCTAGGTCTAGCCGAATCTCCGTCGTATCCAGATGATTCCACGCATTGAGCATCTCGTCCTGCTCTACAGTCCCAAAACTTGATTTGTCTGAAGCCATAAGAAACAATGGTTTAGTGTTGGCATGCAAAATCCCTCTACGGCGTACTTTAGCTTACCCGTCATAGCTGCCAGAGGAAGCAATGATATTGTCTTTGTATGGCAGGTAGAATGCGGCAGTGACCGATCGTTCAAGCTATATAAAAGAAATGTTCAGCCTACGATCCTACTCTGTTTAAAATATCTCTGAGATTCGCTTACGGGCTGCGGCTTTGATTTGGTAGGTAATGTCCTTCTTCGCTTCTTCGTCCGATTTTCATCATGTGCATATTGTATCGTTTTGATTGCGTTATGAGTCATTTCTAGGAACGAAGGTATTGTCAGTAATGATTGAAATGGTAGTGTCACACATATCAATTTGAACGCATACCTGAACCAGCAGTGCGTGCACCACATACTCTAGTGTCCCATAACTTTATGGCTCCATCCTTCGAGCCAGTCACAATCAAGTCTATAGGAAAAGAAGATGTTAGCCATCTGACAAGTCATACACTCGGATACGACTGATTGCTCTTACTCTTATTTGTAGGATGGAAGTTCGCGCACTTCAATGTCAAGTCATGACCTGCCATAACTGAAATGCACTCGTGTGTCTCAGCGTCCCATAAACGTGCAGTTCGATCTCCAGATGCCGTCAGCTTTGTCGAGAATTAATGTCAGTATTTGCTCGAATCAAATCTACAGCATTACCAAAAATTACCAAATGTTCGTCATCCTTGCTCCACTTTACATCGATGACGGCGTTTCCATGAGCATAGAACTGTTTTCTCGCGGTTTCTGTGGGTGCAATGGTCAGTCAAAATTGCTCAATGTGCTGTTCATTCCAAAATCGATACCCACCATGTTCAACGTAGGCATCTTTGTCGGTCTCCAAAATAGATATCTTCCCTGCTTCGTCTGCTACTGCTAGTAGTTTTCCATCTCTCTTGACTAGACAAATCCAATCTTTTCAGTAAAACTTGGAAAGGTATCGCAGCCATGAAATTGTTAGCGCACTTACCATGGTTATACTCGCACGAAAATGGTGGGCACGGTTCGCCCTCGTCGTTCAATATCCTATATCGATACCGTTCGTGTGTTGAAAACAAGCTTAGAAATGGGTCTCCTGACACTATAACAAATACTTAGTATATAGAACGTCGACAAGTTTCGAAAGGTAGCAAGTACGTACATTGTATTTTTCTTCGCAATGCTAACGGGTCAAACATTTCCCTGTGACGAAGGGCTTGATGGTTGTTCCAAAATTGAGAATTCAAACTGAAACGATTAGGTGTACGTGGTAGAGCTTCCAGTTTAGCATTATAGTGTGCCCAGTCAAGCTCGTTTGGGAAACGCGCGTCGGTGATGGTTTGACATGGCTCTTTTTGTGGGTAGCTCAAGTAAGGGATGGGTGGCGCGTAACTGTCTTCTACCACATTTTCATCGTTGATTGCTGCTGATTTTCGCTTAAAATAGGCGGGGTTGAGCATGAAGCTGCTAAATTGCAAAGTCGAGGAGAAAAAAAAAAACGAAAGAGGGGTAATGAATAAAACGCGTCGAAAAAGTTCAATTCTCCGCGCTGGTTATTTGACAGTCACCTCCTCATCAGTTTTCCAGGTCGCCGCCGTGCTATCAAATATTGACAGCGTTTCGCAAGCTTGGATTTCTAAAGTCAAGTACTCGTTAACTACAATAGAGTAAAGAGAGTTGATTGCTCAGTCTCAAAGATGAGGGTTTCATGAAAAATATCTTCGGCAGTGATCTGAAAGTCCTGGGCTGGTTAAAAGAAATTTGTTCTCGCTATAACGAGCAGTTTCGGCTAACGGCAGCGCAGTATCTTTTATATCGTTGGTAGCATGGTCCCAAGATGACACATTCTCCCATTTTTAAAACACGAGTTTTTAAAAGAATGGATTTCGAATGTCTATTTTTTTTTTATTAAAAGCTGCTCACAGACCATCTGACCAACTACCAAGTATCAGCAGCGGGGAATCTTTGCAGCGTTGAAACACAGACGTTTTTCATGTCTGTACCAACACCTGCCAGCAGCATGAATGAAACTGAAGCTCTGCTACCGGCTCTACCGCAGAAAATAGTCAGTCAACTTCAATACTATGGCCTCTTCTTCCCTTCTAAATTCTAAACTTGTTCCTAGATCTTTTGCATTGATGTTTCGAATGACATGACAGGAGAGATCAGTCGTGTACTATGCGGTGGTGCGGACGATACCTTTCTAGAACCAACGTACGGTACAGTGGATTGTTAAACTTATAAATCAAGCGATTCTAACTATACAATACTATTGAAAACTTGTAGATCGAGAATTGAGGTTGTTAAAAGACTTATCCTGCGGTTTATAAGCTTGAAGCTCCTAGCAAATCCAAACCATGAATTTGCTGTGATTTTACTTGCAGAACGGGCGATATGGGTAAAATAGTCTTTTTTGTATGGCTTATGTGTCTATACTTTTTATGTTAACAGCAACATAACAGCATATGAACTTTACAAGCGATAAGTTATTACTCGAAGCTGCGATCGAAGAAATCGGTCCTTTGGGGACGTTCAGTTCCTTTGGTATGTCATCGGGTCGAAGCTGCACATAAATATGTTCTAACTCTAATGATGATTTTCTTCGCGGAGATCAGACATGAATAGTTTGCTAAAGACCATGTAAGGATTCATTAGCCCATGATGGTGACCTAGATGGATATCTAATGCTCTTTTAGACTGAGTCAAGTGGACATTAACAACTCCGAGCACTTTATACAAGCTATTGTCATATACGGAAGATCAGGCTGTATACCTAGCGACCCTAGCAAAGAAGTGAGAGAAAAGCATATTTTCTGAATTTATATGAAATGCAGTTTTTTTTTAACGAAATATCAAGCTATTGAGTCAAATGCAGTGGTGCACAAGCTTTGTGTTCGACATGCTCTATATTCATGAAAAGAAATCAGAAGTCAATTGCCCACAGGTATGTATTTGAATATGGACTCAATGTTCAAGACAGAGTATTGAACTTTGCTTGAATAGGATGTCTACAATCGTTGGCTACAGTTGGAATCGGATGTCTATCCGGGGTGGTTCTTTGATTTTGGGCGACTAGCGCGACGACGAATTGCTCTGGCTATGATGCAGTTGCTGGCTCATCCTTTACAACGGGCGGAACAAGAAGATATGGAAATCGAAGAGTTGAAAGATATCACTATGCACGAAGATACACTAATTCTTTTGGACGATGACGATTAAGTACTGGCAATAAAAAAAACTGTAATATTATTCAAATACGATACGAGGCTGTCATTTCCAATGCTAGTTTTCTAGGGTTTATAGGGTTCGTGTGATAATGTACATGTCATGTTTAGGCTGCTATTGATGTTTAGATTCGCTTCTTCTGTTGAATCACATTATTCTTCAGTCTCTGATGCCTTGGAATAGCTGTTTCGATCCGTTTGTGTCTCAGCAGCCACTAACCTGCTAAGCTCATCTTGGGTATCTTCTAGCTCGTTCCTCAGGCCAATGGTGTCTCGTCGAAGAGATTCCACCATGTTAGCATACTGCATCAAGTCCTTGTCTTTGTCCGATAGTAATGAATCCTTTTCTCGTATTCGTGCTTCCAGCCTATCCCTTTCTTCTGCTAGCCTCTGTGAATGAAGATCCAATTCTTGGTTGCTTGTATGCTTGCCATTCGTCCCCATGTCAGGTACATCACTTGACATTCGTCGATTCGAAAGAGATGTTGATGCTCGAGGGTTTACGCTTGCAGATCTATTTTTAGGCCGTGGAATCGAAGAATAGGATCTGTCAAGCTTATCTTCCTCTCTCGCTTTCAGAGCTTTTCGTAGAGCTTCCAAATCATGATCCTGCTCGTTGATGACCTCTTGATATTGGTGCTTTTGATTTTCAGCAATCTCAACAGCCTCTTCTAATGCTTGCTGAGCATCGATAATTTCCTTCTGAAGTTCCTCTATGGTATCTCGACAAGAATCGCAAACGTCATCCACTCCATGTGAGTTTGGTTCTGGTCGCTTTGAAGTTAACTCCATATCATGTAATTCTTCTTGCAAAGTATCGACAGTATCTTCCAAATCGAAAACTCTATCAGCTGCACTGTTAAGCATATCTTCTTTCTCGTCCAGTTCAAGCCGCTGATGCTCAATGGTTGCTGTAAGTTCATCTCTTTCGCCTGACCAGTCTCGCTCTGCAATAGTCAATTTTCGTCTCAGATCATTGACAGTGGCATCAAGTTGCGTAATTCGTTCATCTTTGGCGCGAGCAAGCACTTTCATCTCCTTCACTTTGTCTTCGTCTCTGGTATTGTTGTTCTGCTCGTTCAAGCTCATAATGTCCTCCATTAACGAATTGATCTCGCTATTCTTGCTATCAATTTCGGTTTGCTTGTTCTGCAACGCTTCCTTCAATGATGTCAGTTCTTCGATTTCTACATTACGCTCGGAAAGAAGCTTTTGTGCAGAGTCTAAAGAAGCTGTAAGCTCAGCTCTTTCTACTTTCAAATCGTCAATTTCCTTCTGCTTCGTCTTCAAATTAGCATCCAGTTGGGAAGTTCGGTTTGAGTATTGTTCGATTTCCCATCTCAGTTGGCTAATTCTCCTCGTTGCATCTACCATTTCGTCTTCACCTTGTTTCTCGCCGTATGAATGTACGCTTTCTGATGCTCTTGTAAAACCAGTCACCCATCTGTTGCGGCCTTCATCAAGTCTTCGTAAAATGTTGATCTGCTCTTCTTTATCATGGACGGTTTTTTTGAAGGCTTCATTTTCCTCCACAGTAGCGTCGAGTCGCTTTTTGAGATCTTCTATTTCAATATCGCGGTTTTGGATCATATTTTCCAAAGTGTCGTGGTTCTCGGCACCAACAGCGTTGTTTCCAGGCGCTTTCTGAGTACGTAAAGCTTTGAGTTCTTCCTCCAATTCACCCACGCGTTGTTTGTAAAGATCCAATTCGACAGTCTGTTCTTCAGCATTTCCATCTTGTTTGTGATGAAACAAGGTCACGCTTGGAGCATATGTTCCTGACGCGTTTACGACCACACTATCTGTATCAATAGAATCGAGAATGGTGTTCAGCTTCGATAGTGATTCATTGTTTTGGAGCATATGTTCAAGTGCTTGCTCGATCGACAATGTTTCCACGTCGTTTTCTAAAACTGCTTCCCGCTTCTCCTCCGTTCCATCTAACGAGTAGTTCTCCGCATTACTGGTTTCTTGGTTGGAATTGGACCTGCTCGGTCGAGATGATAACGGACTCTTGTCAGATCGCCAAAGTTTCAACATGCCCAATCAGAGTCCACTGGATCTGCAGGTTCTTGTTAGTGAATGGACAGTTGATGAGGATGAGTTTCGGTGCCAAAGGCAACTAAAGACCTTCTTTGGTGGTTCGCATCGAATAAATATTTATAAGTCCGCGTGATGCTAAAATGGGGAAATCTCGGGTCACCCATAATTGCGAGCTTATAAGCAAAGCTTTGACTTTAATGGCCATTCCTTGATGAACAAAGTAGAAAAGAAACAGACAATTTGGATAGCTTCAATATTTTATCAGTCGAAGGGTGTATTCGTCTTGCTGTACAGAAGATAGTAACTGCTAAGAAAGATTGCTACAAATAAACGCCATCCACCCTTTCAAATATTTCGCAATTTAAGAATTTACAATTGTTCCACCATTGGGATGCAATACAGATCCAGTGATATAGCTTGAGTCATCTGATGCTAGGAATATATAGCATGGAGCAACTTCACTTGGTTGTCCGGCACGACCTAGAGGCGTTTCCTTTCCAAAGGATTCAACTTCTTCCTTAGGGAAAGATGAAGGTATGAGGGGAGTCCAGATAGGACCAGGTGCAACTCCGTTGACACGGATGTTTTTAGACGCAAGCTGCTGAGATAGTGATCGAGTGAAGGCGACAATGGCTCCTTTAGTTGAAGAGTAATCGACCAAATTCGGTTTTCCTTTGTAAGCAGTGACCGAAGTCGTATTGATGATTTTACTTCCACCCTTCATGTGTTGCAAAGCAAACTTGGTCATGGAAAACATTCCAAGAACTTTTAAGATGGCGTTAGGGTCAGCATCGATGCTAGAAAGTCCAATCGGCACATACTACTTACTGTTGGTTTTGAAAGTTCTGTGAACCTGATCAAGGTCAAGGTCACCAAGAAAATCGCAAACATGCTGCTCAGCTGCATTGTTTACGAGAATATCAATGGTCTTGAATTCGCTGATATGAGAATCTACGACTTCTTTGCAGAGGTTGACGTCAGCAATGTCACCAGCCTTAGTGACAACCTTGGCGCCATACTTTCCGGCTAGTTTGGCTGTTTCCTCAGCATCCTTGGTCTCCTTTTCTGTGTGGAGGATAGTAACGCCATCTACACCTTCCATGGCAGCCATGACAACAACAGAGCGACCAATACCAGAGTCACCCCCGGTGATCAAAAGCTTCTGACCTTTCAATTTTCCAGCAGCTTTGTATGATTCACCCACAGCTGGAGAGGGAGTCATTTCATGTTGCAATCCGGGTTGCGTCTCTTGTTGTTGCTTGGGGAATGCTTTATCAGACATGGTGTGTTAAAAAAAGAATAATTTTTTTCTGCAGAATTTACTCTTGCATTTTTATAGACTTGGAGAGACACGTTTGTCAAGATGAGGTCGATTTTACTCATAATAGACGTGATTGAGAGACATGTTTGTCAAAATGAGGTCGGTGTTACTCACGATAGACGTAATTTTGATAGAAGATGCGAATTTTATTGTGAGAAGCTGCAGCGCTCAGACGCTGCTCCGACTTCATATAACACTATTCATATTACAACAATATTATCGAGTAATCATGTCATTCACTTTGATTTTTCACTTTCAACGCTCTTGAAAGGATATCCTCCAACAGAAGGCTTACTACGATCTGCATTCTCGTTGAGCTTATGCTGGTCAGTGTTAAACAAGAGACTAGCAAAACCAAACATAGCGATACCACCATTAATTAACGCGGTTGCAGTAAATTGGTGGCCTTTTCCGCCCAACGGTGGGTTGCTTGCTGTGGTCATTGCGAAGGCAGCTTGGATAGCAAAATAAATGGAGGCAATCACCATGACTGGTTTTTGTGTTGCCGGCTTACGGCCATCTTTGGTAACCTTAAGAAGTAGACAAATGGTCAGAGCAAAAGAAAATTTGGTTTTCCAATTTAGGCGTTCTTACGGGTAATGTTCCAGTGCTAACGAGAAGAATAAGTGCTAGGGTAAGCTGGCAGACTCCGACAGTCCTGAAGGTGAACAAGTCGTTAGGCACCGATCAGCGTGAAAAGTCCAACCATCCAATATTCCGTTTCCACAAAATCCAACCGATAACATTTTGTATATTGCAAAGAATCGTTTCCCATTAATCCTCCATCAGTCGACATACATACCTTGCAAGGACTTCTTCGGTGGCAGACTGTGATTCAGATCGTGCGTCTGGTCCCCAAGTTCCTAGTGCCATTTCCGGGAAGGCAAGTTGAGGAACGGCAAGCATTGTTAAGTAGCCTGCGGCGGCTACAGAGAATATATCTTTTGGGAAGAAGCTCATATTGAAGAGGGGGTAGGTAAAGAAGGATAAAGTCAAAGAAATGAAATCGGCTTGATGTAATAATGGTGCGTTGGCCAATGACGACATTGTTGTCCATAAGTGGTATCAAATTTTGGGAAAACTTGAAACACGATGTGTGGATTTTATGTATTTCGTTCAATTTGTGGATGAATGAATATGGTCGGCTGAAGCCGTACAATATGTTTTTATGTATCGCAATGCCATGTCATCAATGTGTTGCACTTCAAAATGTAGTGTCAATCAGCGTACGCGTCAGTTGACATTCACTGCTGGTATAGTTGAAACAATAAGAAAACAATACTTAATGCAAGTTAAATAATGTTTGATAGCAGGTATTTGCTTGAAACAGCATTACAATTTAGTAACATGGTTTTCTTGCTTCAACTGCGTCGATAAAACTTTACATCTTGTTGCATGAGGAAGGAAACCAGTGAATTACTGAAGAAATTAAGTATCTGGTCCAATATTGTATGTCTAGTTCTTGAATAATCAGATCAAATCGTGCTAGAAGGTGATTTAATGACATTGTCTGTATGGAACAATCAATGCCAGCTTGCATAAGCTGTCGGGTGATCAAATGTCACACCAAAAGTCACTTGCAAGCAGAGTGTTTAATTTCACACTCAGCGGGCTTTTGCAGTTGCTCTTCAGTTACGACTCGAGTCAATTCCAGTAGTAATGGACGACCTCTACCAGCTGACTGCCGAAGCAGTCAATCAAAACACCAACAAGGAAGACGCAGAAAAAAATAAGCATCGACAAGAAGAGGAGGATGTAGTTTTGAAGGCATTTAACAGCTTTGGATTTAGCAAACGGTGGGATAGTTTGTTAGATACCGTTAAAAAGCAGGTAATGCCGTATCATTGGACTCAATCCTGCGCAAGAACACCTCATTTTTAAACATTGATTGCATTCAGGGAGGTGCACTTGTGGATGTTACCAAGCGAGACTTGCAGGAATTCGCTACTGTGTTACGCGACGACATAGTCCAAGCAGGTGAAGATTCACAAAACGAAACCGGCGAAGAACACATTGACAAACAACAAGAACAAAACAATGGAGAATCAAGCAAAGGTTTCAATTTGTTTGAGGTATCTGCTGCACAATTTGCTTCTCTACGTGAAAGCCTTTCCAAGCTTAACACCGTCAACCTCGACCGAATGAGAGATGGCTTACAACACACACTGAGCAACATACCGACAAGCATGGAATCTATTCATTTACCCGGAAACATTAATATTCAGCAACTTCGAGATGAGCTTGCAGTGGGATCTAAATTCGCAGAACAGTATTTGGAGAAATTCGGAACAGATGCAGTTCAGGCATTGAGCAGAGCCATTACAGTGGTTGCCCCCGTAGATGACGAAGACAATGAATTTACATCGAAATCTACAGAGAACAATGCCAGTGGAAAGCGAATATTGTATGTATACCATATCATTTACTTTTTGAAGCGTCGGCGCTGTGTGTGACTGACAAAATCCATCTAGTGCCTCTCGCAAGGAGACGATACTAGCCGAGCTGCGAACGGATCATTCGGTTTACTTGGAACCACCTGTCAAAGAAACTGAAGAAGACGATGAAGAGAGCAAGATATATCACACATTTGTTGCTGGATTTAGTGTTGAAGAATATACAGATGAAATCGCCAAGCTGTTAGAAGAATACCCTGAACTTAGACAAGTAATGGATGAACTGGGTAAATGCACAACCTTACTCTATCGACCGGGCGTTATGGTGTTCCTAATGAATATTGTAATATCATGACAGTTCCTGTTCAAGTCTCATATAATGATTTTTGGCTACGGTATTTCTACCGAGTTTGGAAGATCGATCAAGAGGATGAGAAACGGAGGCAGATTGTTCAAGGTAAGCTCCGACGTGAAAAATGAATCATAGATCTCCTCTTTGATCTTGTGATATATTTGCTTACTTTTTCATTTCAACCGTATCCTACTAGGGGCAGATGCTCATGAGGAGGAGGATGCGGACTTCAAGTGGGATTCGGAAGATGAGGAGGGCGAAGGAGCAGGCAATGAGAAGAGCAAAATGCTGCAGGCTGATAGTACTTCGGCATCAACTGCCCAACCTACTGGAGTTACTTCTGATACAGAGTTCTCCAACATATCAGCTTCCAGTACAACCGAAGCCAGTCTTATTTCTGCTCCAAAGGACGATGATGATGAAGACAGTGATTGGGAATAGTTAACTTGTAGGTTGGATAGCATGTGAAAATTTCTATTGGACCTATTTTTTTATGTCATTAAAATTGATTTTGTGAAAATTCATTGAGTCTGAACCTTTTTATTCTTCTTCCCCACTCTGGTATTATACATGGCTTCCTCGTTACTGTCAGTGAGGGCCACTGGTCGTAGAATGGCTGCGACTTTACGCCCTATGCTGGCTTCTCGTCTGATCACTCGAGTAGCTCTTCGTCCTGCTGTATTGTCTCAAACCCCCAGGGCCCTGTCAACATCCGCATGTCGCTCCATTGCTTCCCCAATCGACATTAACTCACTCCCAGAAGACGATCCGCGTCGTGCAGAACGTTTCATCGATGAAACCGATGTAGTCATTGTCGGTGGTGGTCCTGCTGGTCTCTCCGCCGCCATTCGAATGAAACAACTCGCCAATGAAGCCGGCCAAGAATGTCGTGTTATGTTGATTGAAAAGGCTGGCGAAATTGGTGCTCATATCCTTTCTGGAGCTGTTATTGAACCACGGGCCCTCAACGAATTGATCCCTGACTGGAAAGAAAAGGGCGCTCCTCTCAATCAGCCAGCGCTTTCTGATAGTATGAGACTATTGACACCTACCTCGTCAATCCCACTTCCACACCCTCCTCAAATGAACAACAAGGGCAACTACATTGTCTCCCTTAGCAACTTTGTCAAGTGGTTGGGCGAACAGGCTGAAGAATTAGGCGTCGAGATTTATCCTGGCTTCGCTGCTAGTGAAATCATGTATGGTGAAGACGGCAGTGTTGAAGGCGTTTATCTCAACGATGTCGGTTTGGACAAAAACTTTGAACCCAAGGTACTCCCCAACAACGGTTATTCGTTATGTTATGTTGCGTTGCGTTTTCAAATTTATTGACATCTTCAATTTTCATCGCCATTTTAGGATAGCTACGAACGTGGTATGGGCATCAAGGCTAAAGTCACACTGTTGGGTGAAGGCTGCCATGGCTCTCTTTCCAAGACTTTGTTCAAGAAGTTCGATTTGCGAAAAGACTCTCAGCCCCAGAAGTACGGTATTGGCATCAAGGAAGTCTGGGAAGTTACTCCTGAAAAGCACGAACCCGGTAAGGTCGTCCATACCCTTGGCTGGCCTATGGATATACATTCCTATGGAGGTAGTTTTATGTACCACTTTGAACCTGAAAGACGCTTAGTGGCCATTGGTTTCGTGGTTGGTCTTGATTATGAGAATCCATACATGAATCCTTACAAGGAGTTCCAGGTGAGTATCGCGCTTTTCCCACGGTAATACGTTTGCATACAGAGTTCGTTTACTGACTCCGCCTTAAGCGATACAAACAACACCCATTCATTCGTAACGTATTGGAAGGTGGCAAGTGCATTTCCTATGGCGCTCGTGCATTGAACGAAGGTGGTTTCCAATCCATTCCCAAGTTGGTGTTCCCTGGCGGTGCCTTGATTGGCTGCACTGCCGGTTTCTTGAACTTGCCAAAGATCAAGGGTACTCACACAGCGATGAAGTCTGGTATGATTGCTGCTGAGTCTGCTTATGATACTTTGTTCGGCGCTACTCCTCACGAATCTGGACCCGTGGTCCTCGATTCATATGAAGAGAACATCAAGGACTCTTGGGTTTGGAAGGAGTTGTACGAAGTTCGCAACATTAAGCCAAGTTTCCATGGACCACTCGGTATGTGGGGTGGCATGGCTTGGTCCGGTCTTGACACAGTTCTCCTCAAGGGTAAGGCGCCATGGACCTGGAAGCATAAGAAGGCTGATTGGGAAGCTCTTAAGCCTGCAAAGTAAGTTGATACCCCGCTACGCACATCCGATACCTCATGCATTAAAGATTGTCGATTTGCCACTGATAGAGAATGCAAGCCCATTGAATACCCCAAGGCTGATGGAGTCATTTCATTTGATCTTTTGGAAAGCGTGTCACGTAGCGGTACCAACCACGCTGAGAACCAGCCTGTCCACCTCCGTCTTCGTAACAAGGATGTTCCCGTAGAGAGAAACCTTAAGGTTTTTGATGGACCTGAAGGGCGATTTTGTCCAGGTATGTTTACTACCATGCACCCGCGGAACCAAAAAAATAATATTAACAACTCTCTCTGAATAGCTGGCGTGTATGAATTTGTAGACGACGAGACTAAACCTGGCGAAAAGCGACTTCAAATCAACTCTCAAAACTGTGTCCACTGCAAGACTTGCGATATCAAGGACCCATCGCAGAATATTGATTGGGCTGTTCCCGAAGGTGGCGGTGGTCCTCAGGTAAGCCCGATCTCCTCAAAAGACACCTCTCTGATACCTTCTACTAACCAACTGATCTCCTAGTATACATGGACATAAATGATGCAAATAGTATAAGGTCGTTGAATTACTTTGTTTGGACAGTAGAAAAATACAAAATACGAATATAATCACAAACAGAGAGAAAACAGTACAGCTTGCTTATAGCTTTGCCATTAATGAAAGTATAAGCTGCTCGAAAATGCAAATTGGTTTATATATATAAAAAAGTAAACATCTGGATATATAGGTGCTACTGATCGTTAGCAATGTGTTGTTCTGCTTCTTTGGCCTTGTCATCATCATCTGAATTATCTTGGCTCTGGAGTTTCGGCGCAAGTAGTTTTGAGAGTTGCTCCCAAGGCTTATCTGCGAGTGATTCGTCCCGCGGAGACGGAATACTTGGTTCGGCATTGATGAGGTGGGGTATACCCTTGAGTTTTGTCATATCAACAGAAGTCATGGTGGTGGAAGAAGTTGCGAATTGAAGAGGAGGAAAACGAGTTGCCTATTTATATGACCAGCAGCACATCTATGGGAAGTGGCGAGGATCACTGGACCCCCCAACCGGTTATCTGTTCACCGTATCAATGAATCAACCACGTGCTTTTTCTTTGCCAACCACCACACAGTGGAAAGCATTCTCGTGACATGATAGAGCAACTTTTCCCTCTCTGAAGCAAAAATTGCGGAGGAAGTCGGTAAAATAGAGCTCTATTCCCAGTTGGGCATACTTCTTTCTAGCAACTGCGTTCAGGCCACAAATTGAGTTCAACTACTTGATGACGCTATGGAAATGTCACTCAAGGCTATCAAAGCTACGGACTTGCCCGCGGAACCGTAAATAGTCACTTACCTGTCACAATGAATCATCCACTCAAAGGTCTTCAGCGACACTGGTAAGTTGGCGTCCAATTTTTAAGGCTTGAAGAGCATTCATACACGCTTCTTGCCGTAAAGTTCTGATAAAAGCCATTATCGCTGTGGATTTAATGCACAACACGGCATAGTTCACGTGTAGGTCATCTAACCGAGGACCAGCTATTGTTGGTAGTACTATTTAGATCTGACACCAGCACGATGCATTCTTCCCATTACTCATACCAACAGTGTCTTGAAAGAGCAGTTTTCTGCGACCAGAAGAACATGAGATAGAGACACTCATCAAGGAAAAATGTACTGTAGGTTGCTGTGATAGAAGAGATGAGAGAGGTCCTTCAAGCAGATGCCTATTCAACTGTGCACAAAGCTTCTGTAGCACATTCGATACCGTGATGTACAGGGGGGACGGGAATATTTTGAGACAGTGATTTCCCAAATTTCGCTCTTTACAGATATTGACGTCGCGCTCCCCAAAAGCCCAAAGGCGCGTGTTGACGAGATGACATATGTTATGCTTCAACAGAATTACAACTTCAGATATAAGAGATATAATGATCGAGCTCCCAAGCAACCCTCACAAAAATCTTCATTTTAATCGTTCCTTGAGTCTCATACATTATCGTTTTAAAGTATAGACGGTCAGTCTTGTACACCGCAGTGTAATAAGTCAGTCGAGCCCAAATTTCAACATTGAAGGGCATGGTCTCTTATGCATAGAACGACAGATATCTTAGCCAATTCTGATCAAATCACTCTGAATAGATATCTTCTGCTACTCACTGGTAGGACTCCACGGGTATTTCACGCAGGCTTAATGGAAAATAACAACAATTACATATCTCGAAGAAAGGTCAACCGTGAAATGCAGGTGACCACAGCTTAAATGTTACAAACTCCCGCTGTTAAAACACAGCTGTCTTTCATTACTTTGCTTGTGAGTCTTATTCATCTATTTATTATTCATATTCCAATAAGTAGACTTTAAGTCTTATGAAGTATGAAATGTCTACTTTTATTAAAGCGCACGCTTTTTTTCATTGCTTCTAGCAAGTATGTCATTTACAGTTGAGTTTTTTATTATTAAAGAAAAGAGAGTCTACCGTGGTTTAGAATAAGGCGTAGCGCGGATACTCTCCTTCTTTGCTCGTACATCCAGATTACGTTCTTTCCAAGTGCTTTTGCGGAGCTTTATAGGTCGATTGCCAACATACTTGCCATTCATTTCCTTCCAAGCTTTGACAAAGTCATCTGCATCGTTAAAGCTGACGAACCCGTATCCTTTTGATTTTTGCGCTCGCTTGTCCATGACGACTTTTGCTTTTTGAAATGAAGGGAACTTCGAGAACGCACGGGTCAACATGTCATCATCCACTTCTGGGCCTAGATCTCCTGCAAACAATCGAAAATCGTTTGGATCCCATTCAGTCAGCGTTGAATCCTCCCAAGTTTCTCCTCCTGCAGTTCTTACGATCTTGGATGGCTTCTTTCCTCTTGCTCGATTACTGACTCTGTTGAGTTCTTCTATAGAGATTGGTTCAGGTAGTCCTTCTTTTGGTACAGAAGGCGTACCTGCGTCTCCATAAGATGGTGTACTAACACCTGATGTTGCTGTAGAGGGATAATAATAGTTATTGTATGCTGTTTGGTCGTAGTAGCCGTTGTACTGTGATTGATCGTAGTAGCCATTGTATTGGCTGTAGTCGTATCCTTGCTGGGCGTAGTATTGGCTCCAGTCATATGATGAGTTATCTCCAGCTGCTGCTGCTGCATTGCTATCCCACTGTGAATTGTCAGCTCCTGTTTGTTCTGAGCCGGACATTATGTACGATCTAGGGTATACAGTTGAAATGGACAATCGAAGATCAGGTAGGTAGCTGAATTATGGAAGAGTCCAGAAAATTGAATTGAAAGGCAAATGGGTGCACGTGACCCCTGGAAGCACCCACTTTTTTTTTTTTGAATTGATTGTCTGCTTGCTATTCACAGTCATACCTCATTCAATATGACCTCTCCATTCGTCCCTAGATCGAAATTTCTCTATGATCGGGTCATCAACTGGTTTCCAGGGCATATGGCGAAAGGCCTTCGTGTTATATCCGAAAGACTCAATTCAGTAGACCTCATTGTCGAAGTCCGCGATGCTCGTATTCCACTGTCCTCTATCAATCCCAACTTTGAAGCAACTATAGGTAGAAAGCCAAGAATGATCGTTTACAACAAGTTCGATTTAGCAGATCCCACCTCTAAAGCACCACTACTCGACGCATTTTCAAGATACTCTCCTCATACACCTGTTTTGTTCACAAGTTCCAACACAGACGCTGGAGTTCGCCGAATACTCAATCGAGCATCTCAGTATGCTGACAAAATACCTATGCTTACCGTCATGGTTGTAGGCATGCCGAATGTCGGGAAATCATCTTTGATTAATTCATTGCGACGATTGGGCGTTGGCAAGGGCAAAGCGGCTCCCACAGGTGCGCAGCCCGGTATCACTCGGGCTGTCGTTGGAACCATCAAGGTGCTTGAAGATCCTACGATTTACTTGATAGATACACCTGGAGTTATGGTGCCACATATTCCACAACCTGTGGAGTCACTCAAGGTGGCTGTTACAGGTGGCATACGTGATCATCTTGCAGACGAACAAGTCATGGTAGACTATCTACTGTATCGTCTCAATCAATTCGGTAATCATGACTATGTCACTCAATTCAGGGTACCTGGTGGACCGACCAATGACTGCAACCTTTTACTTGAGTCAATTGCTCGCCGAATAGGTGCGGTCGTCAAAGGAGGAGACTTGGATTTTACTATGGCAGCAAAATATTTCTTAAAGCAATACCGACTTGGCAAATTTGGCCAATATACGCTCGATGATGTTAGTCCAGAAGCGCTGGAACGCTTCTTTTCCGAATCCAGGGACTTTGATAAAGACATGTCGGCTAGCCGAAGGCAGGAAAAGAAGCTGGCCAAATTGCAAGCAAGAAAGGAGCAGCGGGAACGTCACTCTAAAATAATGACTGAAGTAGTATAAATGTACTTTACATCGTCGCATTCATAGATCCAACTAGAATCATTTTGCATATTTCAATTGTAATATAATCACACCAACAATGGCTTTCTATAATCTTCTACTTTTGTACATTTGATATGAGGAAAGCTAGTTCTTCGGCTGCTTCGTCTAATCGAGCCTCCTGCTCCCCACCTCCTCCGAAATGACCACGATCGGTGTCAATTCGACATAATGCTACAGCGCCTTTATGCTCTATTTCTCGCCGGAGCCTTGATATGTACTTTAGGGGTTGAGACACTTGAACTCTCTGGTCTTTAAGACCACCCGTCAATAGCACAGAAGGATAGCTACTTGCACTGGTGCCAATAATATTTTCGTATGGTGAGTAGCTGGCGATGTTTTCGTAATCTGCTTTATCGTCAGTCGGGTTGCCCCATTCTGGATATTCAACTTGAGTCAGCGGAAGGTCAGGATTAAGCATGGCCGAAAGAGGATCTACAAAAGGAACTCGAAGCACGATCGCTTTGAACAACTCTGGTCTCATGTGAACCATAGCACCCACTAGTAATCCACCTGCACTAGTGCCCATGGCTGCTAACAGTTTGGGTGATGTGAGGTTTTTGTCAATCAAATGCTCAGCAACAGCAATAAAGTCTTGGAAGCTGTTTTTCTTGTGGAGAAGCTTGCCATTCTCATACCAGTCTCGGCCAAGCTCACTTCCACCTCTGTATCAATGAGCATTGGAGTAAATTTGAGTTAGATATGAAAGAAATATGTCCACTGATTTCCGCAGGTACCTGTATTACTTGCCTGACATGGGGTAATGCAATCACCCATCCTCTTTCCAAGAGGGAAAAGTTTTCTATTCGGAAATCCGGATCGGTCGTTATACCGTATGCTCCGTAGGAACGCATCAACACTGGGTTTTTTCCATTCAGCTTGAGGTCTTTCTGATGCAGTAAGGTTACAGGAACCTGGGCTCCATCATGTGATTCGACATGTATTTGCGAGCAGGTATACTTCTTTCTATCGAATTCTATTGGAGAAAATCAGTAAGAAATCATTGAAGACGTTCGCTGAGGTAAAACCTACTATGGATGGGGTGCACTCGCACGGATCGAAGCGTCTGCTTATCCATATTGTATTCCCAAGTTGATTCGTGCTCGTATGGCGATGTAACAGAAAATCTAAAAGTATTTGTATCGAAATCCTGAACGAGAATACAAATTAGCGTCATTGAACTTTCTAACAGCCGTATTATCTGTTTCCTTTCACATACTAAGTTTGTTCCGGGATGGACGATGCAAAACCGTTCGGGTAACTCTACTTCAAGCTTGGTTCCCGTCTTCAAGTCGTAACAAAGTATCATAGGTAACCCATCGCGTCTTCCATATAGTACAATGCGATTTTTAAACAGATCAACGTCCTCTATTTTCTCGGTCGCAGATACTGTAATCAAATCTTTCCAATGTTGCATATCTGGCTTGTCTTGACCAGCTGTGACTAGCTTAAAGTTTTTGGCATCTCCAGCGTTTGTTAGAACATATAGCTGGTTGTCATGGTGATCAACAAAATACTCCAAGTTCTCTTTGCGTCCTTGTACCAGCTGTAATGAGGGTTGGAGGCCTTCCGAATAATCATGTAAGGCATCTATTAGCCGGACTTCCGAAGAAGATAGCGAGTTTGCATTTATCGTGATATATTTCTGCGCATCAAAAGGGCAATGTTACTTCAACCTTCTTGCCATGTACCTTGTTACGCTGTTAGCTCACCATATCCTTTGTGCTAGAAATGTCTACAAATGTTGTTTCATCTTTATCTTCATAAATGAGAATATCTTCTTCTTGAGAAGTTCCAACTATGTGCGCGTAAACCTTTATCGCATTGACAGCAAAGGGTTAGCAATGATAAGTTTAAGATCTGTTCCGTTTAAAACAATAGCCTAAGACCAGATCCATGGATCTCACCTTGTTTGGCCGAAGTTGGTCACTAGTGACAGTGTAATACACGGTCTTGTTATCATTAGCCCAAACAAAATTGAAGATATCTTCCAAAATATCGCCCTGAAGAGGTTAAAGCTTATAGTGTAAATGAAATGAATGCAGCAACAGCATAGCCGATTATATACAAACCTTTAAATTCATGGCGCCAGAGAGATCCTTGAAATGAAGATTTCCAACTTCCTCTCCTTCCCTCTCTGTTTGATATGCGAAAATGCTGTGATTCGGCGACAATAGCACTTTGCGTATTGATAAATTTGTCATTCTGAGATACTTGGAGTCAAGCAGAACTTCCTATAGTTTAAAGCGTATGGTTATTAGGAGAAAGTAAATAGCTGAAGTAACCACGTTTGCTATCAGTTACCTCTTGAGTATGCCCAATCAGCTTGCGACAGTACACCATTCCCGCCTTTGACGTCTTGGAGTAGTATTCGTACCCATGTGCTCGTGTTGATAATGGAGGAAGAAGCTTTGGTGTATGTAGTATCTTTTGCATCTCCTGTTATTATATAGAGTGTTGTTAGAGACGGAAAATATTCTGCTTTTTTGCAGACTGTGTTATATTAGACTAGTACATACTCTGCGTAATACTCTTTGCAAAAACGATGTGCTTTTCAACATATGATTTGAATATCTATAGAGACCTTAATAAAAATAAAATTGAACACAAGATTAAAGCAAGAAAATCACTTACTCATTCTCCTTCTGAATCAACTCCCATACAGCCTGCTCAATGATAGTCGTGTTGTCAGTCGATATGACGCATAATACAACACTCGCGTCTCGAATTATTGCTTAATCGGATACTTGCCCCATTGTTGATATCTTCAATCCATTTATATTCATCAATACGTTTATATCCATGATGTGTGGTCGAGACATTGTCTTGTCTAGGGGATGGCGGCGGCACGTCTCTGTCGTTGACACACTACAGCTTAATATCTTCTCGGAACTTGTACACTGGGTCAATGGATTTTGTCAAAAGCTATTCACCTTGCAAACTTTTTTTTTATGGAGGCTAGAATGGAACCATTCCTAACTGTCGCTAACTGTATAGGCTGTCTTTGCAATAACCCGGCATGGGCAAATTTGTGCCTTTGAGTTGGAACAGTGTCAGAACAGTAACTAGGTATTACATAAAAGACAAGGAGTAAACTTACACATGCAAATGCGTCAGGGAACAGAGCTTGGTACTATTCCAAAGAGGATTCATAGTGGATTTTAAGGAGGACGAATGTGTGTAATGTGTCCTTCAATTCATGCAATCGTTAAAGGCAATCAGGAACAAGTTCTTTTTGAGCCTCACCAAGAAAAATATAAAAACCAGCCTCAGTGTGGCTGCTGTGGCTAACTGGCAATTTTACTCTGAGAATTATTTTGCGCCAATGAAAAAAAATCATTATTACGATACCAGAGCAGAGAGCCTGAAATTTTTTTCTCGCAATCATTAGTAACTGGCAGGAGGAGAACAGATTCAAACAAGTATACTCACAAATAAAATAGTGGATATATTCGTGTTTTTGAAAGGCATTCGTCAGAATTCATTTTTCAAAGCTTGCCATTTTTATGAACGCTTACCAGTTTTGAGGCTGTAAATATCTTAATCATCTTCACTAGGAAGAGAAACCACATTCGTAGTGGCGATATGATATAGTGGTTGCTGTGCAGGCGGCCTTGCGAAAGCAATTGGACGTTGGTCACCGGCCCAGATAGATTGTGCAATTTGAAACATATTTTTGCT